TCAAATTTAGACCAACCCACTTGACACTCTGACCTTGAGCCTTGTTGATAGTCATGGCAAATGCAAGTCACACAGGGAATTGTCGACGCTTCAGAGGAATGGGGTTCTCTTCATCACTGGCCTCCATGTTCATCCGAGGAATCAGCACAGTGGCTTCATCTTGACCATCCACTTGATTGTTGCCCTCTTTGAGAATTCGACACTTGAGAATCCTTGTGTTCCAATCCACCAGGATCATCTGAGTCCCATTATACAGTCCCCGTGTGGGGTCCAAGTTGCGCAGGAGCATCAAAGGCACTCCTTTCTTCACCTCCAGTTTGTGCAGAGGGAACCCTGATGGGTTGAGAGTGTGAAGGAACTCTTGAGGGATGTATTCGTATTCCCTGTCTGTCACTGAGTCTGCACTTGTGAACAACTTCTTGTCTCCAGCAAATGAGTCGAGAATTGAGGTGTTGATCTCGTCCACATCAGTGTTTTTTGCAGAGAGGATAGTGCGGTCCAGGAAGTAGGAGTCAGGCAAGGGAGGATGATTGGGTTGGAGGACATCAGAGTAAAGTTTGTTGATCAGGGATGGGATGTCATTGTTGGGACATTGCATTCCTTCTGGGAGAGTCACTGTGCCATCTCCATCTGTGCCCATACCACCCCCAATCTCAAGGAGCCATGCAGCAAATTGATCAGATGCAGGATCTTGACCAAGACGCATGTTTGTCTTGAGGTGGAAGATGCGAAGTCTTGGCCAGAGGCGAGATCTGCAAAAGGTGGCACTGACAATCTGCTCCCTGGATCCATGAGGAACCACTGGCAGGGTCTGTCTGAAGTCTCCTCCAAACAGCACAGTAATTCCTCCAAAGTCGGCATCAACACCAAGAAGATCGCGCAAGGTACGGTCCAAGGCTTCCAGGTTGTGACGGTGGAGCATTGGTATCTCATCACAGATGATCAGAGAGGTGCGCTTCAGAAGCTCATGGACAGGATCGCCCTTCTTGATGTTGCAGGTGCTGTCCTCATGGATGGGGATGGGGAGCTTGAAACGCGAATGAGCTGTTCGTCCACCTGGCAGAAGGAGAGAAGCAATTCCAGAGGAAGCCACACAGAGAACAATCTTGCCCTCAGCACGCAGTTTGGAAGCAATGAGGTTGCAGAGATATGTCTTGCCACATCCACCTGCACTGTGCACAAAGTGAGGATGTCCAGGTGTTTGATCATCACGATTCATGGCATCTTCAACCACTGCATCAAAGACTTGTCTCTGCTCCTGGTTGAGGGTGGGCACTCCTCTATCCACAGCTTCCTGGAGAACGTCCTGGTCATAGTCCAGTTGCTCGACTATCAGCTGGTTTCCCTCCCTGTCCCCCCAGTTCATATGAGAGCGAGGTATGTCAGGGAAGTTCACCTCGAGGGACTTGGCATTCTTGTGAAGAAGACCATCGATGAGATAGAGACCATAGTCATGGACCTGCTCTGGAGTGGGATCCTGTATGTGCAGTCGATGAATGAGACGGTGACGCAGATCATCGCAAAGATTATCCTTGAAGTCGTTCCAAAGCAGATGAGGGTTGGTAGGGAGGCAGTGGAGGAGTATGATGACAAAAAGACTTCGCAGGCCATGTCCAGTGCACATGTGAGAGGCCTCTCTCAAGCATTGCTTCCATTCCCCATCATCATCAAGGAGACCTCTGAGCTGACATGCTTCCTTGAAAGTAGCACAGACATGATCGTCAACAGTGCGAAGGTTTTCATAGGAGGTAGCCCCTTCAAAAAAACAATAGTCAGCAAATGGCAGACATGAGAGGGATCAAATGATACACACCTGGAACGACAGTCAGAAGCAATCTCAGATAGAAGCGCTCTCCAGAGTTGGGTCCAGCAGCATACATCCTTCCAATTGCTTTTCCGCGTTGGCGTTCCTTCCATGCCTTCCTGTCAACCCAGACAAAGCGGGAGGGAAAGTCTTGGTAGAGATAATCACGTGCTCCAGCTGCCACCAGGTCTTCATCAGAATTGGCTATGAACCATCCAGTAAGGCAAGTCTCCTTGGCTGCAGCACGGTCCAGAACATCTTGGGCATCATCCTCAGGATCATAGACGACCATCTGCTCATCAGGGAGGTGGACTGGCAAGCGGTAGACAGTAGGCCATTCCTCATGCATCTGAAATTCAAAGATGCGCCACATAGCCTCGACAGAGCTGATGTATCTGGAGTCAAGGTATGATTTGACCTCATCCACTGCTCCTCCCATCTCCAAGGTGGCACGGTCGTGTCCTTTGTAGATGTACTTGTGGATGTACTTGACAGACTTGATGGACGCACAGACCTCCATGTTGATATGACAGTCGAACTCTGCCAACAGCCTTGGAGGATAAGGAACAACATCTTTGTTGGTGAAGACATTGCCATTAGGCTTCTGGACTGTGCGGCCATTGTCAGGTCGTGCATACTCTGGATAGCCATCGTCCTTCATGAGTGTTTGAGGACAGAAGGTCTTAGGATAATGCTTCTTGCAACGACCATTCTCCAAGCAACGTTCTGGAGTGCAGGGACCATGGAGCATGAATTTGCTGACAGCTTCATAGAGTTGTGGATGGAGGTTCTGGTCAGGAATCTGAGCAGAGATGAAGGAGTCGACCTGCTCTGCAGTGCGTATCTTGTACTCTGGCTCGAGGAAGATGAGGAGATGCATGTGGGGGAGACCACGCTTCTGATATTCGATGGTGTACACCAATCCAGCGACCTTTCCATAGAAGCCATCGCGAACCTTCTTCAAGAGGGCCTGCTGCTTCTGATAGAACACTCGAGCCACCAAGTCTGGACGATCAACAGCAGTCTGACCTTTATGACTGATCAGCAATGAAAATCATCAATAAGGCAAAAATGCGAACTAACCTGGAAGAAGATTGTCAGCAATCTCAGGCCAACTCCCATTTGCAGTCATGGTGAGGAATAGGTCTGGTTTTTTGCATGCACGACATATAGGCCAAGGAGTCCTGAAGGAGTTGATACATATAGCGAGGACCTCCACTATGAGAGGAAGGAAGGATGAAGGAACGCCCTGTCTCAGCCAGATCATCGATGCCATCATTGAGGACATTATCTGTCAAGCCTCTGTAGCAGTCCGCCCTGAGCTTCTTCTGGTTGGTTTTGATCCAGTTCAAATTGCCTTGCTCGATAGTAGCCCAAGCATCAACCACATACTGCTGGAAGAGCCGTCCTGCACGAAAGATGTTGTCAGGCTCGATTGCAGGTGGACGGATGTGAAGGCGATAGCCATAATACAGCAGCTGGGTGACTTTTTTTGCACGACCACGACCACCCTCAGGGAGACGGAGAGGAATGTCAAGATGCCATCCCTCCTCACCAGAAGGAAACATGAGGACATAATGAAGGGTGGAATAGGCATGACTGAGCTGGCTGATGCGGCGAAGCTGACCACCTTGGAGTCGCAATACAATGTCACGTTGATCAGAAACGTCCTCAGATCCATCTCCAGGAATGATGGCAGCAATCTCATTGGAAGTAGGAAGATTGTATCTTCGACCATCACTGCCTGGCTTGAAGTGAATGCGTACTTGAACATCTCTGTGCTGCTCTGGAGGCTTCTCTATCATGACTTGATAGGCTGCCTTGTAAAGTTGAGCATAGGGATGGTGTCTGTAGAGCATATCATGGAGTTGTCTGAGGGTCTGAGGATTGAGATTGCGATTTCTGTCAACACGAACATCGGTGGCATGCTCTGCATCAAAGACGTAAAGCTGAGCATAGGCAGGCTGTTGAGCTTCTCCAGGCATAAGACTTCCCATGAGGTGATGGAGAGATCCATGGATGCGAAAGGAGCTTGGGCCAGAGCCTCGAAGAGCAAGGTCATCGACTTTAACACCAACAGAGGTGAATGCCACAGTACTGTTGTACTGACGAATATTGGTGACAAATTCACGCTGTTGATACAACTGCTGGAGCTCAGGAGGCCATGGTAGGAGGGGTGGGAGATGAACTTGGCCCTGCAAGCAACACATGCCAAATTTTGGATTACGTGCAGAGGAGTTGGTGAGTCTTTCAGTTGCAAAGTGGCAGGGCATGACAGTTGGGACACTCTACAGTGAGAGGACCAAGAGTGTGATGATTGATAGGCTCTGCATATGGTTGACCTCCAGGAGGAACAGGAGCATTATGAGGTGGTTGTTGAATAGGAATAGGAATGTTCTGTGGTGGTGCTGGTGGTGGTTGCTCATCCTCTGGATTTTCCTGTTGACGACGTTCATGCTCCTGAGCTCTCCTTCTCTCCTCATCCTGGTCATGCTGCTCCTGTGATCCTGGATTGTGATAGTCCTGCCAAGCATCCTCCATACGTGCCTCATATGCAAGCCTGCGTTGCTCTGCCTGAAGATGACGCTCATGCTCCTGCTGAGCTATTTCATGATGACGTGCTTCCTCTTCCTGTGCTCGCAAGAGTGCTTGTTGTTGGGCTTGCAAAATCTGTGCTTGCCTATGCATCTCTTGAGCCTGACGATCCTGCAACTGTTGCTGAAGCTGTTGCCGCTGGTGAGCCTCCTGTGCTTGTCGCTGCAACTGTTCACGAAGCTGTTGCTGCTGATGAGCCTGCTGTGCTTGTCGCTGCAACTGTTCACGAAGCTGTTGCTGACGATGAGCCTCCTGTGCTTCTCGCTGTATCATTTCCTCCCTGAGTTGGCGAAGATATGGATCTTCTATATCTTCAACCTGATTTTGCAAGATTTGCAAATGGTGATGAAACTGGACATTAAACTGAGCGTAATCAGGTTGAGGTTGAGGTTGAGGAGGAAGAGGGTGAGGAGGAAGAGGTTGAGGTTGAGGTTGAGGAGGATTGGGAGGATTAAAAGGAGCAGGAGGCAGATCAGGAGGTGGTGGATTGGGGGCAGGACCTCGTCTATTATGTCTTTGCCTTCGACGTTGCTCATGAAGTCGATTGAAATTTTCCATGAGATCGAAGTTACGGTCGACACGTACTCCCTGAGCACCAGGCTCATGAGGAATTGGATGGGCATTCTGCATGTTTTGAGGGCGAGCTGCACCCTCATAATATACAGCACCATACATCGGCATTTGAGCTGCAGGGTAGACAGGAGCAGGAGCTGGGGCAGGGACAGGAGCAGGAGCTGGGGCAGGGACAGGAACAGGAGCAGGAGCAGGAGCAGGAGGGAGGTGATAGCCACCAAATCCTGGAGGATAGACAGGGATGGGAGGAGGAGGACCAGGAGGAAAATAGCCAAAGCCTGGAGCAGGTGGGGGTGGTAGTGGGTGATGAGCACGCCACTGACGATGCGCCTCATGACGCTCAATTGCATTTCGTGGAATTCCAGGAAATCTCTGCACAGGGATCTGAGCATGATTTAAATTTCCTAGCATATGAGGAATATTCTGAATAGGATATGTCAGCAACAGTCAAAGTTTTCAATCAAAATACACATACCATATGGGGAGCATCTGGTGCTACAGGGGCAGGATCATTTTGCGGTACACGTCGTGCAGGAGGCGAGCCAAGATTACGTTGATTTCTCTCAGCATGACGTGCAGCAGACTGGGCTCGTTGAGGGGAAGTAGGTGGAGTGGAAGGAAGCCTAAGGGGAAATTGATTAGCAGAACTCGATAAAAATTAATAAATGATATACGAACATGGCAGTACGTAGCAACAAAATCGAAAAATGAGGCAAAATCTGGCAATGGACAGGATAGAAACACCACTGCAGCACAATTAGTTGAGGAAGACATGAGAGATACATTACGTACATAGGTCGGAATCCAACAAAGTGGGTGTGTGTGGGTGGTCGAAGAAGTCTGAGCCTCCCGAGGTCAGGATCGCGTCAGGAAATCGACGTATGACAGTGCTGAAGACAACAAAAATGCTGTCCGAGATATTATCCCAGGGGATAGGAAGGCAACTGTGAGCAACTGCCAGATAGAACACCCAGCAGTCAGACTCAACGCAAAAAAGCGTCCCGCCAACCAAATCTCTGCACTGTAGTGCTATCAGAGGTCCCAGCAAAAGCTGATAGCAACCGGCAAACACCCGTAAAAACAGGCAGCCAGGGAGGTAGGACTTGACACGGAGATCTCACAGGACAGTCTTTGACAACTGCAGAAGACGCCCGCAAGACTCCACGCACGTTCGTCTTGTATACCCAATTTCCCCCGTTCCTCCGTGGGATTTGGGCCCAGAAACAAACAACAAACACACCACACGAACCTGCTCTCCAAAAGGGTCCAGGGGGGTCCAGGGGGGTCCAGGGGTCCAAGGGAGGTCCAAGGGAGGTCCAAATCGTCCAAAATGCGGTCCAAAAACAGCAGAAAAGCGAAAATCACTAATTTTTTTTGAATTTTTCAAGTTATTTTGGTATTTAAATAAGTAAAGCTTACCCCAGGAGGGGAATTTCACTACAAATTTACAAATAATCACTGGGGAGATGGTATTCAACAATTTCAACAGTAGTATGTGAGGGAATAGATGGTGGGGGAAAAGAGGTGTTCAGATTGCAAGGGTTTCGAAACTCGTAGGGAAATTGAACTCCGAAAATGAAAAGCACGCGAAAATTCCTAAAAGGTCTGATAACCGAAACAACCGACACAACCGAAACAACCGACACCATGTGGGCTACGCGAAAATGCCCAAATCTTCCCACCCCTTCCCCCATACCCTTCTCCTTACTTTATAGACTAGCCCAAGCCCGTTGTGCCTTCGGCACAGGAAGCAAGCAGAGCACTTTGTGCTCTGCGTGGAGGCACCTCGGTGCCTGTCCTCACTGGTCTACATAATTATTTAATCTTATACCAAATCAATAATTTCTTACATTATATAGTTTGTTTTAGTTATGGGATGTTTGCACAAACGAGTTTGACTGAAGGTTACCTGGGACAACTGTCTTGCAGTACCTGCTGGCCTCGATGCACTAGGCAGCGGGATCGCAAGGCCAGTGTCCCAGGTAACCTTCAGTCAAACTGTTGTGTGTCTTGCTACTGACGTCATGCATTTCCCATCATTCTCCCATCTCTCATCTCCCATCCTGTGTCCCATTGTCCGCATTGTCCCTTTGTCCTGTGGTCCGTCCCCTTGTGCCCATGTCCTGTGTCCCTGTCCCGTGTCCCGTTTCCCATGTCCTGTGTTTCCCATTGTCCATTGTCCCATGTCCTGTGTCCCATTGTCATGTCCTTCCATCTCCCATCCTCCCATTGTCCTCCCATTGTCTTGTCCTCCTGTAGTCCTGTCCTCTTGTCCTCCTCTTGTCCTCTCATCCTCTCATTGTCCTCCCATCCCCCTGTCATCCTCCCATCCTCCCATCTCCCTATTCACCCCATTTCTCCATTCTTCATCTTCCCATCCCATTCCCATGTTTACCCATTGCCCAATTTTCCCATCTTTATATTTTTGCATTTTCACACTTTCACATTTTCGCATTTTTCATATTTTTCTATTTGCTTGGTGTTCTTTTTCTATCCTATTGTGGCTACATTTTTATGTACTACACAATTACAGTACATATACATCATTGTTGTTGGAGCCACCTGCCAAATCAGTCAACCCTTACATACTAACGGACGAAGGTTTGCGCAAAATTCAAACTCCGCTTGACAGAACCACATGGCATTCCCTTTTTCAGCGCTCCAAGGGAGAAGGGATTCAAACAACCGACGCAACCGACGCAACCGACGCAACCGAAACAACCGAAAATGCCCAAATCCTCCCACATTCCCCCCCCTCCCTTCTCCCTTACTTTTTAAGACGAGTCCAAGCCCGTTGTGCCTTCGGCACAGGAAGCAAGCAGAGCACTTGTGCTCTGCTGGAGGCACCTTCGGTGCCTTGTCTCACTGTGTCTACATATTATTTAATTATAACAAATCAATAATTTCTTACATTATATAAGTTTTGTTTTAGTTATGGGATGTTGCACAAACAGTTTGACTGAAGGTTACCTGGGACACTGGCTTGCGATCCCGTGGCCTCGTGCCTCGGCCAGCGGGATGCAAGCCAGTGTCCCAGGTAACCTTCAGTCAAACTGTTTGTGTCTTGCTACTGACTCATGCCTTTCCCCTCAATTCTCCCATCTCTCATCTCCCATCTCCTGTGTCCTGTGTCCTGTTGTCCTGTTGTCCCGTGTCCTGTGACCTATTGTCCCATGTCCCGTTGTCCTATGACCTGTGTCCTGTGACCTGTTGTCCTGTGTCCTATTGTCCTGTGTCCCGTTGTCCCATGACCTGTGTCCCATGACCTGTTGTCCCGTGTCCTATTGTCCTGTGTCCCGTTGTCCCATGTCCCATTGTCCCGTGTCCTGTTGTCCCATGTCCTGTGTCCCATTGTCCCATGTCTTGTTGTCCTCTTGTCCTCCTCCTGTCCTCTCATCCTCTCATTGTCCTCCCATCCCCCTGTCATCCTCCCATCCTCCCATCTCCCTATTCACCCCAATTTCTCCATTCTCCATCCTCCCATTCTCCTGTTTACCCATTGCCAATTTTTGCCATCTTTATATTTCGCATTTTTGCATTTTCACATTTTGGCATTTGCATTTTGCATTTTTCACATTTTTCTACTTGCTTGGTGTTCTCTTTTCTCTTTTCCCCACAAAAATCCCAAAATCCCTTGTTGTCCTTCAATTTTTACTATTTATTATGTATTCACAGTTGCAGTACATATAAAATTCATTGTTGTTGTGCAAAATGAAGGGCCAGTGAGCACTTGCCAATCCCATTGTGGCTCAATTTTTACAAATTCCCACGTTTGGACAGTGAGCTCGTATAGTAAGGGACAACGGTTTTTTCAAATTCAAACTCCGCTTGACAGAACCACATGGGATCCTTTTTTCAGCGACCTTACCGACGCAACCGAAAACAACCGAAACAACCGACACCATGTGGGCTACGCGAAAATGCCCAAATCGTCCCACCCCTTCCCCCATACCCTTCTCCCTTACTTTTAAGACGAGTCCAAGCCCGTTGTGCCTTCGGCACAGGAAGCAAGCAGAGCATTTCATGCTCTGCTGGAGGCACCAAAGGTGCCTTGCCTCACTGTGTCTACATATTATTTAATTTTGTGAAATAAATAAATTCTTACATCTTACATTTAAAAAATATTATATAGTTTTGTTTTAGCTATGGGATGTTGCACAAAGAGTTTGACTGAAGGTTACCTGGGACACAGGCTTGCAATCCCGTGGCCTCGTGCCTCGGCCAGCGGGATGCAAGCCAGTGTCCCAGGTAACCTTCAGTCAAACTGTTTGTGTCATGCTATTGACTCATACACTTCCTCCCAATTATCTGATTTCCTATCTCCCATGTCCTGTGTCCCATGTCCCATGGTTCTGTGTCCCACTGTCCCACTGTCCTGTTGTCCTGTTGTCCTGTTGTTTGTCCTGTTGTCCCGTGTCCCGTTGTCCTGTTGTCCTGTTGTCCCATGTCCTGTTGTCCCGTGTCCCACTGTCCCATTGTCCCATGTCCCATGTCCCATGTCCCATGTCCCATTGTCCCGTGTCCCGTGTCCCGTGTCCCGTGTCCCGTGTCCCATGTCCCGTGTCCCGTGTCCCATGTCCCATGTCCCATTGTCTGTCCTCCTGTCTTCCATCCTCCCATTGTCCTCCCATTGTCCTCCCATCCTCTTGTCCTCTCATCCTCCTATTGTGTCCTCTTGTCCTCCTCTTGTCCTCCCATCCTCCCATTGTTCTCCCATCCTTCTGTTGTCCTCCTATTTTCCTCCCATCCTCCCATCCTCCCTATTCACCCTATTTTTCCATTCTCCATCTTCCCATTCCCCTGTTTACCCATTGCCAATTTTTCCCATCTTTATATTTTCGCAATTTTGCATTTTCACATTTTTGCATTTTGCATTTTGCATTTTTCACATTTTTCTACTTGCTTGGTGTTCTCTTTTCTCTTTTCCCCACAAAAATCCCAAAATCCCTTGTTGTCCTTCAATTTTTACTATTTATTATGTATTCACAGTTGCAGTACATATAAAATTCATTGTTGTTGTGCAAAATGGAGGGCCAGTGAGCACTTGCCAATCCCATTGTGGCTCAATTTTTACAAATTCCCACGTTTGGACAGTGAGCTCGTATAGTAAGGGACAACGGTTTTTGCAAATTCAAACTCCGCTTGACAGAACCACATGGGATCCTCTTTTCAGCGACCTTACCGACGCAACCGAAACAACCGACACTGCCGGAATACGCGGAATACGCGTCTCTCACGGTTTCCCCCATACCATTCTCCCTTACTTTATAGACTAGCCCAAGCCCGTTGTGCCTTCGGCACAGGAAGCAAGCAGAGCACTTCGTGCTCTGCTGGAGGCACCTTCGGTGCCTTGTCTCACTGTGTCTACATATTATTTAATTATAACAAATCAATAATTTCTTACATTATATAGTTTTGTTTTAGTTATAGGATGTTGCACAAAGAGTTTGACTGAAGGTTACCTGGGACACTGGCTTGCTGATCCCGTGGCCTCGTGCCTCGGCCAGCGGGATGCAAGCCAGTGTCCCAGGTAACCTTCAGTCAAACTGTTTGTGTCATGCTATTGACTCATACACTTCCTCCCAATTATCTTGTCCCATGTCCCATTGTCCCATGTCTTGTTGTCCTGTGTCCTGTTGTCCCATTGTCCCATGTCCCATGTCTCGTTGTCCCATGTCCCATTGTCCTGTGTCCCATGTCCCGTGTCCTGTTCTCCCGTTCTCCCGTGTCCCATGTCCCATGTCCCATGTCCTGTTGTCCTGTTCTCCCGTGTCCCATTTTCCCATGTCCCATTGTCCTGTCCTCCTCTTGTCCTCCTGTAGCCCTCTCATCCTCCCATTGTGTCCTCTTGTCCTCCTCTTGTCCTCCCATCCTCCCATCTTCCTATTCACCCCATTTCTCCATTCTCCATCCTCCCATTCTCCTGTTTACCCATTGCCAATTTTTGCCATCTTTATATTTTCGCATTTTTGCATTTTTCACATTTTTCTACTGGCTTGGTGTTCTCTTTTCTCTTTTCCCCCAAAAAAATCCCAAAATCCCTTTTTGTCCTTCAATTTTTACCATTTATCATCATGTATCACAGTTACAGTACATATAAAATCATTGTTGTTGTGCAAAATGGAGGGCCAGTGAGCACCTGCCAATCCCATCTTTCTATTTTCGCATTTTTCACATTTTTCTATTTGCTTGGTGTATCCCATTGTGGCTCAATTTTTACAAATTCCCAATTTTGGACAGCGAGCTGGTACAGTAGGGGACAATGGTTTTCGGAAATTCAAACTCCGGTTGACAGAACCATGTGGGATGCTTTTTTCAGCCACCTTAGCGAAATAACCGAAAATACCGACGCCAGCTGATGCTGGCGAGGCTTACCGACGCCATGTGCGCTACGCGGAAATGCCCAAATCTTCCCACCTCCCCCCCTTGCCTTCTCCCTTACTTTTTAAGACTAGCCCAAGCCCGTTGTGCCTTCGGCACAGGAAGCAAGCAGAGCACTTTGTGCTCTGCTGGAGGCACCTTCGGTGCCTTGGCTTACTGTGTCTACATATTATTTAGTTGTGTGAAATCAATCATTTCTTACATCTTACATTTTAAAAATATTATATAGTTTTGTTTTAGTTATGGGATGTTGCACAAACAGTTTGACTGAAGGTTACCTGGGACACTGGCTTGCAATCCCATGGCCAAGGCACGAGGCCACGGGATTGCAAGCCAGTGTCGGATTGCAAGCCAGTGTCCCAGGTAACCTTCAGTCAAACTGTTTGTGTCATGCTATTGACTCATACACTTCCTCCCAATTATCTTGTCCCATGTCCCATTGTCTTGTTGTCCCGTGTCCCATTGTCCCATGACCCGTGTCCCGTGTCCCATTGTCCCGTGTCCCATGTCCCGTGTCCTGTTGTCCTGTGTCCCATTGTCCCATGTCCCGTGTCCCGTGTCCCGTGTCCCGTGTCCCGTGTCCCGTGTCCCGTGTCCCGTGTCCCGTGTCCCGTGTCCCATTGTCCCATTGTCCTGTGTCCCGTTGTCCTGTGTCCCATTGTCCCATGTCCCATCCTCCCATTGTCTTCTCATCCTCCCATTGTGTCCTCTTGTCCTCTCATCCTCCCATCCCCCTATTCACCCCATTTTTCCATTCTCCATCTTCCCATTCCCCTGTTTACCCATTGCCAATTTTTCCCATCTTTATATTTTCGCAATTTTGCATTTTCACATTTTTCTACTTGGTGTCTTCTTTTCTCTTTTCCCCACAAAAATCCCAAAATCCCTTGTTGTCCTTCAATTTTTACTATTTATCATGTATTCACAGTTACAGTACATGTATAAAATCATTGTTGTTGTGCAAAATGGAGGGCCAGTGAGCACCTGCCAATCCCATCTTTCTATTTTCGCATTTTCGCATTTTTCTATTTGCTTGGTGCATCCCATTGTGGCTCAATTTTTACAAATTCCCAATTTTGGACAGCGAGCTGGTACAGTAGGGGACAATGGTTTTCGGAAATTCAAACTCCGGTTGACAGAACCATGTGGGATGCTTTTTTCAGCCACCTTAGCGAAATAACCGAAAATACCGACGCCAGCTGATGCTGGCGAGGCTTACCGACGCCATGTGCGCTACGCGGAAATGCCCAAATCTTCCCACCTCCCCCCCTTGCCTTCTCCCTTACTTTTTAAGATGATCTCCCATAATATTATGATTCAAACAACCGACGCAAGCGATGCAATCGATACTGACGACGCCATGTGCGTTACGCGGAATACGCGTTTCACACGGTTTCCCCCATACCGTTCTCCCTTACTTTATAGACTTTATTTATAGATTATAGATTTATAGATTTATAGATTGCTGCAGCTCACCACCACATTAGAGGTCCATCTTGGTTAATCAAAGAATTGAGGCAACCTGGTGAGGTTCCGAGGTATGCCTTCTTTGTTGAAATAGCATGCTTGATCAAATTGTCATGGATAATCATCCAGGAGCTTCCAGTCAACATTGGAGACTTCGGGTGATAGTGACGCATTACCTAGAAGCACATGCTCTGGCAAATGTCCTTCATCTTTCAGGTTGAGTCCCAGATATGGTGGTACTGCTAGTACATCTTCCGCATCCAGTACTAGCGCGTCACTGGTATCTCCCACAACAGTTAACCCCACCATTATGCGAGACATCAACACCATTAATCAGCGCAGGCTGGTAACAATCATAGAGGAAATCACTGAAAACCCCCAGAGCATCGCATCCTGGTCAGTCACTATTTTGTACGCAGCGCCTGACTAAGATCGCCTTGCAGGATTGCTGACCTGGGAGCCGATGGACGGTGGCCCGATTCTGAAGTGAATTACGCCACCGGGTGCGATGCACAAAAGGCCGACTGGCCTGCTCAAGGGCACTGGCAGCGCATCAGTAAGTATAGACACTAAGTATACCAAGAAGCATACATCAAGTCGCTCTTGACAGGTACCATGGCCGCTGCTTGGCACGGCGGTCTTAGCGGGGGGGAGCAATACGTCAACAATTCTGAGACCTTGGCCGCCATATCACTTGCCATGGACTATTGGTTCGAGAATGATTTCACCGGCCCTGCTTGTCTAGACTCTGGAGGCACTCCAAGCTGCCCTTGTGGTACACCAGGATTTTGGAACAAAAATTAGTTCTCCAATGTGACTCACAACTAACTCCCGTAAAAATTCCTTCTGACACCTTGTTTAGATTATCCTGATTCCTGAACTGGTGTCACAATCCTGCCTCCTGCTGAACGACACATTGACGCCCACTCAACTTAGCAATTGTACTCACATCACCCTCCGTGCATATGGCACGTTCGACCACTACATCAATAGTATAGGTTACCTCACTGGCTCGAATACGTTAGACGTTGCAAAAATTGGGATCGACCAAGGTCTTCTGGTTGTCAACGTCTCCTTGATCACAGATACCTTCAGGAGGGTCCATGAAGCTATAGTGGTTGAACAGCCTATCAAGTCTGATGGGGTAAGCCAATTATTGTCCCAGAGTTCACCAACTGATAATAGTTGGCATACAGATTCGTACTGACGGATCTTTCAGTCAACACATTGGGATCATCTATAACGGCAATTATGGGAAAGATTTGTATGTCATCTCTGCACTAAGGAAGCATCCATCTGAGTTACACCAGCTCAAATGACGTCCTCGATCTGGAAACTGAGGCTGGAGGAACGCAATTTGCTGCTAATGCAACTTCCAAGACCGCACTTGAAATCCTATTTGATGGTGATCGGTGGATGATCTTCCGTAACGTCCAAACGAATGTTTGTGAACAGTGCACTCCGATATTATTTTTGACCAATTATCTTGCAGGTATTGCATTGGGATTTTGTGAGTTTAGCGGCCCTCCGATCTCATGTTATCTGACGCTGCCCAGAGCGTCTTAGGCCGCTTCATCAGCTTCCCTGTGATTGACGAGCAGTGAGGCTAATTTCGGCCCTTGTTCTATCTTCTTGTTGAAGCTGTTTCAGGGCTACTAGTAGCATCAATATGAACATTTCAAAAGTTCAGCAACTCGGAGAGGAATGGAACTCTACCGTTCTCCTCGAATTCTCTTCGACCCTGTCGGCAAATACAACTGATGCAAATGCGGGTGAGATCCATGGGAATCGTATGTTCTTTGACAACGACTACATGGTCAGTTCGGTTTATTCTTCGTCCGCAATGTCCTGTTGATCCGCACCAAAGGTAACTCGCGGTCCAGGCTATGTGACCACGGTACGAATGTACTCCAATAGGACGCTCAACACAGAGTGTCTCAATTCTCAAAATGTATGATGTCGTCTTCTATTGCATGCAAGCAGTAATAACCAACGGCCATATCATCACAGCCTTTGGGCTTCCACCTCTCTGATGGCACTGTTTACACTTACCTTCATGGCAATGAATATGAAGACATTGCTGCCGCCTGGGACTGGAACCTGATCCCTGGAACTACCGTGGACTACAACGCTACAGCACTCGATTGTACCCATACTCAATATACCGGTAAAGAGCCCTTTGTCGGTGGCGTCTCGGATGGTCGAATTGGTGCCGCAGCAATGCGCTACACTAACCCTCAGAGTGGCTCCCTATCTTGGCAGAAGACATGGCTTTTCCTGGAGACCGACGTTCAACATGTTATGATTGCCAACATCTCGTCTGCCACTGCAGCCCCTGTGTTTTCGGTTCTTGACCAACGACGCTTCGGAGGTGGTGTTTGGGTGAATGGAGTAGGCACTTATGGTGGCAACTACACAGATCCACAAACCATGTGGCATGGTGACGTCGGCTACGAGTTTCCAACCGCCAATGGGACATATGGACTTTCCGTCGAATGGGGTAACCGCACGGGTGATTGGTCGAGCATTGGAACCTCCACGCAGCCTCCTGAGATCGTTGAACTCTTCACCGCATGGCTCTATCACAACAACAATCTATCCCCCGTCTCCTATACATTTTATCCTGCGGTTGATTACGGTACCTTCACACTCAAGCGAGCAGCTACCCAACTACATGAAATCGAGAATAGCGCAAATATTAGCGCGTTGCTCGATAAAGTCTATCAAACGGTAACAGCTGTGATTTGGAGCCCCACTGGTGGTTCCTTCACTTTCCAGCTGGATGGAGGCTACGCACCAATCACGGTCACAGCCAGTGCAAACGCCGCTATTCTCTATCGGGTAGATTCTGGCACCCTGACCGTCTCGGATCCATCGCAAACACTATCTGAACTCAGTGTAGAAATGACTGCCGGAGATGGAGTTAGACCAAATGGATGGGGTTCTCAAAACACCTTTATTATTTATTTCACATTACCTAGTGGTAGTTCGGCAGGAAGCAGTGTGGCTTGCGTATTAGGGCAGTAGTATACCCGTTCGTCGGATTAAATCTCACAAAATTGCCAGCCATGCAAATCCTAACGCGTTGCAATGGTGTAGCGAGTACATGTTTTGTGGATATGAGGAAGAAACAGACCCGAGAGAGATCAGAATGCAGGCTGCTCGCCATATGCCTCCTGTTGGTAAGCTGGCTCCTGTGCATACGCAGCAGGCTCCTCTGCAGCGGGGGGTGCAGCGGAAACAATGGCAGGCTCTCTCGACTCTGAGGATGGTTCTGAGACAATCTTGTCGAGAGGGGGCTCGAGAATCTGGACAGAGTCGGGAAGGGGCTTGCGAGGGCCCAGTTGACCTTCGGGGTCATAACCCTTCATGCTGGCGTATTGTGAGCTAGACGTTTTCAACACATCAATCAGCTTACATTTTAACCTTGATACCAAGGACACCCTGCCTGAGCAGAACGTGTCTCACGGCATAATCAACAAAATCTCGCGAGGGCTGACCGGAGTGGATCATGAATCCATCGGTGAACTTCATCGACTTGGCACGAGCGGCACGAAGCTTGCCGGAAACAACCACTTCGCAACCTTTTGCACCAGACTCCATGACAAAGCGAAGGACACCATAGCATGCCCTGGACGCATCATCAGCAATAGTTCATATGGAGTCAGCAGAAGCACGGACCTGCGAACAGCAAGACCACCAAGGAGCTTGTATCTCAAGCTCTCACACTGAGCAATTGCAGAAAGACCACGATATTGTACTTTCTCGGCGTAAAGCTCGAGTGAGTTTTCAGGGAACTTGAAACGCTTCTGAACGAGTGCAGTCAATTCCCTGATGCGGCGACCCTTCTCACCGAGGACCTCTTGGGTGTGTGTGGCACGGATGATAATCTGAAGATAATGCATTTGTAAGATGGCGAGGTTGTTTAGCTTACACTAGCGTACCTCGGTGCGAGCATGGGTAACACGGACATCACATCCAGAGTAACCCTCCTCGGCGAGTTCGCGAGTGAAGAATTCGTTGAGTTCGGCGCGGAAGACACCGTCAGCTACGAACTTGCGCTTTTTGCTGATTTGAGCGGACATCTTGTAGACGGGAGGATGTCTGCAAAGAGATAAAACACTGTCATCATCCGAATCTCAGAACGGCCATCCATCTCGTCAGTGCAACAGCGCTAGCCCCGATCTTCCGCGATACCGCACAAACACGCTCTGGACATGTTGACTGCAAGAAATTGGACGAACCTTGATGAAACGTAACCTTCGACGCCGTATGTGTTGTCGAGCAGCTTGTTGCGGCTGATACTCCTTGCCGAATGTGATTCAATCGCCGCCTAAAGAAGTTTGATAAAGTTCTGAAAATAGCAGCTGCAAATTTTTAACTCTCTACGGGCAGCTCGAGGACTTGTTTGGGTGAGTAATCTTGAAACCTTTCTCGCTTCTCGACATAAAACCCTTCAATGACGAGTGTTGTATATCAACCACCACTGGCACCTCTTAGTCGACTTGACTCACGCGAGCCCGTAACACGGCGGACGTGTGTCACTGACATGAATGACTTTTCTGATCATGATTATTTTCTTTTAGCTTCGTTGATTCGAGCTTTCAGCTGACAATTCTTTTCCTCTTAGGTACAGAAGTCAACTATCAGACGGAACCATGCACGTATTTGGTTGTCTACGTGTAGTCTAATCCACATGACCATTTCGTGCACATATCTTACCCTTGGCCCTGTGTTATCAACGCCCTTTTGGCAGCCTTATCTCGTTTTTAATATTAGTCGCGGAGAGCCTTCATCCGCATGTCTGTCTTATTTCTTGTGAAGCATTCTTTTAGGGACTCAGTATTGTCGTTCCCTCGTTCAATTCCATCCCACTGACATGCCGCATTGGACTGCTCTAGTCGCAGAGAAGAAACAGAGGCAGTTAAAGTCTATTCCACAGGAATGGCTTGTGACTCTGCCTCCCGACTCTACTCTGGATGTGACTGGTTTTCCAGAGACATGTGGCCTTCTGAATGCACGAGAAATTGAGATCACCAACACTTCCGTGGATATTTTGTTGGAGAAACTTGCATGTGGCGAATGGACAGCTGTAGACGTGACCACCGCGTTCTCGAAGAGGGCCATTGTTGCCCATCAGCTTGTAAGCGAATTGCGTGGCATTTGCTTGACGAGATTGTATTAACTGGCCAACAAGGTCAATTGCTTGACGGAAATATTTGTTGATCGTGCTCTGGCCCGAGCGGCTGAACTCGATGATCACTTGAAAAAGACAGGCAAGGTCGTTGGTCCCCTCCATGGACTGCCAATTTCTCTGAAGGACCAACTCTGTATCAAGGGACTAGAAACCACTATGGGTAAGTAATGATCCCCTAGACTTATCGATTTGTGATTCACTAGTCTTAGGTTATGTCTCGTGGATTGGGCAGTACGCGGAGAAAAATGCAGTGCTAGTCGACATTTTGCTCGAATGCGGAGCCGTACCATTAGTTCGCACTAACATTCCACAGACACTCATGGTGAGCGCACCTCTAGATGAGGGGTACTCGTTGTGCTAAAATTATCTTCAGTGGGGAGAAACCTTCAATAATGTTTTTGGTCGGACAACTAACCCACACAACCGCTCCTTGACCTCGAGTGGGTCATCGGGAGGAGAGGGTGCGTTGATCGCCCTCAAAGGAAGTCCTTTGGGAGTTGGTTCAGATATTGGAGGGTATGGAAGTGATTGGGAAGTACCATTGGTAGTAGCCTTCTGACGATCCTTGGCAGCTCAATTCGTGGTCCCTCTGCATTCTGCGGAATATACGGCTTGAGACCGTCATACGGACGTGTACCATACTGCGGTGCCCGCAACTCACTGGAGGGCCAAGACTCGATTCTCTCCGTGTTTGGTCCTATGACAGACAGCGTCGGCGGGATTAAAGTCTTCATGAAAGCTGTCGTTGAAGCAAAACCGTGGCTCAAAGACCCTCTTGCCGTTCGGAAGAAATGGAACGAAGATGAGTACAATCTCACGGATCATGGATCTGGCAAGGATTTGTGCTTTGCGATCATGTGGGACGATGGCGTCGTTGTTCCCCACCCACCTATCAGGAGGTCCCTGAAAATGACCAAAGCGGCTCTCCAGAAGGCGGGCCACAAAGGTTTTTTCATCTAACTCCTGTGCTGAATTTGTGCTCATTTGATGGTAGTTGTTGACTGGAAACCTATCAAACACAGATTGCTTGGAGAAGTTACAGTAAGGAGTTGTGTCTTTCGTTGCGCCTGCTTATCGACCTAGCAACACCACACAGCGGGACATTTGGAACGCCGCTTCCGCTGAGGACTTCATGATCACGACCTCTGTTACAGGAGAGCCAATAATTGCAACGATGGAGCTGGACGACGTAGTAGCATCCTCTCTTCCGCAGAAGAGCGGCGGTATTACCGCGTATCAGCTCTGGCAAGTGCAGAAGCTGCGTCAAAATATTCGGAAAGAATATTTGGACCACTGGGAAGCAACTGCGTCAGAGACTGGGACAGGACGCCCTGTCGATGCTATCATCTGTCCAGCTGCACCGTATGCGGCAACTCCCCATGGGAAGAACTGGTGAGTGTCTTGTCATTGCAGAGTCTTGAACTGTCAATGAAAAACAATGCGCAGCTACGGCTATTACACCATGGTTTGGAATGCGCTTGACTATCCCGCTGCAATTTTCCCCGTGACCACTGTCGACCCCATTCTCGATGGGAAGGAGTTGACTCATGACTTTTATGACGAGATTGATAAGAAAGTTTACGAAATGTGTGAGTAGTCCGCCGACCTCTCGATGAATTTCTGATGCCCAACGATCACTTCAGACGACCCGGAGAAATTCAAGAATGCTCCTGTTGGTTTGCAACTCGTCGGTCGGACTCTGGAGGAAGAAGCGGTCATAAGAATGACAGAGATTGTCGATGCGGCGCTGGCAGCTGCCAAATAAGTCCGAGGTATACCTATCGAGACACAGCAGTTACAGTATGAACAACAAATACATATATGCCTTGATCCAATACAAACAATCCGAAAGCTATAACTTCGCTTCACGAAGTGGTTGTGCCTCGTTCACAAAAACGCCTGCTGCACCCATACCACTGCCGACGCACATACTTGTGCACAACAGTTTCTTGTCACTCCGGCGAAGTTCTGCGAGGCCGGTGACAACTTGACGAAGGCCAGCTAATAATTGGTACATGAATTTCAAAACATCAGGCCGACAACAGTGAGCGAGACTCACTCATTCCCACAGGATGCGTGACGGCTATTGCTCCACCACTACCGGCAAAGCATCAGAACAGAAGTATACCAGTTGTAATGACTTACTTCGGATTGATTTTGTCCATGGAAATGCCAAGTTCCTCGACGCAGTATGCAAATTGCGAAGCGAACGCTTCGTTGATCTACGTCAGAGGTGGTAAGCCATGAACGGGAAGAACCTAAGAGGTAGTGATTCACCTCATAGATGTCAATATCGTCCTTGGTGAGACCAACTTGCGCAAGGACCTTGGGAATAGCGGAGATGGGGCCAACGCCCATATAGCGCGGCTCGACACCTACAACAAGCAGTAGTTCAGCAGACACTCGAACAACAGAAAGTGATAAATAACAGACCGACGACGACGCTTCCAACCCATTTTCCGAGAATTTCCATGTTTTCCTTCTCCGCACGTTCTCTTGTTGTCAGAATGCATAGCGCGGCACCATCTCCAATACCACTGGCGTTTCCAGCAGTGGTAGCTGCATCGCCCCAATCTTGGAACGCAGGCTTTAGACCAGATAATGTCTCCATCGTCACGCCAGGTCGGACTGTGTCGTCTGCGGAGATCACAGTCCCACGGATTTCAACTGGGATGATCTCATCAGAGAAGATACCGGCGGCCATCGCCTGTTCTTGTGATCAATGTGCAACACGTGATAGTTTGGATATACAAACCTTGGCTGCGCGAGTATGGGATACGAGGGCATACTCATCTTGCTTCTGTCGCGAGACTTTGTAGGTTTGAGCGACCATCTCAGACGTCCAACCCATAGGCTACATTGAATACGTTAGTATTTGATCGATATATCATACCCAGACGCACTTGTATGCAGTCGTGAGCCCGAGGATCTTTGTCTACAGATTCGGCTATAACAGGCGTGAGACGAGGGCTGCGTGAAAGTGAACATCGGTGTACTACAGACTTTTGGAAACTCACTTCAGTGTCATATTCTCCACTCCGACTGCCATGCCCATGGATATTTCGCCTGACTGGATAGAGTGGGCGATGTTTCGGACGGCCATAAGGCCGGATGAACATAGTCGGTTCACTGTCGAGATGGGAACATCCTGAGGGACGCCAGATGCGAGAGCCGCGGCTCGTGAGGTGTACATCGGGGAAGGAGTATGGCATGTGCCTGCAGAAAGTTGCAGAAACACACGGCACGGTATGTAGTGCCGACTCAGTGCTCACCAACACAAATGTCGTCAAGTTTCGCGGGGTCGAGCTTTGTCTTTTCAAAGGTCGCCTAAGAGTCGGATTCAGTCACCGTAAACAGTATATTAGTCCACAAACAGTCTGACCTTTAATAAAGCTTGCATCATTTCGTCCACTGGAATATCCTTGAATTGACCCTTTCTGTACTTCCCCATCGCAGTACGCTTTGCAAAGGTAATGACCACATCATCTGGGTTCTTCTGCAGCACTGCAGTGATACCCCTGCCGCTATGTGTAGAGACGTTGCGCATCGTAGACGGGACTCTAGCGCGCAAGACTGTAGCGAACATGAGGGACAGTCACGTAGTGTGAGATTTCTACTTACAAGATATAAAAACAAACTTCGTGCCTTCTCTATGCAAACCAACCAATTGCTGCCATGGTGTGACGAACAAAACGAGTGTGTCCTATTACAGAAGGAACTACTGTCTTCATTATATTAGGGTCTGGACTCTGACTACGGAAAACTACGAGTGTGTAGACAAATGAGCGTGCAATTGAGCGACTGTATGAAGATGAAAACGATGTCCGTGTGTAAAAAGTAAATGCCAAGTCCATGCTAGTAGATGAGCATCTAAGAAAACTAAGTGAAAAGACGAGAGAGCATGATGGACATCTATATCTATATCGATATTAGATGGGATGTGCAGGTTCAGCGGTGATGTCGCATGGGCGATGCAAGAAAACCAAACCAAAACGAAAGCAAGTAAAGCAAGGTTCAACAGCAACGTGCGGCAACATCCTCGCCCGCACCCTATAAACTAAACACCCCCGCAGCCCTCTTCCTACTCTGAATCGGATGCACGAGCACCAAACTGATCCCAAGACCCACAGTCAACCCGATGCTCGTGCTGATCAACTGCAGCGCCGTATTGAACCCGCTCAGATAGGAAGAACTCGAACCGGAGGTCTGGTCGACAACGAAATTGAATAGCCCGCCGTTGCCTAAACCTGAGGGGAGTTGGAAGAGGATGCCTGTGATCTGTGCAGGTTGGTTATGATGTCAATTTTTAGACGCAGAGTAGAACAACGGGACGGGGGCGCACCATAACGACAAATGCATTTCCCTCAAAAAACCTCCCATACAAATTCGACACAAACCCTACAGCAAACGCCCCGACAGCTGCCGACATGTCGCTCTGGTTCGGGAACTTGGTACCCACAAAATGGTTCGTCACCCATCCGATGCATGAAATTGCGACCAGGAGCAACTACAGCCCATCACAATCAGCACCAGCACAAACCCACAAATTCAGAAGCCGAAGCCACTCACCAACTCCTTCCTCTTCAACAAAGCCCCAAACCTCAAACTTAAAAACAGACTGTAACTTGGCACAGTCAAAAACGCCCACCACAGACTCGGCGTCCTCTGCCACCACTCTCCCTCCAGATCGTGACTGTCCTGGCACGTATAATCTGTAGCGCCCACTATGGATGTACCCACCATGGTCTGATACAGCTCTGCTCCGATTGCGAGTCCGAAACCGAGGAAAAGGGAGTACATGAGGGCGTAGCAGAGTCGGACGGAGCCTGCTACGAGAGAGCGGGAGGCGACTTCGAGGGAGCCGCAGAGGACTATAAAGCCCTGCGAAGTGATTTTTATTGAGCAGGTTTGATTAGGGATGGGAAGGAGAGGGGGGAAGGGGATAGGGGAAGGGACTCACAGGTAAAATCAGCACCACACTACTGCTAGCAACCGCCGAATAACAAAAATGTCTCGTACTAGCCAATGCAGCGCTCAAAAAGCTCAAAAGCGTAGCTACCGTGATCTCAAATACGTTCCCATACAGCTCGTTGCGCACGCTGAGGAGTTGGATAGTGACGAGGAGCGCGCCGAGGGGGAAGGAGACGAGGCAGTCGATGAAGGAGCCGTTGAAGGAGACGCTGCAGATGGAGGCAGAACACATCCCGCCGAGGAATATTAGTTGGGCGAAGTTGTATACGGGCTTCTTGCGCATGAGAGTGTCGAGGGCGGCGCTTGCTGAGGATACGGAGATGACATCGTGGATGACCTGCGTTTCGGTTTTCAATTAGGTATGGAATGTGTGCAGGGAGGAGAGAGACTTGCATCCCAATATAGCCCATGCGCCTCACCGAGTTTGCCTAGATCCAAAGCGCTGCCCTGACGGATGAACTTTACGTTACTCGTCCCAGTCGCGTTATCTTCGAAGCTGATCCACAACACGTCGGGCAGATACATACAGCTCAGGTCTAGCTCCAACACACGCGCTGTGCTCTGAATCTGTGCAACGAGCCTATGAGACGGGCCTCCAAACATCATCATCGCGCGTGCCAGTTTCAAAATGAACTCTTGCCGCTGGAGAATCGCAGCTACGTGCCGGGTGATCTGCGAACGATGTGAGTTCCAATAAGAACGTGAAACGAATGAGGGATAAAACGCACATAAACCTCGGCCTTCTTCCTCTTCCTCCTCTTCTCCTTCTCCCTCCTCTCCCTCGCTTTCCTCTCCCTCCTCTCCCACTCCTTCTGCTCCTCCATCCACTTCGCCTCAAAATAATCCCCACCGTCCACTTTTCCCTCCGGTGTTCCAGGCCCACCACTACTCGACCCCCGGGTTCCAGGCGTAGAAGTCCCACTTGCAGGATGCCGGAAAGGCGTCCCGGGCATACTCAAAGAAAACCCCTTAAAATGCGCACCATGTAGCGGGTGCGGTAATTCTTTCAACACCCCTGTCCAGCGCTTTGATTTTTTACCTCGGGCGGGTGCAGGCGCAGTTGGTAAGGGCGGCTTCCCGGTAGGTGAGGAAGCAGCAGTCGTCACTGCAAGCGTATCCGGGGAGTCTTCTTCCTCGTCTACGAGCGTATTGGATGCAACTTCACCCTCGTGGTCTTCCTCCACCGGCCCACCGACTCCACGCGTAAAATTGAAATCGGTGCTTCTCGTCCGGCGGGGGAGGTGTAAGTTCAAGCGGGGCGGTGTACGTTGTGGTCCTTCTTCAGACCCAGATTCTGTTTCTGCCTGGTTCTGCACAAGTGGAAGCACCGCAGGCGGAGGCTGCAACACGTCATCAATCCCATCCTCAAACCGATACCTCACGAGCCCATACCCCCTCTTCAAATCAGGCGCTAGACCGGCCTGCTGCGGCGCCGCAGCACCCGTAAGCGTCCCCGCACCTGTAATCAGCGCCGCCATTGTGGCAGGCGCTTTTTCTTTGTGTTTAAGTGCGGGAGGAATGAGCGCTGGGGGTACGGATGCGAGGAGGGACGCTGCGCTGCTTGAGGCGGAGTGGATTGTGCGTCCGAGGGATTTTTTGCGTTTGTGTTTGGAGTCGATCCATGGGCGGTCTGGGTTGAAGAGTTCGGATTCGTCTTCACTTGGTGGGTGGTCATCGTGCTCTTGCTCGTGTTCGTAGAGGGCTAGGAGGGCACTGAGGACGCCAGAGCCGAACTTGGGCTGGGAAGGATGTAGGGAAGGATGGGATTCAGGGTCACTGTAGGAGGTATGCGCATAGTGTGGGGGGTGATGCGGGGTGGGTGCGACGGATGGGGGTGTGTGAAAGTGCCACCAAGATTTCTTGGGTTTGGGTTGGTTGTGGTGTTTCTCGAACTCGCCGTCCGTGTCATGCTCTGTGTCTGTGCCACGTCCAGCTCTGGACGATTTGAGACGGTGGTGCCTGCGACCAAGTACACCCCATCGTTTGGTGTGTGCTCTGACGACGCCTGCTGCCTCGCGTACGGCAAGGTGCTCGACATGGCCTGCATGGCCGTCACCCGGCATCTGCGAGTCTCGGCTTGCTTGCCTTGAGGAGAGGGGGAGTCCAGCACTCTCGAGAGGATCGATGAAAACCTCGCCAGGAAGGGCGTGGGTGCGGCGGGGAAGGAAGGGGGTGGAAGAGGATGGAGATGTGGGTGCGGAGGAATCGGGGGTGCTTGGTGGATAGGTATGTTGCAGGTATGGGTTGAGGTAGGGATGATCACCGTCTGGTGCGTCCGTGAGGGTAGAGGAGTGGGTGACTGGGGGCAGGGTGGAGGTTCCGGGGGACGGAGACCCGGAGGGGGATCGGGTACGGGAGGAGCTGTGACGCCTGAGTGCGTCTTTGAGTGTTTCGAAGGCGCTTGGCTAGAAGGAATGTTGGAATTAAAGTGTGAAATATTAATGCGATACTACTCACATCCTGGGCCATCTCATCTAGTGCATGAGGAGTGGAGGGGGGTGAGTGGAAATGATCAGTGCTGGCCCATTGTACGCGGCGGGGCGTACAGCTGCCTGGATGGGGCGGGGTTGGGGACATTATACTAACGGGCATTGTATTAGACCGGTGAGAAGGGGGTCGAGAAACGGTCGGTGAGCCCGAGTCAGGGAGCGTGTAAGTTAAAGACATAGTAAATGTGAGATACGGTCACCATGGACTGGATGCTAGTACGCACGTTGAGTAGAACCGGCGCGACGCGTTCCAGATTCGAAAATTGATGATTATTCACCAATTATTGAAATGATACTCCACAATAAATTGCAAAAACACTATTGTCGACTCGGGTGAACTCGTTTCACCGTCGCTTGGATGGTTGGGTTCGACTTGCATGATTGATCTAGTGTACATATACTTGAAGTATTCGAAGAAGGTGATGGCAACAATTCTCTCACATGATGTCATACTTCCTTCTTCGTCACGGTCACCCCGCCAAGGTCAGATACCACTCCACAGCCTAATTTAATTCGTACCCCAATATTACTGCGCGGTCACATACCAGTGTAAACGACCCACTTCTCATTCGCTTGACCTCCAGCTAACTCCAACTTTGACCGCGTACTAGTAGTCGATTCCCATACTCCAATTCAATCTGATGTCAGTCCGCTCCACCTTCGACGGATCATCAGATAGGCGATAAGTGTCATCCATTATAAGTACTTGATAAGTACATCGAATGATTATGTATATGGGCGTGTAATCAGTATATTATAGGTCCGGCTAGGGGAGACTAGTCCATTAGGCTCATTTATACCTTAAACCGCATGCCATACATACCTGCAGAGTCGAAAGGATCACTTCTGCAACCGACTCCCTAGTTGTATCGTTGCAACCTCGCTAATCTCAAGCTCGTCTAAATTATCTCCCTCCAGCAACCCTCCTGGTAGCCATTGGAAATCTGGCATACTGGGAGTAGTATGCACCATGACATCCGATTCTTCAGTTTCAGAGGGGTCCACGTCCTAGAAGTAGTATAAACGAAAGCTCGGGACAACAAGCATGTCTACACCCACCGTATACAGAGCATCCCTCTCATCACCAGCCGCAAATTGTGGATATGGAACCCAACCTTGATTGCAAACGATCAACTAGCACAGCAGCAACGAACAAGCGCGGCTCACCCTCAACATGCAGATAAAAGAACTGATCCTGTCCTGAAATGTAAGGGATGATGGCGACTGTTCCATTACTCTCAACCTCTTCGCAAGGGGCATCCGCATGCAGTGTGTTAGATAACCTGAAACTAGACGGACTGAAGACACTGCCAAGAATCCAGGTCCCGACGAACCGAAGCCAAATAACTGTGCGGTTAGGTAGTTCATCATAGGCCATGCGATCCATGATCGTGAACTGACGCTGGTCAGGCCACACCGCGACGAGAGAGATATCACAACTAGACATATTGCCCAGCGATGGGAGAATTCAGAGGGCTAACACGGCGTCATATGAAAAGGAGACACATGATTGCGAAACGGACCGCTGTCTCATCCGTGTATTGACGTCATGCAAACAGCCAGGATGACGGTTGTAGAATTGTCAACAATCTTTGCGTACGCGTATGACTATATATCCAAGTCCTCATCCGGATCATCATCATCAATATCATCAGCAGAATCAGGGTCGTACAGAATCGTCCCAACTGTTGTAACAGGGTTGCCTAAAGTCTTGATTAACATGACATGCAGCATAGAGGAATGGAGCACCACCTTCGTGTGCATAGGGTAACGGCACTTGAGCTCGCGATTTCTCCTGCGACGGCGTGAGATTCAGATTGAACGATACGTTTTGCGTTGGATCCGGTCGAGCCTGTAGTAGATAGGGATAAGAAGGCAAGTCAAGCTACTGTTCGTGCTCACCTGCTCTGCCTTCTTTCCGGTCCAAATACTTTTCAGGCTTTCAAGAGCTTGCAGGTCGCACGGGACATCTCCTTTCCAGCCTTCGACAGTCCTCTCTACACCGCGCCTACTCCCACCCCTTATAAGGACCTCTACAACAAATTCCCTCGTGCCCTTGCTCGCCCACGCTCCAGCACTCGTCCCGTTGCCTTCGGGGCCATAAACCAGGCGTTCACTTTCATGTGTACGCTCAGAAAAGGGGATAAAGACACTCCAGAACTTCTCTGCCGGGCCAGCTGGTGGAGGTTGTGTAAGATATGCAGAAGCAAGGTGCGTGATGATTGCTGGGGGATGCGCAGTAATATGCATGAGCGTCGGTGAAAGGGAAGTTTGAGTCAGTAATCCGAGAAGAGGACAGGGCTGGAGATGTACGATGAGGATGGAAGGTTCTTGGGGAAGATCAGCAAGTACAATGACATCAGTCGTGCTGTAAACACACCAGAACGAGTTGTAACCAGCCCAAGGAGCGTCCGAATAAACTTGTACGTCTTTGGCGTGGATCCGAGGTCAGATGCCAATGTATCCACCGAGTCGATGATCACATTCAGTGATCCCGGAGGTACTACAAGGTTTTACATCAGTCGGATCATCACGCTCATCAAACGCGTCAATACTGACCAGAATTAACGCGAGCCAGTATCTCGTCCTGAGGATCACACCACGCATCGTCGTAGCCAGGAATTCGGTCAGTAAAGTCGAAGGCAGTGATATTTGAAGCATCAACGCTTGTCAAGCTCGATGGTGGATGCAAGAAGCAAAACAGTAGAGTCTGAGTAGCTGGTCTGAAATTTGAGATCAGATTCCTTAAGATAGGATAACATGTCTGGGCAGAAGATGACTGGAGGATGATCAGCGGTTGATGTGGTTTGGACCCCCCTGGGTTGCTGGTGATAGAAGAGAGCAGGGACATCTTCTCTTTGTGATGAATCCGGGTGGCATCAACATGATATAATTCAAGTCACTCCGGAACTACTCGACTCCAAGCAATATATGTAAGCTACGACAACATTTGTTACATTATGATAGTATTATAGGCTTTGTGACACGGTTCCGGCAGCTTGTTTCTCCCAATATGCCCTCCGGAGAATGACTAGGTCAAGTGTCCACCCATAAACACCCAACTTGCAAATAGGCTTTTCCACCGCGAACCCGGCACCGCGGATGCACTTTTAAGAATGCGGTATCAGAGAGGTCGTAGTACCGGCCAGTTCGTCATCGGAAGGCTCATACAACCGAATTGCGTGCATCAGCGTCTACCATAACTGCAGGCTGCTTCTCGTGCAGATGGGGTCACGGTGTGAGGATGAAGCAGCGTCTCATGATTTGTAGCGACTTCGCATCGGCGTTTGTCTGCCGCTCCAGGCACAATACGATTCACACCATTGAGGGCTGCGGTGAGACGGTGCCAGGTCTACTGAGTCAGCAGCTTCACAATTCAACAGAAGTAAACAACTCCTGGCAAGGTTCTCAAATATCTGTATATCCGTTCATCCGTTATCCGAGTTAATACCGCCGTGCCTACATAATGGCGAATTCCTCAACTCCCTTCATTTTCACCTCCTTCGCACAATACCATATTTCACAACACCATCTATACCAATATGTATTCTACTCCAAACTCGTCGTCAAACTACACGATGAACCGCTGGGGTTTCGACACCCATATGCACAGGTGTGTTTTGACATTTAGAACATGTTGGATTTGCTCATACCTCCCGCAGTAACTTACACTGTGATTCAAAATATTCGAACTTGCTACACCAGCACAACCACTATCTTGAATCGGATCTCAAGCAGAACAACCATGGTGCAGAACACGCGGAGGATGAACACAGCAGTGCACCCTTCAACTTTTCTTGGCTATCCCATTTGCCTGGTTTTTGGGTGACGGATCTCATGGCGACTCACGTTCAGGAAGAGACTCATCAACGTGTGAGTCATACTTCTACTCACATCCCCGAGATTAATGGATCCCTGATTCCCGACGAAAAGGACGAGCACCGTCCACAATATATGGTCAAGTAAATGCCCGTCTGGCAAAGACTATCGCTCTCTTGCACAGAGAAACTGCACGGCCCACAGGGCGTCTCTACTTGGTTTTTATTGACATACAAAATTCCACACAATTACGGGAGAAAAGCCCGGCCATGTGCACGGCTATACATCTGCACAATGATCTCCTACTTTACCATCTTATAAATTGCAGTAGTTATCTCGTCAAGGCTAAAGGTGACGCATTTATGTGCACCTTTCCAATCACTCTAGCCGTGGTGTGGTGGAGCCTGACAGCTCAAATTTTGCTTCTTCATGCATCATAGCCTGCGGAGATACGATGCGCATGGAACACTTTTTGCACGTGGTGATCCACTCTGGATCCCCGCTATGCGAGACGAATCCTATCGCTGGTCACATGGGTTATTTAGGACCTGTGGTCAATCGAGCCGCCCGTATCTGTGGGAGTGCGACGGGCCGCCAGGACTTGGTTCCAAAGTTACCAGCTGATCTTGACGTCAATAGCGCCGCAGAATCTGCCGACGACAAAACCCCATCCGATATGAGCATCAATTCATCTTCTCTGCTTTGTGCATTCATACCTATTAATGCCTGTACATTCCCATAGCGCTTTGACAATCATGTTTGCCTGCTTCCGTCAGGAATATTCGAACGGTGTCAGCTGGTCGGTGGTTTGGACCCTCCTGAGTTGGTTGCTGGCGATAGAAGAGAGTAGGGACATCTTCTCTCTTTGTAGTGAGTCCAGGTGGCATCAACATCATATAATTCAAAACTACTCAAGTCCAAGCAGTAAGCTACTGCAACATTATGCACAATAGGCATTATAACACGGTTCCGGCAGCTTGTTTCTCCCAATATGCCCTCCGGAGAACGACTAGGTCAAGCTTCCACCCATAAACACCCAACTTGCCAAGAGGCTTTTCCAACGCAAACCCGGCGTCGCGGATGCACTTTTGAGAATAAGCTATCAGGGAAGTCGTGGTCGCCTTGATCTCTTTGACTGCGCTATCCGCTTTGAATGCATGTTGTACAGCGTGTGCGAGCAAGTCCTCTTGAATTCCTGCTTTTCTATACGGCTCGTCGATGTAGAAGTGACGGATTGTAGCGACGGATGATGTTCCTTGAGACTTCTTCGCAGGCAGCGAAGAAGATAACTTTTTCTTATCCATCAGCGTATCTTGCGACTGAGAGTCCTTGGACGCGTCGATAGCTATGAGACCAACAAACTTTCCGGAATATTCAAGGATGAAAAAGCCTGAGGAGGGAGACCGCTGATAATGTTTTGCAATGTCCGCAACATCTGGTCTTCGCAACAAATCCATGGACGCATCTTCGAATTGCGGGCGATTGAACCTATCAAGTTGAATTACTGAGCGGTTATTTCTGCACTGGGTGAACATCGACATACCAATCTATGAGGTACAGCATAACAGCTCCCCAACATCCAAAGGCTGGAAGAGGTGGTAAATACCCAAGTAGCCCATACTCTGGTTTAGGCCACCAGTCGAGCAGTTGGATCATAATGCATGATAAGGCCACCCAAGCACTCAGCGTGAATGGGTGGAAACAGGCTATGAGATGATTTGATCAACATCGCGGGGAAGCCGTTACTAAAGGATGACACGCACCACTTTGATTAGCGACTGCGAGACCCTCCATTGAAGCCTTCCCGATGCTGAACTTGACCAGTTTGTCATCGGAAGGCTCATACAACCTAATACGTGCATCAGCTTCTACCATGACTGCAGGCTGCTTATCGTGCAAATAAATGGGGTGAGAGGATGAAGCGGCGTCAGGCTCACGATTTGAAGCGACTTCTCATCGATGATCGCACGTTCGTCTGCCACTCCAGGCACAATACATCTGAGAGATGGCCTAGTTTACGTTCACGTTTGAAACTTTCTTCAGCCATTAGCGTGCGCTCTCATTGGTGGAGAAGTACTTAGGCGACGCTAGGCGCTCGGCTACATACACAGGCTTCTGTTGAAAACTTGTTTTGACCGGTTCGACTTTTTTAGATGTACGATTCACAACGGTTGATGGGCCCATAGAATTCGAAAGTCTTACACCTCCCTTTGATGTGTAGGCTGAAGAGGATGAAGTTCAATGCAAACAGGATGAGGACTGAGACGCTGAAGAATTGTCTTCAAAGACTTCAAACCCGCCCTTATCTAGTCTCCCCTAGCCAGCCGAAGGAAGACCTTCTGATAGCTCTTATTAGACTTGCTTCACACACCAGATCGATCATGGGTTGAATAGTTTTCCCAGCCTGCCTGAAGATATAAACCACCACCGAGTTGCAGAACAACTTCCAAGTTCCTACAACCATGCTCATCACCAAAACATTCCACGACGTACCCAGCAAACTCGATAACGGACGTCCAATCCGTATCTTTGTGGTTGCTCCTGTTGTCCCAAACTATCCCCAAGCAAAGTTTCCCGGTAAGTTGCATACTATGATCGCTCATATTGTGCAACTGATCCAGTGCTTGCGAACGACAACAGGCGTTGTATGCTTCAGGTGTGCATGAGTCCGGGCGCGGCGAACTCACGCATGATTGTTCACATCTGTTAGTGAAATCTATCAAGTGACTGGGCCAGTGGAAAGGTTTGCTGGTAAGATCGCGAGTCAGGGATATGTGGTCGCTTGCCCTTCGAGCTACCACGAGTTTCAGGGACCAGAGGCAATTCCGTATGACAACGAAGGTCCGCCTCGTTCACGTCGTCATCTTGCTATTCGTTACTTATTACAGTCAATATCAGGGACTGATAGGGGGAATAAATATAAGGCAAACTTCTTTATATCACGACGGTCTGCATTCTCACCTACTCCCGTGTCAGATCGAGAAAGAAATAGCCGCGTACAACGAGGTCAGCCGCCTGGTGCTGATATCGATAGACTTCTAAACATCAAGCGTGATCTAGGATGCTACGCTCTCCATAGACCTTCTAGTTTCATTACCAAACTGCAACGGTCGCATTGCAGGTATGTCGACGATCCTTGCATCAACCTACCTGATTAACAATGTTACTCAGCGACAGGGATGTGCTTGGGAGGACACTTGGTGCGTCTGTCAGCTACTGCTCTTGCGTGCAGTGATCCTTCAACACGTAGACCATAGGCATTTCGGGTGAGTAACAGAGCGACGTCACTGCCAGTAATTTTCGCTGACCCTCGTGAAGGCTGCTTTCGATCCCCGTGTACTATCCACGGTGTGCTTCTTCGCGACCGATGTTCACAGTGCAACTCTCGGCAAAGGCAAGAACGATGACTCTCTTGCGCGTGTTTACAAGGGAGATATGACAGGCAAAGGTGAACTTGTGGTATGTTTATTTCCAAGTGCGGAGGACAGTAAGTGGCAGTGCTGAAGCTTTTTGTAGATGATCTTCGGGAAACAGGTGCGTGGAGCGTTAGGACAGGAGGTGTACTGATGCTTAGAGCCGGCAGGACACACATGTCCCTCGCGAAGGTCGTGATCTCATCCGCAAGACTCTTGAGGATGCCGATGTGACCTGCTCTGTAGGTTACATGATTTATCGTGCATTTCTAGAATGTTTACCACAAATGCAGTTTCTGGAAGTGCAGGCGCAGCACGCATTCATCAGAGATGAAACTTCGAAAGGTCGATGGGACGCTGCCCTCACGCGGTCCATGTTTATGTTCATGATGGAAGTATTTGAGAGAACCATCGGAAGAGATCTCGGGCCCAAAGTCGGGGAAAGAGAGGAAGTGGAGCATGTATGCTAGATCAGTGATAAACATCGTACGCAAGAAATATTCATTCCCAAAGCTTAAAGCGATGCAGAGTAGATGACGACGAAAAATATTGATACAATTAGGCCACGTCGTTCTTATTCGAGACAACACCTCCGCGACATTAGTAAACAGGCGAGCGAGGCCACTGGTCATGACCTTGCTGCCAGCTTCGTTAATCGTGCATACAAATGATGATAGTAAACACATTGATGGTATGAATACCGTATATGCGTGGCACCAGAGTCAGCAGAAAGCAGAAAGCCGGAAAGAAAGAATATGGATACGGCAGTTCTACATCTATTACTTCTTCTTGGTGGCCTTCTCCGCAGACTTCGTCACTGGAGAGTACTAGTTAGCAAGTGTGTCCGTCGAAAGATTAGCCTGGTGAACTTACCCTTGCCGCCAGACTTGTCAGTCTTGTCGACCGACTTGATGACACCGACAGCAACAGTCTGCCTCATGTCACGGACGGCAAAACGACCAAGAGGTGGGTATTCGTTATAGGACTCGACACACATGGGCTTGGAGGGAACAAGCTTGACAATGCAAGCATCACCAGACTTGACGAACTTGGGCGCCTGCTCAAGGGACTTTCCACTCCGACGGTCGATCTTCTCGATCAACTCAGCGAACTTGCAAGCAATGTGGGCGGTGTGACAGTCAAGCACTGGAGCGTAACCAGCACCGATCTGACCGGGGTGGTTGAGGACAATGACCTGAGCGTTGAAGGAAGCAGCTTCCTTAGCGGGGTCGTTCTTAGAGTCGGAAGCAACGTTGCCACGACGAATATCCTTGACCGAAACGTTCCTGAAGACTTATTAGCATAAAAATAGAATAAAAATAATAAATGCGCACTTGACGTTGAAACCGACGTTGTCTCCGGGAAGACCCTCAACAAGTTGCTCGTGGTGCATTTCAACGGACTTGACTTCAGTAGTCACGTTCGAAGGAGCGAAGGTAACAACCATGCCGGCCTTGATAACACCAGTCTCGACACGACCGACGGGCACAGTACCGATACCACCGATCTTGTAGACATCCTGAAGGGGAAGACGAAGAGGCTTGTCGGAAGGACGGACAGGAGGTTCGATAGCATCAATGGCATCGAGGAGGGTCTTGCCCTTGACAACACCAGCCTTGGTCTCCTTGGTCCAGCCCTTGAACCATGGCATGCTGTGCAAGACGTAAGCAGGGATCGATCACAGGAACACAAATGAAACTGACTTGGGGGACTCCTCCAACATGTTGTCGCCGTGCCAGCCAGAGATGGGAACGAATGCAACGGCCTTGGGGTTGTAGCCGACCTTCTTAATGAAGGTAGAGGTTTCCTTGATAATTTCGTTGAAACGGTCCTCGCTCCACTGAATTCGAGTGTTAGTGCATAAATTGTTCGAACTACGTCAGTGCCTCTGACCTTAGTGGTGTCCATCTTGTTGACGGCAACGATGAGCTGACGGACACCGAGAGTGAACGCCAAGAGGGCGTGCTCACGGGTCTGACCGTCCTTGGAGATACCAGCCTCGAACTCACCAGTACCACCGGCAATGATGAGGACAGCGCAGTCAGCCTGGGAGGTACCGGTAATCATGTTCTTGATGAAATCACGGTGTCCTGGGGCGTCAATGACCTGATCAAATGCTTCAGTGAATGTCACTCGGAGAGCCATCAGATACCTACGGTAACCATGTATTTGGGGGTCTCGAATTTCCAGAGAGCGATATCGATCGTGATACCACGCTCACGCTCAGCCTTTAGCTTGTCGAGCACCCATGCTAAAGATCGTTATCAGTTACGTTACTCAGATGTAGATTATCAAGTTTGCTCACCATATTTGAAGGAACCCTTGCCGAGCTCAGCAGCTTCCTTTTCGAACTTTTCGATGGTACGCTTGTCGATACCACCGCACTTGTAGATCAAGTGACCGGTGGTGGTTGATTTACCGGAATCGACGTGACCGATGACTGCGATTGATTAGATCAGTGAGTCAGTTGTAGATATGATGAGATACACACCGACAACGTTAACGTGAATCTTTTCCTTTCCCATTTTGAAGGATTTCTGTTCGATGGGGCGATCGTTAGTAGATGATCCTTCAAACATATAGATCGGTAATAATCATTGAAATCGGAGACCAGATGGTGGAAGGTCGCAGAATGGCAGTGCACGATGATGATAAGAACATCGGTGCGTGCAACGCGCAAGTAACCAGGATCTTTTGGAAGATCGGTAAAGAAAAAGGACTCACTTAAGTGTACAGAAAGAGAAAAAAAACAGAGAGGAAGGGGATGTGGTGGTATGAAAGAAAGAGAGAGCCTGTTGATTCCGCTGATAGTTATACCTTCCCAAAGGAAAATTTTTATCGATCTGATGATTTGATATGCCGCCGTGACTCCGCTCGGCACCGGCCGCATGGCGCCGGACTGGCCGAGTCATGTCGCACTGCTGCTGACTCCTTGGTGAACAAGGCAGATCCACATCTGATCAATTTGATACCTTCGCAGATATGACTGGATGTAGTGGATTAATCACTGAGGCTACGATGTGCTACATCCTATCGATGACAATGTGCGCTAGCTAGTTGAAACAGATTAGTGTGTGGCTACCTCATGGCAGATCGATGCTGATGGATTGTGATAAAAAGAAATGACGTAAAAGGAGAGATTTCGGAGAGCAAAGATAGATCAAGGTCAACAGGCCAATCAATTATGAGAATCCGAACAGATCATCATGAGGATCAGTAAGTGTCTGACAAAACGATTGCCTCATTACCTTCGATCAAGTGACACGCGCTGGAAATGCGCTCGGTTGTGGAGATATGTGCTGATGATTGCCAATGGGCAGCTCCATCCCCCAACCCTTTCCCCCTTTCAGAAATCGGCACTGGAGAATGCTCTCAAACGTAGGTCTCGCACCCACGTCTACTTGCAAGCAAGCCCTGACAAGGGCTGCAGCATCTCCTGCTGCTCCACCACCATCATCCTCTTCTCCTTCTTTCTCCTTATCATCACCGCACCGCTCATCCAGCGCAATAGACGCGTTGGCGAACGGTGAGGTCAACCCCTCTTGTGCTTCAGCTGCCGTAACGAAGGGGCATTCTCCTACAAGAAGGACGTACGCCACAATGCCAAACGCCCATACATCTTGCTCCTTCCCGTAATACCGCTCCCCGCGAAGTATTTCAGGGCCCGCATAGTCCAATCTTGATCAGGTAAGCGAATGCACTGAAAAGAAGGCGCCTAGGAAAACTTACGTCCCACTGAATGTATCCCATCCATTCTTCTTCACGAGTCCCGAACTTCCGAAGTCTATCAAGATGCATTTACCAACTGGCCCAAGGACAACATTCTCGTCCTTTATGTCTCGATGAACTGATAATAAATTAGCATATCATCCAGATATTCTGGAGACGAACTACCGACCTATCCCATGAGAGTGCAGGAAACATAGAGCATCTGCAAGCTGTCCAAGATAGCTGCGAACGTCAAAGGGCGGAAGACCTTGAGGATAGGCCTCGACAAGGTCAAATAGATCTGTTGGAGGAGGCGACTCGTCCAATTTCTGTTCAGGCGTGGAAGACGGTAGGACAAGATAATAATAGTGGTTGTCTTCGAAGAAATCCAGCAGAGGGCAGATATTTGGATGTCCTTTAACTTCTTTTCCCTCTTCCCACCTTCCATCGCGATGTACACAAGCGCAATCAGGCTGCGAGCATTCTGTTTCCCCATCGATTCGAGTTGAAGGCCGATGCCGTGACGGATCCCATGGCCGTATCGCGGGCAGGGTGTACGACGTCGATGATATTACAGACATAACGAATATTTCTATGGGTATCGTGCCAAACCGTGGATGTCGTTTCCAACAGTCAGCAAGGATGCGAGACTTGATTATTTGTTTCAAGACTAATGGTGGCTTGTCCCGTTATCAGCCACATGAATCAAAATGGAAATCTGGTGGATAAAATCTCACCCCAAGAGATCCATCTGTTTTGTATTCGCGTACTCTTTTGACGAGGCCGTATGCCCCTCGGCCGATCTCACCCTCGATGAAAAAGTCTGATATAGTCCTGACATCGGGTAATGAGGCGGCTTCACGAGCGGGAGTCGGAGGACCAGTACTCGCAACGGAGCGCAAAAGACTTCCGGTGCTTTCTGATCGATGGAGAATTTGGGGCATCATAGGAGGCGGTGAAGGCGGCTCTATTGGCGCTATCAAAACGCGTCCTGCGATGAGTGAGACACGCTGCTGTGAAGACCTCCTTCGGGGTCGTGGTAGGGTAGGAGAACGGGGAAGTGGCGGACGATGAGCTTCAGATACGTTCGGCTGAAGAGGAGTTGCTGAATGTAAAGACAAGCGCGACAGTGAACGAGACGGATAGTCCGAGATCGGAGAGTCCGTTAGGTTGGGAGTAGATGCAGATGGAGATATCGTCACGGGTCCATGGCCGAGAGAAGAAAATTGGGCTTCAGAAAGTAGTCGGACAGAAACTGGGGAAACCAATAGAGATGGTCGGGTAGCCATTGCGGGCTTATTAGAGTCTTCGCGCTTTGGAAGATCCTGTGAAATATTTGGTGGCTTCTTCTCTAATGGACATTGAGGTTGTGATATGACATCGACTTTGTCATCATCTTTCACAGACCAATCAAAGCCGCGACCTATCGAGGTGACCCCCCAACTATTTCCGATACTTGTTGACCTGTACAGCAAAGGGGGGGCTGGGGATAGCCAATCATCTTCGTCGAAGACAAGATCGACAGCGGCTGCAGCGAGCATGAATTTATGCAAGGGAGCCAGAGCGAATCCTTCCAAGACACGAGTGCGCAAGGATGAGAAACGAAGTGAGTTCCCCAAAATCACTTGATCAAGTTACTTTATGTATAGCGCGGGGTGGCAGTCATCCACTAAAACACTGCCGATAATGTCTCACGCTTACAGTTATAGCCACTTCTCCGGCCCCGTACGCGTGTACCGTCCCCATGGTCCACATTGTCATACAATCACCTTGCCTCAGTGACCCGTGGCAGTACGTAGGCAGGTTGAACAACATTCGTAAACAGGTATGTACTTGATGAATACGAGACGGATCCAAACTGCCAAACGAGTCCATGGGATGACAATCTGCCAGCAACTTATAATACGAAAGCGGCGTGGTGGCTACTTGCGCACTGAATGCACACTCCACCCATGACGACCTCAGACTTCCGCTTCTGCAGTATATTCATTAACCATCAGTAAATGAGACTCATCGCGGTAGTGCCACGTCTCAATGTAGGTGTTGGTTGCTGTGACTTGGAGCTGATTTCCTGCATTGCGACGCACAGAATTCATTGCATATCTCCTAGCGCCGCAGCGCCCTCAGGGCCGCAGTCTTGTACAAGTTCAAGTTGTTTGCCTGCACGAATTTGAAGAATGGAATGGCAGCGTTAAAGGTGCTTGACATGAGAGTAGTGACTCATTGCCGGTGCCAGAGATATTCGCATATGAGGATTTATTCTGAGACGGTTTCTTCATTTCTCCTCGTTATTCTCGTTTTAAGACACCCCAAAAACTCATTCTCACACTTTAGCAAATCAACAAGCCGCTGGTGCACATGGACGCTCGCCAGTATCAAGTGATTTTTTCAACGATGGAACGTTTGTGGCGGGGCTAAGAGGACCCTCGGGCTCTTGAATACGTGAGAAGAACATAGCTGTACTAGACGCAAGGGAAAGATCCGACCTTTCACAGACAACGACCCTCTGGATCTGGCTGAAAAGTTGCAGCCAGTTTGTTTCATGTGACCCGCCAATGCATTCTATAGTTGCATCCGCGGGGAACTGTCATCATAGCGAAGGAACGCATTCCTTCTATTGGGTCTGTCTATTGGGAGACTAGGAGAACGTGTGATTCGGTTGAAGCTAGGCGTCTTTTATAGTCGACAGTGATGGTGAAAAACATCTCTGCTTCAGAGAAATGGCAGAGAGCAAGAAAAGTGCATGACTAAGTTGTGAACGTTTGAACAAGCAATTACTAGTTACTGCGCACATACATTTGAGCACAGCCACCGCTCGTTGTTTGGTTCTATTTGGAGCCAATACTGCCAGTGAGTAGAATCTAGTGGACGAGTAAGCCGTCGTTCCTAAAATCCAAAACTCGCGGGTGAGTCTCTTTATGCCGGTATCGAACAGGTCCACAGCACAGTCCAATGTCGATAATACTCGGTTCTGAAGAATTTGAGCCAATACAACCCGATGGATGGTTGGATTCGTACTTGGATGTGTTGATGTGGTTGCCCCATATAAATTCTTCACACCTACATCTGCTGAACTTCAACCGCTAACCGCTCCTTCCAGACCGCAATGGCCATCAAGATCCCCATCGTCAAGAAGCGCACCAAGCATTTCAAGTGCGTACGAAGCATCAGCACCTCTGTTCATAAGCCAGAACTCATTTTCTCGAACACAGGCGCCACCAGTCCGATCGTTACCACAGCGTCAAGGAGGCATGGCGGAAACCAAAGGGTATTGACAACAGAGTGAGGCGTCGGTTCAAGGGGCAGATTGCCATGCCCAAGATTGGTTACGGGAGCAACAAGAAGGTATGAGAGGCTTCTTCGCTGCTTGATGAATATACTTATGTTTCTGGTTAGACCCGTCACCTTCTCCCCAACGGCCTCAAGAAATTCCTCGTCAGCAACGTCAAGGAAGTCGACCTCCTCCTCATGCACAACAAAAGCTATGCTGCTGAGATCGCACACAATGTCAGCAGCCGCAACCGTAATATCATTCTTGAGCGGTGAGTCTTGACTACTTTGCGGTCTTGTGTGCTTTGAGATTCTGATGCCTTTTGGTTTTAGAGCAAAGGCTCTTGGAGTGAAGGTGACGAACTCTGCAGCACGGCTGCGGTCGGAAGAGTGATTTGTTGTTGTCGTTTGTCTCATTCACGCCATTCACATGTATCCATTTCTTATGCTGGAGATAATCGACATGCAAGCATGCTTCAGGCTGAATGTTGTATCGGCTCATCTTTTATGCTGGTGATATCTCTGTAAGATCGCGATCGGTCACTTGAGGATATTGGGCTATTCCTGTTATCTGGACGTGTTGATTTCATCTTCCTTTCTCTCCTTTTGTTGCGCGTCAGGTTGATAAACTGAGATTGCCTAATGTGGCACGCGTTCACATCGCTCATTGATCGAAGCACTCCTTCATCTCCACCTGAACCACCCAACATGTCCCTCAAATCCAGGCATGACACAATATCTACGCTTGCTGTGTACGCTCATAGCTAACCAAACACGTCCAACAGACCAGCTGTATTTGCTGCCAAGTCGTGGTATTCAGCAGACGGTTCGTTGCTCCGTCCACTAGATCATCTAAGCACTACATATCTTCTCTCAAATAACAGGGGACACTCTCGATACCGAGCTCTCGAACTGGTTGGCTGGCGTTAAACCTACCGATGAGGACGACTTTGCACCACCCGTTACAGGGTGCAAAGCGATTATCGCTCCGTAAGTTCTCATTACCGTCTCCTCTATACTCCTGAGGTAGATCCGGTGAACCACTAGCCACGCTGGGTACTTCTACTCTGGCCGTGCAGCTGCTTGGGCGTACAAGAGCATATCAACTGCTGGAATGTGAGTGCCTTTATCCCCAATCAATATCTTTGATGAGATGCTCTGCCATCAGCTCCCGAGTGTTCATTCTAGGCCCATCGCACGCTTTCCATCTCGGTGGATGTGCGCTATCGAAATGCGAGACCTATGAGACGCCGCTGGGCAGTCTCAAATTAGACAGAGAAGGTACATCCTGTCCCATAAACCAACTACCTTACGGATCTAACCCCACGAAACAGTCATCCAAGAACTCTATGACACCAAACAATTCGAATACCTCCAACCACGCAGGGACCAAGGCGAGCACAGTATCGAGATGCACCTGCCCTACGTATACAAAATCTTCGAGGGGTAAGCCACGCCCCATCTATACCCTCCCCTCGTCCGTTTCGAGTCAGGTTCGCAGGTGCATCGATAATATCAAGATCGTGCCGATCATGGTCGGGGCTATCGATCGGGAGCAGGAAGAAGAGTATGGAAAGATTTTGGCGCCGTATCTTGAGAGGGAGGATACGATCTTTGTGATTTCTTCTGATTTTTGCCATTGGTGTGTTTTGGTTGATTGATGTATGGCGTGTTTGGTTGATGGCTGATGGCTGATGCGTGTATAGGGGCCACTCGAACTATGGATACACTTTTTATTATCCCGAGACGATCCCTAGCGATGTGCCGGGGGTTAATTTACGCCGTAGCGGTCCTCGCCCCTCTCCCTCTCGGCCCATCCACGCGTCTATTTCAGATCTCGACCACGAAGCGATGAACATCCTTGCTCAATCTCCCGCGTCCAGCGCTCATGCCAACTTTGTCGCGTACCTAGAGCGCACGCATAATACGATTTGTGGACGACATCCGATCGGGGTGTTGATGGGTGCGTTGGGTGCACTGGAGGAGAAAGGCAAGCAGGCGAAAATGAAATGGGTGCGCTATGAGCAGAGCAGTCAGTGTGTGTCGTTTGATGATTGGAGCGTGAGTTATGCAAGTGCGTATGTCACTTTTTAGAGGGATGAAATAACAGGCAATGTATAACACACGGCGAACAACAAGCAATCTTTGACTACATGCACGGCTAGCTCTGTCCTAGCGCTGGGTTCAGACTGCGGAACCATGGTCTACATGGCGGCAAGAAAACACAGGCAGACACGACGCGCTAGTATGAGTCGCTCTCAGCCCTGAGGAAGTTCTCCTAGACGGCCACACGCGTCTGCGAGACTAGAATGGGGCATGAGGTTGTATGACTGAGTGGGGGGGTTTTATACCTCATCGGCAAATTTCGGGTGGAGATTGATTAGAGCGGAATTTTTTATTGGATGATGTCGACGTGTGCAGGTCCAAGATTCTGAATAATCTCACTGTCGCGGGGAATTTCCAATCACACCCAGCTTTCATGTATGCATCATGGCATCATTCAAATACTGACATGAACCTCGTGAAACAGAGAGAAGAAAGAGAGAAAGAACAAAAACAGACGTAGTCAAAACACGAAAAATGATATGTATACGGAGCGGGTGTATCAGCATCTGCGTCAGTCAGTACAATTAAATCAAGCCATCGAGACATTCTGCATCTTCGAAACCCATTATGTTTCCTACGACAGTGAGGGGAACTGCGGTTTCGTCGTCCACGTTGACAGGCAGCTGCACGTGTAGGGAAACCGTTCGCGCCGCCGCGACCGCGTCCGCTGCCACGACCACGACCCCCCCTATCTCCACGACTCCCCCGGTCGCCACCCCTGTCTCCACCACGCCCGCCGCGACCACCACGGTTTGGGCGTTCGAAGCGAGCTTCGATTTCGATAAAGACCTTTTCGTCCTTCTTGGTGCGGGCCTTGGGGGCGGATTTGGTCTGGAGATGGGTGAGATGAGGATTGAGAGGGAGAAGAAAGAAACTGACCTTTGCAGCGAAATACTCCAAATCCTCCTTCTTCGTAATTGGGGCAGCGCCCTTGAAGACATCATCATCGACACCATCGTTGGGCTTTCTGACTTCCAACTTGGGGACAAGTGCGTTTTCCTTTTCACGCTGCTGTGCGAGGTACTGGTCGAGGGTGAGGGTGTCATCTTCCTCTTCCTCCCTGTCACCGCGCCTTTCACGCCTTTCACCTGAAGGCTTTTCAGCGCCTTCCGCTGCTGCGGGAGCAGCCCAGCCATCTGCAGGGGCGTCACCTGCAGGGGCAGCCCAGTCAGTCTGCAGGAGCGTCAGCTGCGGGGGCAGCCCACTCATTTAGAGCGCCAGTAGCGTCAGCAGCTGCGTCGATTGTGGCAGCTTCCTCGGTTTTGCGCTCTGTTTCTCCATCGTCGCCACCCCAGCCGTTGTGGAGTTTTTTGTCAGAGTCGCTATGTGAAAGGGATGAGGGGGATGAAGTAGATGGGAGGGGGGGGGACTTACGTCTTTCCGGTGGCACTGTGCCTGTCGAATGGACGACCACGGCCACCACGATCACCACCACGATCGCCACCGCGACCGCGGCCTCTGCCACGGCCATCACCACGGCCTTCCCTGCGCTCACCGTCGACTGATACATATGAGCGATATGGATAGTAAACAAGAGATGAGACTCACATCGCCTTTGCTTTGGCTCTGGGGCAGGTGGCTGGTCATCAGTTGGAGGGGTAGCGGGTGCAGGAGCAGCGCCACGTTGGTAGTAGCGACCACCACGAGAGGCAGGGCCTCCACGTCCACGAGTTCCACGGGTCTTGTTGTGATTGGGCGGGGGGAGGAGCCTTATCAGCAGGAGGAGGAGGTGTAGATGGCCGGGATGGGGTCTCTATTAGGTGGGTATGGGAAAAAGATGAAGATGAAGTTGAGGAGTTTGAGATATAGTTATGATAACATACCGTCCAAGAGTGCAAAGGGGTTTCTTGTGGCCACCGACATAGTTTGACGGGGCCGTTTTGAGGATCAGTCAGACGTGACTTTTTTTGTTGTTGTTGTTGTTGGGGGGTCCTAATAGATTGGACTTGGCGAGTAGTAGTAGATGATTGGATGTGAAGACCCCGTAAAAGTGAATTGGGGTCTTCGTAAGCCACAAAGAAGCGGCTATACAGTTGATAACACGTGGTAAGTATAAAAACCCTTGACCTCTTTGTTTTAAAAGATTAACGCTTATAACCACAGGTCAGTTCGTTTCGTCGTCGTCGTTTGATACATCGATATTAATGATTTTTATAGCCTTGAAAAGCATCTCGACGAGTACTGCCCGCCTTTAATTTGGATGGTGTAGAACGAGGACCTTGAGACCGTCAATAATGGGCTGAAGATTGAAAGAAATATAGTGATGGGACTTGGGTGCGCTGCGTTCGTAGTGGTGACTGTTCGTGGTCGCTGTTTGGACGATATCGCAATGTCTCGTTGTACAATTAAAATATCAATGATTCTTTTGATCCGAGACTATATTATACCCCGGGTGAACTAAGATAACGCCTCTCACGACAAGACTACAATGTCAAGAAGAATGGATATTTCATCATTGCTCTGCGACGACAACAACAACGACGACGACGATGACAACGACGACCAGCTCGGTCCAAGTTCACCTGTTATACTAGCACCACATCTTCGTGGCAAACACGCACAGAGCATGCATATTCAACCACGCGACATTTCTCCAACTCTTCCCCCAATGCCACCAAGAACTATCGATGCTCTATTACACCATCCTACTACTAGACCTAATTCTTCTTCTTCAGTAAACGCTCTACTCAATCCTCGTCCAGAACACCGAGTTCGTTCATCTTCTACATCTTCTCCTCTAGTGCGTATCTTTGAACTTGTTGTGTCTCTAACTCTTATCCTATACAGGCTGCACCATATCCACCTTCATACATGTCTCATCCACGCACGGGCCTTGACGCACTAGTCCATGCTGCATCTGAAGAACGTAGGCGCATTAGTGCAGGTTCCTCTGCCAGCGAATCAAGTAGCCCAGTTAACATTGTCCACCCTCCTTCCCGCGCTTATCCATACGCATACAAAGATGACTCACCTCGTCCACACAAGAGAATCCGCGACTCACGCTCTCCATCACCACACCACCCAACTCTCTCTTCCATCCGTTCAGCCCCAAGCCCAACTGCTAGCGCTCTCAGCTCTAGTCTCACAGGCCCCGGAATGCCCCATCTAGCATCTCCCCTGAATATACCCTTGTCAGGTCCCGGAATAACGCCCCCGCATTATCAGCCTGCACCCGTACATCGATCTCCAATTCTGCCACCCCCCGCCCGACATTCCCCTGTCGTCCCTACACGAATGTCCCCTATCGTATACGCTGCAATGCGTTCTGACGTCCCCCGTCTAGCCAGAGCAGTATGGGATGAAGAAGAGGTCGATGATGTGAGAAGGCGTGACGATGTCCGTACAGTCCTCAGGCATGATGAGCCACGGATAAGGGAAGAGTATCGCCAGCATGATCCTGTACTAGATCACCGCGAGGACCGCCACAGGCAAGAACTCGAGATCCGCCAACGACAAGAACACGACCTCCGCCAGCGTCCGGAAAACGAGATCCGTCAGCGCCACCCTACAGAACTCGCCATGCTTAGACAGCGTGAAGAGATCCTTCGACAACAAGAACTTGAGCGCTGGCAAGGAGAGGATATTCTCCGCGCACAAGAAGAAGCTGGTGCAAAGAAAGTAGAAGAGATGCGCGGCCGACGAGAATCATCGCATCACTCTCCTCGCGATGAACCCCAGCGCCAGAAACGGGAGAGATCCTTACATCTCCAGTCATCCTCACATCGTCCCAAACGTGATTCTTCCATGCACCGCACCCGTGATCCCCTCCACCCAGACGACATGAACCCTCAATACCTCGAACAGCTGATGAGACAACGTGACCAGGAATTGTTGCGCCAGCAAGAGGCGAGGAGACAGGAGATTGAGCGTGAGTTGCAGCGCCAAGAGCTAGAGCGCTGGCAGGGCGAGGAGATCCTTCGACAACAAGAAGAGGCTGCTGCTCGACAGGCAGAGTTGCGCCAGGAACAGCGCCGTCGGGAAGAGATAGTGAAACTCGAGAGGGAGGCGGAGGCAAGGAGACGCGAAGAAGAAGAAACCCGGCTGAAGGCTGAACGCATTCGTGCAGAAGCCGAGCAGCGCCAGCAGGAAGAACTCATTCGCAAGCGGCAGGAAGAGGAAATTGAGAAGCGACGCCGTCAAGAAAAGCTCGAGAAACGGAGAGCGGAAGAAGAACTTGAGCACAGACGACAGGAAGAAGAGGCTGAGCGTCGACGACAAGAAGAGGAGGTTGAACGCCGAAGACAGGAAGAAGAAGCCGAATGCCGACGTCGGGAGGAAGATCGACGTCGTGCTGCAGAAGCAGAGCGTCAGCGTGCCGAGACTGAGCTACGCCAACGCGCAGAAGCAGAGCGTGCTGAACTTGAGCACCGTCAACGGGTCGAACGCGAACGGCGCCGCCTCGAAGAAGAGCGGAAACGCCAAGAAGATATCGAGCGCATGCAGCGCGAGGTCATGCTCTACCAGCAGCGAGAGGAGGCGGTGCTCAAGCAGCGAGAAGAGGCACGCAAACTTCTGGAGGAAGATCGCGCGCGCAAACTGCGTGAACAGGCTGAGAGGAAAGAGCGGGAGGACCTCGAGCGCAAACGTCTCGAGGAGCTCGAACGGCAGGCGCAGCGAGAGGAAACTGAACGCAGGCAGAAAGAGGAGACCGAGCGCCAGCGTGCAGAGCTCGAACGCAAACAATTGGAGGAAGCTGAACGCCACCAGCGAGAAGCAGCCGAGCGATTGCGGCTGGACGAAGAGGCTGAACGTAAGCAACGGGAGGACCTCGAACGCAAGCACCGGGAGGAGCTTGAACTCCAACAACTCGCAGAGGAGCAGCGCCAACGGGAAGAGCAGCTACAACGAGAGGAACAGCGTCAACGGGAAGAACTCCAGTGGAAACAACGCGAGGAAGCCCTACGACGACAACAAGAAGAGCTTGCGCTTCAACAACAGCAAGAACTCGAACGGCGACAGCAGCTTGAGCAGATGCAACTGGACGAGCTCCAACAAGATGAGGACGTGGACATGGTTCCAGACAATGCTGAAGGCGAGGTCCACAATGACGAGCATCCCCACGATTCGCGGCAATCACCATCTCATGACGTCCCAACCCTACCTGCCTCTACATCCGGTTCCCCGGCTATCGAACGATCTCCCCCGGCAAGCGATGACAGCGCGGAGCGCAACTTGCCTCCAATGTATCGTGGCAAGGCAAAGGTACATTCTCCATCGCTCCCGCCTCCCTCACCAAGTAAGGTAGAGGAGCAGGAGATGCGCGTGCCTTCTCCCGTCCACGCCACTGCCCCCACTCCCGTGGAAGGTTCTGTATCTCCACCATCCCCTATACATCCATCTTCCACTCGCGTGTCTCCTGCTCGACCATCCCCCGCTTCCCAGTCTCCCCCACACAAGCCCGACCCCTCTTCTATGGATGTAGACGAGGAGCTCTTGAGTCTCATTGAAGATCGCCCATCATCACATCACAAAGCCTCACGTCCAAAACCCAAACCGTCGCCTTCTCCGTCACGCCCGTCACCTCCAGATGACGAGGTCATGCCTCCTCCCGCTGTCCCTGCAAAAAAGAAGGAGCCAGCAAAGGCCGGGAAGAAGAAAGGCGTGACAGCTCCCAAGGTGATGTTTTGTTTTGTTTTGCGGTTATCAGACAATTTATTGATTCGTGTCATAGCCCGCCCCGAAACCGAAACCACCACCGAAACCACGTACAAAACCTCCTCCAAAGACAAAAGCCAAGGATCCAACACCGAAAGATGTTCTCAAAAACAGTCTCTTTGCGAAGCATGCTGCCGCCTCACGGTCACGCTCTGCGTCTGTGATGCCTGTGGACGCAAAGGAAGAACCTGAAGACGAGGACAGTGACAGGGAGGACGATAAGCTGTACTGCGTGTGCAAAACACGATACGACGAAGATCGAGTCATGATCGCATGCGATCGGTGAGTATTCCTCATTTCTATCTTTCAAGAGTGGAGCTGATAGAGATGTGGTGTAGATGTGACGAGTGGTATCATACGCAGTGCGTCAGCATGCCCGATCTAGAGGTTGATCTTGTGGATCAATTTATCTGTCCGCCATGCATGCAAAGTGCGTCATCAGTGTCATGCAGGGATTCAACTTGTTTATTTCTTTGTTACAGGTAATGCTCACTTGCACCTTCAGACGACGTATAAGCGCCGCTGCTTTTTCGGGTTGAAGCATACAGACCCATTGTCGCCGAATGCATGCCACAAACCCTTCTCGAGGCGCTTTCTCCAAATACTGCTCCGACGAATGTGGCATCAAGTACATGCAGATGCGTATTTCGCAGTGGGAGCGCAGCGGTGGCAAACGTGACCTGCTTTGGGAAAGCGTCAAGAACGCGGAAAAGCGCGAGGGCGTCGTCGTGTGCGCGGACGTGACGATGGAGATCGACAGAAAGCCCTCCCCTGCGCCTGTATCCACACAGAAGCGCAAGGCGAACCGTGAAATTGCATGCCTGAATACGCGCCTCGAGAATGTGGTGAGGGAGCGCGAGACGATGAAGCATGAGATGGATATGGTATTGTGGAGGGAGAAGCTTGTGAAACTTGCGTCTGAGCGTGCGGACAGGGAGGATGAGTGCGGGTGGGATCAAAGGCTTTGTTTCGGTGAGGAGGAGTGGGATGATTTTGGTGCGGAGGTTTTGGAGAGCTATGAGGAGAAGGCGAAGGAGGAAGCGACGGACGATGCCATGCAGGTGGATGGTGTTACGACGAGTCATGGAGAGTGGTGGTGTACAGGGAAGAAAAAGTGTGAGCGGCATTCAGGGTGAGCATTGATGTTATGCATTTTGACTTCGCGGATCTGACTGTGACTCAGGTGGCAAAAATTACGCGCTGCCGAGGTTGCTTTCGATAAAGAAACGAAGGAAACAATCCTCTCGACCCTCACCACTCGTGAACGCGAAATAAGGAAAGGAATCGAAGATATATTATATCCACCGTCAACGAATGCCTCTCAGGCGCCGCCCAAGCCCTCGCTTGCAGATTCGCCACTTAATGGCTCTAGCAAGCCTCGGATTAACGGGGAGGCTGCGGAAAAGGGGAAAAAGAAGAAATCGTAATTCACGCTGCACTGTATTTCTATGACATTTTTTTGTTTGCTGTCAGTTTTTGACGTGCTCCTTTCGCTTTCTTGCAGTCCCTGACGATGTTTTCGTATTTTCTTGTAGCCCTGGCCTTTACTGAGTGATATCACATATATGCTAGACGGACTCAATAAACCAATACGCCCATAGGCGCTATGCATGAGGAATGAATAAACAGTACGATAGTCCATCAGTAGCCATCGCCCTCGCCACCCTCCTTGCAGAACCCTTTCTGCTCATATAAGACCTTTGATTTGAAATCTTCGCGCGCCTTCTTATGTGCGATATCCCTCTTATGATATGGGTCAAGGACGGAATAATCCACCTGTTGTAGTGGCACATCATCCTCCTGATCGAGATCCTGTGAGAGACATCAACGTGGATGCATCCGCTGCACGCGCTGAAATACGTACAATTTCGCCAAGCAACACAACGTTCTCTCCGCGTATGAGAAAGAGGCCGTGCCAGTGTTCTGCAAATGCTTTACCGTGGTATATTCGCTCGACTGTATCTTCGAGGACGAGGTTAGCTGAAAAACGAGCGGGTTTAAACGGATAGGGATGTCAGTAGACTATCCATCGCATGCTAACGAAAACGAACTCACCGAATTGATCATAAGACCGTAGTACACCGTGTAATTTTCGCCCGTCTCTGAGGACGACCAACATCTTTCCTGGGACGGGCGAAAGAGTGCATAATATTATCAACGGGGGGGTAAAGTGATTATGGAGGCTTCAGGTCGAATGGTGCCGTGCAGTTGACTGTGTAGACGTACTGTCCACGCAATCTACCAGTGATCCCGACGTCGTGAATGGGATTAGAGAATCCATAATGGAGGTAGCTAGAATGCTGCTCCCAGGCAGCGAATAAGTACGACAAGATGTAAGGAGAGACGAAAGGGACGAAACTAAGATTTGAAGTTACTTGATATCCTTGTTGTTGTTTCGGGGTGATGAGGTTCTGTTTATGAGCAGAATACAAGCTGATATGGCCGAGTCGTTAAGGCGAGTGATTTGAATACACATCATCACTTGGGCATTGCCCGCGTAGGTTCAAATCCTGCTGTCAGCGAATTTTTTCGATCTCGGTCGAGTTTCATTTTGCTCCGCTTGATCTTGTCGGCTATTAGTATCATGATCAACTTCTACTCAGCCCCACATTTTGTCAAGTATACCCGCTAGAGCATGATTGAGACGATCTACATCGCTAGACATGGTCAGTGCATTTCTTAATCATTATACCTTGTATTCACCGAGCCTAGGATTCAGATTGAACTGGATCGACACGAACTGGTAAGTGGATGAAGACGGTGACATCGCTATAATTTAATACGCTGCATACAGGACGAGTCCTACGGGTCTTCCGAGAGATCCTCCCTTGGCCGCTTTTGGGGAGGTAACATCGGACCGTTTGCAGGGAACGATCAATTCATGCATAATTCTTAGGTTCAAGCGCAGGAGCTGGGATCATACTTCCTAGCCCTTCCTGAAGAGAAGCGCCCCACCCTCATATTATCTTCCCCTTACTGTGAGCACCTCATAGTTAAAAAGTACTGCTAATACCGCCACCTTAGATCGGTGTCTGCAAACTTCCAAGCCGACATCCCAAGTTCTTGAAGTGCCTATCTATGTCGAACATGGTGGGCAAATTCGAGCAGCGATCATATTCATGAGATTATAGCCAGTGATGACAGGATTGTCTGAATGGTACTCCCCTGTCGCTCCTGGCACTGGCTTGCATCCTAGACCGTCGTCCGCTGCAGTCCTGAAAACCTATTTCTCAGAGATTGACCCCTCGTGGTCGTCGATCTGGTATCCTTCACGAAGAGGCGAGGACGTCGAAGCTTTGCATGAGCGCGCCAACGGCTTATTAGATCTGCTCATTATGGAGATAGAAAGGCGTTTCAGTGGCAAGCACAAAAACATTCTACTAGTCAGTCATGCTGCGACTGTCATCGTGCTATGCCGAGGCTTGCTAGCGCAGCCAGACCTTCCTTTGAGGGTTGGCTGCTGCTCAATCTCCGAGTTTTCTCGTAAATCTAGTGCATCGGGTGAATTGGGAGCTTGGGAGGTCAAGGCTTTGGCCTCAGGCAGCCACCTAAAGGAAGGTGCATCCAGGGACTGGGGCCTGGAGGATATTCAGATTGCGGGTGGCAAGGTAAGTGTTCGAGCGAGTGGAAATCTGAGCGATGCCCTGACGAAGCGAATTAGGTCGTGTCAGACAAAGGTGTTCCCGGGACGGAAGAAGAAGAAGATAATTGTGGACCGCAGATACATCGCAGCAGTCTGTGAAATGATATGGTTCTCAGAGTAATATCATTCCGGATATACGATGGCGTTCCCTTTGACAAGTTAGACCAGATAGAAGAATAGGTAGCGTCACGCAGTCGCATGTTCGAAAGATGGCTAGATTGGTGTCATCAACAATGTATTTTGTTCTCCTGCGAAAGCTCCCTCCACGACTAGTATTAACGCGTCGTACTGGACATGGTCCAGCAGTGTGAAATTATGCCCGACAAATCCCGAGCTGTTGAACGACGCTACGACGATGTCGGGCTCGATGTATTGCCGAAGTACTCCCATTGACCAGGCAATGGCTTCTCTTCTAGAGGCTCCCAACTAAAGAATCAAAGTCAAAAAGCGCAAAAAGCCATGTAAAAGTTCAGGACGCACGCCCTCCATTCAAGCATATTTTCGGCCAACTTCAGCTCATCTTTAGCAATATCCAACGACTCCTCTATTTGCCCCTCATCCAGCTGCTTCTCTACGCTCGCAATGTCCCCATTTGCGCCCTGCACAATGGTGAGTTTGTGTTTGGTGAGTGCCTCGACGCCTTGTCTGTAGACGGAGGTCGGTGGTATTGAAGCAAGGACGCTGAGCGTCGAATTATATGTGTTTGAGAGTTCTGGGAGCGGGTTTTGGTGGACGGCAAGGCCAACAATGCCAGTCGTCTTCTTAGTGACTGATTGCAGCAACGGACGTGTGATTCTGAACATGACGGTTGCTGGTTAGCAAGAGTGTTGATGCTGAATTCGGAGTACAAATCGAGAAGTCATCAAAAGTTACAAAACTCCTCCAACACCGTCATGGCTTCATTAGCTCTACACCAAACGCGCTCCTTTATTTCTGCGGTCAGGTCGTCATGGACGCACTTGCCAATTGCTGCCTCCCTAGCTTCTAACTTGGAGCTACGGCAAAAACCATTCAGTTGGACTCTGCCAGGCTTGCAGTCTCTACTTGAATTGCTCCCTCCCATCGTCCTCGCAGTTCCAAAGAGTAAAATTTCTCACTCGCGAAAGTCCATGCGCAGTGCAAACAAGGGACTCAAAGACAAGCGGAGTATGCCCTCAAAATTTTATATCCATTTCCTCCCCCCGACTCACGAACTGTGCTAAAGATATCGTCAACTGTCCAGCGTGCGGAGAGCCTAAGCTCGCACACCATGCTTGCAGATCATGCTATTCTTCAATAATGGCGCGTTTTAGACTGGAGGCTAAGAGATTGGCAACAGAGACGACGAAACGTGTAAGCGGAGGAAGCTGGTCGACGAGAAAGGCGCCGTTCATGATTGAAGGCCCTAAAGACTTGTGATCTCCATTGTATGTCCCTTGTTCCCGACCTTCATGTCCCCATCTTCTAATCCACTCGAACTCGTTGGACAGAATTTACGCGTTCTATACACTAGGAGCTGTCCGGGTGCTCTGAGCGTTAGCTGGACTCCATGTCGTGGTCCCAACGCTAGTTGGGTAGATGATATTCACTGTACTTACTCGAGGACAAGCTCGTAATCATCATATTCAAGCTGTTCGCTTTCTGCTTCCCTTAACCAGAGTTCCACCGCGTGGATTATACTTTTGCGATCATCTTTGACGGCGTCGGTTCACGATCCCCAAAGAAATAACCGGTCACTACTTCGGGTGATGTACTGCAGCCCAAGACAAGAGCGAAGGCAAAGTTCAGCTCAGTTTTCTTGTCAATAGCAGAAGTCGGCCGAAGGGTGTCGAATCTGGCCCTGCAGTATTCAATCCCCCGGGCGGGCACATTATGCACATTTGCTCTACGCTTAAAGAGAATAACTTTGATGACTTACTGAAGCAGCATACACCCATTCCCCCCTCCTGCAATCGATAGTAAGCAACGTGTATCTTCCTTGACTAAATTCTCCAGCAATATACTACTTGACATAGCCGCTCTTGTTTGAAAGAGCATGGGCAGAGTTAATGGCGTTGTCATCAGCAAATGGCAGAACCATTACCACCGTCAGCGCCCGCTCCTGGAGCTGGCATCGACGTACTCTATCCAACCGAGTCCGAAACGTCAAGTTAGCGTGGCTGGAGGTTGACGTTGTGCACTCGAGCGAGCCGAGTTAATTATGACCACTACGTCATCCTGTATTGTTGCGCTTTTAGCATTTACTGCTCTCCGTTTGTTGTCTCCTTCTCGTACGGTGCGCGTCGTCATTGCAGATCCAGTGCCGCTGCTCCTCGTCGTGCGTGTCGCTGAATTCTACCGCGTTCGAAAAAGACGGAATATATTGGATGGATGCGCGAGTTTGATAGAGTAGGCAAATCCGATCTAAACTGCCTTTCGAACTGCAACTCACTCTACATGTCCCCGTAATATATTTCGACTCCAATACAACAGGTTTATGTTATCATACAACATGCGAGCTCTGGATGTACCGGGAATGTCTGTAAAATTGCGCTGTGCCTAAATTCTTCCTTCGGGTACTATGATTTGGAAAAGTCAAGGGCGCAAGGCGAATTCAGTGCACGATCGTCCACCCCTGGAATCATTCTTCATCCTCTTCCTCCGACGAGACGTGTTCAGAATGTGGCATATAATCGCTCTCGCTTCCGTTGCCTTCTTTGGGACCCTCTCCACCCCAGCCAATGTCGCCACCAACAGCTGTTTCCCGATTTTCTGTCTCTTGTGCTGGCTGTACAACCCCGTAGCAGCCACATGGACCTCGAACATTTTCATCCGTCCCTTCCCCTGCATTCAGTATCATTCGCCTCCCCTGCTCACGGACCATGGAGAAGGACTTGATTAAATACCGGACAAGATTCCACCTTCCTGAGTATTTGTGGAAGTCTTGATCATGCCCATGAAAATCAGGGCTCCATGCCTCGATTGATTCTAGGTTGGGTGCGATGGCTGAGATGAAAGCAGCGATCCTTGTCGGATGGCTAATTTTTGAAGCACCAAAGAACACTTGAGATAGTGCATCGTGTGTAAATCCTTGGTAAGGAACGTTGGGGGAAATGTCATGTTTGTCTATAGTAGACCAGTCTACGGCAATGCCAACCGAGACTAAACATGGGCAATGCTGCAACAGCGAGACGAAGGCATTTGGGGTGACATTATGAAGACTTAAGATTGTTTTGTTGAAGTAAAACTCTTCCAGGAGTGGCCAGGCCTTAGCCATCTGCAGAAGGCCAGCATCATCCAAATGCGCAAAAACGGCCACGTCGAGGTCGAGCTTGCGAAGATTGCGCATGGCATAGAGCGGCTGAAAGGCTGCAGCTCCGATTGCATCACCATCACCATCAAAAGACCAATCCTCAATGTTGATTTGCACCTGTTGTAGTGAGGTGTGCGCACATGCTTTGGATAGGCAGGAAATCGAAGCTGGCAGGGCCCGTGTGGTATTCACTTGGCAAGTGATAGTAATGGATAGTACTCGTAGAGCAATAGAGAGTGTCTCGAGGAAAGTGTCTAATAGCTCCAAAGTGTCGCACTCGATGTCCAGTTGTCGCAATGCGTGGAATGCAGGACGCTGCAGGAGCTTTCGCGTATCCGCAGATATGGGCAATAGAGGTAAGCGGAATTTTAGATATTGGAGTGAGGGCAAATTGGACAGGTGTAGTATGGCTGCCTCGGAAAGTTCTCCAGTGCTCACCGATGATAGATGAGACCAGTATTGCAACGTGGTCGACATGTCTCCTGATTCAATGTTGAGATCAACACTGAAATTCGAAACAGAAGGGCACAGCATTGGGATAGATGACAAAATGGACTGTTCGGATAGACCAAAGATGATATCTTTGGAGATATCGAGTTTTCGTCAATTTTGGGGTTATAAACAATCGGATGCATGGAAATGTCTCGCTGGCAGCCTCACTCCAAATGAGAGACGTCAAGTTTGGGAGCAACGGGAAGGGAGAAGGGAGGACAGCTGAGGGTACGCCATATTCCGGTACCAACCGGAATCACCCCATCGACTGATGTGTTGAGTGAATGGACACGATGATTGTATTTGCAAAAAATACACCAGTCATCGAAAGTCATGGCTCTTTGAATTTCCTGGTGAATCGAGTGATATTTGATAAGTTCTCGAGTTGTGATCCAGAGTTTGACTTACCAGTTTTCCTTCCACAGGTTTCCACAGGCTTTGTGGGAGACATCTGATAAGTGGTGCAAGCCCACACAGGCCTTGCCACAAAAGGTCCAGTGCAGGTCCAGTGAATGGCTTGCACGTCAAAGCAAGCGCCAGCAGCGTCTTATTTCTCGAGAGGTCCGTGTCGTCGACGAGCTGGAAGATTTTCCACTGAAGGTCAGATATGATCATACAGCGAGTAGAAGCAGGCGATGACGTAGGGACATTACTGCCCCTCCGAGTCTGTCCGCTGTGGGCTCCTTGATGTGAGTTGGTGTTGCGTTGATCATCAACACTTCCTACAAAAAACTCAACCTCCATACTATTGCAGCAGCACAAGGACGGATGAAGGGTTGACCGGTCAGGCCTAGGATACCGTCGAATGAGCCACTCCGAGTCAGCCACGAGGCGAGTCGCGCATTTCGGAATTTCAAGCAAAGTTCACCAGGACGGCAACTCGTATGATATAATCTTTAGTTTCATAGTGCGAGATAGCAAATGTCGGACCGAACAGATTTGCTATCATTGCCAGTCTCTAGACATCTCTGACCCTAGAAGTTAGAACCTGAAGTGAGTCCACTTGGATAAGCACTCGCAAACAGACGGATTTGGCAACACATATGTAAATTTCAAGATTTGGATGGTGTACCTTGGGTATACGCTGTCCAGCAGGTCTGCAATGCAAATCGAATCAAAGGTCGTTCTGCCAAGAGAACTCCATGATCTCTCTTCTTTCATCGAAGAAAAGCCCGAATCTTTGGCAGTTGCCACTGCTGAGCTGCAAGCCATAGCTCTCCGTGCAACCAAATTCATATTCGACCTTGGTGAGCAGACCCAATTCAATATCCGTAGTATGTACACGGACCGTGCTGAGTAGTTTATAGCTTTGCAGTCGGAACCCACTTCTCTGCCTCATATCGAGGAACTTTTGTCTTCACTCAGACAGTCTCAAGCTCCCCAGACGAGATCACAAACTCGTGCTAATGCCAAACGGAAGAGGAGCCCAAGTCCTGCCCTGGAACCCCCGAAGAAGATCACGATAAAAGATACGCCACTACCCTCACTTTTCATCGAGGGTATGAATGAAGATCAAATTTGGCAGCAGCTGGATCTTAGAGCTGCACCTCTTTGCAATAATCTTCAGCTGTTAGAGGGAGAGACTGAAGACGACATAGAGTTGCCAGACGGGATGCACGATGATCCGGAAGATGAGGAAGGTGACGAGGGGTCAGAAGCAAGTGAGGATTCTGAGGGATTCGGATGGTTCGGATGAAGACACCGGTGGGGCAGAAGAAATGACTGACCTTCGCGAGGAAGTGTCTGAAGACGAGGAGGACGAATTAGATCCTCATCCGTCCCTTTTTGACGTCGTCAAGGCCAAACCCTCTTTAAAACGTACAGCCGCAAAGTCACGGAATTCGGACCTTGACGACAATTTCTTCAGTCTTGACGCATTCAACCGTGAAACGGAAGAGGCCGAAACAGCTGCTGTTTCCCGTGGCCGACTAGGACGAAATTCTGACGAAGATGAGTCCGATGACGAAGGTGACAGTATTGATCTCTTCAGGCCAGTAGATGATGTCCAGGACCTTGATGAGGATGCTTCGGAAGACGGCGCAGGTATGCAGTGTCGTATTTTTATTTTCACGCGTATCTCACATGACACACAGAGCCGTTCTATAGAGATTTCTTCGATGGTGTCAAAGGCTCCAGCTCGAAAGCTATCACGAATGCATCTTCTTCGAAGTCGAAAGTACGATTCAGTGAGCAGGTCCGAGTGAAAAGTATCAAGGCAAAAGGCAAGGGCCTGCCAGTGTCTGGCTTGATGGAGGACCTCGATCCTGATGACGAGAGTGGACTTCAGATGTACTACGAAGATCCAGACGAGTTCATGATGGAAGCCGAGGTCGAAGAGTCATCACCGGATGAGTATGAAGATGAAGATGAAGACGAAGATGAGCAAGGTCGCGCCTACCATTGAAAGACTGAAGGATGACTTATTCGCGGAGGAAGATGAACCAGATTCCAGTAAGGCCGATCACATTCATGCTTCATGTTGAGGTATCTTTCACAACCTGGTTACAGATATGACCACTTATGAAAAACGTATGGCAGCACTGCAAGCACAGATCAAGGAGCTGGAGGCAGAGAATGTCGCTAAGAAGGACTGGGTGTTAATGGGGGAAGCTACCTCGAAATCGCGGCCTCAAGATTCTTTGCTGCAAGAAGATCTAGAGTTTGAACGAACGATGAAAGCGGTACCCGTTATCACTGAAGCTGTCGTCCAGGGACTCGAAGAGCGAATAAAAGCTCGCATAGTGGACGGCAGATTCGACGATGTCACGCGGATCCGCCCTGTCGACGATAAGCCTTTTCTCCCGTCGCGATTCTTTGAACTCCAGGATACCAAGTCGTCTCATTCGCTTGCTCAGATCTACGAGGACGATTACGTCGCTGCCCAGAATGGTGGTACGGGAGGCGACGACAGAGATGGTCGGCTCAAGAAGGAGCATGACGAAATCACAAACTTATGGGATAGTATATGCAGCAAGCTGGATGCACTTTGCAACGCGCATTACACTCCAAGAGCGGTACGTGTCTTCACTTCTATCATCATGTGGACATGACGCTAAAATACCGACAGCCGAAAGCCAGTATATCGACAATCTCCAACGTTTCCGCGGCTACTTTGGAATCGGCGCTTCCTACCAGCAAATCCATGACTTCTATGCTTGCTCCAGAGGAGATTTTCAAAACTGCGTCTTCTGATCCTCGCGCTCGTAGTGAGCTTACACCCGCGGAAAAGCGGACACTACGTGCGAAAGAAAGAAAGGCGAGGAGGAAGACGCGGGATGCTCTCGACAAGAGCGTTGATAAGTATGCCAAAATGAAAGGCGTAAAAAAACAAAAGGACGCTGCTCTGAAGAACGTGGTTAAGTCAGGTAAAGGTGTCACGGTGGTTGGCAAAAAGACCAGGGATGTTTTGAAGAGCAAAAGCGTCAAGGGGAAGAGTTAGCACATCAGTTTACTGTTGGTTACGGTATGTAGTCGTTTGGCACCACCCCCCAGCTTCCTCCATCGTCCGCGCATTCTGCATACCTGCATACTTTAGGAAATGACATTCTTTGAGCGCAAGGAGAAAATTCATTACTGGGATGTAGTCGTTCATACCTATGAACTTCAACATGTCCACACTGTCTATTCGGATATGCAATACGAAATCAAGAAGCCACTCCATGGGCGGGGTTGTACAGTCAAGCTATAATACAGAAAAGGGATGTAATCTAGAAGAAATGTTCAGACAGGAAAGCTGGGAAAGGGACGTCCGACATGCAGTACATCTAAATTTGAGAACGATCGAGTAAAAATCCGGTGCCAGGTCCGTCTCAGGGTCTTTTGAGCGATGCGAGATTTGAGAACGCTGCGAGAGAAAACCGACGAGTAGGAACTTTTGGGACAATGGACTCTGAAGGTCCCCTCGCAGGGGGTGCCGTAAGAGGTATCTCAACATGCCCCTCAGCGCTCCGGGAGGCACGTTCTCTAACCAAGACATAATGCGGAGAGAGCATAGGCATCGACCTCCTGCGCTGCTCAGGGCTATGCAATGGGGTCGGCGCAGCGGGGCGTGTGCCGTATGGCGGCGGATGTGCGGAAATGACCACGATGCTCCCGTCGTCACTTCCTGTATGAGTGTTTAGCCCAAAGATAGCGTCAGCTTCGATGGCGGCCTGCCATTTACTTCTTTTGGCGCGCGTTACGAAGCGTCTAAAGCGCCCGCCAAATTTCTTGGCCTTCTGCAAGAATGTTTTTGACTTTGTTACGCGCGGATTCACCGCTCTCCGGTTTATGCCAGGAGGCTGGCCGGCGCGTTCGGTGTGCTCCACGCTTGAACCAGTGTCGTCTGCAGAAGGGGTCTGTGGCATGGTCTCCCGTCCCCTCATTTGGACTGTGACGTCTTCACGCCATCGCTCAAAACTGTCGATGCTAGAAGGAAAGGCTGCAGTGGAGGTCGGTGACAATGCCAGGCATGCTGCAGTTGGTGAATAGACTGAAGATATACAATGGAGAGAAGAAGGTGCAGAGGGAGACGAGATCGGGGTACTGGCGAAGGATGAAGACATGTTCGGTAAGAATGCCGCGGGAAAATTAGAAGCGGGGGATGTGATACTCAAAGTGAGTGGGCTGCTTTGGGCGCTTAGGGAAGGAAGTGCGCCGAAGAGAGTATTACGGAATATGTGGTCTGTCTCTGTGTTTCCACCGAAGTCAGTGAGCCAGCTAGATCCAGCAGACAACCATAGATTTGTATCTGGTAGCTTTGGTGGGTCCGTCATCAGCGTCATGCTCGCTCGTGGTTCAACTATGGGTATGGTAGCATTGTCGCAATTATCATGTGCTTGAGGGGTGACAGGCATTGTTGCGAAATGGCTATGTGTTGGAGAAGCCATAGCGTTTGGATTAGACGAGAAGTTGCTGGAAGATGGGGTAGCGTCAAGACCAGGAGTAGACGGTACACTGCAGCTTGCATGTTCATGAGAAAACTCTGGCATGAATTTCTTCCCGATGTACGAGGTAATCGGGGCTGGGAGGTCAAGCGAGTCCGTGCTGAACGGGCAATACGCCGATGGTGGCACCATAATGCTCAGGGGACGGTCACCCGCTGCACTCGCGGTAGGCATTTCAGGGGTGTTCTGCCTGGGCGAGGCAGTGTTCTCTTGCCCAACGTTTCGTGAGGTTGTCCGACCCTGCTCAGAACCTCAGTTGAACGGAGATTACCACCTAGTTTCAGTAAGTACGTACCGAGGCGGATGAATAAATTCCGGGAGGCAGCTTGACAAAAGGTCGAGCAAGTTCTGGCCAAGCACCTGGAATGAGTTTTGTAGGAGTAGATGGACTGGACATGAGAGCTGTGATTACAACGATAAATCTTACTTGAACCACATTCCACCCCAGAATTTTTTTTGAATTCCATTCAATTCAATTGCTGCCTAGGTCACTCCGAGGACTTAACAAAAAATCACCACACGTACGAGGAGATCAATCAACCCAAAAAGGAAATATATTATCGGCAGTCTACAAGTTACCTCTAACAGCTGCGTCCACGCTCTGAGCGAAGTACTCAATGTTCCTACCATTCAATCCTGCCATCGAGATACGTCCATCCATTGTCATATAAATGTGCGCCTTCTCCGCAAGAGTCTTGCATTGCTCCGTATTAAGACCGGTAAAGCTGCAAATGAAAACAAGTCTGTACAAGCACGACTGTTATTTGGTTATACACTAACCTGAACATGCCAATCTGGCTCTTTACGTGGCTCCATTCCCCAGGGGTCTGGAAGCTATTACTCAATAGCTGGTATAAGCGTTCACGCATGTTGATGATGCGGTCCGCCATGCCCTTCACTTCACCCTCCCATTCTTGGTAAAGTTCAGGATTCGACAGGATCGTGTTGGCAATGTGGGCACCATGCAGCGGAGGGTTCGAATACATCGGGCGCACAATGATCTTCAATTGACTGTCCACCCGCTTCTTCTCCTCCTCACTGGCGGTAGTAAGAGAGAAGGCACCGACACGCTCTCCATACAGACCCATGTTCTTCGCGAACGACTGCGAGAGTGCGATCTGGTGACCTTGCGAGACAAAGTACCGAACAGCAAATGCGTCACGATCAGTCGAGCCCGAAGCGAAGCCCTGGTAAGCCATGTCGAAGAAAGGGAAAAGCTTCTTCTCAGCAACGATGTCCGAAATATCTTTCCATTGTGCCTGAGTGGGATCAACACCAGTAGGGTTGTGTGCGCAAGCATGCAGCAACACAATAGCACCTTCTGGGGCATTCTAAAAATTGCGTCAACATGTATAGCACATTACATGAATCGAGTTGCCATACTTTCAGGTCCTCCTTCAAGCCCTCAAAGTCGAGACCGACAGTTTTCTTGTCAAAATACCTGTAATATTTAACCTCTAGTCCAGAATCCTTAAAGAGAGGTATGTGGTTGCCCCATGTGGGTGTCGGGACATAGATAGTTTTGGAGTGCGGGTAGTGTCTTGCTAGGAAAGTACCACCTATTCTCAGAGCACCAGTTCCAGAGATAGACTGGGTCACAGCAACCTGCGGAAGTCGCGGTGTCAGTGTCAAAACATAGGAACGCTTGCGGATTTTAAACACAGCTCACTTACCGCATTTTGGTTCAGCGGTACGCTGTCGACGCCATACGCTAGTTTAGCTGCGTTGCTAGTGAAACCAGCCAAACCGGTGATTGGGAGATACTCCTTGTCGAGTTTGGCAGCAGCAATATTCTCTTCAGCCTGCCAGACAAGATACAGTCAGTGTTGCATAGCAATAGCACTATTACCAACAGACCTTCTTGACCGCGTTCAAAACGTACGGCTTGCCGTTCTCATCTCTGTATGCACCGACACCAAGGTTGATTCTGCGAGGATCTTTGTCGGCTTTGAACGCCTCAGTAATGCCTGTGGATCCAAGTTAATCAATGCTGTCATTTTCGTGCAACACAGTCCGCACCGAGGATTGGGTCAGGAGGACCGGCTGGAACGGCTGACCAAGTCGAAAGAGGTGCAGCACTGCGCAAAACGGCAGGCGCACGACGAGCAGCATTAATGGCCAGCATTAGTCGTCTAAGGTTAGGTGGAAAGTATAAAGAGGGAATGAAGAAGAGGGATTTGAGCGGTTATTGTTAGAGGAACGACAGTAAACTTTTATGTGATGCTGTGAGCGGCGAGCTTTGCCGATTTCGGAGGTAGAGCGCCGATTAGGACGTAGGTTTGCGCTGAAACATGATGCTCAAGCACCGCATCATTTGGATACTCTACAGCACTAGTAGCACAGAGATCAATGCGCGTTGGTTGACAAGTAAGAGCCCACTGCTAGCTAAATTCCCGCATAGACATTTCGTTCATTCACATCTATGTGAACGTATCACACGGCAAACGGCCGGGGAATTAGTAATACTTTTAAACCTAACCCCATTCTAGGGTTACAATTGCATCTCAATAGCACCTTAGAAGAGGTCCTGAAATAGTCCTAGACAGGTTCAAATTGGAGCATCACAACAATTGCATACAGATCACGTAGGATGTTTGATAAGATCAAGAATGCTTTGGAGCACTTGACTCGACTCGACTCGATCATTCATCCATTCATCTTCCATCATGCCCGATATCGTTGATAAAGTAAAGGAAACGGTTAAACACGCCGTAGAAAACATAGTGCCTCACAAAGGCGAAGATGCGAGGTACTGTTATTAGTCGAGAGAATGAATGAACTGATCTTTCTGACTTCCGTTGGCAGAGAGGACTCGGCCCTACTGCCGTAAGGCAATAATGTTGACGCTGCGTAAAGATACTCATCGATCCTGGCAGGCCACCCAAAGACAGCTTGAATGGCCCAAATGAATCCGAGTATGTTAGTAATTTCGTTTTGACGCATATTCTTACCCATGTCCTGGACAAGACCCAGCGACAGGCCGTCAGCAGAAGGCGAGGGCGACCAGGAAGGTCAGACTAAAAGTGCTTTAAAGAAGAAAGCAAAGGAGGAGGAGAAAGCTCGAAAGAAAGCAGAGAAAGCCGCGAAGGTCAAGGAGGCTGAGCAGGCCAGGGCAGCAGCAGAAGAGCCCGTAAATTAGTTGCCGTGTATTCGTTTCACTCACTGATCGACGATCACAGGACTACGCAGCGGCGCACTATGGCAAACTGCCTCTGCATCAATCCCAGTCTCGCCCCAATCGCAAGCGGACTGACATTGCGACTCTCAGTGCAAAGAATGATTCCGAGCACGTTCTTATTCGTGCCCGGATTCAAACTTCACGTCTTCAGGGAAACAGAATGGTGTTCCTCAATCTTCGTCAACGGACCGACACAATTCAGGCCATGCTTGCCGTCAACGACAAGCAAGTCAGCAAACAGATGGTCAAATGGGCTGCTAGTCTCTCCGACGAGAGCATAGTCCTCATTCTTGGAACAGTAGTGAAGTCGCCGGAATCCATTAAAAGCTGCTCGATTGATGACGTTGAAATACATGTTAGCGAGGTATGCGCCTCGAGTTTTCCCTCCTTAACCCCCTTGACCTTACTATCCCTCCTTCTTTAGCTCTGGCTGGTTTCAGGCGTCGAAGGTCGATTGCCATTCTCTCTTGAGGATGCATCCAGATCAGAAACTGCCCCTGAGGTCGAGGGACAGTTCAACAGAGTTCTATTGGAGACCCGCTTGAACAACCGTATCATCGATCTTCGGGTTTGCTCGTTCATCTCTATTTCATGATTGCTTCCTCACTTGACCTGTAGACACAAACAAATCAAGCAATTTTCAAGCTTCAACACGCCATTGGAGATTTGTTCCGTGAATACCTCAACAATAACGGCTTCACCGAGATTCACAGCCCGAAATTGCAAGGAGCAGCTACCGAATCAGGGGCATCCGTCTTTAAGGTTGGATACTTCAAAGGTTCGCTACTTTTATTAACTTATTCGTATCGTTAACTCGCCCATTTTTCAGGCAATGCATTTCTCGCACAGTCCCCTCAACTGGCGAAGCAGATGGCTATCGCCGCCGACTTTGAGCGAGTCTATGAGATCGGACCCGTTTTTCGTGCTGAGGACTCGAATACCCACCGACATCTCACCGAGTTCATCGGTCTTGATCTGGAGATGACGATTGAAGAGCACTACCACGAGGTGAAAGAGGTCCTCGACGGAATGTTAAAGACTATCTTCAAGGGTCTCAAAGAGAGGTATGCAAAGGAGATCGCAGTGGTTGGCAAGCAGTTCGAGGCGGAGGAGTTCAAGTGGAGAGAGGAGACCTTGACTCTGACGTTTAGAGAGGCGGTGAACCTTCTCGTTGAGGATGGCGTTGACCGGGAGATTTTAGATGATATCAAGTGGGTAGTTTGAAATTTCATTTCAACAGTAAATTCACTGACATCGTGGGTTAGCACGGAGAACGAGAAGAGGCTTGGACGGATTGTAAAGGCCAAGTATGATACCGATTACTTCATCATCGACAAATTCCCTCTCGAGCTTCGTCCGTTTTATACCATGCCTGACCCTAATGACCCAGTGAGTGAATGCATCTACTGTATTGACCCAGTTCTCACCTTTACATCCAGACCCTCACCAACTCTTATGACTTCTTCATGCGTGGCGAGGAAATTCTTTCCGGGGCACAACGTATCCATGACCCTGAGTTCCTCTGCCAGCAAATGCGAGCAAAAGGTGTCGATCCAGAGAGTATGAGAGGCTATGTCGATGCATTCCGTATGGGATGCCCTCCGCATGGCGGAGGAGGCATCGGCCTCGAGCGGGTGCTCATGCTGTTCTTGAAGCTGAACAACGTTAGACGTGCCTCCCTCTTCCCAAGAGACCCCAAGCGTCTTGAGCCTTAGAGGGTTCACGGAATACACATCATGATACATAAATTGAAACGAATAAATGATGTCCCACATTTGTAACGTTACTTCGAAAGTCACCCTACCCCATATGCTGAGTGTTGTATCGAATTAAATTGTGAAGTGGAAGCGAGAAGCGTCCATGTAATACATGAAATATGTGGGTAGTAAATGTAGAGCACAGATGGACATTCGCAACGAATTTACAGAGCATTGCACAGGGCAAATGATACTGACATTTTCGCATTCAGATGAAATTCTGAAGTCGAAGGCCTTGGGACTCACCATCATAATCCAATCATAAACAACCTCGTATGTCACCGTCTGTCTCGTCGGCTCCGACGCCTCTCCGACCGGTCGCTGTTCCCCTGGCCAATTGCACTAGCAGGAATGCTACCCCCTTCCAAAGCTGCAGCAATCACATCGGCAGGTAAGTCAATATGAACGCCCTCCGCATACGTGAATGCATCCAGAGGTGAATACGCAGGGGGATCACGTCTCATAAACGTCGGAGATGCCGCTTCCAACGCATCATCCGATCCTTCTCTCAGTGTCGACGCAGAGCTAGTGAAAGCCTGCAGGTGAATGTCACGTTGATTGGGCGTGGGTGGATTTGGCGAACGGGGCGAATCGGGGGGCGGATGCACCTGAATGGTCAAGTCTGAACCTGCGTGTTGCATCGCGGCCAGGAAGTGAGTGAAAGATTCGCGCCGGAAGCGAGGGATACTAAAAAGGCTGCTCGCACCTGCGGCACCTTCGCTTTCCGGCGATTGTGAACGAGAGGAGGTAGGCGACTGGGAAGGAGTGTCTTCTCCACCCTCCTGCTCGCTGTCGCCTTCTGGCGTAGGATACAAAGGAAGGCTGTGGTCTGGTGGAGTGTGGAAGGGTAAATCCGTTGGAGACAAATACCCTTGGCCAGTTGAGGGGCCCGCACACTCAGGCTCTTCAACGATAGGTGTGATTGGTGGGGGAGGAGTACTAGGCTCCCCGGCATATGATGATATGGGAGCGCCTCTAAGTGGGGAAGAAACGGGAACAGATGACACCGATAGTGGATTGCTTGGTCTCCGGGAGCGGTGAGAGCGTCTGCGGGGCGTGGAAGAAGTGCTTGGCGGAGAAATAATTGGTGCGATAGGTCGTACGCCACCCCCAACGTCCAATAAAATGCTACCTCGTTCGCTCCCATATGCAGGTGGAGGAGCAAGAGTTCCCACGGTGGGTGCTAAACCCCACTTCTTCACGTTTGCCTCGATAAAGACGAAACCAGCTTGACCAAGGTTGACATGGACACTGCATGGGCCGTCTCCCCCGATCGTGGGAAATAGATTGTAACGACTGAGGCCGATGAAAGCATCTTCCATCTTACGACCGTTTCTGGTGAAAAACACGGTTCCTGTGCGAGGACGATAACCGATGCCTAGAACATCGCCTTCTTTGAGCACGGGTCCGAATGGCGATGCGGTGAAGGGATAATTGTAACACTTGTCACCGGTGGAATGGTAGGCGACAGAGAAAGGATTCTGACCAGGAAGTCGGAAAGGTGGGTACGGTTTGGTAGCCAGCCCAACGGCAACTGTAGTGGTTTCAGGGAGATCAAACATCTTGACCTCCCAATAGTAAACCTCGTTCAATTTGGGGAGGGGTAAATTCGACTGCACGCATGAGGCAGATGCAGGATCGGGAAGGAAGGTAATTTCCGTGCGAGCATGAACAAGAAGTGAATTGATAGTTTCGTAGTCGGGCTCGAAGGACCATGCGGAGACTCCCTTCTCCTGGATGGAGAGGAATTGGGATAGTGTGATATCTGTGGGCTCCGAGTTTGGAGCATATTGCAATTGGTACTCTGAACGAACCGCGTATGAGTGAAGGGTCAGAAAACTCGAGGAACGAACCCGACCTTTTGCTCTGAGATATGAGCGCCGAACAACTTCAGAAACACTCTCGAGCCAGCGAGACTCGATGCCTTCAAAGCCACCTTCTCCGTCTATAAGTTCCTCTCGACTCATATCGGTAGGACCATCGCTGTCTCGCAGGACGATACCACGTCGTCTACGAACGAATATGACACATACTAGGAAAAGCAAGAGAATGAAAAGAAACGTTGAAAGCACGATGAGCAAAGGCAATATGAACAGAAGGGCGTCGGGTGCAGGCTGATTGTAGACTTGGGGATCGGGCTGTATCAAGATATCTCCCGAGGTCTGTAAGCTACTCAGCGAGTAGTCAACATTGTGATTGACATCGACGACGGCCTGTGCGGCCATACTGGCCATGGACTGAAGGGATATTATATTATTAAGGGAGAGAGCAGAATTGAAGAGGGGGAATTGGAATATTGTTTTGAAGTTGCTTGAGCGTTGGAAGGTGAACTACGCTGCCAGACAGGAACGTAATCCAATGACTGTCCGTCGGTATAAGCCGAACATTCCCGAAAATGGGTCTATATTTGGGGGGTATACATTATTTTAATCACTCGTGGGAAATGCACCTCCTCCTAATTAGCATTTTACCCTTTGTTTTAGTAAAAGGAAGAGCTCGAAGGGAAAGCAGCTACAATGAACGCGACACTCTCCCCATCTGCCCCCTCTCCGAAGACGCCCAAAAGAAGGGGATCAACCCGTAGACGCGCCGTTTCTCAATTGCCCCCCGTACAAACTCAGGAAACTCACGACGCTGCCCTACATGCCATTCGTAACCTTCTCAAAGGAAGAACATCCTACGATGCATTTCCTGTCAGCTTCAGGCTGATAGTACTTGATACCAAACTGAATGTAAAGAAGGCTTTGCAATGTTTGCTCCTCAATGGTAATCCTTTCATCGCTCCGATTCAAATTTCCTCACAGTCATGACAGGTGTCGTCTCTGCTCCGTTGTGGAACAGCGAAAAATCAAAGTTCGCTGGGATGCTTACAGTCCTAGATATAATACATCTCATTCAATATTATTACGACACTGCAAATTACGAAGCTGCTGCTGCAGATGTGGAGACCTTTCGGCTAGAATCACTCCGAGGTACATATGCCGTGCCGTGCAGGATCACATCGGTCAACTGACGCCTTTATGCTCCAAAGATATCGAAAAGAGCCTCGGTGTAGCCACGCCTCCAATGCTAGCAGAACATCCAAATAGCACCCTCTACAAGGCTGCCAAAGTCTTAATTCAAACTCATGCCCGCCGATTACCTCTCCTTGATTATGACACAGAAACAGGTCACGAACTCATCGTTTCTGTCCTAACGCAGTACAGACTTCTCAAATTTATCTCTATAAATGTATCATAATACCCTCCCCTCACGAGATCTTCGCTCACATTACATTTGTAGTGCACGAGAGAAATCCATCAACTTCATCTCTCGCTCCGGAAACTCAACATCGGCACCTATGTCTCATCAACACCACCGCCTCCAAATCCGGAAGAAATTCATAATCCATACTGGCCGATCGCAACCGCAACGCTCGACACCCCTGTATTTGACGTTGTGCATATGTTCTCTGAGCGTGCCATATCTGCAGTCCCAATCATCGACCAGGACGGTGTCGTCATGAACCTGTACGAAACAGTGGATGTCATCGTGCGTCACATCCCATGATGTAAATGCCGAGTCTTATATCGCTTTTGCAGACTCTTGTGCGTCTAGGAGCATATCAATCTCTCGACCTTACGATATCGGAGGCCCTTAATCAACGTTCTCCAGACTTCCCGGGCGTTGTGATTTGTACGGCGGGGGACTCGCTTGGAACACTACTGCAGCTAATCAAGAAGCGTAGGGTCCACCGGCTTGTAGTCGTGGAAGGAGATGTAAGTCTTTCTTCGAACTTTTCCATACATTTCTCGTGCCAATCATGATTTGGCAGGAGGAAGAGAAGAAAGGCGGAAAGAAAGGACGCCTGCTTGGCATAATCACACTGAGCGATGTCCTTCGGTACGTTATCGGTGAGGTGGGCATCGGCGATGCAATCGAGTCAGTTGAGGAGATTGCGTCCATGTCCGCCGCCCCGGGCACACCGCCCTCTCCAGATATTATCTCATGATCATGGCTCACCGAGTCGGCGGAATGAGGGTGTTCGTCGCGGAGTTTCGTTATTTTATGTGCTTTCCGAGTCTCAGTTAGCTGGATCTGACTACGAGTTGTACGTTTTGCATTTTCTGTACCCATTAGATGTCATAGGATTATACGATAATGTTGCCGTACCTCTGTTGAATACGCGCGAGACTGCGCTGCGAACGAGTATCTATAAGTAACAGCGGGCCATGGGGTGTGTAAACTAGTGGCACACGACGGCCTCATTGCACAGAAGGCACTAATTATACCACAAACCACCATGACTGCCATCCAAGCCGTCTACGTACGCGGGCACGAGGAACGTTCTGATCCTAAGCCTCACATTGTCTACCGCATTGAAATTCAAGCCCATGTCCGCTCATGGCAAATGTGGAGACGCTACTCCGAGTTCGTGGAATTACACACAGAACTCACAAAGTCCACAGGCTCTTCACCCCCAGCGCCTCTACCACCCAAAAACGCCCTTGCCATCTTCCGCGGTCCGTTCAGAGACAGTACTAGCATGATTGAGGAGCGCCAGGCTGGTCTCGAGACATACCTGCGCGCCATCATTAGCGCAAAAGATGACAAATGGCGAGAATGCTATGCCTTACGCGACTTCCTGGGCGTGCCAGTCGGCCGCCTGGGCACCATGCCTGAAGGCAGCACCTCCAAGCAGTTCTCTTCTTCCTCCTGGCTCGACGAGCACCTCGGGCTGCAGGCGAAGATTCGCGACATCCGCGCAGACATAAACAAGCGGGATGCGCTCTCTGACCGGGGAGACGTCAGTGCATCGCATACTGCAAATGTTCAGGCGAAGAAGAAGCTCGCGGAAGCCCTTTCTCGGGTGCGCACGCTCACGCAGGGCCTGCAGGAACTCGGCATGGCAGCTATGGCGGAGGGAGAGCTGCAACGCCGTACAGACATGGTCGCACGCTTGCAGGACGACTGTGAGAAGCTGGGAAAGATGGTTACTGTCACCCGACAGCCCACCCGTCCTACGGCAGCCCCTTCCTCGCAGGGCTTCACGAATGTCACTATCGTTCCAGAATCGGATCGGGCTGCGCTGCTGAGCAGTAGTAAACCAATCACCCGAGTTTTTGGTGCTAAGAAACCTCAAGAGACGGAGATGACGAGACCCCTTGACGATCAGGGTCTCGTCCAGTTGCAGAAGACTCAAATGGAGCAGCAAGAAAGTCAGCTTGCTGCACTAACGCCCATACTGCAACGGCAGAGGCACCTCGGGGAGGCAATTAGTGCCGAGCTTGCCGTGCACAACGAGTTGCTGGATGAACTTAATAACGACGTTGATCGTGTCGGAGGTAAACTTATTAGCACGAAGAAGCAGCTCAACCGCCTGGGATGAGTGATTAGGACAGGTTGAGTTGGGAAGTATGAAAGGCTACACATATACCATACAGTTAACATCTAGAAGGCATTGAGGTAATGTGGATGATACTATGATAGTGCTCCATGTGAATATAATAGTTGTCTAGCTAGGTAGCTGTCGATGCCTCAGTCCTTCTTCTCCAAAAATTTGCCAACACCCTAGGAATGATTTGGTTAGCCACACGTTCGATGAGCGTAGAGATATCTCACCTCAAAACATGCGATCATGATCCCACAAGCTGGGGCAATCTTGGCTGTGCGAGGGAGAATGCCAGTAAACAAGGCAGCGACGCCTTCAGTACGAACTATATGCGCGCACAGTGGTATTGTAGCTGTAGTCCGTGACGACATGGTTCCAGTCATGAGGAGCGCTTGCCGTCGGGTTTTCAAAACATCGAAAGGTGACGTTAATAATGACGCGGTTGTCCCACTGATAGCACCGCAGGCAAAGGCGACGTAGGCCCCCTTCTTTCCTCGGCTCTCGAAAAATCTTTTCCAGGCCTCATAGCCCGCCCAATATATGCCACTAAAGGGTACATCACGCCACAAGGTGGGGCCGAGACCACGCCAAAGGAAGCCTATGCCTTGTTTCCGGACGAGTGCCCGCACAGAAGTGAGAACAGATGAAAGTGTATGTGGTTGGTCGGGGGATATTGGGGTAGATTGTAAGTTGGTTCGTATGAGCTCTAGTGGTGAGAGTAGGGAAGTAAGGGAAGCGCGAGCAGTAATACCAGCTACTAGGGGGACGAATGTTGGGGAGGGGATGAGTGGAGGGAATACGTTATGTAGGAGATGGTCATAAGTGAGCATGTATATCGTTGACGAGGGGACGCCGATGAGTCTATCACACCATCAGAACTGTGTCCACGAAATGAGTCAGGTCAGCTTACAAAGACGTTCCAGCACCTTTCCATAAACCTCTCATACCTTCTGCTCGCCATACATGGCGGACAGCATCCAAAAACCCATTCACGCGCTCGGTGCGGTATACGCCATGGTCGAAAATGCAGACGACCTCTTCTGCGGCTAGCGGGCGTGCATATGAGGACATATTTCGGACGCAAGGTATATGCGCTGGCTGACAGCATTTATTAGATGGTGGTGGGGAAAAGCGAGGCACCTTAGGTTGGGTCTGAAGACGGGTCTTCAAGACGTCAAAAGGAGTCACTGGATTGAAATATAAATATTAGTGAATTGGGAAATACTTATGACAGCGTACTTGTAAGTGCGGTCATCATCGACCCTGTCGCAGCAGCTGCGAGTTTAGCATGGAACGGATCCATTCTCCTCGTCGACGCTGGGGACGGAGAAGGAGTAGTGACGGAATATTATTATTCAGGCGTGTGCCACGGCCTGACTGCCGGGCCCCGGTGCGCCGGCGGAGTAATTATCAGATAAGTCAGCACGGAACACGGCAACGTCCGGCAGTCAAACCGAAATTAATTTTGCGGATTTACTTTGTAATTGCGGTAAACTTGTTGATCACACACACACTGTCTACTGCACAACCGCGACCGGCTTCAATCGAAACTACTTTCAAGCTCATTCGATCTAAAAAACCTTTGATATCATCTCTTCATAACAGACTTTGATAGTCTTCTGTATCCACTCAAAAGCAACAGGATTGCAGTCTCGCTCACTTCATAGTAATCATGACTACTCTCCCCGCATCCTTTCAGCATGCTAACAAGGCTGCTCTTTCCGCTGCTCTTGCTGAGAACCCCGAATCTAATGGCGCAGATGTAGAACCTGGTGAAATTCAGGAGGTTGACATGCAAGCCCAGGCAGAGGGCATACGGACCGTCTTCAGTCACCCTACAAACTTCAATGTCAAGGTGCGCAATGGAATTTGACTTCACACACACACAAGTCTTCATTTCTCTCCGATATAGCATCCTCTCTACTCAGCTTGGACCCTTTGGTTCGATTCCCCTGCCACTAAAGGCCGTAACCTCCCCCAAACGCCCGTTTCTTCCTTCCCTCAAACCCCCGTCCCTCAGACCCCCGGTGCTGCTGCTGCACAGGGATGGATGGAGGATATCAAAAGAGTTGTAACTTTCGATAGTGTCGAAGAGTTCTGGGGGTAAGCCCTTCTCTTATTTCAAAAAACTAAAGGCTCACAAACCCAAAGCCTCTACAACCATATTGTACCCCCCTCACAGCTCCCTCAAAAAGCAAATTACTACCTCTTCAAAGCATGTCTCTCACTCGATCGTATCCTTATTAACTCAATTAATGTCGCCTTCAGGAGGGTATCATACCTGCATGGGAAGATGAAGCAAACAAGCTTGGTGGCAAGTGGAGTATACAACTGCCCAAAGAGAAGAATCGCAGTCAGGTTGATAAAATGTGGCTTTACACCGTGCGTCTCGTCCTGATCTCATCTGTCGATTTTCCTATTTTGATCGCTTGATGAAGATGCTTGCTGCCATTGGCGAAACATTTGATCCCCACCTTACGAGCGGGGAGACATCTGAGCCTAACTCCCAATCGCTTATCACCGGTGTGATCGTATCTACCCGACCGCAGTTCTACCGGTTATCGATTTGGACGCGACTTGCGCCTGCTCCAGAAGACGACAAGTTGCGTGAACGCATCGAGACAGTTGGACGACACTTCAAGATAAATGTACTAGGCTATCCCGAGAATCACAAACTGTCTGGCCCTCTCGCGACCGAGGTCGAGTTCCTTTCCCACAAGGATTCTGAGAAGAAGGGCAAGGCAGCAAAGAAGCTTATCGTTTGAGTGGGTGCATAGGTTGCTGTTATACTATGAATTCAGCAGAGTTATAGATAGATTACATAGTGTGCTGGATACGCCTGATTTATTCGTATGATGTCGGACGAATATTCTCATTCAAGCTCAGGCTGCTGCTGTGATGCATAATATACTCAAAACCACTTCGTTGTGCCGTCTTTGAAACCAGTGCAACTGCGTCGGGTATCGTGGGGCTGTGTCGTCACCGCTGCGCGTGACGTGGTTGATGTGGCTGCGCATTGGAGCCCCTGTATAAAGACCCTTCGACAACTACAGGAACACAATAAAATCCTCTTCCCCCCATCTACAACCTCACGCTATTATCTCACTCGATGTCAGTTTCAAGCTTTCTGTCATCGTTCGCCGACAAGGCCCAGAGCGCCATCAATCAGACGCCTCTCGCTGGTCATATCCCTGGCACCACCAGCGCTTCTGACCAACCCTCTGCCAATCAGGCAGCAGCTCAGGGTGGTGGTAATCGCTCAGTGACTCTGGAATCACTGCAGCATCAAATACGCTCAATCGGACAGCAATACACCAACACCACACCGGTGCAAAGAATCATCACCTCTGAAAAGGGTGTTGCAATCGATTGCGACGCCCTCGCAAGAGATGCGAAAGCGCAAAGCAAGGAATTGTACACATGGGGTCAGACACAGCCAGAGGATCTCAAGGATGGTAAACCACTTTGCCCACGGATATCAGATTGAAACTGATTCTTGAGCGGCGGCATGTAGTGACGGATAGATTGGCCTACTTGAACTTTATCCAGGGATCGCTTGCATCATCGCTGGCGATCAAGCTTAATAATGCACGGGCGCCATTCAAAGCTCTTCGCGATGCCGAGGCTGTTCTTGCTCCAAAACGCAATCTCCGTGTTGGATTGCGCAACCAGATTGCTCGTATCGAGCATAACCAGGAGAAGGGCATGGAGCGGAAGCTTCCTGAATTAAGACAGCTACTTGCCAAGGCTGAACAAGTTGACGAGCCACTCGAAAAGGAACTTGAGATATTGAAGCGCAAGGCCGTTCAGGAGAGCGAGACAATGAAGTGGGACGCTGTCCGCGAGGTAAATCACTTGCGCTGCAATGACGCAAGGTATTCTGACACGATCATTTGCAGTTTGGAGAAAAGCTACTACTATTATCGCAGGCTTCCAAGCCTATCATTAGCGTCCTGCCACCAATTCCCCCTTCAGATTCGCGCCCTTACACTGGAGCTCAGGCAACAGGCGCTACTCGTGCCGCTCTTCAGCTTGCGCTTGATAATTATAAGCCGGGGAATATATCCCTCCCCGCGCAGTCCGGCGCAAACCTTTCACGGTCTGATACCCAGTCATTTGGGGAGAGTCACGCTTCAGAACTGAACAGCCTCGCATCCAATCCTGAAGCGAATGCTGGTCATCCAGGTGTGCCCATTACGCCTCCACCTCAAGCGACTTTCCATGCGACAGACACAGAAAAGGCCAGAGAGGCGTCGCACTCCCCTCCGATTGACCCGAGTTCACTCAATAATTCTCCTGCACCAATTCCAGAAGGTCAAGCTCCACTAGGTTGCCCTGTTGCTAGGGTCGTGGACGGGGATTCCCTTCCTCCTGTCGCAATCCCGGCTGCCGCACCTACGGTGGCTGAAACTGGCATTCCCGTATCTGCGGGTTCACCTGGTCCAGGGCCTGCTAGTGGCTCTCTCCGTGACATACACCGTGCCTCAGATGCTGCGGGACCGCGAAGCGGCGGTCTCCCAGGCAACTCACCATTTGATGATGTATACGGACAGCCGCATGAGACTGCAGCAGATGAGAAGAATCGCCTTGAGCGTGAGGAGCGCCAGCGCGTACTCGCGGCGGGGACGGCACCCGCTGCTTCTGAACACGAGTCTGCAGAGGAGGAGAAGAGCAGACTTGAGCAGGAAGAGAGAGAACGTGTTACTGCTCGCGCTGAGAGCGGCAATGCACACAAAGATGGTGACGAGCTCCCACCATACCAGGACATCTAATAAGTGGGTTCCGATTTTCTCTACGTGTCGATTATTCAATAACTTTGTGGATTTGTCGTATGGATCTCGGATAGTTTGTAGCCTATGTGATGTACTGATTGTGGTGTAATGATTCGATGTACAACACGGAGCAAGTGGCAATTATGACATTCATCACTAAGACCGGGGGTTTGAAGCCAATCATATCTGCCAGCTTCATGTCTTCACCAATCTGCAAGGAATAAGCTGATCAGGCTTAGGATTCGTCAATTTCGTAACCTTAACCCTAATATGCAACCCCAGACAAAAGGTATACGCACGTTCAACGGTTCCCCTCATCAATTTGTTACTCCACCTTTCCTCCATGGACACTACGGAGCTCGAGACATATCAAGTTCAGCTCTCTCAGGTCGAGCTCGCACTCCAATCTGATCCTGACAATGCCGAACTCCTCTCCCTCCGTTCAGAGCTGCAAGAACTTATCTCTCTCACCCAACAGTCACTTGCCCAAGCTGCTTCCTCATCGCGCGTAGACTCTGTGCGTAAATCAGCAAATTCAACACCCTCACACACATGGACCGCAGGGAGCGACTGTCTTGCTAAATACTCGGGTGATGGCAGTTGGTATCCTGCACGAATTACCAGTGTGGGTGGCTCTGCAGAGAACCCTGTATACAGTATCATGTTCAAAGGCTACAATACCACGGAGTTGATAAAAGGGTCAGAAATAAAGCCGCTACCACCAAATCACCAGGAGAAAGCATCAGCGCCGAGCAAAAGGAAGCTGACCAAGGCTGAGGATGAGGAGAGGGATCGGAAGAAGAAGCGCAATGAGAAGAAACTCGAGGTCAAGGCTGCCAAAGCTAAGGAACAACTTGTTAAACAAGCAACGTGGCAGAAGTTTGCCAAGAAGTCTGAGAAGAAGGGTGTCCATATTGCCGGTGTGGCGGGGACCAGCATCTTCAAGACGCCCGACAACCCATTAGGTCGTGGTGCGTATCGTTCTAGTTGATTTAAAAGCAAATTCTTGATTTCTAATAACGGTCTTGTAGTCGGCGTTACTGGCAGTGGAAAAGGAATGACGGAAGTCGCTATTCGAGGCAAGCATAAATTTGCGCCAACCGACGAACCAAATGCGTAGTGGCACAGTTGAAGTCCTCCATATATATGTACGTTCTTCGTCGCCTCGGACGCGAGGGGGATTCATATCATGCTAATCCTCTGTCAACAGCGTGAACTTTCCATCAAACTGTATTAGATGCCCGTTGATGATTCTGTGTTTCCCGTGAATAGCAGGTTTCGCTGGCAGAGACTGGTGTCAATGACGCCTGCGAATTTTGAGGAACGCCACCATGTTCCGCGAAATTTGATACCGATAATTGATATGTGACGCCTTTCCCCTCTTCTACCTGTCATCAGGATCTCATCACCGCTTTTCTTCTTTCTCGCCTATTTATCAGAGACTTCGTTGTCGGCGCTTGCGAGGCCGATGTCTATCAGTGTAATCGTACGTTTGTTATGCATTATTTCGCGCAGAATACGCTTAGACTCACAACCGTGATGCGTGTGATCAACGCTGATCTCATTGGTGTGCATATGCAAAATGCTCTCATATACACCATATGGCGAAAGATACGCAAGAAGGGGATCCAGAAGGGGATGACTGACAGTGGTGTATTTCCTGTCCATTCGACGATTACTTACTGATGAGTGGTGGATTCGTCATCGTCATCGTTAAATTGGCGATGCAAATTGCAAACAGTAATCGATGGGCTATTAATATTTATATTCTTACTGCACAATGATCTGTGGAGATTGCGTTTTGATTCGAAAGATCTGGGTGAGCCGTGCTTCGTTGCCGCCTTTCACTTTAAATTGAACCATGTTTGCTTCTCGTGATTGTACGTGTGACACCGTCACTGGAACGTACCTGACCACTAGCACCGAGGATGTGATATTCCGCTAACCAGTATCAAGTAAGTGTTTTGCGACGCTGGCAGCGCAAATTGATCTCGCGGATGTTTATTGCTGTATCGATACACCAGATGTCATTTTACTCCGCTGGGTTCTTCACAAAAGGTCCCGCTCTGTCATCCAAGACGGAGCACTGCCATCGACGACTGGCCGTCAAACGATGGTGGGTAACTCTGTCAGCCCACATGAATCCAGCATGGTAAAAGCGAACCAGGATCATCGTCGTGAATTCCTCAATTTTCGCGGATTGCACGCGGCTCTGTTGTCAGAAGATCTCAGGTGGAAAGTTAGAAAGCTAAGTTAATATACAGGCAGTGCCTGGCTCCTCAACAGTGATCACCACGCTGGTTTTGGGAGTTCTCAGAGCCACTCCAGAGGTGCTCATTTGCCGTTTTTAGCAATCCTGAGACCGAACGCGTCTACGACGTAAAAGCGGGGCATCTACTGGCAGCTCGAGAGTGGATGAAATCTGGTCCGAGTCTGTCGATATGAAGGTAGCTGTCAGAGTCATCTTCCACGGAATTGAGCTCTTGGCGAGAAGGTCTCTCACTGAACATCTTATGCAGCACCATCTCTCTATGTGCTGTCATGTCTTTGGCGCTCTGCTGTGCTCATTGTTGGTCGCATATGGTTACTTCAAACATGCCAGTGGTCAATGTTTCGACCGTCGGGAAGTGATGTAATGATTATTCGACGAGGTCAGGCATCTCTGAAACAAAACGACGGCTTTATCTTTAATCAGATCTTCAGATCACGATATCATCGCTTCTCAATCGGACCATTGAATCACATGCATTTGTCCTTGGTCACCTGTCGTTCTCTTTCTCCGACGGGCTGGTCCGTTCCAGAGCTTGACCAGGCGTGGCGTTGCCCGGTGACCCCGGTCGCCATGATTGATTGTAGTGTCTGGTCCGAGGGGAGGAGGCCGGGACTATTTAGGCATTTGGGGTAACCCTCCTGGTCCTTCTGGCGATTAATTGTTGACGGGATTACGTGCATTCAGAAGTGGGAAGGGAAGCGTAAGGTGAGTGTACGTTCTGTACCTGGCTGATGATTGGCACATATGTGTAACCATGATTCTACCGACACCAGTTTGCTCGGTGCTGCACATATCTGGACCACAGCTCGTAGACTTGTCCAACTGCGTAGACTGATCCGACAACGTCGCTTGCCACACCGCTGTCAAGTGAGCTAACGAGCAATTGGACCGAGGAACGCCACTGTCGAGTGTACGCGCGCTGAAACCCATCGACCATAAACGGAAATGGCCTCCATGAAATGCATCCTTCGGCGTGCCCTTCTTCAGGCAATCGCATTGCGACTTTTGGAACACTCCGCTATCAGCATCATATGTAGCTTGTTCTGTGATCCCCCCCGATTATATTAATTGCTCAATGCTACATTAATTGGGTGAATGCCATTAATATTGTGGTGGGGGATCTGTCTTTCTCCGAAATCCAGATATTCAGAACTGAGGGGTGTCATTTAGTAGACTACGGGGCAAGACAGCTTGCTTCATAACGGACTGGTCACCAGTCTAGTCATTTAGTACCCGGTGACATTCCCAGTTGAACGGTTCAAAATTAGTTCACATGGGGCGAAGAGTCCCTTGAGTACTGGTACCGACTACTGGGGGCTTGCCCTTGCCGCATCAAGATGATGAAGTGTGCCAACTACACGCGTCAGATAGATTAAAATGTAAGCTGATATGCAGCTCTCCAAAAGTCCGTGCAAGTTGCAACCGTTGTCGATTCAAGGTAGCTGAGACTCCAATTTAAAATCTGGATGTCATTAATTAGGCACTTTGGTAGTCGCGGTACTCTACCCGTGGACTTAGATGCCGTGCCACATTTCTCGCTAGGTGAGTTGAGCCACGTACGGACTATACCTCGCATGGTCACTCTTCTCGTCTCGGACGTGAGCGTTCACTAATTACCAGCTGTGGTACGCTACCTACCATGACTCATGAAGCGTAACAGTTCGCCGGTGACGGAGAACTCCTATTAATACTACCCCCTTGCACTATTTAGCGGGTAATGAATACACAGTGGCCAATTTGACCGATGAGTTTCGGTGATGCTAAGAGTAATGTACGCTTGACCTGGATAATTATTAATTATGAATTATGTAGTCCTCGAAACCCTTCACTGACGCTTATAGCCCGTATTGCAGTCTACGGCCAGCTTGTGAGGCGCTGAATTTCCGCTCGACTGGCTGAGGGGCGCCGGCGGCGTATCAAAGCACCTTATCCAAGAATGCCGCCAGATGTCAGATTGAAGACCTGCCATTGCAACAGTCACCCAGATTTCCTTGACAAGTGAAGTAAACAGTTGCCCGCAAAGCTCTAAATACATGTAAGGGGCTCCCAGTAAACGACCTCAAGCTACCAAGGAAACTGACTAGAGAACAGGAGAAGAAACATCCAAAAACCGTCGAATCATATGCAGATGGAAAAGCGGTTAAGGAAATACAAGAGATATCAATGCGAAGGAGGTATCGCAAAGACAGGGAATTTTTTGAATGGGAACCAAACGACCTTGACTGGAAAAACCCAGGGGGTTGAATGGCAATCTGTCATCTGTATTACTCTGAGACGAGGTGACGTTGGTCCACACCGCTCGACGCCATCCCGGACCCTAAAAATACACGATCACCATCTCTGGTAGCGCCGATATTCGCGGAACCAGACTGGTAGCTGCTAGTTGTCTGATCGATGATATCAACCGAGTGTCGCCTAATAGGAAAGCCTGCCCCGTGCGCGACCATTACTTCAGTGGAGAGATCCAGAAACTGTGGCGCGAATACTTAGTCGCGAACACTCGATAAAAATTGAATCGAGCTATCGACTTACCACTTGCTCTTCGTCCAGCGTATTTTCATGAAGGCGACGGTTGGTGTTCTGCATGTGCACCAGCAAGGTTCTGATGCTGCGAGAGCTTAGGCCGCGGTACGTAGAAACGCGCTCGAGCGAAAGCGGAGCAGTGTCGACGAGACGCAGTTGTTCGTGCAAATACAAAACATAGTGTTCAAGACACTCTAAATAGTGGCGTTTTTTCTCATGTGATGAAATAGTATCTCTGGAAATTATCGGTTAGGGCCCGGAAATCAATTCTGTTAAATCAACTTACGGATCGGTCGGAATAAAACCAATCTCTTCGGCGACAGCACGTTGTCGTGCCTTGCGTTGACTTTCTGTCTTACTTGTGGTAGGTGCAGCGGAGGCAGGAGCCTCATCGCTATGTTCGCTACTTTGAGATTGCTCACGTTGAGCCGAGGGCAAGGATGAGGAGAGAGCCGTAGATATCGGAGTAGACGCTGTTGAAAGGTCTGTGAGAAGCTCTGAGGGGGTTGGGAAAAGAAGTTGCGGCGCATTTGCATAATAATCGAGGATATTGGTATTAGTAGTGCTGGCGCCGGTGGGCAGTTGGAGGGCTTGATTTAAAGATGGGGGGTAGGGGACGTGATGATTGTTTGTACCTTCATAGTATGGTTGCTCCAGATATGGCGGAGTATGTTGACGAGAAGAGTTTTCGAGGTGAGGTGGGCCGTAGGAAGCAGGCACTGGGACTGGTGCATGTAAATGCACCTGTGTCTGTATCTCTGGGTAGTCGTATGAAACAGGCGGATATGAATAATTCAAGGTGATTGACGTATCCTGAGCTATACCATAGGTGTCTGCGGATTGTCGTCTGGCGATACCAATATTGATGTAGTCTGAACTTGGAGGAAGGTGGAAGCTAGCGTCATGAGGGTAGGTCAAGGGTTGAGAATCGAATTCGCCAGGTTGAGAGATGGGATACATGTTTCATGGGAATGGTGAAGATATCATGGAGAGCCTAAATAGAGATCATCTGGAATAATAATTTAAATGAAGACGGTATGGATGACCACTATACTATATAATTGATTAGATTTGCTAGGTGGGAATTGGATGTCGAGGTGACCTGGATCGGGAAGCTAGGTGCAAATGAATGGACGCCGATAAAGCTCAAGCTCAAGGTTCACTGAGCATCGACCGATGATACCAACTCGAGTTATTTCAAGCCATAGAGTTGGCGTTTATGGACCCCCGCAGATCATCATTACAATATAGTTCATGTCAAATAGGTCGCAACACCGGCTGTCTGGCTCCCATCATACCTCTCGTTGCTGTGTGAGTTGGAATGAAGGTTAGTTCAGATATGACGAACAGTTGCTCCGCTCAATCTTCAACAATTGAATGGTGACCTGAACCATGCGCAGACGATCAATCAATTCAGGTGTGTAAAAACGGGATGCTCGGCCATCACTGGCGCAACGAATCGATCGCCAGTCAGCATGGCGAAAACAAAGACCCTAGTTGCGTACTAAAAACAACGAGGGCTGAGCAAGTTTTGTTTGCTAAAATCTTGTGCCATCAGAAGGGGTTCGTTCGAAGAGAACACAAATCGGAAGCTTTGCACTTGGAGGTACTGTACAATCGGATGACTTCGGAATCCGAGGGTAGCGATGTTAACCTGAGCTCGCGGAGTTTCGGACTCGATCTGAGTTGTCGCGGTCTTCTGCCGACCCTTGTAACATATTTGTTCAGCTCACTCTCGAACTCTGCATGTAGATACCCTTACTTTGAGGGCGAGCCTGAGGTTGAACAGTCCACCTCAACTCCACGTTCATAAGCGCCCGCGGGGCCGGATCGTGGCGTTACAGAAGCCTCGCAGTAAAGAATATCCTGAAGCACATTACTCGCCGTATTCACTCGCTTCCCAATGCGCCAGGTGCAAGATTGGCGATCTTAATCTAAACCAGTTAGGTTGGCAGTCGAATGACTTCTCGACGTACGTTTCCCTTCCTCGTTCCACTCAGTTGACCTTATTTTCTAGTCGACACCGAGATCTATATTGTGAACAATATTGATTCAAAAAAAAAGAAAAAGTCTGTTTTACATTGATTTTATATTACATTTCTCACTCTCGATCGCCGTCGTTCCGATCCGAATTTTGTACCGTCATTGCCATTCCCATTTCCAGATGCTCACCGCACCAGTTACTATCTAGCCAGCATTCCCTATATATATAATCCCTGAGTCCTATGTTCGATCTCCTCACATCCTTCATCGATGGATTCTGCTATATCCGGTTCACATCCCTCGATGTACGCTGGTATGACAACTTCTCTATATCCACATCCCCCCTCTCCATCTTCCTCCTTGAATAGCAGTGCGGTCAGCTCGATGCAATCTGCTCATATTTCTATTGACGCCTTTCCATCATATACTAATGATTCGCCGGCGTCATATCACTATTCAATCCAGCAGGCCCCATCTCCATATGCCTTCCCGCAACAGAAAGACGAGTCCTCGTTCATCAAGTCTAGATTATCTGAGAGTCCCGTATCTACAATATTTACCGACTACTCTTCTGAAACCTCATCCGTCGAGCACCCATCCCGTGATAATCCTCATAGAGCAGCATCTCGTCTCACTATCGCACACCCATACGCACGTCTGTACGCAAAGAAGGATGGTTCCAAGCGACGAAAAATATGGAACCATGTGCTGGAGAAGCAACTCTTCTCTCCTCAGGAGCTGTGGGTACTATTTCTACATTGGTTCCAACCGACTAACGGCCAAGTTCATCCGCAGCTCAACAATGGGCGCACCACATAGACGTACCATCTACATTGCTTCTCTCGAGGCGCACATCGATCGGCTGCACAACCAGCTGCTCGGAATTGGGCTTTACCCTATCCCATTCGAACGCCTCGAGCCATACCGAGGCCTCAATTCAAAGACGGCTAAGGTGAGCAAGCCATTTCCATCTGCACTCTCACAGCCGACCAAGTTTATCCTATGAAGAGTATGGTAGCGGGCTTGCAGCATGATGCTACTCACACAAAGCTCAAGTTGCTAGAGCTAGAGCGTTCGGTACTTTCTCTTCTACTTACCTCCCAAGCCATTCTAAAATAATCTTACCGCAGAACAATAATCTCCACAAGCTGCTTGGCAAGCAGACAGCAACTTCAACCTCCTCAATTTCTCTTGAAGCAGATGTGCGGCGTCACTCTGTGGATTCATCCGGAATGGGCTTAAACGCAAGGAACGCTATCAATATGGGAGGCCCGATGATCATGGACTCGCTTGCCTATTCAGCAAGATAATAGTCCCCTATCTTCCACCCGCCATGTGCTAATAACTGGCATTCTTGGCCTACTTATGTATTTCTCCTAATCGCTTGTTCATCGCACCTGTATCGTACATAAGCGAAGCACGATATTTCCTATTACTTATGGTACTGCTTACGAGGCCCGTCCCCCAGTATATAATAGACCTGTCATTTGCAAGGTTGTATAGTGCTAGTAGATTGCTAAATGTGACTACCTCGGAAAATGCCTATAGTGCCTGTCTCAGCCACTTGCATTCTGAGAAGTTCTTAATCGAAAGAGCAGGATTTCATCTTGTCAGCATTCACTGCACCGGAACTAATCGATTCGGCAGCTATGCTTACCTGCCAACCGCAGTCATCGGTAATTAGTTGCTCATCGAACTTTTTGTCCAATGTCAGTACTCCTAGGGATAGAACACCTTCGAAAGATGTCTACCGCGGTGCCGGTGTTCATTTGAGCTCGGTTGGAAATTCATAGTATAAGTTTCCCCCCAAATACATATAGAAGGGGAGGCACCTAAGGATCTCTGAAAGCTGGACATAGGAGTAAATGCTCACGCGTACATTCGACGACCCGTTCCCATCGTTGAATCGAATCAAAGGAGCAGTGTTTTCTACTGCATCCATCTCCTACATTCTTAGAGCAACAACTGACGGCCCCAAACAGAACTCATACTCAAGCATCTAGACTCCGCATATTACTTGGTGATGATGACTGCATGCATGCCTCAAACGTTTCGATAGACGTACAATATTACTTGGCGATGGTGACTGCATATATGCATCCCTCAAACGTTTCGATAGACGTACGAGGGTACTCGTCATTCCTCAAGTTCTGCCAAAAAAAGATTAACACGAAGATCATAAGGTAAGTCCTTTAAACAGAATTGCTGGCCTCGTGTCAGTGTCCTAGAATATTTTTTTTTCATTGTCAGCTTTGAAGATCCGGGTTCCAACTTCGAATGAGAACGACGGGAATGCCATGTATAGGCATCCATGATGATTCAGAACAGCTCTAGATTGTGCGTATGAACACGGAATTACTCCCATATTCCGCTTTTGTCTAGTTTGACCCGTGTATCCTGCTTTGCTTTGCTTCCTTGCGGTCGTCCAGCTCTTTGCGCACTACGTTTCGTGTGATACTTTTTTTGCTGGCGCGAACGCTTCGCAAGGTCAGAAGCGACCCTGTCCCTTAATGCAGCGCTCTGCAGGGTCAGAGAAGCCGCCATTTTTGCCAAGGTGTCAGGCGAAGGCGAGCGGGAGCGTGGAGGTGATCTTGACAATTGAGACATGCGGCTGGAGGACCGGGAAATTGGGTCAGAGATGTTGTGTTCGTCGGTGCTTGGCGGAGGTAGTGAACACGACGGTACTTCGGTGCTCAATGGGGTTTCCAGGTCTTGACGCTCCTGCATTTCCGACTCATTGTGCCCACTGCCGCCGGATCCAACCTGGAAGTTGTCTCCGTCGTCCAGGACGTCATTAACTTCACTTTCATCCTCATCCTCATCCTCTTCCTCCTCTTCCTCTTCCTCCTCCTCCACATCGGAGCTGTTTTGATCACCGCTGTCCCGAAGTTCCTCTGCTTGGACAGCTTCCATGTACTGTAGCATTATTCATAAGAGCTTTAAATGTGTCAGATGCATGAGGCCCACCTCTTCTAATGTTTTCTGGTCCTTCTTCGCAAAACCGCTAGCTGCAACCATCACATCCAATTGGAAATCACCATGTTCCCCATTTGATTCGGCTTTAACGGCCTTGAATCTGGGGTACAATGCACTTTCGTACTTGAAACGTCGGCGGAAGAAGGTACGTATACATTCCACATCGCGATTGAAGTACCTTGAGGAATGTCATCAAGTGCATCAAATAAGTTTGAGTGTTGCGCACCATTCGGCATTTTCGTGCGACGTACTGACCATCTGCGGAAAATCAATAACTACCGGTTCACCACTGTCCCGGCGGATCAGAATATTGAATTCGTTATAATCCCCATGAATAAGCCCCGCCCGTGCAAATCGTACGATGATGTCCATTAACGTCGAGTACAACTTCCCTGCCGATGGAACGTCTGCGATCTGTCGTCTTGATCTACCATGAGAAACAATAGGAGTGCTATATGCAAGCATGTCCTTACAGCGGGTACGCATCGATCGCTTCCATAAGAATGCAATGCCTGGCTTGATCAATGGGCCGAGGGACCGGGAAATCGTGTTCGTGGAGGATCTGCGGTCGTTGAGTCAGTACCACGATCTAAATTCGTACCGAGTCCTGCAAATGTCTAAACTAACTAACTTTCATAAAGGCCCATTCTTTCTGCGCGGCTAGTCGTGACATGTACATCCACGATGCTGATTTGCGTTTCCCCATATAATCTCGTTTTTCCTTGATGGCGCGAAATGAAATACGGCCCAGCCTGATTCATGAGTAGGCAAGCCGTGAGCACTTGGCCTTGCCACCGACTTACCTGTGCAGTTTAAGAACCATTTGATTGCCCTCCGAGTCTGCAACGATATATACATCTGGGCCATATGATCAGCCATTCCGCAGGCGAAAATATAGAGCAAAGCCAGCACTGACCAGCCTCCTTCCCGACGCCGATCTGGTTTCCAACAGAATACATCGAGTCTCGCTTGGATAGTGCGCGCATCGCCAGATAATCATATCCGCCATACGTTAATCTATAGCCATCATCTGTGACCTAATGTTAGGCTTACATGGAAGACTGAAAGGACATGGACTGACACTTCGAGTTCTGAACTTTAGCGATCAAATTGCGTTTTGCCAAATTTCCGATAAGCTTGTTAACACCTCCATTTCGAAGCCCGGAGATTTGTACGATGAGTGGAGTTGGGACAACTTCGTGGTTCTTCGATCCAATTTCTACCTGCGTTTAAGTGTTTGAGAGGTTCATCAGCTTGACAAGGACCCCCTTACTGAAGTCAGCACGCGAAATTCATCCGAAGTGATGTATCGCAGATCTGTTGCATCAAGCTTCATACTTTGCTCGTTCTTCCGCTAGCGACGAGTATGACACAAAGTGAAGTGAAACTTGATACAAGAGCGAGTATAAGAGCGATAATACGAGCTGGCTGAGTAGCTATAGTGCTTAGATTCAAAAATCTCCGCACCAATATTGCCAAATTAGAAATTGCCAAAACGCAATCAAAATGTACCTTCCATCAGCACATCTGGTCAAGTAGATCGTCGTTCGTTCCGACCCCGTAGGTGAACACTACTCTTGGTATGTCGACGTGATGCGATTTTAAACTGTAATAACAGATCCCGACTGTTCGCTGTTACCAGTGACCTTGTCAAGAATGCGGTCTGGTAATGCAGTCAATAAAGCTAACAAGGTTTTCCGCATCATTAATCGACAGAAAACCTCACTCGAACTGTAACTTAGGCTACTGCGACACAACTGGAAGCGTGCATCTCGACATCTATAGAGCTAAATGGTGTCAGGTATGTCCCCCGCGGACTAGATTGCGACATGTTTGATAACTTAATGACACGGTCAGATTGCATCTCGCGGTTAAAGCCTCTTCAGAGCTGTCTGACGTTGAACGCGAACGAATATGGAACATTTTCGAATCCAATATGCGCCTGCTGTGAGCTTATGCAATGGAGGCGTTGCTTCATCTTGTAGCTCACGATTTACCTGCTCAGTTACGCGGCGTCGTCATTTGGCTGGGATCCTCATTCAAAGAAAGAAGAGATGTTCCACCCACATGCTCGGCTCGTCCTATGTGAGCGGTGCGATGATACAACCTCAGGTAGTGAACCATTTCCGTCAGAATCTCGGATAGTTGCCTATGGTATCCTACGCTTCGAACGTGAAGCCAAACAAGACGTGGTGTACTGGTAAGTACAATGTAGGAGGCTACAACTTGTAGACTCCTAGCTCATCAATTGATCGAAAAGTTACGAGCTCCAAGTGGCCGAGGAGTCTCGGCGGCTCGGGGTTGGGAAACTCTTAACTAGTGCTCTGCTCGATATTGGCTCGCAATGGGGGATGAAGAAAGTTATGCTGACCGTCTTTAAAGGTAAGCCTCCGATACAGTCTTACTTGCCATATCCTCACAAATAGTAGCCAACAATGCTGCACTTGCTTTCTACAAATTTTTGGGGTGTGTTCTTTTCATCCATGTCCTTGGAACTTACTAGATCCGTGAAGTCAGCTTTGATCTCGATCCCAGTTCACCTGGACTTGCGGAGGACGATGGCTGGCAAGATGAGGACGAATTAGACTACGACTACGTTATTTTGTCTAAGTCTATACTGTGATGTCCGACTGGATTTATTACTGTTATCTAACTACAAGTTATGCTGATAATTCAGACTTAGCTTGTGTGAATGATTGAGAATCGTGTTTACATGTGTTTAGACCGCCTCGAATTCACCCGAGTTCGAACAGACAGTGGAGTTGGTCAACAATATATTCCTCATGCCGCCGACCTCATCTTTGCGTGCACTTCAAGTGAAAGTGCCGCGCCACATAACAGGCAGGCGTTTTGCCTCCCATGGCCCACCACAATTCAACGAGCCTAGTGGTTTTCTTTTTGGTGAAAAGGTGATATCTCTAACGTTTGTTTGGGACCTGGGCTGACGGGATGACTGTTTCTTGGGATGACTCCTTTAGCCACCTGCACCAGGACAAAAGCGAGTTAAAGAGGAGTGGGAGAACATCTGGTATGTAGGGATGTTTGGGTCAATGGCAATGGCTGCAGTATTATTGTACTACAAGCCCGACACAAGGTGGGCGGCGCGTCTCTCCCGCTGTGCCAGTTCGTTCATCATTCAATTTCGTCTATGCAGCATACAAACATGGGCCCTAAGGGAAGCCAAGGAACGCATGGAAGCCCGTGGAGAGAAGTACAAATACGAGCCATCATCATAAATTCCTGAAGCCTGAGCTACATCCCATTCTGACAATCCATACTCGCTCGCTTCCATCCTCGAGCCCATAGATTCTATTGCAACAGTTGACCAAACATCTATGATAATATAAGTAATAACAAAGGTATGGCAGTTGAGGCCAGGTTGTATTGCTAGTCAGACTCAGTCTCCCGCAAATCTGCGGCAAATAGGAAGATGGTCGTTCCTTCGTTGTTATGATTCAGGCCTCCCAAGTCGCCTTGTAACCCTCAAGCGTGAGCAGCTCATTCATCTGTTGCAACAAGCCGTTGTTAGAATCCTCAGAGAAACGCGTAGAACACTCACTTCTTCAGGAGCAGAGAGCTGGATTTTGCATAGCCAACCTGCAAACCTCTTGTTGATACTGCTGTGACTCAATGGCAATGAAGCTTACCTTTTTCCTCGGGAGAGCGGTTTAGGAGTCCAGGTTCAGAATTCAGGACCTCGTTTACCTCAGTGACTGTGCCCGAAACTGGCGCATACTGTACAAACGAATATTCATAAGTGTTTGATCAAAAAGCAATGGATGTCTCTCAACGATATCTGAGGCTGCCTTGACACTCTCAACTGCACCAATCTGACCTACAAAATAGCGGATTGTTCACCCGTTCAAATTGTTCACAGGAAAAGGGCACGTACTGCCTTTTGAAACCTTCGAGCCTACGGCAGGAAGCTCCACAAAAACAACATCTCCGAGACTCTCCTGCGCGTGATCCGTTATGGACACAACACCCAACCCAGTCTCGTCGTCAAAAACAACGGCCTCGTGCTCCTCGGTGTACTTTTTTGCTAGTTGAGACTGTCAAACACGTCACTCGGAAAACGGTGGGTTTCACTCACTAACTATGGTCCGGCAAGCGGGCATGCGTACAATATTTGAGGGACTTGACTTCGCAGCCCTCAAAGGCATCGTTCGCGCACGAGCAGCTTGCCTGATTGCAGAGAACATAATTAAGTTGCTTCGGCCGAGCGAGTGTAAGGTAGCTTAGGCAAGTGGGGGTGTGAGACAAGATATCTTCGCATTGTAGCCAAGAGATTTCAAACAACCGACGTTTACTTCAGGGGAAAGGCCGAAGTTCGTCCGTAAAATCACGAACTGCGGCAACAAGGCGGCTGTACAATGAAGACAAAAAAGCAGGATGTAATATTGGGGTTTGCGTCTACTTTTGAACATGATGCTGAGGGGGGATGCAACGACATTGCAGGTGAAGGCAAGGAAGAATTACGACAGAATAGTATATAATAATCTAGTACTTTTCATGCGTACTCCAGGATCTTCGTAACGATACCAGTGCCGACTGTATTGCAGTTATTCAGCTGGGACCTGGTGGAGCATAAACATATAACTTACTTGTCTTGCCACCTTCACGAAGAGTGAAGCGGGAACCAGCCTCGGCGGCAACATCGTGAACCAACTCACAAACCATCTCGACGTTATCTCCGGGCATTACCTACCAAGAAGGTGTAAGCATTATATAAGAAAACGGCGCAGTACATACCATTTTCTCCTCAGCGTTAGGAGTACCCTCCGCGAAAGTGAGAGCAACAGTGATGTCAGCAGTTCGGAGGAAAAGCTGGGGACGATAGTTGCTCATGAATGGCGTGTAGCGGCCACCTTCATCCTTAGTGAGGACGTAAATTTGAGCCTGGAATTTCTTGACGGCCTTGATCGAGCCTGGGGCAGTAATAACCTGACCACGACGGACTTGTTCCCGCTTGACACCACGTAGCAGACAACCCATGCTGTCACCGGCTTCACCCTAACAGAAGGATAAAAATAAACATGACGAATATGTAACATGGAGTAAGCATACTCGGTCGAGCTCCTTGTGGAACATCTCTGCAAATACATAAGACATTCAGCATTCAAAGATGCATTAGAAATGACCGTACCGATGCCAGTCAATGTGGTTTTGAAACAGGAGCCAAGGCCTACGACCTCAACATCAGCGCCCTTAGTTATGACACCACGCTCAACCTATACAACAGGTCAGCTTATAAAACAACCACTTCTAAAGCATAACTTACCCGTCCGGTAGCAACAGTGCCACGACCAGAAATCGAGAACACGTCTTTAAGAGAATGGAATGTCAAAGCTGCAGCCCAGCATGGATGGACGTGATATTACCTTCAACACGCATCAAGAAGGGCTTCTCGAGGTCACCTGTGAGAAGATATAACCCTCCTGGTCAAGCAGTGCATATAAAGATAAACTGACGAGGGGGAACGTCAAGCCACTCATCACAGGCCTTTACAAGACTAAGGATCTTCTCCTTCCCTAAGCTGTCATCCCGACCTTCCAAAGCGGCCAATGCTGAACCCATGATGATAGGAGTGTTTTCACCGTCAAAGTTGTAAGTCGACAACAGATCACGCATCTCCATATCAACAAGCTCAAGCATCTCCGGGTCCTCAATCATGTCAACCTTGTTGATAAAAACGACCAGCTTCTTGATGCCGACTTGGCGAGCGAGAAGCAAATGTTCACGGGTCTGAGGCATCTGACCATCCGTTGCCGACACGACAATAATGGCTCCGTCCATTTGTGCAGCACCAGTAATCATGTTTTTGATGTCTAAGGGTAGCTGTGTAAGCCTAGGGACGTATGCAGGAAAGAAAAGACTGACAATCAGCATGACCAGGACAGTCAATGTGCCCGTAATGGCGGTTATCAGATTCGTACTCGACGTGCGAAGAGTTGATGGTGATACCACGAGCTTTCTCCTCAGGCGCCTTGTCAATCTGCGAATAGTCCGTGAATTTTGCAGCACCACTGTCGGAGAGAACTTTGGTGATAGCTGCGGTCAACGTTGTTTTGCCGTGGTCGACGTGACCTAATGATCGAAGAGTTTAAAACGCGTCAGGATGCGAGAAAAAGTGGCTTTACCAATGGTGCCAATGTTCATGTGGGGCTTTACGCGGGAGAATTTGCTTGCGGCTTCAGCATAACCGCGTCGGTTGCCTGCTGGAAAGTCTCAGTCACGAACGAATTTTCTCAGACAAGAAGGACCGCACCCCAGCTGACAACCGAAGGTAGAGAAGGACCAGACGATGGCTTCCATGTGGAGCACCGGCAACGAGCATACAATGAAGAAGCCCTCAGAGCTTTATGACCAGAAAATGTTAGGCATATACAATAAAGATGATGGCAGAATATGAGATACCTCTTGAGGAGCCAACGAATTTGTTTGCTATTCCTCTCTGAGCTGCTAACCTAAACATACTTGTTGCAAGTGAAGCTAGAGCCAACGTTCTGACCCGGGAAAATTGGAGACGATCGGAGAATGAATTCGGAGCGATAGTAAACTTTCCTAATTGGCAAGTAGCGAACTTACCAGCTATGTCAGACACTGACAGACGAGAGCTCGTCCGCAATGCAGTTTCGTTCCTTTCAGATTCTACGGTGCGCAAGTTCTACACTTTTCATAGTATAAAATACTGATCGTGTGTACAAGACACAACAGGCACCGGTTGCCCAGCGTGTGCAGTTCCTCGAAGCAAAAGGTCTCACCGGTCCAGAGATCGAGGAGGCAATGAAGCAGGCCGCGAACCAGACTGTGCGCTCGCAACCTGCGCCTCAACTTCAAAATTACTTTCAGTCGCCGTATCCAACATATGGACCAACTCCCTATCCCGGCTATCCTTCTCAGCAGTGGGACTGGCGCGATTATTTCGTGCGTCGTTTAACACCTTTTGGGGGGCGCGAGTTGTGAAATATCGGTCATACGTTCCCTCTAGATAACTGCTGTCATATCAGGATCAGTGGTGTATGGAGCCGTCTCGCTGTTCAAGGTGAACGACTTGAATCACTCCATGTTTCCTAGTCTTACATTGGCTTTAGAAATATCTTCAACCTCACCTCATTCCTCCAGCAGCGACTGCATATGAGCAGGACCGTGATGGTCTGACAGCACAGTTCGATGCTGCAGAGGCTCTCTTGAAGGAAATTCAGGCAGAGACTGAAGCCGTCAAGTCTGCGGTGTATGAACAGAACGAACGGGTGGATAAAGTCACCAAAGATGTTGAGGCAGTAGTAGTTGAAATGAGGGAAGGTGAGTCAAAGACGCGGGACGAGATGCGTGAAATCCGCGACGAAGTGGAAAATATCCGAGAGATGCTGCCTAAGGTGGAGCCAGCCATGTTGGTGATTTTTGCGATCTCACATTTTTCAACGCAGATGATCGAGAAGAACAAGGAGTCTCAGAAGGAGTCTCTTGCTGAGCTGCAACAAGAACTCAAATCCCTGAAGGCTCTGTTGCTCAGTCGTGGGTCTGCTCCACTGACGAGCTCTCCTTCGACGCCCATACCCTCCTTGGCCGGTAGACCATCGATACCTGCATGGCAATTGGCTAGCTCAGCGTCGGTACCATCTGCTGCAGAGTCGCTACCGAGGTCAACTTCACTGAATGGGGCAATTGCACCAAGACTGGCCGAGTTGAATGGAAAGGAAACAGAGGTGTCATCTATTGAATCGTCATCTTAAAATTCTGTAGTTGTATATTATATTTGTTATATGGCATGTTACGCTGCTGGGAGAACTCAGAAGTACACAATTCGACGATACGCTCACGTGGGAGACTCGTCCAAGTGCCGTCACCGACTCAACGTCGGTGCAACGACTACTTACTGCTGCCGCCACAGTTTCATCAGAGTGCTTGTCGTATCCCATGTTTTCGCAGTTCCGGCAGGCAGTGGAGGGCTTTGCGCAACCGCAGCCACGTCGGTCTCAAGACCTCAGCGCGTCCGGCGATGATCATAACCTGCGCAGGTCATTTGCAGCGCAGCGCCCTGGGAGCCCGCTGTCGCGATCTTCTAGCCCTGTCTCTTCGTCTATCCCGAAGACTAACAGTACACCCGATCCTGGACTACGCAAATTTACTCTCGAAGAACGATTACGCGCGTCGTTCTCAGTTGGAGAAGCATCCAATACCACAACGCCTGCTATTTCTTCGAGAGTTTCGCCGGCGCCGAATGCAGTTCCAGTCACGCAGCACCCACTCTCACCCACATTTATTCCTCTGCCAGCCTCCCCTGTGCTTCCAGCGGCAGCTTCTCCACCGCAAGTATCTGATGTCCAGCCCAGTGACCTTCCGGCAGATCCTTTGCCATTTACCCTCGCTGTAAATCACCTCCAAGATGCTAGTGAAGAAGGCTCTCATACTATCGTATCATCAGAGGTTCCTCAAGCTCTAGCTGATATTCCACTGCCACTCAGCCCAGAAGAGAAACCCCCCATAGACAACTCCGATAGTCTCCCAGTACCTGCATCAGCCTCCACTGTAACAGAAGAAGCTCTAGCTGATATACCACTGTCACTCAACCCAGAAGAGAAACTTCCCACAGACAACTCCGATAGTCTCCCAGTACCTGTATCAGCCTCCACTGCGACAGAAGACGCTCTAGCTGATATATCACTGCCACTCAACCCGGAAGAGAAACCCGCCACAGACAGCTCTGATAGTCTCCCAGTACCTGTATCAACCTCCACTGTAACAGAAGAAAATCCTCAGCTACTTGACCATCTTCCCGCTGTCACAGACACGGTACATGCGTCAGACGTTCACGGATCGGAATCTAGAGACGTTGATAGCAACACCGATGTTCCGATTCAAGTAGATGTGTCTGCTTCGGACGATGATGTTGATGGTGATAGGACGGAACAGCCTCTAGAAGACCCTCCCGTTGTGCCTTCAGCAAAACGCAGCGAAGCTGACGTAGAAGCTCTTCAAGAACGTCTAAGACTTGTTGAACTACGGTTTTCAGGTACGTTCTCAGTTGGTCAATACGTTAGGTGCATGCTTACGCTTACAAGACGTGTCGACGTCTTTTAAGAGACTTCAGGCAGAACGTTCGGCTGTAGATGATGTTATCCGGGAATTGACTCCTTTGGAGGATACTGAGGATGTGACTGTACTACGCGATTACTTGGCTAACATGAACATGAAAACTGAGGTGATGTGCCACATTATTTGCTTGCTTCTAACCTCTCATCTCTCCGAGTAGCTTGCACAGGATGAACTGCAGCGTCTCAATGGAAAACTCACACGTAATGAAATGTCTTTATATAGCTATTAAGAGAATGCTGACTGTTGTTAAAACAGGTCAAGAGGAACGTATCGAGGAGCTCAGAGATACCCACAGGCTTGAAACCAGGTCTCAGTTGGACCAGATCGACAAGCTCCGTCAACAGCTTAACGAAGCGGAAGCCCTCGTTTCAGCCTCCCAAGCTTCAGCTTCTCACACAGAAGAAGAAATAGCGAGGCAGAATGTTGAGATTGAACGACTTGCAGTTGAGGCTGCTAAAGCAAAAGAAGTGGCAAAAGAAGAAGAAGAGAAACGTGTCAAGGCGATTAGCCTCCTCAAGACTGTGCGTCAGAAGCTTGTCAAAGCCGAGAAGGATAGAGACGATGCAGTCAAGGAACTCGGAGAATCCAAGGAAAAGGAGAGGCAGGAGCGAGACAAAGAGAGGGCTGAACGAGCAAGGTTGCAGTCAGAGATCGATGTGATCAATGCAGAGCGGGAGAAAGCGGTAGCCGGATTAAGGACCCAGTTTGACAAGGAGGTAGCTGCTGTCAAGGACCGCAGTGAGAGGGAGCTTTCTGCCGCCCACGCACAATATGAAGCTGAGATCGCAGCACTGAAGGTTCGTGTGAAATGATTGCATCTTTGCCAATGATCTAAGAAATTGTCCAGATTTCGCATTCAACGGAATTGACTCATAAGAGGTCACAGATCGCCACATTGGAAGCATCTGTCAACAAGCTCTCCAGGGAGAACAGGACCTCCTTTGAGCAACTCCAGATCCGGCAGGCCGAGTTAGAATCCTCTCAGCACCACGTCGGGACCCTCCAGAGTCAAGATACCGAACTGCAGTTCCAGCTTAGAGAAGCACAAGATCATGTTACCCTTCTCACAGAGGAAATCTCAGATCTTCGAGGAGAGCAAGAAACGCGACCGCATGGGCAACTCGTTCCGCAGGAAGATATCTCCCAGCTCATCTCCACGATGGAAGCCAAGTACGAGGCCAAATTGGCAGAGATCAAAAGGAACTTGATCCTCGCAGAGAAAGAGCGTACAGAGAGCGAAGCGGACTGGAGTCGCAAGCTTTGCGAGAAAAGTAGAGAAACGGACGAACTGAAGATGATTCTGCAGTCTTCTGCAAAAATGCGGGAAGAGAAGCATAGCACTACAGGAGTGCTGCAGGGTGAGATCGAGAAACTCACAGCTGAGGTGCAGGATCACCAGCGGCGTGCGTTGGAATTTCAGCTACAGGTTGACCTCATGAAGGATGCTGAGGTATGGCTCGTGTACTATGCGCCAATTACTCTTTATGAAAGGTGTTATACAGACGTCATTCCAGCTTCGCATATCAGATGCGAAAGCAGAAACTGAGGGTTACAGGAACCAGCTTGAAAGCCTGAAGGCTCATGAAGCACAGCTACGTGGGCACATCAAGGTGATGACCATCCAAGTTCTTCACTCTCCCCCCTGTCTTACGGCACTCACAGACACTCCGTGAGGAGCTTCGCAAGGTGCAAAACTCAGCTGCTTTGCTCGAGCGCCAGCGCAATCCAGGAGTGGGTTATTGGACCTCGCGAAGCGAGAACTCTGATTCTCGTGCATCGATATCATCTGTCTCTGATCTTCCATCGCGAACTGCATCTCCTGGACCAACATCGCCCACCCCCTCGAAAGGTGATGAAGAGGTTAACTTGGAGTACCTTAGAAATGTGATATTGCAGTTCCTTGAGCACAAGGAAATGAGAGTGAGTGCAGAACACTGAAGAAAACGTTTCCGCTCACATCGACATTCTTTCAGCCCAATCTCGTCCGTGTTTTGTCCATCATTTTGCGTTTTACACCACAAGAGACTCGGAGGCTGATAGCAAAAGTGCAGTGAGGAAGTTATTCAGTCTTCGATGGAGCTTTAAAGTATATATACACTACACTACGCTTGCTTTTGCTTTTTCCGCGCTGTCATTGCAATTTGCATCATTAGACACATTACCATATTTGTCGTTACATAAATGAGCGCGCCGCAGCGCTAGCCCCGAGCTCGGTACTCAACATCAGCACGCCGCTTAATTTCAACACTGCCGCTGAATTGTTGACGGCCGCTGAACACGTCGCGAAACGTTAACACAAAGCGAGCGGATAACCACCGGTAACAGCAGTTCATATTCAAAATATGTCCTTCGCGGAGTTGACGAGGAATTCGTATCAACGTGGGGTATCCCCCCAACAGGTGAGTGGTTTCTCCTGTGATTATGGTGTGCTGGAGCTTCTCAGTGGCTAGGATTGTGCAAACTGCTTGTACAGCAACAAGATGTCGGCGTCGGCACCGACGTTAGCGCCGCTATCAGCAGTATGTGGCCCGGGTACTGAGGATCTAGACTTGGGATTGAATACGTGTTTCGGAACAGACACTATCCTTGAACTTTATCGCTTGTGCCCCGCAGACCCTACTCTTCGCGAATACCTTCAGCTTGCCCTGAGTGACGGCTTACTTTCGAACGCGGTCTTCATCTCCACATTCATACGCGCCGCTCGGGACCCAGAACTTCAGAATGGGTCTACCCTGGATATGCTTTGCCGTTTAGCTCTTAATACACATTACACATCGGGATTGTCACCCGTAGGATCCATCATCCCCTTGACAGACTCCCAGGTGTCCGTGCTTTCCAGAGTACAAGATGCCCTGGCTCTTTTGAGGATTGCCCACTCTCTTCCCCCTTCTAACTTCCATCATCTCATTCTATCAGCTTCTGAACTTGCGATCCTGCTATTGTCTTGTGTTACTGATATGTCGCAGGTAACAACTGCTCAAGCTATGATTTATCTCGGGGATGCGAATGATGTACTGCACTCATTGCGCCTTTCGCCGGAACTCCGGCAGGTACTCGAGGGCTTCGTGTTATCTTTGAGTTTGCTCATGGGAGACGACGCGAAAGCCGTCCGAGATGCACAAATGTTGCACACTATGCAATTGACTATGGGAAAACATGACGTACTTGGTGCCAATGCTGAGACTGACACCATCACCTGCGGTTTGTTGCTGCAAAGCCTTGCACGTATTTTGTAGCTGTAACTCGAATATCACTCATGTTTTTTTACAGGTGGCATGTCGAACCAGTGATTTTGGAGCGGGAAGTGACTTAGAAGCTGTTGCAGTCATGACAGGCACATTGCGGTGGACGTCATGGGCACCCAATGTCTTTTGTACACAGCTACTCGTAGCTGCTCTGACTTGCGTCGCTCAGAGCTCTGCTAAGAACGATTACGAATCTTCCTTCTCTCTATGGAGAGCATTTGTGGTTGGTCGTGTAAGTTTTAGCGCAAGCCACCGCGAGTATCAGTACAGCTTACAACTGACTCTTGGCCTATAGCTTCCACGGCTTCTATTTGCCCTCGGAAAAAGTCTTGAAGCTCATGGAACAACGGAGGCAGATTGGGTATGCAGTGTCTTTTTAAAGTCAGGGAGGCTTATCATGATTCATGACTGTATCAGCGAGCCGCAATGCATGCTGCGTTATCGTCATTATCTCAACGGTCTGATTTATTGGCGCAGTGTGATGCTATAGCCCAACAAAGCAGAGGACACGATTCCAGTCAAGACAACAACACATCGTATGCTTGATAGCTACTCCACGATCTTCACGCTAACATCTCATTCTGAAGACAGAGATCCCTTATTCGCGAATTCGTTCAACAACTTCTAGCTGTTGGGATTATTGAGTATGCATTTGCGGTTACAATGGACCCCATGATGGTAAACGACCCCACGGCACGTTTGCAGACAGAAGCTTTTGAACATGGTTGTTCCATAGAAGTAAAATCATCACACATACTTTCCTTGCTGATGATGACAAGACCTGCAGGTTTATCTAGATTCAAAGCTCACTTTGGACGCAAGTCCAGAAGACACCTTATTACTGCTGGAGAAAATCCGGCAAGAACCCGGCAGCCACCACTGTTTTGCTGACGTTGTTCAGAAAGTAACGGCGAAGTCATTCATGATTAATCCCATCTGTTGATCAGGTACATTTTTCAGAGATTTACGTCACACTCTACGTCGCTGGATCTTGAGCACTTGAGTCACCTAACGCGGACACTGTACAACCACGACTTTGCTTTAGATATCTTATCACTGCACCTGAAGATCTCTTACTTGATCTGCGATGCACTGGAGATAATCTCCGAGTATGATTGCGAAACAGTTGGTATGTTCGCCACCGAAGCTTACGACATTTGTGCTAACAACGACTCATAGGTGATCCACAGACTGCAGTGAGCCATTTGGGCGATATAGTTCTATTTGCAGAGATGGTCTTGGCGAAATTCCGGGTATGTTTCTATCATCGGAATGCGATTGTTCCTTGACGTTCTCTGTCAAGATCTCATCGCCAATCATCAAAGGCGGAAAGATGTACCGCACAGAACTTCTCCGATGCACTTCGAGGGTTTATCAGGTGGACGAGTTAAGCCCAGAACACAAATCCGCATTTGTCACTTGGTTCAAGGCAATCTTTGATAGCAGCAGCGAAGGGATCGACGACGCCTTACTCCGGTAATACTTTTCCTCCCTAGGATATGAATTGTGTCTCATTTCCCCGTAGCACAACTAAACCCCAAATTCTCCTGCAAATCTCCGCCACATTGTTCTCACAAGCTGCCCTGGCTCGCCAGGAAGGGCGAATCGACAATGACACGCTGCAGACCGGTATGTCATACTTCCTTGGGCCACTGCTCCGGTGGACGCTCGTCGGCGTGATCCATGCCATGTTGTTTGAAATTGGGCACAAAGCGTGAGTCTAACACCAACCTCAAAGAAAATCATCACCGACACGTTTCTGCTGCAGGCTGGTAGCTCCCTTTCACCTTCCAATCGTACAAACTATTTTATGTTCCTCCTGTTGTCCCCTCGTCGTCCGGCGTCTTTGTAGTCCGAGCTGCCTCAGACTATTATCTAGTAGACGGATACAAGCCTTTTCCGTGACTCCCTTGCTGGATATCAGCGTTATACGAGCTACGTGCTTCCAAACACTCGGAGTCAACAAAGACCGTAAGCGACAAGTTAGTAGTACTCATTGTTTGCCAACTGAATCAATCATCTGGCATAGCATCGTGCAAGGCGTTGGAGGATTATCAGATTAGCCCTGCTACCAGATGGATGGACTTCCCAAAACAAGAGATCCACGAGGCGCTCGCGTTAGCTCGACGCCACAAGGCCCCTCGTATTGACGTTACCCGCTGTCTCACCGCTACTTCTCCTTCTAAATTCCTTAATCTGCTCTGGTCAGAGCTCAGTGTTTCTTCGAGTCTAGGGGAGATGGAAACCTGCAGGCGCCTGGCAACGTTCGTTTTAGCCATACCGCGCCAGCTATCATCAGCCCCACCACTCCTTCCAATTTTTATGTACAACGTTCTCCCCTCCCTCATTGCAGCCATAGACCAACAGCAGGCAACAGAGAAGGGTATGAACACACAGTTGCTGGTTACAATCATTTCATCTGCCCTCACCGCCGCACTCCACATCGAATGGGCGGTGCAAACAGTATGCGAAGAGCAGCGCTTTGTGCTCGGTCAACCAAGTGCCACTGTTGCGAGACGACTCGCAACTGATCTACGAGGGCAAAAGAACAGTTCGTCTACAAGTGCAACTATTTTGCAGCGTCTGGGATCATCCTCCGCTTTTGTGACGAATTTCCCTGTATTTGTTATGTAGACCAATCTTCACGGTCATCTATCTCGTGGACGTCTATTTGTGGTGCGCGACCCCAGATTGTCGCCGTCTGAATTCTTTGTTCATCCTTCACTGCCATGTATCCCTCGCCAAAATCAAATTCCGTGTACTCCAGTGGCGTGTAATCAGGGCATGTACATGAGGGTTCGAAACACATAAATAGTAATGTAAAACACATGGGTAAACATTCGTTAAACACCTGGTGGGGGTGGTGCTGGCAACACGCAAGTGGAAGCAATAGTATGCGGGATAGATAGAGGACTCACGGCAGCAAGCATTTTGTACGGGATCGCAATTTTGATCCGCCGGACACAGTATCAAACACGACGAGTCTGTGGATGTCTTGGAGGTGATCAGCCACATGCGGATAACTGCAATTTAACATATCGCACGCACCTTCAAGTGGTCTTCCGTTGGACTGCGAGGATGGTACTCCGGTTGAATAGTACTAGAATGTATGCCGTGGTGATGAAGAGTTTTTCTAATGTCTGCTGCAACAGGCATAAAGTCATGATTTCGTGATGCCATCACATGTACCGACGCGACGATCTTGGATTCCGAGAGCTGCCAAACATGCAATTCGTGCACAGAAAGAACCCCATCTACATTTAGAATCGATTCCCGGACTTCGTCTAGGGATATAGTGGGGGGTACACCCTGAAGGAGAATGAAAGACGCGCTCCGAACTGGGACAGGTGAGTCGATGCCGATACAGACAAAAAAAAATCACGTACCCAACGGCAGAGCAGACGAAAAGATAATCGCCGTGATCACAAGACTGATAACTGGATCGAAGTAAAATTTGTATTTCCAATTCGTAAGCCAGATGACCAGGCCGGTAGCAATGACTCCCACATTCCCCAGGGCATCACCTAATACATGCAATACCAAGGCGCGCATGTTCATAGAGCCATGCGCATGACCATGATGTGAAATATTACCGGTACGAGACGAAGCCTCGGTTGTTTCGGCTCCGAGGAGTGGGGCACTCTCGTCGAACACGTGGCTAGAAGAGCTGGCATTCGTAAGTCGCCTCGCATGCGGAGGAGGTGATGCAATGTCCTGGGCAGCTTGCACGACTGACGCACGCGTCGCAATGGGGTGCCCATACATCGAGGAATACGAGCTGGAGCGCTCACGGCTACTACGCCACCCAGGTATTCTTCTCGGGGGAGTGACATCATCGTCTACTCGGTCTGACTGAGTGATGCTCGGGGGACGAGTTGGCGAGGGAGAGGTCTTATGGTCGTGACCATGTGCATGACTACCTTCTAGAAATAGTGTGATGGCGTCTGAGTAACATGGGTACAGTAACGACGTTAGAACTGACCGTGGAAGAGGAAGAGGCCAACGATATTGGAGGCCAGACCGAAGGATCCTACTATTACAATGAGACGAGGATTGGAAATATCTGCAGGAGCGGATAGTGAGAATTTTTTTCCGTTTTTCACAAAGTACAAACTCACCTGGAGTGCTAAAGAAGCGCTCCAAGGCTTCCATAGTGATAGAGAAGCAGAGTGCAAGGAGAAAAACCCCATTAATAAGAGCAGCGAGGATCTCGGCTCTGTGCCATCCATACGAATATCTAGAATCAATGGCACTGTTTTGCGACAGCTATAAGGCAAAAAGGGTAATGAATTGGTCTGAGACCCGAACCGATTAGTGTCATACCTTGATGGCGTAGAGAGCAACCACAAGGCTTATGACGTCACTGTCGCAAGATGTCAGCTACAATCACTAGCAGCGTAAGTTGTAGGAACTAACTTTAGCATGTGAAAACTGTCGGCGACGAGGGCAAGTGAACCGACAGAATAACCTACGAGTCTCTCTTAGGAGTATCCTAGCGTGAGACTGTGATGTATTTTGCTCACCTGCAATGAGCTCAATGAAGAAGAATACCACATCGATAATGAGCAATAGCGTTATTCGCCCTGAGCGAGACATCCCGAAGGCAGACATCACTGGTGGTGGTAGTTGCTAATAAGTACCAAGTACGTGGTTGAACCACTTCGCCGCGGAACTTGCGCGGTCGCTCTAGCTGCTTATGTCAGCGTCTACACCGCGTTTTTTCGGCTGATCGAAATCTCCAACTCGCTGTCACGGTTGAGCAAGACCGTAGTATCGCTGTCCAAATCGTAGACCAACAGTAACGTTCACATAGGAAACCAAAATGGCCGCTCCATCGATGGCCGCAGCCCTGGCTGCCTCACTTCCCGCCCCCCAGGCTGCACCAACACCTGCTGCCCCCACATATGAAGCCATCCCTGCCTCCATGTCCAAGGCGATCGACATCGAGGCTGAAATACCTCTTACATGCGTCCAGCTTGATGGCATGGTGCGTAATTTTGCAGATCGTGTCTCTTTCTTTTGTTCCGTCATTTGCTTATGAACGTTCCTACTACTACTTCTGCTTTTCAAGTTCCCCGTTGGACTTCTATGAAGTCATGCTGACATTTGTATCCAGGTTATTACCAAAATTTTGAAACACAGCCGCGAGGTGTCCTCGACGACTGCCCACGGACTTCTCTTAGGCCTTGATCTGGATGGCATCCTCGAGGTATCCAACTCGTTTGCATTACCGAATCATACCAATGAAGATGATGAAAAAGTAACGAAATCTATCGGTGGGCCCGTTCCGTTGCTATCTCCAAGGACTCCAGGCACTAACAAAACGTTCCGGCTGGTAGCTCGCTACCAGTCATCCATGCTGCGGTCCCTGAAAGAGGTTCAGGGAGACGACAATGTCGTAGGGTTTTACCAAGCGACCTCACTTGGCGCTTTCTTCAATCAAACACTGATCGATACGCAAGCAATCCACCAAGATAGGCTTAGACATGGCGGTGTTGTTATTGTTCATGGTAATCTCACGTGCACGACGTGCTGTTGCCACATGCTAACATCGAGGTTTAGACATTTCACAGACAGCGCGAGGGAATGCATCATTCCGTGCGTTCAAGCTGACACCTGCGTTCATGGATGCCTATAGAAGAGCTAATTTTAGTACGGCTGGGTACGGTTTCTCATTTGATCATGCTGCTTGATCGATTTATCTGAGTGCGATATATAGGTTGATCAGCCATCGATTGACTTTCTCTTCCATACTAGAAGAGATTCCGCTGAGAGTTCGGACCAACGCACTTCTGATGTCGTACTTGAACACGCTTGCAGCTCCGTCGACGTCAACGTTTTCGGGTGCTCATCCTGGTGTTGCAACTACGTCAGCATTACCTCCGTCATATTCAGTGCTTGATATAGGTAATATGGGGCTGACGAAGAATCTTGAGCAAGTTGCCGAAGCGATCGACAATTACCGGACAGAAGAAGGTAATGTCGCGTACCTATCAAGGCAAATCGCAAGGGAGAAGCTTCGTGCGGAGACGTATGTTGCGAAACGGAAAGAGGAGAATGCGCGGCGCGTGGCGCAGGGATTGAATCCACTCCCTGAAGAAGATGTGAGCAGGTTATTCAGGATCCCGCCTGAGCCGAGCCGGCTGGAGAGCATGCTCTTACTGGGACAAGTGGATGCTTACGCGAAGAGCCTCGAGAGTAGCGCAGGTACGGGATTAGTGAAGATGTATGCAGCCAAAGCTAGCTCTGGTGTTTAAGTTACCTTTCTGCATTTTATGAGGTAGTCTATAGGGGCTAGACAATTAGCATTCGAGAACAATGGCAATTGCTTGGGAGACTTTTGGTTGTTTAAAGATACCAAACAAGGATGGATTACCAATACCTGTTAATTCCTGACAGGTTGGGGTGAGGAAATTTTCCACCGCAGTCGGTTGCGATGGGTAAAATTGGGTTGAGGGAAGAAATAAATTTTCCGGGTGGAGGAAGAGCTGCTCGATTACTCGGGGTTGGATGTGACGAAATCTGCGATGCAGAAGAAATACGGCAACCCTAAACGTGGTAGACACGAAATTAGCATAGCCTTTTGATGGAAATATGATTACCTAATATACTCTGTGGGGATATAACACAGTCCCGTCGACGGTGTTTGTCTTACTCGTTAACGGTTGTTCCTCGTTCTTTCCCTCCTCCGGTCGTCGATTCTCTATTTTTCTTGTTTAAACCCTCTTTTCTTCTTCTTCCGCTGCTGCTGTTATTATAAAACCTCTGTCGATCTTTGAAAGTCGTAACAGCAAGAGAACCTCCTCCTCTCGTTCTTTTACACAATGGCACCCATAACGAAGTACATCGCTCTCTTCTCTCTTGCCCTCTCAGCATCTGCTCTCACCAACCCCCATATCTCAAACAACGTTTTCAATCACCGCCGTGCAGTTGCTCGCGTCGCCGTACAAGCAGTTACTCCCCCAGTCGCTGCTCCTGCGACTCCCCAGCGTAAACGTTCCTTAAACAAACGTTGCGTTCCCAAACCATCTGGTAACTCTACTAGTACTGCAGTATCATCCTTCGCCACCTCTGCTCCTGCCACAAGCGTACCGTTCAACGTTGCTCCCTCCCCCGTCATTCCTACCACCTTTTCTCAGGTAGTCTCACCGTCCCCAATAATCCAGTCCCCTTCCTCGTCCTCATCCTCGTCCTATGTTGCCCCTCAGGCTCCCGAGCAGACCCCGACCCCAACTCCTACACCCACACCTTCCCCAACTCCTACACCCACACCTTCCTCATCTTCCACTAGCCAGGCTCCTGTCCAGACCACTTCTACATCTAGTAGTAGTTCGTCGAGCAATCCCAGCTACCTGAGTGGCACTCAGAGCGGACAAGGTAATTTATTTTTTCTTCCTCATTGTCTCGTTCGTAGCTCATTTTTCATCGCAGGAACTTACTACGCGACTGGTCTTGGCGCATGTGGTATCACAAACACCGATACTGATTACATTGCTGCTGTCTCGGAGTTGTTGTTCGACACCTACCCGTGAGTCCTTTGCTCTCTGTTCGTAACCTTCCCCGGGCTTATTTTGGTGAACAAGTGGCTACAATGGCGTGAACCCCAACGACAACCCTGTGTGCAACAAGAAGGTCATGGCTATGTGTCAGTGCTTTCGTCTCCCCTTAACGATCATCTATTGAATGGATTTTTAGATGAGGGCAAGAGTGTCACGGTGACCATCACAGACCGGTGCACGGGCTGTCAAATTGGTGACCTCGACTTCTCACCCTCTGCGTTCACCTCATTGGCTTCTGAGTCATTGGGACGCATCGATATCACGTGGGTCTGGGTCTAAGCATTTCGCTCTCGTTATGCCTTCATGCTTTCGCGACCAATGGGCCTTAAAGCCTCCGACATTTTTTTATTCATTATTCTCGCAGTTAATACTTCAAGCTATATATATCCCTTCCCGACAGGCTTCGCGCCAGACGCCTCTCTGCGAGAGCTTGGGAAGCGCTGTCGGTTTCACTCATTTCATATACCCACACACTCACGCGTGCTACGTACTTACGATCACTGGATGATTCCTACATACTTAGTTGATGGGTCGGTGGAATGAGTGGTTGTTGCTTGCTTGCTTGGGTCTTGCAGCGCTTTTCATCTTGATATTAAGCTGTGGTAGAAAATCTTATTGTGCACCTTGTAATGCAAATGGAATATAGAGTTTGTCGTCTGGATGTACAATGTGCATGCTAAACTTGTTATGTGCACAATGTGCGTGGTGACAGCCATCTTATCGCACAACACCGGAATCAATCATTGAATCAATATCAATTTTCGGCCCATCTGCGCAGTATCACGCCATATTTGAGTGCTCTGAGTCAATTCTTCATGTCCGATACTTCTGCCCTCGGTCCAACAGTCAAGGAATCAAGTTGTCATCTTTCATTTCCGCATCGCTGCCGTTTTGCAAGCTTTATGATAATCACATGAGCATAGGTAATGCGATTGATCCTTTGGGAAAAGTCTGGGTTGACAGGCTGTGAGAGGCCGCCTCAAAAATGCTGGACAGACGCCGCCGAGTCATCACCAAGGGCCACAGTATTCCCGCGGCCTGAAAGACGGCATTCTTGCAGTACGGGTAGGCTGTCTGATGTAAGAAACTCGCTGTAGGCCGAAAGCAAATATAGCCGCTAGTGGTCATTGCAAAGGTCTCACGACAGCCCTGTCGCCCGCACAAGCTGCTGCCAATAGCCTTCCTCGAGGGTGCCTGTCACTGCGCTACCCACTGCGCTTATAAGATTCTCTCTCCCCTCACCCTCCGATCTTGATGAAACAGAGAGAATCGTAACTACAAGGTCCACCGCCAACCTTCGGATAAGCGGTGAAGAAGCTGGGATTTTGGTGAACGGACCAGGAATCCGACCGCGAACAGGATGGGTGATCATAAAAAAGGGTGTGAGGCGAGACTGTAATCCGACAATTTGCTAAGAATATGTTGGTCAGTTGGTCGTCATTCCGATCAAGAGCGTACCTCATGCTTGATCACGATGGAGCCACGCTGGAGGAGACGTAACAATGATCCGATGACTGTCTGGAGCAGGGACAGTTAGTTGCGAAATAGCAATAAGCTTGACAAAAAGTTACCTCGGAAGCGGCGAGGTTGTGAGGACCTATCTCCCAAAGCGTCCTCGGGAGGTGCAAAAGCCATTCTTGGAATTTTTCCTGTTCACCTGTGTTTCGTACATCGAAATGTCCGCAATAGTCGGTCTCTGTTTCAAGCTTGGAAGTGATGTCATTGATGAATTTCATAAACACGTGAGGAAGAGCACATACCAAAAGAATGCGAGCTACAAATTCAACAGTGAGCACCTTGACAGCAGAGCTCGATGGTGTCCTAATGGCATGATCGAGCATCGCTGATAATACGGTGTGTGAGTGAGTTTCGCCTCGAGTCCGCATCTGACTCTCCTTCGGCTGGTTTAGGAGAGCCCATATCGTGGGCAGCAGCGCAGTGTACATCGTAGGGATTAGCGGCTTTGAGATCTGCGCACTAGAGTCGTCTTCCCCCAGTAGGAGACGAGTAACGTATGTTCTAACGAGGCCCGCCTGTAAAGTTAACTTGCCCTCATGTTTGACCTGGGAAGAAGATGCCGATAATCGAGGAAATTGAGAGCGGCTTTTGCGCGAAATGTCTCCTAATTGTCGGCGGAAGAATAGGAGAACCAACAGCGCTGTGAGCTCACAGTAGATTACATTCAGTTCTTGGAATGCATGTTCCACCTGCTTGTAATCAGCTGGGGAATCTTGTCCAGGATTGACAAATTACTACCTTCATCTCTCGACGCGCGGGCCTGAACGGAAAGTACCCTGTCATATAACCGAGCAAGGTCCTCAGCTCGTCGCAAAGTATTTCCTCTTCGGTAAGGCTCACGGAGAACCTATTTTGCAATATTGATCCATAGAGCGTCCTCATGATCCGCGCTGTCACGGTAAGAAGGTTGAGTTCCGCTTCAGGAGGATTCACGCTGGGTGAAAAGACAATGGGGGCACAATCAAGATACGAAGCAAGTAAAGTCGAGTAAAGTGTTCGAGCCAAGTGCTATGGGTCACGTGGTATTGATGGAAGAGCAGACAATGAGGACAATCGGTGACGCACGATGAGAGAGCAAGTATTACTATTTGGATGAGTCAAGGATTCAGTATGAGCCAGTGATAAGCCGGAAAGGTCATTTAAAGACCACGCTGTGGCTGACGGGCCGGTCACGAAGTCTGGCATGCATATGAAGTCACCCTGAAGCTGCTCAGCATCCAGCTGGGGTTGAACATCCACCGACTCGGATCGGAATGATCGTTCGTAAGCACTGAATGATCGAGCAGACACGAAAGAAGGAGCGAGGAACCACGTTGGTAATGGGACTGTGGCTGGGTTCAGATTAGAAGTTGCATTACTTGATGATCGCAGTTGTCGCGATACCGCATGAGTGAGGAATGTCGAAAGTGACTTCAATACGACGAACTTCGACTGCAATGCACATCAGTATCGGTCGTGTTGTAAACTTCATGGTTCAGTCATACCTGCGGTGAGAGGACTACGCTGGCGGTCGATGTTGCCTGTACTGCACCTTCGGGAGATGAGAAGTTACATATGCATTTCAAAGGGTTCCTAAAACAGCTCCTTACCTTCGGTGTCGCCGTATTTTGTTCCTGCACTCAATATCCCTAAGTATCCCTCTAGGACTCTTCTTCCGTGTCCAGGGTTTCCTTGTATCCAGCCATCGACTACGCTTTCTGGAACTAATTCAAGAAAAAGGTCCAGAAATCGCACAGCATCAATCCTAATTTCTGGAAAAATATGAGTCTGGGCGGATGTAGTGAAAAGAATGAGCAGTGGAACATGAGGGATCAGGTCCTCCTGAATAGAAACAGCTTGAACATTGGGGTGATCATGGTGAATCATAACATTTCACCTTCGAAACGAGAGGTAGCAGCCAGCTCAAAAATGAAAGTAGTACCTTCCGAACACCTGCATCCTGTGTATGCTTAAATTCCACTTCCGTAAACGCGTCACTGGACAAACCTCATCTCCAATCAAGCGGACACAAGCCCCTAGTAGTGTGGCCATCGAGGATTCCACAACGTCAGGGTGCAATTCAAACAACTCCCGAACGCTCAAAATCGCATCTATTAAATTCAATAAGGTTCCCGTGTCGCAGAAAAACAACAAATACCTTTCCGAGTATTCGCATTGTAGTGTTTCATGAGGGAAACCAGGTTATCAAATGATTGTTTCTTCCTCGTGGTAGGAATTGCAGTATCCTTCTCTATAGCGATACTCTGGGTGGGAAGTGCAATGCCTTAAACCATAAGATACATCCCGGCCCAGTAACTGCAATCAAAAATCTAGTACTCACTGCGAGCTTTGAACGAGGTATCGACCACATTGCTTGGTAACTGTTTGCCTTTACCAAGTTTCAATTTGGCTCTCTGTTCATCAATTTTAACCAATAGAAAGGGCCGGATGTGCAGAACTCACCGAAAAGTCGGCAGCCTTCTCCTTCTTTTTTTTCGAGCTCTTTGGCATCGTGTCGGATTGTAAGATCAAGTAAAAACGCGTTGGTCTTTGCCAATGCAAAAGTATCACGTGACTGCATGAGTTACTATTTAGGAGCTCCCTCTTCCGAATCGAAAAGGTTATTTGTGACACAATATATCGACTGTCACATATGTCCATAAGGTCAGCCACTGGAAACTAGCAGACTTGTAGCATAATACAGGCCAAGGGATATATCAGTATGAGGTGAAGGTAACTGCAATCTACCACCCGAATCTTAGGAAGGGGCTCCTCATGAAATCAACTTTAAGATCCAAGCACAGCATATCATCGTCGTCCGCGGTGTAACCTCTCACACTGACGCTGAATTTGGCTGCAAAAGATTCAGTGACGAACTCAAGTATACATGCACTTGCACGCACCCTGAGGGATCTCCTTCGGCAATGCAACCGTTTGGACCACAGTATACTGACCCTCCTCGACCGGACACTGAACAGTTGCGTTTGCGGAGCGTCTATTTCTTACTTCAAACAAAATCCAGGACAACTTCAACAAACCAACTTACGCTTCATTACAAACATCAAATGTCTTTGTGAGAAGTTTGATGAGTCCAAGTTTCACGACGACATCGGCATAGGCTCCGTCCTGCGAATGGCTTAATAATTTGCGACAGGTAACAATAATGAAAATCAACCTCAATTCGTTCTTGAGCAGTCCCCACAACCGTGACAGTCAGGTCTTGGCCTGGCTTTGGTGGATCCGGAGAGAGACTTATCGATTCTAACTGAATGGGGTCTGTTGAGAGGCCTAAGGGAACTTAGCATGTAGCGCACGCGCTTCTTGATATCAAATTAGGTCTCACCGCAATCGGTCCACGACCAACCCTCCATTACGTGCACTGGCTGAGCCATAACTTCTTGTTCCGGAGGAGATTTGGCGGAAGTAAGACCCGCCAGTATGGCGAGCAAAGAAATAGAGAATAAACGAACCATTGCTAACAGTAATTCAAGCAAGAGCTGAAGGAAGGAGTCAAAGGAAGGAGTTCAACAAAGGTAGGAGGATGGCGTGGGAGAATTTATAACAGCTTGGCGGTCCGTGGCGATGAGCACGGATTGATATTTGGGCAGCTGCAGCTGCTGCGCACCAACGCAACTCGCTCCCCTCAACCACACAGAGGTATTAAGAAACAGCCAGAAAATATTGATAAGCTAACTCACTCGACCAAGTAACGACGACGTTCAACGATTATCTTTCCTTGATCACATTCCCGAATCGTGTTTCCCGAAATGAAAGCTAGAGAGTATTGCTGTTGTGCAATCCCCTTGGTCAATGCTGGCATATACACCACGCTGGTCGAACAGTTCTCTCTTGGAATTGTCATAGGCACCCTTTCCGTTGCAACGCCTTCCAGTGAGTCGTCCCAACCTCTGATTTCTAGTGCGTAACCCGTGCCTGCGTAGTTGTTGGAGCAGCAACTCCTTCATTCGCCTCGTGGCTTCTTGCGATAGTATGTTACGTTGGCGCTGCAATTCAGGTTCTTGGATTCATAGGTGTAGCTCAGGTACGATGCTCTTCAAATGTAGTTGCCAATGCTGAGATTGGCGTCGTTAGGATAAACCTACACTTTTCCGCCGCTATGTCACTATGCACCTCGGCATCACCATTGGTGCCTTCGCAATTGCCGCGGCGTGGACCATCGTCTCAGCCACTCGTCACTCGACTGCTCTGTCAAACTGCGAGAAGACTTTCTATCCTACAACCTCCGATAGTAGCATTGCTTCTGAGGGTCAGACTCTTTGCGACATCATCACATGGCTTGATATCGGACTGATGGCCGGGGCTTGGGTGTTCTTCGCTCTTGTGCAGGTAAGTTGTCTAGCGACTGATAATTCGGTAGACATTTGATCGTTTCTCTGTAGGGATATCTATTCAGCGTTGTTTCGTCTTACGGGTCCACCCAAAGGCACGATCACGAGAAGTACGACGCTCTCAATGATACCACGCAGCCGCTGACAGATAACATTCCGATGGCTGATCGTGGTGATCCTTGGGACTACAGAGCATCTGCCGAGTACGACGACGGCCGCGGTCACATGCGAAAGGAAAGTACGGCATCAAATCAGAAGGAAAGCTACGCCTATGGTTCATCTTATCCTGCGCCAACCTATCCCCCTCAACCTCAGTCACAATTTGAGCGGCAGCAGTCGACGCGAACTACCGTATCGCACCCTTCGAGCACCACTCAGAGCCTGCCCACTTCACGTGCCCACGGCTCAGGTGGTTCTATCGGGCAACCTGCACCCACTCAGGCTCGCCCCGGTGGGTATTGATTTCTCAGACGTTCATCACGATCGTCATATTGTTGCCCACTTGAATCAGCGGGTTCGTTGGTTCTCCCGAATAGCATTATCATTATAAGTTGATTCTTTTCCTTCTTAGTTGAAGGTTCTTTCGGTCGCCCTACGCCACAAATGGTTAACACTACCACAATCTTGTAGCAGAAGGAAATTTTGATATCACTGCTTCGTGGACTTCTTTTGGATATGCATAGTGTTCCTCCCTCATAGACGTTTATTTGGGGTAGTATACCTCGATCGCGATATAGTCGTTTACACGGACATCCATCTCTACGGTTATCTCCTTGACCCGACCTCCTCGCAATGATTGGATTTTGCCAGCCCTTGCAACTCCTGAGGTTATGTTTCCTCCTCATCTTCCCAGGGTCCTATCTTTAGTGACAGATGCTGTGCAACGGCAATGTTCTTCCACCTATCTTGTCGGCCATCCTCGGCCATCAACTGACTATGAAATGAGACATGTACCACTTTATGGAGCGAGTGCCGAAGCAGAATTCTCTCCTCTAGCGTGTCGCAAATGATTCGCTCTTCTTCGAATAGGGGCACCGCATACCACGCATGAGTTATTTGCAACTTGAGCACTTGGAGTGAAGGTCCCAGAGCTAGAATAAAGTTTTCACGCAGCTCGTTTACAGTAATGAGGCAGAGAGCAAAGTACTCCAGGGTGGGCAAGCTGCGGAGGCATGAAGTGATGGCTGCACTTGAGAGTCGGCTACTGCCCAATAGGACGAGTTTGCGAAGGCGTGACCCTGGCCCTGCCAAAAGGGATTCCAGATGGGCATCTCTGATTTCGAAACCAAGTCTATGACCTTGTGCGTGGATGAAGGAATCGAGTTGACAGTCGGGAAAGGTGGTGTCGAAGCGGATCTGATCAAGCGCGTTGCTTGTAACACTCTGAATGGTGAGATGGCGAAGGACAGGAAAAGGTGTTTTCTTGAAATGACAATCTCCTGATAGACGCAGATAACGAATGTGATCTGAAGGAATCGTTTGGAAGGGATTCGCCCTTGTGGATGGATCTAGGTGGAGCTCGTATGCATGCAAGAGTGGCTTGTGACCCTTTGCGCCAGGAAACATAGCTAGCTCAAAGTTTAACCGATACCTGGGATGTGGGACTGGATTAAGTCATGACACCAGCGAAGATATCAGTGGCGTCTCACCTACTTGAGATTGTGTGGGGATGATAATGACGAACATTGAAGACCCGCAGCTTCTCCAACGATAGGAACATTCCTAATACAAGATACAACCGAGAAGCTGGGCCAGCCTAGTCATTGACGAGGTAGCTAATTTAACGACCTCCTATCCAAGCTACAAGAACAGAGTGTTACATACCTGGCCATGCGCAGTGTCCTCCAAGACACGTCCATCGTTGGCAACATCGGCCCAGCGAACTTTTTTGGCAGCTTCCGACTCAGAAGCCAGATATGTGAGGTAGTGATCTACCTCCCAATCATTTCGCAGGGAGACATACTTATGGAATAGTGGGCTTGCTTCATAAAAGATCTGCCTGCACGTATGAAGAATAAGGATATGGGCATTCGAGGGTTGGCGATTTCGTTTCACACTTTGATGATCAGCCAAGATGGCTTCATAGACGATGAGGCGAACGTCAAAAGGTATGTCTAATAGAGAAAGGTATTGGGACGACATAATAAATTTCCAAGTTGTATAGAAAAATGATTATCTACTTAATTAGGGCGTGTGATCAACCAGATGACATTTGGAGGGAACGATCAATACGCCTCACCACTTAAGCATGGATCTGTCTTCCCCTGCTTCCGATCCTGGACGCTGGTGTGTTTCATCCATTCGCAAGCATCGGAGGCCGCAATACCTGCGCAGTTCCTCCACACGAGGACAATAAACGTGGTAACAACACATGGCTATTTGTTCTTGAGTCCCCGTTGCCTTGCCTCAAGAATGCTCCAAAGGTACATAAAATCAGCCTAACTTGCACCTTTTCATTCTGATTCGCGTTTTTGTTGCCCTATTTTTTTGACAGTCCAAATTCAACCTCGAACACCTAGTGTGTTTGGCACGACTATAGCGCGTGCCGTAAGGCAAACAAAAGAGGCCAGCGCATCAACGCTTCTCCGAGTGAAGTGTCTTCGCGTGTCATCCTCAAGTCATTAATATTGCTATTTCGTTTTGTCTTGCTTTCTCCTTTCCCCAACCCCCACCCTCACCTCTCCGCAAAGACTCTACTAGCCCCCGTAACTTTCCGTTTCTAACGCCATCGCACCTATGCCTGCAATTACACAAACATATGAAGTCTTGCTCGACTTCACGAACGATACACACGACTGCGCAACAATCCAGCTACTGCGGGAGTATGGCCGGAACACAAGCGCAGTCGTCCTGCTACACCCTGGAGAAAGTATCACCCTGGTCCTTGAAGCAGGTTCCATGTATAAATATGCTCTCAAATCACATTCAAAGGTTGCCAACGTGAGGTGCGTATGTAGCGCAAGTGCGTTGCTCGTTTCTCATATGTAATGTGTATATAGCGCACGGAGCTGGCGAGACATTAACTGCGAAATATCGCATCTATTTGCTGGAGTCCCACCGTCATGGTCTTCTTTACGCGGGTCCACAAGTTCGCCCGCTAGCGGTATCACCGTTGACCGAGTATGGCGGGACTATCGGTTCAGTGTTTGGAATGATGCTGTAAGTAATTTATATTCACCGCTATGCATTTGGTCTAACCTCTACTATCCAGTGATGCGAGACCTCTTGATGCGAGACCATACCCTGAGGGGCAGAAGCCTTCATATGATACCATCATTGCAACCTCCCGCTAGAGGATATATCAGCATTTGCACGTAATCTTGTAACGTAAATTTATTTCTTTATTGTTGCTGGTACACACCTCATCTTGCAATTGAAATTCATGCTGTAGGATGATAAGCAATCAAGAGTTTATTGTTGTCATCCTTCCGATATCCGCCATGGGCATCCTAATCGACACCGTGTCTGATGATACATTAAGGTAATCAATCTGCTGCGGGTTTGACCTAGGCGAGAGTGGAACTTCATGACAGGGATATAGATGTGAATGCTATATTTCACGCCTTGTACAATTCAGTGCGTGAAGTACTTCGATGGCTTAAGACAAAAACAGTGGTCCGTGTGGAAATTGCACCCTATATGGCGGGTGCGCGGCAATGCATCACGTGAGAATGATCATAGCAAAGCGTCATAAGTATGAAATCCATTGCATCATGGCTAGGACTCATATAAACCACAATATGCTTCTTAACCTCCTAAGACAACATGCAAGCCGCTGCCAACATAACACAATCGGTATATTTCATTGGGATACCCACTGCGCTAGCTAATGAATTTCTACTAAGCAACTGGGGAAGTTGCCTACCATTGTCCAGCCACAATATAAACATCGTGAAGATGGCTCGACTATGAAAGCCCTGGCATGGTTCGGCGCGACAGACGTTCGAGTCATCGATGCGCCTATCCCCGACATCACAGAACCGGACGACGTGATCCTGAAAGTGACCGGCACTACTATTTGTGGATCAGATTTACATCTGTACCACGGGGAGATCCTGGCCCTTCAGAAAGGCGATATCTTGGGACACGAGGTCTGCATTGCGTATTTTCTGAGGAGCAATTGCTCACTATGCTTGCCAGTTTATGGGCATTGTCGATCGTATCGGACCAAATGTTAAAAGTCTCGCCATAGGCCAACGCGTCGTTGCCTCCTTCCAAATCGCGTGCGGGAAATGTCGATATTGCAAGGAGGGACTCTCTTCCTTTTGTGATAACACCAATAATTCAACGTTCGTAACCCTCTCTTACTTCATACCAATTTACTGATATTCTCTTAGTTTGCAGAATTACATGTATGGAACACGCGATGCTGGTTTCTTCGGCTACTCCCATTTCACTGGTGGTTTCCCTGGAGGCTAAGCAGAATATGTTCGCGTGCCGTTAGGCGAAGTCAACCTTCTTCCCATCCCAAACGATGTCTCGGACGAAGAGGCTCTGTACCTTTCTGACGTCCTTCCAACCAGTTACCACTGTGTCGTCGACACCGGTGTGCAGGAAGGCGACACCGTTGGAATATGGGTTAGTGCACGTATACTCTGTCGATCTTCCAACCTAACTTCGAGCAGGGCCTTGGTCCTATTGGACAATGCTGCGCTCGCTGGGCAAAATTGAAGGGTGCATCTCGTATCATTGCTATAGACCAAGTACCAGAGCGTCTGCAGCGTGCCAGGGAGCAGGGTTGCGAAGTGATCGACTTCAGCAAGGTTAAGGACGTCAGCCAGAAGGTCCATGAGCTTGTTCCTGGAGGACTCGACGTCGCGCTTGACTGTGGTGAGCCTGCCGCAGATGCGCGCAGTTACCTTGTTGAAGACGGTCCTCAGGTACATTCCACGAGCCGAAGACCTTGCTTCACAGAGGGATGAAGATGCTCATGCTCGAGACTGATGTTCCCGAGACCGTGAACGAGATGATCGTGTCAGTGAGGAAGATGGGCCGATGCGGTCTCATTGCTGCATATGCTGGTTTCACCAACGGCTTCAACATCGGGGCACTCATGGAGAAAGGAATAAGATTCATCGGCAACGGTCAAGCCCCAGTGCACCAGTACTGGAAAGAAATTCTGTACGACTACATCATCACGAAGAAATTCGACCCCAAATTGTGAGTTCCTTCGTCCCGCCTCACGCAGTTCACTTGACCTAGTTTTTAGTATGATTTCTCATCGCGTGCCGCTGGAAGATATGGCAAAGCTGTATGCCGCTTTTGACAAACGTGTAGGAGGTGTTGAGAAAGTCTTTGTGGAAACCCAGTTTTCCTCGCCGCCTTCCGCTGGAACACCAAAGCTCACTCGAGTTGATGACTGGACGCGTTGAGGTCAGGCCTCGCGTCTTGGCGTCCTGCACTATCAGGAATCTAAGCTGAACAAGACGGCGGAGCGAATTCTTTTCTGATAATTTCCGCGTCCTTCAGAGGAGTCGTATTTATGTATATTATATTAAACTTGTAGAGTATTTGATCAAGAAAAAGAAAGGTGCCGCAAGGTTCCTGCAGCATATGTAGCAGGCTTTGTTGGTCTGAAGTTACTTGCGAGGTCGAACAGGCTATAAGCATCGTCGTGATCATCCATGAAATTCTTAGTTTGTAGTAATGCAACCTTGATGCAGCTATCCCGGTTTGTAAGATCACCCACCTCTCTGGATATACACCGGGTCTTGCATGTTTGTGTGATTACCTGCCTCTCCACATTTGCTTTTCTCATGCGTTCCCGGCATCCCGATTCCATCGTGCAGTATTCCGCTCCGGTTCCACCCGCCTCATTTGCTGTGCAGATGAATGTGCGGGTGGAATACAGGTGGAGATACGGCACGAAGGACACAGCGGGATGCTGACATGCTGCGCGAAGTACGTGGTTGGATGCCATGCGAGCGAAAGATCAGAATATCACAGATGCGGCTGATGCGTCAGGTATACCTGTATGCATCGTGTATCTCATGTCCGTCGTGTGAAGACCATTGTACGACATTCATGCCCCACATGATGAGCACGCACCAGACCATAAGCAGGCCGAGAAGTCATGCGTGACTCGAGCTTGAACATTATGCATGAATTAGGGACTAGGACTGTAATAAAACATGCATGAGGTATGATATCATGCATGCCTACTCTTCCATCGAGGGGGACGACCGAGTGCTCCTTGAACGAGCCGCATAGCAGACTGAGTCTCTCCCGGTGCTGCAACACCTGCACGGGCTGGCAAAACTGGGAAGTTACCCACAAAGTTGGGGTTTGTTCGTTTCCGAGCTTTCTCCTTCTCCTTAGAGTCAGCTCGAAGTTGCATTTTGGCTTGTGCGATAGGCTTCGCCAGAAGAGTTTCCTGCGTTTTTGCACACAATCAGGGTAAAGAACACAGTGACAACAATTAAGATCTTACAATATAAGCTGTTGCCTTGGAGCCTATTTCTGTTAAGGCCTCTTGACCTCGATATTTCACGACTTTCTGAAGATTACGCCTCGTCGTTGGCCGCAGTTCACTACTGTCAAATCCGCCCAAGTTCAGCTCTTTTGCAACAGCAATTTCTGCATGTCCGACACCGCTATTGACAACACCGCGGGGCGAGTCCCACCGAAGCTTCTCGTTCAAGAGTTCCCGCCCTACTGCTCGTGCAGTCATCTCCAGTTTGAAGTCTCGGGGGTTGTCGACAAGCTCTAGGAGGGCAATAGGTGCATTGTCTCCGGTACGATTGTCGAGCCTATGAATTCGCGTATAGCCCCCTGGCCGGTCTGCATAACGCTCGGCGAAGGTGGTGAAGAGCTTAGGGAGGACAGGAGGTTTCAAGAGGAATGCTTGAGCCTGGCGATACGAAGTCTCGTTGTTCTTCTTTCCCAGCGTAATGATCTATTCACGAGTAAGCAAGACTTCAAGAATCAACAACATGACATGGTCTTGCCTTCTCTGCCAATCTGGCGGTGTCTTTGGCCTTCGCTAATGTTGTTCTAATCTGCTCGTGTTCGAAGAGGGAGGTTACAAGATTCCTATGGTATTTTCAACGCCAGCGTAACCGCAATAAATCAGCTTGCCTACCGCAGCATTAAGTTCCGATGCGAGGACGTCCTCGAGAATTTTCGAAAGGCCACTCCATGTTTCATGGCTGAGCGAATCGAAACTTTGAAGAGTAAACGAAGCGACACGAAAGGAAATGACGGCCAATAACTAACTGTATACCGCCTAGCGCACGCGTCGAAAATTCTTTGCACTCAAACACACGTGATCAGAAAGTAGTCCCAAGCTATGAAGAACAACCGTACAACAACAGCAGTACTTATACGTGCATAGATTTATCGTCCGTGAGTACGTGTACTACAATGTGCTGTATGTAACGCATGACAGTGGAAACGATGGGTTTTTAGGCGAGAGGGAAAGATGGCAAACACAGGCATGAGAGCGAGGCAAGAAGGCGAAGGGAGACGGCGAGAGAAAGACATGTATCAATGTAGGGTTTTTGGACGGAAGGGGATAGCAGGGATGCACAGGCGGGTAAGAGGACATTATAAACATGTTGTACCAGATGGCAAGAGGCGATGGACACACAGAGTACGACCGAGACAGCCTGCGGACAACAGGCAAGACAAGAAGTGGCGAAGTAATGGATGGGACATGATACATATGGTACTCGTGTGCTGGTAGGGAGGAGGGCCCAGAATTGCGTGTATATCGATTTACTCCTCTTGCTGCTGCTGTTCTCTGCCAACCCTCCTCTCTTTCTCGCTTTCGAGCTGATTGTAAAGCAGGAAAAGAGCCTTTTCATTGGCCTCTGGAGTGCCAACGATGGTAAACATCCTTTCGCCCGTGTCGTCATGTGGAGCTTTGGCAATGGAGATCTTAGATCCAGACAGCCGCCGAATCTCTGTGATCTTGCTTCCGCTCCGACCAATAATACATCCAACCATATCTGATGGTATGGAAATGTTCTGCGTGCGAAGGTTGGCTGCTGACTGTGCAACGGTAGGTGAGTGGGGGGAAGGCGGAGGCGAACGTCGGGCTACATCTCCATTGGACCTGCGAGCTCCAGCTGAGTAGCCATTGGTTGATCGTCTCGAACCTGAGGTAGTATCACCAACACCAGGATGGAAGGGAACAGTGCCCTGACCCCTCTCCCAATCTTCCAACAAGCACTTGCCAATCTCCTCGATGGCACGACCGATTGAATCAGGCGCGCCCTGTACTTCGACAATGCGCTCAGTCGATTGCGGGAGCATCTCCTTCGACGCCACCATGCGTGCGCCCGACGCATCCTGAATAGCCTTAATTTTGAGACCACTGCGGCCTATTATCGTACCCATGAGATTGTGAGAAATTAGAAGACGGATTGAGGTATGAGGCGATGATGATGATAGGGAGACGGGGGATGGGCTGGATGAGACAAGTTGGGAGATTATGAGGTTGTATGCCTGAACGAACCACAACCCACAACGTGTGAGCGCTAAGATGAATAGAAAATCGGATGAACTTGCCTTTGCAACAGCTTCAACAGATCCTCCAACGGTGAGCACGCGCTCGTGCACGCCAGGGATAACTTTGCTGACGCCCGCTCTGACACCAGTCTGCTCGCGTAGATCAGCGACATTTTTTCCGCCCTTGCCTATGATCACGCCAGCTTCCTTGGTGTTAACAAGAGCACGGAGAGTCAAGGTGTCATGAATGCTTGTACTTGGAGAAGATGAACGTGATCCTGCGGGAGAAGCTGGAATTAAAATGTGAGTTGGAGTGATCACCCCTAGGTAAAAAAGATGATATTACCAGATGCATGACGAGCTGGAGATCCAGTAGACATTATAAGGGAAGGATGGGGGAATACGAGGGGAGAGTAAAGCGGGATGGAGGTAAGGAAGACGGAAGGGCTGAAACACAAAATATTGCTGATGGAGGTGAAGATGCAAGAAAGTTGTTGGCAAAACTTGCCTTTGTCGGTTATTGCCTTAACACGCCGTCTCCCCTCCCTTTTTCGGTACCGCCACCGCCCGATCGCACAGCTACATATTATGTAATGACTCGGCGGTATGTCCGCATCAGGCCATCTCTCCCAAAGTGTTGTAAGTCATTATTATCCTTGAAATGTATCATATTCATGCCTAGAACTACATCTCTGTTGCAAGTGTTTTCAGAGTATCGAATGAGGTTCATCATAAAAACGCCGGCTCAGCAGAGGTCGCATAGTTACATGCATGTCTTATGGGAACGGATCATAACATAGAGCAACGCAAGCACATCGAAGATGAAATAGTCTCCCATCCATCTAGTAGCCCAGCGTCGTCAGTTTCTCGAAGGATGTCGAGGCATCCGAAACTGCCTTTTGGCGCAGCTTCAGTGCTGCAATCTATTAATGATGACTATGTCAGTCTCGTTCAATGAAGCTTGCCCAATGCACGTGCCTTGCGCTGATGGAAGGCCTGAGCCTTGATCTTCCTCTTCTCCTCAAGACGATCCACAACATCCTTGTAGCCCCAGCCGACCTCGTGCGACAAACGCTAGATTATATGCTGTTATGATCTGAGTCATACTGCTGAGCGATTGAGCCTACCTTGACAGTACAGTATTTCCGGCCGGGCTTCAACCGCAACACCCGCAGAGCCTCAGGAACAACCATACGCTTCTTGTGGTCGTATGGCGGTGGAACACCCTCGAAGAGCTTCAAGCGCTCAAGAGCAGCAGCACCTCGAGGAGTCTTGTGGGGAGTCATACCACGGATGGCACGGAACAGAATTTTGGAAGGAGCACGGTGATGGAAAGGGCCAGATTTCTTGGGGTTGACGATATGGCGCTTGTGGAGGAAGTTGTGGTAACGTAGCTGAATACACAAGTGAATGGGTCTCGTTCATTAACTTGTCAAACGACATGACAAAATACCTTGTTGCGGAAGAAGCTGCCGGAGATGTTGATCTCCTCACACCTCACGACAACAATCTTCTGGCCGGAGAGAACCTGCTTGGAGATTATAGAGGCCAAACGACCAAGGAGGTGACCCTTGCCATCAATGACGATGGGTGTCGAGGAGAATGTGGCCATGGCAAAGTCTATATTCAAAACGCGCCGGGGTTCAGCTTTGAGACAAATAATATGACTGTTCCGCACTCACCTAGGGAATGGAAAGACGGGTTTAGGAGCGTCTACACGGTGTAATAGGCTTCTTACCTTGAAGGTCTTGAGGTCGTTGTCGAATGTGGGAACTTGCAGGTGTCAGCCACTGTGACCAGAACTATGCAGTTCCTCTCGGCAATCTCCGGGCTTTCAATCTGAAACTTTGTTCGATCGTTCTCGGACCTTGGGACATTCATCAATGTTTGCAGCGCCATGGGAGCAACCGCTTCCTTAGGTTCACCTCTTGATCGAATCTCAACGGATCGATTCACATACGTTGCATTCAACCTTGAACTTCCCCGCCTAATTTTGTGCGAGTGCTTTGGCTACCCCAAATGAAATGCTAGAAGGTCAACACATCTCTTTTTCCTTCGACAATATTAATACAAGCTCGATTGCGAGTTACTTCTGGTTTGCACGTATCGTGAGGTATGATAGGGCTCCTGCTTTGGATACGACAGGCCTGTGAGGTGTCTCGCCCCCAGGTCGATTGCCAGTTACGCTGAGGCGGCATACATAACGTTGAGACTCGAGCGTACAGTATCTTGGGGATTCCGTTCTAAATCTATGCATACACGTCTCTACTATTGTCATAAATGAGCCAGCAACTGCGGCGAGTCATACTTTGCTGCTTCCTCTGCGATCCAGTCTGCTGTCCCATACTCTGTTATTGTCCATGCCTTGTCAGCAATCTTATGTTCCTTCCAATAAGCGACAACCCTTGGGCGAGTCACAACTGTCTTCCATACTTGCCCGCACAATGGGCAATTCCCTCCGGGCCTCAACGCCAGCTTGGCAGATGGGAACATCTGTGTTATAAACGTGATGGCTGCTGTCACGGTTGCATGAAGCACAGTCAGTTGATCCGTCTCTCCTGGCACTACTTTCATATCCTTCTGCAGTTCTCTGAGTGCAGCTTCTGTGTTGCGCAGGTATCGTGAGGTGATAGCTTTCCAAATTTTATCCCGTGATGGTGGTGCTAGCCAATCCTGTGGTTTTTATTCCTCAGTTTACACCGTTCTAATCGCAATGACATTGAGTACCTTTTCCACACTCAATTGCCATACCCTGTTGGTGAAGTACAGAGATGCTTCTGTGATCATTTGTGCGCGTACACGGGTTTGCAGTGGGAGGTCTTTGTTCAGCTGCAGGATTCATCCGTCAGTATCGGGGACGTTTACTGATGAGTACACAAGACTTACTGTGGCTCCTGGCGGTGCCAGGATCTCCTCAAGGTAAGACAGGATAGCTGTAGTCTCTCCAAGCAGAAATTCGCTCCTTGGTTCAGAGTTTTTAGCTGTTACACGGAGAGCAGGTACGCCAGAATATGGAAACGTCGCGGGCGTTACTTGCCCTGTCTTCTTCATCTCCCCCCACTTCATAAGGGGAATTTCTTCGTACTCGAACTGGGTCCCGGAATCTGCGAGAATGAGTAACACCGGCTCACATCGGGCTCGCACAGGAAAATAGGTGATGTGTATGCTGGATGTGGACGTGGATATCATGGTGGCCACGAATAATCAGCAGAGCTCGAGCCCTTTGATGCTCGAGAGTGATTGCGTGTAGTCTAATCGGCTGACTGGAGTGCGTGCTAACCTTAATCGTAGTGTAAGCTTGACCACGTCACTCGTACGGCACTGATACCCAGTTTTGACCGCTTCCTTGTAAACCCACCGGACAATATACCCTTCGCTATTTGACATTTGTTGATTCGCCAGACATATTCCTACTACCTTAGTAGTGGGTTTTACAGTGGAGTTGTGAAAAGTCCCACATCAACACATGTGCAGAGTGTTATTTTGTCTCTTACGGTTGTAGTAAGAACGCGTTACAAGACATTTTACCGCAGTTGTATAAAGTAGTAGGGGTGTGTAAAGGATCGGTTAATGATACTACCAATCCCTCAGTGAGCTACAAAGTATGTTAGTAGATGCAGCACGAAGACAAACACTTCCCTAACCTTCTGGTGTCTTTACGATGTAGTCAATAGCTAGGAGGAGTCAGCAGATGGGCCATATAAAACGGGCGGAGGAAACACACCTTGCTGGACGGTTTTTATCTCATCAGCTTCCGCGTCTGGAATCTCAATCGCGAACTCCTAATAAAGGACGTGTTAATGGAGTTCTCTGTGAATATAAACATGGCCACGCACCTCTTCCACGGCCATAACCACCTCAACCGCGTCTAGGCTGTCAAGCCCGAGATCATCCGTGAACGAAGACGAAGTTGTAAGCTAATAAGGAGTATTGTCAATAAGAATAAATGCCATTGAGTAAATTATTCATACCTTTGCTGCATCCACTCTCTCGAAGCCCTTTATCACGTCCAGTATGCGTGTTTGTACAGTTTCTTTTGACAATCCTGCTGCTGCTGAGTAGTTCGCACGGAACGCCAAGGTCTGCCTCGAGGACACTGCAAGCACTGGTCGTGAACGAGTCACACTGCGAAGGGCAAAGCGAGCGAAGGACATGATTTGCAAAGGAAACGTTTGAGAACTTGAAGGAAAAGTTGAGACGTCCGGCTTTGGCCGAAAAACATACTTAGACTCGGATCACGTGGGTGCAGAGAATTGTCGACGCGTTCTGATCATTGATGTAAGGAAATCATTTATCATGATTCCTCGACCTGGCCAGCAGCAATTCAAAGCTGGGCCGCATCATCGCCCTCAGAACTTGAATACGCACCAGGATACACATTCTGCTGCTTACGCATATGCATCCTCCCAGGCTGCGATGGCAGGAAACGCCATAACAGCTGCGTTGGCCAACCCGTATGCCCAACATCACATGTCTCCGCATTATTATCAGGCATATACGCAGGTCATGCAGCCCGCGATGAATGCACAAGGGTATACCTTATCATCCACTTACATGCCTCAGCACCCCACCGGGGGAACCAATGTGCGACATGTATCTCGTAATACCAGCTCTAACGTCCCTGTGCGGACTAACGATAAAAGGTCAGACCACACTAGCGGCCAAGCATATGCCAGTTGGTATCAGTCTGGCAACTGTCGTTGCATTCGTCAAGGTTGTGTGTTTACTGGCTCTAAGAAGTCAGTTGAGGTACATATGATGGACCGCCACTTTATCTTCCCCCCTGGGTGGCAGAAGAAAGACGAATGGGATACTGATCCGAGTCTCAAAGGGTAGGTTCGGTTTCATATCCGTTGAACTGTTATTTATGGACTGATCGATGACCTAGCAAGCCCATTGCAATCCAGGGAACATCTTTAATCCTCGACTCCCAAGAAGCGATCGATGCTTGGATAGCAGAGCGCAAGAACCGGTTTCCTACTGCACAGAATGTTGAAGACAAGAAGAGGAAGCTCGAGGAGGCCGTCGCGAGAGGTCAGCTGACCCCCGAAGACATGGGTTTACAAGGACGAAGGAAGCGGAGAAAGGACGATTCTTCATTTCGAGGTCAGCAACCAAGGGGCAGAGCGAGGGGCAGAGGAATGGGCCGTGTCAACCACACTAGGGCCCCTAGTCCAAGGGCTCAAGATACATCATCACAAATGAAACCTCGGACAAACCCTATTCTTCCCCTACTAATCCCTGCAGAGCAACATGATGAATCAGACTCAAGTTCAGATGACGGCGCTCCCGAAGCTGTATCTTCTAAGCCTCCTCCACCTCCAGAGGCAGACCTAGCATTAGCAGCGCAGAACAAGGAAGAACTGCAATCACACCCACCACACAAGCCCATAAAAAGACCACCTCCACCTCAACCCAAGCCCCTGCCGCGAAATCCATTCGCGTCGCGACCTACCTTACTCCGGAGCGTACGTAGTGTTTTGTGTCCGCAACCCGATGAACTGCGAGTTGAAAATAACCTTCTAGTTACTTCTTCCTGAGATCCGCATCACAGTATCCAACCTGTCTCAAGCGATTCGATTTTTGGTTGACAACGACTTTCTGCGAGGAGTTGAGATGAAACCAGGCGAGGCGCAGCAAAAAATGATTGAAGTAGTAGGAAGTACTGGCCCCCAACTTCAAACCATTCTCTCAGACCCGAAGTCCCAGATGACTGCACCAGAATAGTAGTATTATTAGCAATATCATTGACTAGAGCGCGTAAAGTGAGTAGGGATGCGGTGCATAATATCCTTGTATAATTGTCGTTTATCGTTCTGAGTCGCTCTCGCTATCACTGCCGCTCTCGCTTTGACTCCCGTCCTCATCGGCCTCGACCTCTAACGTCCGTTTCTCGACCTCGAAGCCATAGCCAGTCAATCCATCCGCAATCTCGTCCGCCTTGGAAGGTGCCGTGACCACCGTAACCGTGGATAACTTCGAACTGAACACAGGCAAAATATGTGTCTTCAGGGCAGCAAGCACATCCGCCTTGGTCACTGCCTGGTACTTCTCTAGCATCTGCAGGTTGTGGTCCTGGGGAACTCCTTTAAGAGCTTGGTTGGTAAAGGAGTTGACAGCCTATGGCGACTATTAGTATGATTCGAGCTCGAAGAAACGCACGTACAGCTCGGCCAGCCGTTGCGACGTTCTTGGTGACACCATAGACAATGCTGCTCTTGGCTGCATCAAGAGCGGTATCATCCAACACCACCTGCTTTAGATCAGTAAATGTTGTTATTGGGAAAAGATAAAACATACAGTCCCGTCAACAAGTCCGCTAACAACCTCTTTTGCTTGTTTAAACGCTTCCAAGCTGTTGGAACTCTGCAATAGCATTAGCTCCAAAGTTCACCATTCTCCAGAGAGCTGCGTACCCGGTACAGCGAGAATGTCAACAAGCCGGCCTCTCTATCCACAGACATATAGGCGCCATACGCCAAACCGGAGCCTCGGATAGAACGCTAACATTATAAGCAAGAATCGCTGCCGCTCATTATGGGTTCACTTACCCAGAGGAAGCTTTCTGCAGCATTGAGAACCTCAAGCGCTACCCGGAGAGCCGGGAATTCCGGATGATCAAAGCCTCGGATTGCTTTCGTAGTGTGGTTGACAAACGAGCTTTCTATCGTTGGCAGGCTGACCACGGTGGCCTGCGAACTGATAAGGATGTCACAGAGCCGCAGAAAAAACGCCCTTCGTACCTTGATGGCAGGATTCTTACCCAAATCACTAAGGGTGTCGCTTGTGAGCTTCAACGGCGCAAGTTCGGACTCCTGCGTGACCATGAAATGATGCCAATGATGCCAGACGAAGAAACGCACGCACCGGTAGAAGGTTCCCGAAGTGTTTTGACCAGACACTCCGTGGCTTGGGTATGTCCAAAATGCTTCCTGTAACTGATATCCGTACTCCAGTGGGATCCGTCACTGATCATCTTATGAATGAATGTCAGGGTATGTTTGCATGACACATACGGTATTTCCTCAGTTCTTCAAAGTCCACGATCACTGCATCAGGATCCTCTTGAAGGTTCTGAATGAGCTTCGGCACAAATTCTGCTTGAGGAAGGATGGCGCCAGCGAGCGATGTAGAGCTCTTATCATAAAGCATCTCAGCCCATACAGAGGACAGCACGTTGTTTCCATCACGCTTGAGCTCCGGAAGAGACTGCGCCAGCTTGGCAGCAGAAATTTGCAGTCTAAACCGCATGAGACATAAAACTAGAGGGATATCATGAAACTCTACCTTTCCTTGTCAAATACCGAATTGTATACAAGATCACGTAACCATGCAATGGCCGATTCGTACTGGGATGTCTCGACCTTGAAGCTGACGCGCATTGTTTCGGAAAACTGGTCGGATATACCGAGAACAGCCTCGTATGAGACAGTCCCATCGTCGAGCTGGTTGACAACCTCTTCATGGCTAAGTACCTCTCCTGAAGCACGCTTCACGGGGAGCGAGAAAAATGCCGAGAGGTATGTCGAGAGGTAGGGCCGTAGCCTATCAGGCAGCTTAGCCAAGGAAAAGAAGGCATGTACCGCAACAAAGTCGGACTTTCGACAGTATTGAGCGTCACGGTCAAAATGAGATCATGAAACCTTTACCTTGACATGGTCGTATTGTACGAACATGGAAAGTGGTGACCCATCAGACTGAATGTGCTTGGAAAGCTGAGACTGTCCGGAACTCTGCACTGTACTTGATCGCCCTTTTCCAGGCTCTTGAACGCATTGGACAGGTATCCAAGAGATGCTCTTCACGTCCGGAACAGGAAACGATGTCAAAATATCAGTTGGTATTGGCTTCTCGTGTTCAGCTTTTGCAGCTTCTAACTCCCGCTCTGCATTAGCGAGACCATCGGGACCGAGCTCCTCCCGCTGAGTAGCAAGGCGAGCCTTTTCATCTTGCTCAAGCTTCTCTGCCAGAGTTGCCGAGGGTTTGCCGATGATGACAACGTAAGGGCGGTCGATGATGTACCTAACAACTGTTGAGCTATCTGAGCGTCACCGTCGTTATATATCATTACTTACTTATGCATGAGACCCACCCAGTGGGAGTTAGTCCACGTCCGCAAAGTCTTGTAATAGTTTATTTCATCTAAGGCAGGGTGCATATCCGAACCATCCGCAGCACCGTACAGGAAGTCACTTATAATGGCACCTGAGAAGGTGTCACCTTTAGCTGACTCCAATTTGCTACGAAGCTAGGTAACGTCAATATTTAGTCACAGCTTGGTGATGCTAACTCACCTGGCGCTCGTCCCGGTTGATGACCATGGATATCCTCGTCATATCTATACCATCAGCCGCAATACGTTTGAAACTTGCGACAAGCTTCTGATCGAAGTTATCTAATTCTTCAACGGGGACCGAACCAATATAGATCGGCAGATCAACCATTGTCGCGCGAGTATCTTCACTAAAGTAGATGTACGAACTTACGAGCAGCGTTAATTGAATGCAGTACCGAGGGCTGAACCAAGGATACTTACCAGAGGGGTGACTCGATTTCGATGTACTCCTTGTTCAAAGGAGCGACAGGCGATGATGTAAGGTATGTAGCAAGAATATCTAAAGCCTGCAAGAGATTGTAAACTTCGAATGAGAAGGTTTGTAAGACCACAAACTTTTCGCTCCATGAAATCGGTGGGCGATGGACCAGTATAAGTGACCAAAAGTTCGCCCTGGCTCTCGTCCTTCTCAGGAAACTCGACAACTTCCTTCATGATATGTTCGATGGGGGAGCGGTTGGCACTAGCGGTCTCCATGAAGGGTCGTTTCCAACCGCTCGGGCGGGGGCCGTGATTTTGACCATGTGAAATAATACTGGGTTCAACCTTGTCCTGCAATACAGCTAACAGAGACTTTGTTCCGCTAGAAAGCTTCCCGGTAACGATCAAGGACAGGTTGTGCGGGACATAGTAAGTGGCGTGATAGTCCCGGACTGAGATCAGAAGGATGTCAGCGGTGGTGATGGATGTCAAGTGATCAATTCACTTTGTTCAACAGAGAGGACCCTAAGTGCTGCCATGAGTCCACCAGTCTCACTACGATAGGCACTCCCAGAAGGGTACAAGAGACGCTGTGAGCTAAGATGTGAACGTGAGCAGTAAAACCGATGGTATAACATAATGACAGACCGAAGGCCCATGAGATCGCCCGACGTATTTTCGCGGCCCTGCATTTCACTGTATACGACACCACTGTTCTCGCCCTTCGCATTGATGTGGTGGACCTAAGCGGGTGTCAGTATGTCAGGGAAAGAACGGCTTTGAAAATTGCCGACCTCAGTCAAGAAGGACGCATTGGTCATCGTGGGATAGAGGATGTGATCTAGATATATCGGTAGAAGCTGGAGGAAGCCCTGCTCTCCAGCAGTTGAGGCAGTATACGCTGGGAGCATTGGGTCGATGGGAGTAAGAAATATGGCACTGTGCAAGACTTACCAGTATGATCGGTGTCCGTCCATGCATTGGTTCCATGAGAAAATCCGCGATTTGCAAGATGGTCTATGATGCCTTTGTACGGGTACTGTTCCGAACCCATGAAGACAAGACTTCCGACGAGATTAAGCTACAGTAACAGATCAATTAGACGCTCTACTTACTGTTCTAAAGTGTGTGGGCAGCCACTGTCATTGAAGACTGTCGTTTAGTTAGTCCCAGACGATAATCGCACGCAAGGGTGACACTGACTTTCGGTGCCAACAACGAAGTAGCCGTTCACGAGGGGTGCTGGCCATGATATTAATGACGAACGTGTCGAACAGAATGACAGGATGCATACCTTCATAATCGAGATGCACAACGGTGAGGCCAGTGACGCGGCTCTGCCATTTTGACACGAGGACGTCAGTATAATCTAGCTTGAGACGTTTAACCAGATCAAAGTTGCCATAAGCTTTGAAGTTATCAACCGGGGCAGCTGAGCCATTTAGAGAAGATGACATCGATGAGATGGATTGAGAGAAGCGGCGCGGAGTCAGGAAGGGGAGATTGTGATTAGCGCCTGTTTGCAGATGGACTGATAAGTTTGATAGTCCGACGAGTCTCCGAGAGAGAGGCCTTGCAAAAAGCCGGGTCGAGGCCGTCAACAGTCGCTGCATCCACTCAAATTCGAGTCTTGAATTTTCTGAGCGGAATAGAGTGCTCTTTACGTCAGCTCTAATATTTACCCAATTTTATACGCACACTGCACTGCACATGTGACTACATAGTTAAGTCTAATCTGCCGTGCCTACGACTGAGGACGCTGTCTCCTGCGTTCTGTTCCTCAAGGTCGCTCATGGCAAACAAGAGTACGTATACTTACCAGCCAACACCTGAGCAGCTGGCTCTTGCGGAGGAACGACGTCGACAGCGCGAAGCAAAGAAATTGCAGCAACAGAATACGCAAAATCATGCCCATCTACCGCCAACGTTTCTTCCAAGGCCTTGGAGATCTTTACCCAGCACACAGACTGCATCTCAGTCTATTATCAAGGTCATGTCCTGGAATGTTTGTGGAATTTCGTCTTATATTTTGGAACCATGATGCAATCAATACCTTAGCTTCTTGCTCAATGTCTAATTCGTGCGTGGTTTGGTTCACACCCGGTGCATCTGCGTAGTGATGGTCGAGGATAGGCTCGAACCTCTTTCCATCAAGTTCGAAAGCCCTTAAAACCACCCACAGAGAGCCTATGATACATGCTGAGATTCTGTCCCATTCTGCAGATATAATGTGCATGCAGGCTAGTTGTCAACTCTTTACGCCGTTCAAGTTATGCTGAGTACTGCCTACAGGAAGTGGATCGTCTAAACAAGCTATCACCCGTTCTAGAACAAGCAGGGTATTCTTCCGCTTATGCCACAGGCCCTGGAAAGCAGCATGGCTGCCTCATCGCCTACAAACAGGACAAATACAATCGGGTAGACGAACTCATCATCGAGTACGACAAGCAGGAAGTGCGTGGGGATTCTTCGCATCCTGCTGCACGCATTGGATCGAGTCGCATTACGAATAATATCGGTTTCATGGTCGCATTGGCCGAAGCCGGCGCCGATCAGAAAGGAGTCATCATTGCAACCACCCATCTGTTCTGGCACCCCGCGTTGGTGCAATTAATACGTTTCATCTGATCCCACGTTAATCCACTTGTTTCAGATTCACGTACGAAAGAGCGAGGTAGTCTACGTCATTTGCCAATCGAGAAAGTTGCTGAGCTGGGTCACAGGCAGGCCGGTATCCTAGTACGAGAAGTCCTTAATTTCCGGCAGTCTAGGGAACTTGACCATTGGCCCTGCATCATCGCTGGCGGTAAACACGGTAAACACGAGATGAAATGTCGTGTATTGACTTCCTCGTAATTCTAGACTTCAATTTTGCTCCCGATGATCCAGCATACTCCTTGCTCGTCGGCGATCCGCTTACTGAGGCCCAGTCGCATCGTTTGGACATGTCTCGTGTTGTTCATATAACCATCGATCCCACGGTACCACGGACTAAAAAGAAGGCGGATGAAGAAGAGGGAGACGGTTCAGAAGCTGATCCAGACAGAGTCATCAATAACTCCAGAGCAGCCGCTTCGTCAGACGGATTACTATCCGACCTTGAGCTGACATCATTATTTATCAACGGTGTTCAGCTTCGGAGCGCGTATGATGAAGGCCAGAGAGCTCAGAGAGACAACGGCACCCCAGGTGATTTACACACATTTGGCGATCGAGTCTCTTTGCCTCCAACCAGACTCGGGGCTCATGAACCAATGTGGACTAGTTACACTCACTACTGGAAAACGACGCTAGGTTTCTTTGTCCCTTACTTTGTCCTTCTCTCGCTGAATCTGGTTTTGTCAGATTACATTTTCTTCGTAGGCACATCCAAACACCGCATAGACGTCACGGGGTATCTCAACCCACATCGCACCAATGACATAGAAGCTGGTCTTCCTCAGATTGGTATTTGCGGGAGCGATCACGTCTCTCTTTGCGCGGAATTCCTGTTATCACAATAGATTGCAAGGTCGAGTGGGAGGTATGTGGCATATCCTGTCTAGGGTATTTCATATGGAATGGAGCTCAGCCAGCATTCGTAAATGGTGTGAAGAAGAAAAATGATTGACGGAAGGATGAAGAAAACACCAAAAAAGGTGTACCGACCCCTGGTCCAGCGGAACAACTACGACACCCCATATCATTTCGACCTGTCCGACCCTGCCAGTAATTTATCAAACAATTCTTGAGCGGTCTGCTCGTTCCGAAGTTGAATCATGTAGATGATGCCTGTCCGTGCACCTCTGGCATCGCTGAGTTCAATGGCAACACCTGTTTTGCCCACTCGTTCCACACCATCCGTGAGCACGATCGTTGAGATGAGAATGGTCTTCTCCTTTGAGTCCGCTTCGACAACGAGCTGCTTGACGTTAGTAGGCTCTTGACGATAGAGTGTCAATTGCGCAGAGCCCAACGACTTCCATTGCGCATGTTGCTGTTGGTGGAAGACCCTGCACTTCATCTTTCCTGATATTGTAGACTTGACCGGCCCAAGAGGCTTTGGCTCTTCTATCGGAGAAGTTGGAGGACTAGGATCTTGGAAAGTTGATTCGGTGAAAGAGTTCGCTCTGGAACCCATCTGCTGCGATGGGAGGAGAGGTCTTGTTGTAGCATTATTGGCGCTGTTCACAGAACTGATAGAATCTGCACGTTGGGCATAAGGTCGTGATGGTATCGGCAACCCTCCAGGTAAGGAAGGAAGTGGTGGTGCGGGACCCGGACCCGAACCTGGACCATACTCATACTGAGAGTGGAGGGACCGTGATGATGCCGACTTTTGCAGTCTCCCTGAGGACGGCTGCGGCTCAGACGGTGGTCGAGGGGGAGGAATTCCATGAGGGGGACCTCCGGGACCCGTAGGCCGAGAGGGAAATGGCTGAGCGTGGATGGGTTGTTGAGGAAAGTTGATAGATTGAGGTTGGGGAGGGGCGCTGTGTGGAGGGCGGAGATGTTGATGGATCGACGGGCGTTGATGAAGTAAATTGAGAGACGGTTGGTGGTGAAGAGAATGCATCGAAGTGTGATGTAACGAATGGACTGACGGTTGATGATGCAAGGGTGGCTGTTGCGTGTATCCTTGAACAGGAGGAGGAGAATATATCCTGTTGGGTGCACCTCCCATGCCGGGGTCCTGATCTGGTAAGGAATGCGAAGACCCGTTCACGCTCACACTTCGCGCTGGTGACATGGGCTGTCCCAGACCGAAGGAGGAAGGTGGCGGATGTGTAGCATTCGCTATTTGAGCGGTGGATGACTTGCGCGCAGGGTACGAGACTCCAGAAGGAGCATTGTGTAATGAAGGTGTCCTCTGAGCACCTTGTAAGCTTTGCGTCTGGAGCATACCAACACCTTCACCAGATGGACTGATGTGTCCGTTCCCCGGCACAACTTGGCCTAGGACAGAGTGGCCTAAGCTTGTTTTTCGAGGCGCGAAATTCTGTTGTGGTGTGATGCGAGGCAACGAGAAGTTAGGAGCAGAAGGGAGCTCAGGGAGATTAGCGACCTGCTCTTGTGGAACACCCTGTCGAGCCAAGTTGTCGTCGACCTTTTCACGCGAAGGAAATCCCTCGTTTGTAGAAGGAAAATCAGCCACTGGCGACACAGGGAGACCTTTGGGCAGGGGGGGCACTGGCTCTGAAGCGGTTCCAGACACTTGTTAAGATGTCACCAGGGCGTATTACAGAGAGAGGTGCATGCACATACTGGTCCTAGCAAAAGCGATACACTCCTTGAATTCCTTAATGATTTCGTCGCGGGCATGAGTCGAATTGGCCTCAAGGATCAGCGTCTCTTTCCGCATAATGGAAATCTGAAGTGCGTTGTCTGCCAATATCTTCAGGTTCTACTCGGCGTGACAATCACATCGCGCACCTTGGTCAGGTACCTCAGTCACTTTCAGGACCTTTCCAGAAAGTGGAGGGTAGCAGAGTCGCACATCAGGACCGTCCACACCCGCTGCAACCCTATTGCCCAAGGTCATCTTCTCACATATCAAGAACAGGTCTGACAAAACATAGACAAAGCCATGTTGGTGAACAACGTCCACGCCTGTCGACTGAGGAGTGAAACGGACGACGACACTGGCCGACAATTTGAGTTCTCGAGTATAAGGCAGCGTCGGCGGAGACATCTGCAGACGAACTAGCTACATATTCGAAGGAGAACAATCAACGAGGCGTCATCACGACACGACACCAACCAACCAACCTTGGGCTCCATCGTAAATATGTCCAGCGTCGTATCCGTTGCTAAGCGTTTCTCCAGGTCAGCGATGGATGTAGGCATGGGTGTTGTAGAGTAGCGGCTTATGGATGTCATCTCTGTTTCCCGGGAAACCCGCTCTCTTATCGCATATTAAGATCATGAACCATAGCATAATGACACTCGTGCTCACCCGCTTGACGAACCACTTCCACGAATGGATGTATTTGCGCTTGCGCTTCCTCCCCCGAATTGACCTGAAAGTAGCTGGTTGTGCGTTCCGTCGAATTCGACCACCTGGGACGTCGGTGGAGAAGTGGTAGGCTCATTCTTCACGTCCAAGGTGACAGGTGGCAGCGCGGAGGACGAAGCGGAATGGCTGCCACCAACCTTAGACTGACTTCTTCCTTCCAAAGTCTCCAACAAATAATCCAACTTCTCAAGAGCACCAGTCAATAGTCGATGGTCGCTTCTGCCCGGTGTCGTGCTCTTTAGCAGTCTGTTGTATAGTTTTCTGTAATATAGAAGACGACCCTTGGGCAACAAAAATAGGGCATCCAAAGTCCATAACGATGGATCGGCTAGCTGAGACGACTGAATTGCACCTATCGAGGGAGGGTTAGCTGCCGAGAACGCCTCGAGAACGCCTGGAAGCTTGATGTTCGACTTTACGGGCTCCCACTGATCGAAACCAGTAGCGAATTTCTGACAGTACGTCGTGTAAGGTCGGTCAAGGTCATCGATCTTTAGAATATTCAGGATGCAGGAAGTCTGCTTAGTACTGAACTCTCACCCAGCGCATTAAGAGGTCACCCAGAGCTTTGGGAGAAGATGGATTAGAGCCGATTTCTTTCAGTTTCTGTATGTGTGTTAGCCACCTTGTGTACGTAAAAATGGGTTACCTTACCGCGAGGAGTGTGCGATTTGTCTTGTACACACTCTCGACGCTGCGAAACATGACATCGAGCTCCGGTGGTGGCAAATTGGATCGTGACCACGCTGCGGCTACTCTCTACAGGATTGAAGTGAATAACTTGACATGTCTGTAATGAATTCAGGGACGCACTCGTATTATACCCGTCAAGTACTCCACATAGATCTTTTCGCTCTCGATAAGATCGGTCAATGGACTAGATTTCTTCGTCTTTTCTATTGGGGAGGCAGGGGAGGAGAAAGACATTGATAGAGCAGCTGGGCTGACTGGCGTTGCGGGAGATTGAGGCAAATCAAATCCTTGGCCCGGTGTGAATGCGTGCCTACGAAATCAGGGCAGAAAGGATACGTTACCTAGAGATGCCATGCTTGGGATTGGAGGTAACTGCGGTCCGTCATTAGAGTGGGTATCTAGCACAATATTGATGGTATTCTTGGGAGGCGATGGTGGCGGTGATATAGCAAGTGACTCGAGTGGTAGGGAAGGAAGCTTTTGATCACGACCTGGAATGAGTAGAGGTCTGGGAAAGATACTATTCGAACCCGACATCATTAATGGCAGAATCAGAAAGAGACTTCAAGTGGCCAGTGGGAGTGATCAGAACAGTAGTCCTACAGGCATAACACTCTGTGAACTCATCCAACGAGGATTGAAAAGGTGACTGACAGTCACTATGAGTATTATTTCAGTCAATTTCGGTATGCGAACATTTCACGCTGTCGTATCAACATTAATGATTGATGAACGTTTGAACTTCATAGCACATATGATGGCATGAGAGCATGAAACAAAAATAATACAATGCTTTTGTTTTCAATATTTTAACTTAACATAAGAGTTATTTAATTAATTATCATAAACTAGCCTTGACACAATCAACGATGTCATATCCCTTGCACTGGCTCAAAACCACTTTCTCCTCGCGGACACGCACCGTTGAACTCCTTCAGCCGGAGTTAGAGAAAGGTGTCATTACCCAGCACGATTTTGATACAGCAACTAGATTCCTGCCTGGGGGGCACAGACACTGGCCTGTTCGTTCGCTGTTCCGGTATCATGTTCATATTTGACCGCGGATCCTTGCGAACAGGCGATATATGGCGTCGGGGCTGCAGGTGCCACCCTTGGCTATGGGCACTCCATGGCTCGTCCCAGGTGGTCTCACACCAAACTTGTATGGGGCTCGGGCGCTGCTACCCTGGTTGGGATGGTTTTTGGCCAGGTTAGACAAGTCCTGGCCCACAGGCAGTTCACAGAAGCCCTGGAAAACCCCGGAGGCTTTATAGAAGCGTTGCAGAATATTGACCGCAGACTTGGCGGCGATGGGCATTTGGGTTTCACGCTGGAACGCATCCGAAAGGATGGTGCACGTTTGGACGACACTGCTACTTCCGGGAGTAGAGAACATGGCCCTGAGATGGTTAGTGAGGAGAATTGGAAGAAAACATGGACTCAATCTAATGCTCCCGATGGCGAGTAACTGTCTTGGTTTTGGTTCATTCCGCCCTAATATTTTTGCAGCCGGTTCAACCCAAGCAGCTCAACCGAAAAATCGCTGGGAGGAAATTCGTGCAGTGAACGCGCGTTCTTCTGGTTATGTGTCTTCTTGGGACACTATCCGACAGCGCCATGAACGGAACAGACTGCCCAACTCAACTTCGTCGCAGAGTCACGACCTACCGCCGTCTGCATCCGATGATCGGGCAGCAGAGCAAGCCAAATTTGACGCTATTCTGGAGGCCGAAAGAAGTAGAGGACAATCACAGGGCTCTCGCGATTTTGTATGATGTCAATGCACCGATGAACTGAACACCACGTACATATGATAATGAGAACTATCCACCAATAATCCAATGCATTATAAGTAATACGCACAGTCCATGATGACAGTACATGTAATAGTCCGAAAGCAAATAATGTAAACTCATGTGCGCTAACTCCATCGCACCAATCCATTCTCAGGAGGGAGCGGCTCGTGGGGCCCCCAGTTGGACGGAAGTGGGGGTGCGTTACCAGTGCCGCGGCAGTATAAATCTAGTGAACCCGAGTCTTCTACAAATGTCGGGGAATCGTACTCCATTGAGCGCGATGTGGATGGATTGGGCAGAGGCGCCATCTGAGCGTTTTCAGGTAAAGTTGGCGTCGCAAACAATGTGGTATGAGAGAATGGATATAGAGGCAGCCCCACCTCCAATGGCTGCTTCTGGCTTGTCAATCGTACAATTTCTCTCATAAGGCCTTGTAATAACTTCTCTTGGCGAGCTGTGTAATGATGAATGAGGCGCCTTTGATGAAAGGGATACACGTACTACCGATGGGAGATCTCGCTCCATAGTTGATCATTGCTTGTCTGTGACACCAGTCAATAGGACGTGCCACGCGCTTCTAAACGATGGCATACCGCAAGACGTTGATTTCACCCCATACCTGATCTTCTCTTGCCTCATCCCCTACTTCTATGAAGTACTTGCAGACCTGGACTTGAACTACTGCGGCAAGGTACCAACAGATCTGGGGGTAGAGGATGAATGACTTCTGAGCGGGGCAGCTCAGAAACTCACTGTTACGAAAGGGTGCAATCGTGATATATCCAAAGAGGTCTCGGATAACTTATAGTAGGCTGAAAGAATGGCTCTTGCTGCATTGATACATCGGCTCGTGGAGATGCGATTCAAGTCAGTTATGTCAAGATAAGGATTATGTAGTGTAATTGTAGCTCTTCATTCAAGTCGACCTGTGAGGATTGAACAGAGGAAGACAAGGGCAACCACTTACGCGTGCGGTATAATATGGACCATATACAGGTCTGTATCCACCGAGCTATGACTGCCAGGCAGTTCGTTAGCGCTTGTCATTTTGAACATAGACGGGAGGTTCTCCAGGAAGTCACTATAGACAAGTCGATCGAGATCTACAAAGCCAGGTAATTGGAAGGGGTCTTGAAACTTGCTAGGCGCAGTCGGAGCACGTAAGTTTCCTCGGACATTGAAGTCTGTGACGCGACCGAACATCATGATGGCCTTGATAAGAAGTAGAAAAGAATCGGTGTATTTCGGTAGATGTGTCGTAAAAACGTCTTCCGTACACATGTCTTGAGGGTTGCTAGGCATTAATTGCTGAAAAGGGTGGGGTCAACCCAGAGTCATCAGAAGCTCTCAAACCAAAGAGAAATGACTCACCTCAGAGTCGAAGTCTTCCCCTCGGAGAGGAAGCTCGGTTCCGATGTCCCTCTCATCAATTGCGTGGATCCATCCACCGACCGATACTATACGATCAAATATGATTGTTGTCCACCAGGTACGACGACGTGACTCCAGATCTCTAAGGTCCTTCGGGGGCGGGAGGTACCCACCTGGTGATATAGTGTTGTGTGTCGAGAAAGTTCCTGGGTAATTTAACCGTAGTGGTATGGCAACTCGAGTCTGGAACCCTGCAAAAATCCAAATTTCGACCCAGCGTCCTTCTTGATAGAAATACCAAGCAAGCAGGATGCACGCCTGAACGACGGGGAAGATATCTCGACCAGTTGCCATAGTATTGTCGATATACTGTCGAGTTTTGCTAGCATGGAACTCTGCAAATTCATCACGTCTTGTGCCGTCGGGCAAAGTCGCCACGTTGCGAGAGGACCACCTGGAAGCTGACGCACACTACCACTACTGTCAGTAAAATCCAAGATTAAAGCTAGTGGCAGAATCACTATCGCATGGAGTATGGCCGAGTGTGGAAAGGAAGAATCCCTAGGATCCAGACGTACGGCTGCAAGAAACGATGGCCGATGAAGGATGCGAGGACCACAAGGATCGCACTTGAAAAATACGTCTATACTAAGAAAGCCTTAGTGAATGCGATGGAAAGAATGTCAGCCCTCACTAGTGCTCCAAAACATTTCGCTCAGGGAGATCAGGATTCCAGCCTGAATATATTATGTCGAGAATGGTGTCAGTGGAGCTCTTGTGCCCAACCTCGTATAGTTCTGGACTATTGCTGTTATCACGGGGATCAGAATCGTGCAGATGTCCTGGAAGTATCCGGTCTTTTTGGTAAGGAAGCGACGGTGTTTGAACAGAACTAGTCGCCTGACTTCCAGATGTGAAGGAAGATGAAGCAGATTCAGGGCGCAGATGACTGACACGGCGTAGTGGTTGCTGAGATGATTCTGATAGCCCGGTGTTTCGTTGCTCTTGAAGTTGCATCTTCAATCTCGCTACATGCGATTCAGTCAACGATTAGTTAAATTGGTGGTGTGACTTACAAACTTCTTCCTCCAGAAGCCGAATTTTTTCGAGAGGATTTGTATCTGGCGCCAAAGTGAGACCTTCTACTGGATCGTAGATGCACTGCGGTTCGGCGGGGTGCCTGAGATATGAATGTAAAAATTACCAGCAAAACGCACTCATAAAGAGCGTACGCGTAGTCAGGGGGCGCCGGCACACTTATGAGGGACTGCCACTGCCTGGTGCACAGTGAGTCAGGCCATCTGGACACCGAACGCCGAGAAATATAGTACGCACTTGACGCATGTGCTACAGTGGGGACGGGCGGCATCACATTTCTAGAGACAGCGTGGTTTCAGCCTTTGGCCAGCTAGGGCGGCCGATTGCAATCTCACAAGTTTTCTCTTTCGACATGGCCGACAAGCCTTTGGGGGATGTCAAACATTCCAAAGTATTCAAGAATTGGTATGTAGTTACCTGGTTCCTGCGAAGTGCAGGGCGGTTGGTAGCGCTAGCGGTTGGGGCTGCCTTGGGCATTAGTACGCGTGGAATATTGGTGCTGTGCTAGTAATGTCTGTGGCTCGGTCAATGCGTGGTGGTGGGGAAGCAAGTAGAAGGCTTCCGTCCGGTCAGCAGTTGCAGAAGAGGAAAAATACTCGGGGTGAGTACTAGTACTCAGTAGTCAAAGTCCTTTGATATAGACGAAGTCACGAAGAGTTTCGCACTTTCATGGACGCAAAGATACCATCATGAGCGTATTTGGGCGACTGGCCTCGCGGACCTTCAATAATCTTCCACCAGGTACAAGTTAAAAGTAGGTACAAGTCTGAAACGTTCTTTGCAAATTCATTCATTACCCTAATCGCACTGGCAATGGCAGTCATACTTACAGACAAGTAACCTGACCCAGCTAAGCATCAGCTCCGATATATTAACGCTGATATTACTCTAAGCGTGTTCTGGATCCTGTGTACAGGCCGCCAGACTCGGCCGCCGCGCACCAATATTTGTGAAACGCAAGTACTGACACAGTACTACTGGTAGTACCCTTGACCGAAGCAAACTCTCCCTAAAGGAACGACTGTTTTCCTTCTATTGGGGGAGAGTAGGCTTCCCTGGCTGTTCACACAGTCTACCTATTGACAAGTCTTTCCACGACAGAAGTTCCCACACAAGCGTTTTCCCGTTGCTCTAGTGAGTCACCCAAATCTTATGAAAATTCCTTTGGACTCGGATCGCCAAGCCTGGCCGCTCACGGAATTACTTGGTTCCCAACACTAGCTGGGAGTTTGGACGTGCGAGGGTACAGCATTGGCGGCACCGTGAGCCTTTCTGTGATATCGTCTGCGCTGATTACCTTGGCCGACGGCACAACAACCCGTTTAGGACGTCGTGCAGGCGCTTCCTCATCTGAATAGACGCGCGGAGCCATTTGGAGATAAGAGGACTCGATGTATTGATTTTTTAGGCTATGGTGCCCCAGTACAGAGGCACAGATAAACTATCTAGTTATCCGGTGTTTGCCGTGCAAAGATCAAAACCTACCTTGAAAGTCACGGCTTAAGGCCGGGCCTTGCACATCACTAGTTATAGGGGTTATGCATTATAGAGCACTAGTACTGGGCATGGAGACAGCTGTTACCAAGCTGAAAACGTGTGCAATGCTTCAAGCCGTATCAGGAGTTGGTCACAGGCATGGCTAACTTAGCAGGCGCCGTCGAGTGCCATCATGAGCAGTGCCAACGTAACTTCGAAGTTCTTGGGTTGAAGAGCTTATTGCCATAAGTATAATCGCCGCCTTGGGCATCACCTAATATGTACCGAAAAAAGATTGGGTTGAAACACTGAACAGTCTGAAGAAGGGGACGCTATCGCGGGAACAACGGGATACTGGGATATTAAAGGGCTTGAAATCTCAAACCCACAGTAACATCGAGTCATGAGCAAAATCATGATTGCGCAAGTTCTTGTGTAACGCGAGGTGCACCTACCTCATGTTCAACAAAACTGTCAGTGCGTGGAACTCGCACAACTTTCTCCAAGTATGGAGATCATAGTAGATCTAGTTTGTTTTAGGCAGGGTAGACGAGACGATAGAACAGGGGTTTCCAATTTGAGCCGATCGATGTTAGTCTAAAGGGATAGAGCATTGTAGCACGTAACCATAAACATCCATAATAGTGTAAAACGCCTTTCATGATCACTGTGGAATATTCACAGTTGCTCCATACGTTCATTGCTGACATTCTAAGACCTGTTCTCCGGGTTAGATAATAGCTAACATTGCCCCGAGATTCGAGAATATAGAAATGACTTACAACACTGTGGCAACGACACGCCTAGAATGTGCTGCGTGTCTGAATTCGGTCAAGTAGATACCTGGAATGTGGACGTATGTGAACAATCAGGCAAGCTCTACGGGAGCAAGAGTATCAACCTTGCCAGGTGCCGAGGTTCAGACGGCCATCGGTAACTGGGATCGAGATGGTGGCGCCGATCAATGATGTCTTTGTGTGAGAGACACTGGAAACACATTGTTCATGAGGACGGCGCCTTTGAAATTCGACAAAGCGACATACGAATCGCTGTAGACACGCATATGAGCCTACTTGTCAGCAAGCAGTGAATGTAAAATAAGCACTCTGGGCCTTCATCTGTGTGCATCCAGTTAAGACTCTCGGGAACGATATTGTCCAGAGCCATGTCCATATCTATTGAAGAGTTCAGCCAACATCGTCGTCCCCTTTCGGTTCATGATATCTCTCCTTTGCGAACGTCTGGAACACAGAATACGATTAGCACTGACCCGCAGACCTGCTTCACAGAATACCGACCTCGATCATAATTTTCATTAATCGTCAGCGCGGCTGACGTGTGTTGACTATAGCAGTGTTCGAGAACGACCGAAATACAAGTTGTACAACACTCACATGAAGAGGAAAAGCATTCCAACCTGTGCAAGATGTGATCTGAGCATTGGATTGAAAGAGCTATCAAATCCTAGCGCTCCATACCTTCACGTCCTTAATACCTGGTGCAATCTGGGTGTACACCTCGTCCGTGACAAGATGACACCCTTTGGATTTTTGTGGAAGCGTAAATGTTTTCTGCCAGCCCATAGTATGCAAGCAGTAAAAAGAGTTATGCTTGCAAGTTGCGACTCTGAGTGGAAACACCACTTGAAAGCTGATAAACACTTGTCACACGATCATTGAACACTAAGTTGCATGCTGCTCTCAAGATATGCATTGTATCTCTCAAGGTGTGCAAATAATAGGTTCATTCCAAGGCACAGCTAACTACATACTGAGGAAATTGTGTCTAGCAGAAGGCATCAATCGTCCATGGCACCGTACCTCTTCGAACGTTCTAAACCACCACGATTGCCTGGTACATTACGATTCCTACAGTGATTGGCATAATGGCCCTTTTCTCCGCACTGCGTATGATGAGTATTTTCCTTACAAAGATATATGAAAACAAACCTTGAAACACAGCACTTCGTCGAGGTTTCTACGAGGTGGTCCACTTCCGTTCGGTCCTCCACTGTGCGACATCACCTGCGGACCCATGGCTCCTCGGTCAAAATCAGCATACCGACCATATCCTGGCGGTGGGGGGCCGAGATCACGATTTGAAGGCGGTGAGGGAGGCTCATATGATCTAGGTGGTGGTAAGTTGGGTTTTGGGCTGTGAAAAACAAATTAGTCGAGTAAAAAGAGCGAGTGTAAATTACACGCACTGGCCACGAGGGCAATCTGGACCTAGTGGGCACAAGCCGGTGAGGTAGAGTTGACAGGCGACACGACGAACATGCTTGCGAGGGCATGTCGGTCCTATCGATGTGCAAATATCAATACAGTTAATATATTCAACGCAAAAAGTAACTTTATTGAGGCGCACCTAGTTTGCAGAACCCGCGTTTGTAATCAGGACACTCAACACGGCGTTCCTTGGGGTGAGCATACAGGCATTCATCTCCTGCGGAGCAATAACCATACTTTGCATACCACCAACACTCCGGCATGCGCCTGAGATTGTACTCGTGTAAGAACTCGCACGCATCACCCTTTTTACACAAACCACGTAGCCAATGTTTACAGACTGTAGCTAAACGTTCTCGCTCACGGGGATGGGTTGGCAATTGCTTGGGGGGCTGAAAGTTCTGTGAAGAGGGCGTTGTATGTCGTAAAGGACAGTGGAGTGGTCCCAGTGGACACCCTGTCGGGGTCAACGACAAGCGACATATTTGATCATCTCCGGGACCTGTCAGTAAAAGAGTCGGTGATTTTTAAAAACGGGAAATCACCTTTATCAAGCTTGAGGCCAAGTTCATTCTTTATATACAGCTCTTCTGGAAAGTTGTTTTGGTGGAATTGGGGATGTACGATGTCCCTGAGGGCTGATGGACCAGCTAATGGATTGGTGGTCATTATAGACGACTCGAAAGCGGAGCCTCCGTGCCTGACTAAGTGACTTGAAGTATGCGACACGTGACTTACATAAAGGGGTTCTTGGCAGGTAATCAGTACGTTAGAGTGATTAAGGGATGGGCATATGACCATTTAAATCGCCATGAGATAAAACGAGGTGTAATACGTATCCTCCCCGTCAGGCTCTCTTCCCTGCTATCATAAAGCATGAAATCGGCGTCACCCTTGGTTGATTTTTCAATCTTTTTTCTTACTCTCCTCACATTGACATGTTTTCTTCTACACACATACGGTCGTGTTTCCGTGAGAAGACGTCTACCACCTGGTCCTCCCACAGGTTGGTTTGGGAATTTCAGTTTGCCAACCAGCTATCAGTGGCTTCATTATGCGAAGTGGAAAGAATCATACGGTAGGACACATGGAGCACTAGAGGTAACGCTTATGAAAGAACTTTACAGGCGACCTCATCTATGTCTACATTCTGGGTAACCCTATCATTGTCATCAACTCTGCACAGGTGGCAGAGGACCTTTTTGAGAAGCGGAGTAGAAATTATTCTTCCAGGTAAGTTATATCCATCTCGCGACTCGCTCGTTTGATTAGTCTAATGGAAACCACAGGCCCATCAGAACTATGGTAGTCGAACTGTAAGTGCCACTGTGAATTGATTGCTGATGCGTGTCTGAGAGCCGCTAGAATGGGATGGGATTGGCTCTTTTCGTCAATGCCGTATGGGAGCAGGTGGAAACAACGTGCGTGGTCATTCTAGCATAGGCGTGTAAAAATGCAGCTTCGGCCTCTCAGACAGATCGCTCTTCCATCGTCACTTTCGCAGGCTACTGACGTCCAACTATCACCCAGTCGTAGTAAAGGAGACCTTATACAACTCTTCGAAATTTGGCCAATACACCGGATGATTTTGCTCACCACTTGCGCCGCACGGCCGCAGCTATCATTATGAGAATCTCGTACGGACATGAAGTTTCGGACCAAGGTGACATTTACGTGACGCTGGCAGACGAAGCAATGCAGGGTCTTGGCATGGCAGGCATCTTTGGCTCGTTTTTGGTTGATTATCTACCATTTTGTAAGTTGACCACACGAGTGGTAATCAACAGCACTAACCAGAGTTCCTGCTTGCAGTGAAATACGTTCCTGCATACATGCCCGGCGCAAATTTCAAGCGTCAAGCACTAATATGGCGCAAAATGACTAAGGGCCATGATCGACAAACCATTTCAGGCAGTGAGGGAACGCATGGCGAACGGCACTGCCATTCCATGTTTTGCGCAGAAGGAACTGGAGAAGTTGCAAAAGGGTGCAAATCCGGATCCCGACTATGAGACCACGATTAAAAATGTCGCAGGTATCTCCTATGCAGGTCAGGTAAAAGTTTTAGTTGCACAAGAACATGTCAATGCTGAATCAATTCTAGCTGGTGCAGATACGGTTTGCTGCAATATCCGCGAGCTCTCTGATGCCCACTGATCTGATTTACAGACTGTTTCTACCTTGCTTTCATTCGTCCTGGCGATGCTGGTTCACCCCGAAGTGCTTAAACGAGCGCAAAAAGAACTTGATGATGTTCTTGCCATGGAGCGCCTGCCAACGTTTGCCGACAGATCTGATCTGCCATATATTGACTGTATTGTTTGGGAATGTCTACGATGGAACCCAGTGCTCCCTATGGGAGTGGCTCGCCTTGTATCTTCAGATGATGAGTACAACGGTTATTTTATTCCCAACGGTACCTCAGTCTTGCCTAACGTTTGGTAAGTCAAATGTTGATTAAAAACGGTGAAGCTTACAGTTTGTAGGGCAATCCTGCACGACGCCAATGTTTACCCGGATCCATTAATTTTCAGTCCTGAGCGTTTCTTGGACCAAGCAAGGAACGAAGACCTTGGTATCAACAAACTTCCTTGGCCAGCCTTCGGGTTTGGAAGACGGTTTGTCGCAACAAATATCTTTATTTGGCCAACATTATTCACTTCGATCAGGATCTGTCCTGGACGCTGGCTGGCGTACGAATCTGTTTGGTTTTCCATAGCGTGTATTCTATCCGTGTACTCAATTGAGAGAGCCATTGATGAGAATGGCCTCGAGATTGTACCAGAAGTGGTGTACACTGCCTCTCTACTTAGGTATGCCATGCCATTCCTTTCAGAAGATGTTCTATTGACAAACACGAATAAGCCGACCTAAGCCTTTCAAGTGTCGCTTTATACCTCGATCGGAAAGAGCTGATCAGTTAATCAAGGGTACTGCCTCCTGAGCGCGAGCCGCTGCACGTATCGGCGGGAGGTTTAGAGCGTGAACTTCTGGTTCTTCCCCAATAACAACTTTTTCGGCTTCACGCACTTGATGGATGAATTTTGATGTTGCGTTATGACACACATGAAACGAGTACATCTGTAATTTTGGCTACACAATGCTACCACATGCCCAGCACCGTAGATTCAAAACCTGCTCGCCTTAATCTTTCGACAGCCTGGTTCACACAATCAAACCAGGAAATATCATCTTCCTGTCCTCCTTCGGCATACACTTCAAGAAAGTATGCATCATGAAAGGTGTTTGAACCTAGGGATGGTCGTCGGTCTATGCGTGAGATTGGCATGTTAAGTGCCTTGATTGCCCGTGAAGCATCCCATGCTCCTGAGCTTCTATCAGGTAAGAGACGAATCAGAGCACGCCTCTGATAGGTAGGTGGTGATTTCCATGGGACCCGAGCATCCGTGCCATAGGATACGATATAGAAACGTGTTGTGTTCGCTGCAGAATATTAGGCCGTTCCCGTACTGCATCAACGACATCACGTACATTCTCCATCTTGAATGCCAGTGCGCAATACTTCCAGGTCACGAAACAACGAAGTCACGACCGTGGAACAAATCGCCGCACTCTTCAAGGGGTCAAAACCATTGGAGGGCGGGTTGAGCAATGCACGAGCAGCACTCGCAGTCGAGTCGGTCGGCACAAGCGATGCTCTTGGAAGGAACTCCTTCAAAAACATCTTACACTGGCCTAACGCCTGAATGATCAGTCAGAAAGTGCAATATGCATGATGAGGGACATATATATTTTCACTTGCTCGTGGCTGAGAACGTGTTCGATGTCCTCCATTTTGACATTTTGGCGAACGACCAAGGAATGTTCGATCGGCATATTTGTCTCCCCTCTCACGAAACTGTCCCGACCAATGATTCTGCATCGAAGTAGGTTGTAGGTCTCGATCACCGACCCGTTGGTGCTATTTTCTTGGGGTATAATACCAAAGGGCAGCTCAGACGATAATGACTCGAAGACGTCTGGAGGATTCAATATATCATAGATGAACGTTGATGGTCACAGGGAGAAACAGTAATCGACTTACCGGCGATGGTCTGCTTCGCGACATAATGAACGCAATCGCCAAAAGCGTCAAATGCCGCCTGATGGGAATATGTTCCGAGCGGACCTAGGAAAGCCAGTGCAGGAGCATCGGGGCATGATAATGCCGAAGGGGTATTTAGCATCGATGGAGTCTATATCGTGCTCCAAGTTTTCAAAGTCCAGGGCGTTCGGTTCAATGGTCTTGATGAATTACACGTGTCAAACGTTGGAGCGCTGACTACCGTATGTATCATCATATAAAAATTCCAAGGTTAAAGTACTTCATGAACGGAGACAAAACATGGCGGCCTTTATAATACATTATTTATTGTGATAAATTACTGACGAGGCAGACCGTTGCGACAAAAAACTAGGATAAGGATAAGGATGGGGTCTAGGTCAATTATCTTAAGGAAGTGCCGTGTGGTACTGAGGTGCGCTTGTCTGCGTAACGCTAGTACTGGCACGCAGCTGCTGATTAGTGACGGTAGGGACTGGTCTCCCATCCGCAAGACTCGAATGCACGACTGCCGGACCGCCGACTTCCAGAATGCAAGCATCTAACATCCTATGGTATCGGTCTGAAAATGTCTCACTGAGTACTGCAAGCGGAAACCGTCTAAACAACTTACGTGCAAGGGGAAGTCGCTCGGCCATCTTGCTCAATGCCAACCTGAGCCAGATTTTGTTATTGGGACAATCACTTGGCGTTGTGCAACACTGACCTTACAAAATCAAGCTCTGCCTGTAGGGTTTCCATCTGTTGAACACAACCAGCGTCCTGAGCAGCATGGAGGAAACGGCTAAAAATTCGCCCCGCGAGATACCAGCAAAACTAGTAAAGCGGATAAGATACAGGCTAACTCGGGTTAACTAACACATACCGGGCAGAAATAGTCCAAAAGTCCGATATCATAGTTCGTAGACCACACCGCATATATGAGATCAAGGATCGTACGGGCACTCTCGAGTATCTTGGCAGCGGAAGTGCAATTAGCCCTATGGATATTCGAGTGAGGTTCATGAAGTAAGATTACTGATCTATAAATAGGCCAATGAGCTTGCACGAGTGGTCATAGAACTGAAACTACTTACACGTGTGAGGTCAGGAAAGTGGTGTATAGGTGTGAGTCCACCAGCCCCGTCCTGAATGGGTCTTTCAGGTTACTGGGAAATGACGATCGGAATGACACGAGCAGCTGATCTAATTCCGAGAAGGCAGGGGACGACCGGATGTCCGGCTGATCTCCATACCCCTGGGTTGCAAAGTTCCCAACTGGTAAGAATTTCGGATCTCCCAAATTCGATTTGATCTTGTATCGGTGATTGAAGCTTTTGATGAAAGACAGAAGCATAGTGCTCTTGATATACAACGTGAAGGAATCGGTGATATCGGGTGGATGAAAGAGCACCGCTTCTCTCACATGACACCACTGCCGCACGTTATAGTTCACAGGTATCTAAGTGGACTATTAGCTAGCAGGAAGAAATGCAAGTGTCAATACTGACCCCCAACTCAAACTGCTCCATCGTGACTGGGAACATTTGGGCAATGTCGTCGTCATCAAGGGAGAGCGCCCAGCCAGTGCCGGATCCATGTTGGCGATCAACCGCATATGCCAGCCAGAAGGTGTTTCTCCGAGTTTCATCCTCGATTGGAGTGCGAGGCGGAGAGATTATCGACAATGTGGGGGCACTCTTATGTAGCGAAGAGAAAGGAGGGCAAACGTTGAGTCCCAACGGTATCGCAACGCGTAAAGTTTGTCCACTGCAAGTGTATAACTGTCATCAAGAGCAGTCAGCGATATTCTACAATTTAGATATAATAAAACATAACAACCTCCACCCATCTGTCACAAGCTGGTAAGTGAGTGGTTATCCGACTGGAAGATGAGCTTACTTCGAGTGACACCAATAGTACCACATCAGCAAAACGTACGCTGGGAGAAAGTTAGTTACTACATAGTCCGCTTGCATAGACCCACTGACTTTGCACGCATTGAACTAAGTGTTGACCTTTCTTCAAGTACTTCTCGATCGCTTCCTTAGCGTGGATTGCTTGTTGCTCTGCAAATGTATCAGGCAGGTCTGGTTGTGCGAATTGACCTTCGTCTTCCACAAAATGATTGTCAGCGAAACGGGCGTCGAAAAGATGAGCTCTTTACATGAGAAGTCTCTGGCATCTGTTCGAGGTCCTCCAGCTGCAGTGTAAATGGCACTGACAGCGCATATAGCATGTAAAATGGGAGCGATGGGAAAGTCAGGGTGGTCCGGTGGGTATGACAACAAAGCTATGAAGGTGCCTCTGTGAAAAAGGCGAGATGCGTGCGGGTGAAACAAGAAGAACATCTCCACCCTGGTACAAATAGTAAGCTAAAGAAATTACTCGGAGAAATGAATTACAGGTGACGAATGAGTTCCAGGTGAGGGAGGTTGGCAGGCCAATGTGACCAGATAACGTCTAGCAGGAGAAATGGGTTAAATTACAAGAAGCAAAGATGGGTCATCACGCGTACCCGTGCTGGATGAGAGCATGGGAGCATCGATCCCGACGCTTGCACCCCCCATGAGACCCGAATTGCCATTCCAAAAGTACGGGTTAACCGTCTGGGCATCCACGTCCAAAGTAGATGGTGATAATAGGGAATTCAGCTCACTCGGAAAGCTCATTGTGGATGCCGATCCGGAACGTGAATTCAATGGCACAGATTGAATAGAACTAGGTGAATTCTGGGTAGACGAGGCAGCTGAACTGCCAGGTGGATTTGCATCAGGGGATGTTGCCTGCTCCTTTTGACTTAAAAGTGTTTCGAGCTCCTCTGAGAACGAGAATTTGGTGACGAGTCCCACGAATTTAGCGAGCCAGATACGTACTTATCCGAGTCTCCAGTCGTTCAAACCTGCTCTTGGGACTGTCCGATGGGGTAGATGGGATCTCCGTCGTTGCAACTGATGGGAGATTTGAACGCAGGACCACACTACGAGCGGTGGCGCGTACCTTCGTCGAATGTGCATTCCGGCGTTTCCGGCAGGCTCGCTCCAGGCTGAGCATGATCGCGAGCATGCTTATGCGAACGAACACAGGTCGAGCACGGTCGTCTGGCATCACTGGTGGAGCGTCTGAGCAATGGCAGGTCTCATCTAGTCATGACTTTACCATTTCTTATGGTAGTATAGGTCAGAATCGTGGATTAAATGACATCTTGAAACTCACCAATTTGCGTCGTCTGCACTGGTGGCAGGCCTAGAACGAATTTGAGTGATTCGGGAGTGAAAGAGAAAAGTCTGGCACCTGATTTCTCTTGAGGACAGTAGCGCCGCCCGTTCCCGAACCTACTGAACCTGGTGCTTTAGGCATCGATAAAGATCGGAAACGTGATTCTGATAAAGAGTATGACGGCGAATAATTACAGCATGCAATATTGGACCAGCTAAGTAAGGTCCGCTAGAGCGAATAGCACAACTTGAAGAAGTGCAGGTTCAAAGATGCTTGAAACGTCGAAGAACAACCACAATGCCCGTACGTGCTATAAGTGACTATTGCTCCACTATATCCGGGATCATTGTTATTTATGGCACTCAAGATCAAAACCGCAGTCACTCTGACTGAACACGCCACCCTCTCGAAAACTAAGAACCCGTCAGACGGGAAAATGCGACATATAGGTCGTAACGGAAGCAACAACATAAATGGGCGTGATATAGTAAAACAAGGAAAAACCATCTATGAGCATGGGAAGAACAATCCACTCTCATACGATAACACAACCACGGCCACTGCGCTTCTTTTCCTTCGGGGGAGGGTTCACTTTAAGTCTGCTTCATCAAATCTTCTTATGTGAATGATGATGTATACTCACGAACAGCACGGATAACCTCATCAAACACGGTCTTCAGGCCCTTCTGCGATAGCGCAGAACATTCGAGATACTTGACGGCACCAATGTCCCTCGCCATCGAGACTCCTTGCGTGTACTGGATGGGCTGCATGCGCCTGCGTACATCAGGATTAAAAGAGATGCCAGGTAACATGCCGGACTTACCGGTCACGCAGCTTCTCGATGGTAGCAGGATCTTCGCGCAAGTCTAGTTTGGTGCCAACCAAAACCACCGAGGTAGATGGCGCATGATGTGAAATCTCGGGCCACCACTGGATTGCGGGGGTCAACGAAAGCAGTGAGGGTATTTACTTGAAGAGTGACACACTTTGGTTCTAACGTTCTCGTAACTAGGTGGACTGACGAGTGAGAAACAGATCAGGAAGACATCCGTCTGAGGGTATGAGAGTGGACGGAGACGATCATAATCTTCTTGTCCAGCAGTGTCCCATAGACCGAGAGAAATGGTTTTCCCGTCGACCATCACATTTGCAGAGTAGTTATCGAATACTGATATTGCGTGAGCCGGCAGCGCTTTCAGGTCACCCACCCGATCATACCTGTTGGGACGTATTCTCCCTACGAGATAAGTTAAAATGTTGTTCTAACATAAGCGCGCATAACACTCACTGGGAAAGCATTCGTGGTATAAGAGATTAGAAGACACGTCTGCACCACTCATAAATCCCTCAACGCCAGAGCCTCGATGTGGAGAAGAACTTGCCTTGCCAACAGCACCATCACCAACCACAACACCTGAATCTTAGGTTAGCTGATATCAACAATGCGCAAGTAAGACTCACATTTGATGTTGTGCATTCTGATTGATGTCCTAGTTGGTTGCCTGAAAGAGAAGCCTAAGGAGAGCAATGTGTCCGCAGAATAAGCGAGTGCTTGTGTAAACCTGCCAATTTCGCAAGTAGATAAGCCCAGGTAGTTGCGGCTGGTGAGCAAACTGAAACAGAGCGTAACAATCCAAGATACGGTGTCAAACATACCTTCAATTTCGGAAGATTAGTAGGAGGCGAGGCGAGTGACGACGAGTTGGAAAAAGAAAGCTTTGCGCTTAGGATCAGTGTGACTATAGGCTGTCCTTGATGGGCCAGCCTGATATCCTCTCCGCAAACCTACAATAAATGAATCAACACCGAAATATTTGGTCCTATTTTCTCACGTATCCCTAGCTAATGAAACACTGCACAAGTTTATTTGTCCCTCAGCGATATACTCTACTCATCAAATACTTCAAAATCAATATCTACAGGGTTGACTTGTACTGTTCCAGTGTCTCCAGTAGTACACGCATATGACAGTTTTTGAGAAGTAGAGACGGGGTTTGTGTGACCCCATCGAACACATTAATTAGGAAGCCCTAACTTCGGGTTCCAAAAATGTTTGTTATATGAGAGTCAACCTTAAAATGCTTGGCAACAGAACCGGCGGCAAGAACAAATACATCTCGAGGCAAAACAGTATACAAGTAAGGTAGGATGGGCATGAAAACAACGGTGTACAGGTCTGAAACAGATGCCAAAGCCAAGTGAGAAATTCTGGAGCTGATAAATGATGAAAACCGTTCAGATAACGACATACAAAGGCAAAGCGGATCGAAAACTAGTGGAACAAGCGAACAAGATCACTCAGGCTACGTCACCCTGCGTTTCTTTGACGGTGGTGCCAAATCGTCAGATACGTCCATTAACACTCCTTCGACTTCCGCTTCATCCTTCTCCTCTGCTTCGCGATGGGAAACATGGGAGGTAGAAAGATCGAACGGGGCCATCAACCCAATGCCTAGCCCAATGAGGCCACCACCATTTGATTCTGACATTTCACTATCCGGTAAACGGAAATGCCTCATCACTGGGCTTTCCGCGTCTGGACTGGACCGCGGTGGTGATACAACCCTCTTTTCAGGCAGATGTCGTAAAGTAGGTTCAAGCGGCTTGAAGGGGCTCCCAAAGGGATCGTCGCTCGTCAGGCGGGCAGGGCTTGGTATTGCTGTGCTGTTCAAACTGCTCGCCGAAGATGAGAGCGAGTTATCAGAAAGCCAGCCGCCCTGCAAGTCGAAGGAGTTGCTCATGGCAGACTTTTTCCGGTCATGGCTTTTGCGACGTAGACCACCGCCGAGTGGGGAGTCATTCAAGCGTTTGCGGAAGTCAAGCCGAGTATACACTGGCACTGGCGAACGACCATCAGAAAATAGGTGGCGTGGTGAAGGTCTAAAGATGATAGGAGAGCTTCCTTCGGTGAATATGCTGCCAAGGTCGCTAAACGTCTTTCCGCGGAATGTGATGCTGCATGGAGTATTCATAACGCTCGCCGTACCAGTGCTTGGGGAGCTTGAGTCAATGACAGAAGAACCTTTTGTAGCAGGAGTGGCACGCGCGAGCATGGATAGGCAAAATTCTCTGGCCCCAGAATGGAGGGGGTGACTGGGACTCGGGAAGCGCCAGGGCTGGTCAGAAGGAAGGCGCGGCGGAGAGTGGCGGAACGATGGCGTCAACGTTGGATCGTAAGGAGACATGGGAACAGCAAAGCTTGATGTCTTTGGGGACGCGCTCGTGTCATCAGCTTGCCTTGTCCGGGAATCATAGGAATCTGGCATCATGAAGCCCTCATCCAGCGGTCTTGTGTGTTTAAGGATGGGAGGAGATGAAAGGGCAGGAAACTCATTCTGTTCAATGACAGGTGCTGAGGGCGCGGGCAAGTCATCGTCATCTGCTTCATCATCCTCTGGGTCTGGGGTAGGCGTTATGCTATTCCTTGACGATAAGGCCGACCCTCCGGTTCCTGACTTCCTGGATTTGTTGTCTGGTCCCCTTGAACCTCGACAATCTTCTGCATAATTTTCCTTATCATGATGGTTACTTCGTTCCCCTGGAGTGAGAACAACTTAGTTATTAGGGTTTGCGACCTCGGGTATAAGCTTACTGCCAGATCCGCGGCCACCGCGCGTGCGATCGTGTCCCTCCCGACGATTCGACATAGCAATCTTGTGTTTCTCATACACATGTCGCCTCCACATGCTCTTCGCATTGACCCCGGCGTACGTTCTCCTGCAGAATGTACAACGCAGCCTTGGCTCTTCCCCTTCAGGCCAGCCATCTGGACCTAAAGCCTTGAGATCCTTTTTCTTGGCTGGGCACCATCCTCTGGGTGGTTCGAGCTGGGGAGGATAAGGAATTGCATCTGGATTGTTTGATGAACCATTAACGAAATCATTCTGATCTAAGAACCAATCTGGATTCGCAGCCATCAATGAGTAGGAGAGGCCTTCTGGATAAAGGTGAGCGTTGGGAAAGGCAACAAACGGGGGGTGAACAAAAACGAGGTTCGGATCAGACGGGGAGGGATCCATCATGGGCATATGTTGAACTAAGGATGACGCTGAATGCGTCCGCACAACAGATTGTAACTTCGGCGGGGGCGGCGGGATGGGAGCCGAAGAACCATTTGGCGTATATGGTTTTGGCTTAAATGAGGCAGCTGCAGGCGTGAAAAAAGGGAGATCCGAAGTAGACGTCAAACGTCGTTTCAGAGCGCGAGTTGTGTTCGTAGATGATGTTGCAGTAAATGAAAGCGAGGTGCTCAGAGTGGGTCGTGTGTCAGACATGGCAGGTGACTGCTAGGCTACGTGGATCGATGACTACTTTTAGGCACTATACATTTCGTGCCCGACACAAGAAGTACTCACGCGTAAAAAAGACTTCTGATGGTGTCTTTAACCAAGATAATTAGATATTGACGTGCGTGACGGTGGGCGGGATGGCAAGGGATATCGCGCGAGCTGCGAAAACTAACGACCAAGATGATGTACTCAGTACGCTTATTTCTCACATTTCAAGCGGAGCTGACACGTCTCTCACTTCCTCAACGCGTCGGTCACGTGATACTTTGAATTTACGGGAGTACATCGAACCCCGACGGGGCAGTACTGATGAGAAGTAGGTATGGCCCATAGTCAACTATGTTTAGCACGGCCATCCCAGTACCACACCACCATACAATGAAAAGCTAGGCACATGGCCTATAAACTGCCAAGCAGCCCAGGACAAACAAAGACGTACTTATACCATGAATGAAAAATGGCTGGAACACAACTTGAGAACATTCTATTTTTCAGAAGGAGTGAATTGATCTATAGTGCTAGAGCAATGTACCTAGTCAATGCGACGACATGAGCGCGTGCTGGAAGTATTTTATTCTGGTTTGGCTCACCCAGCAATCATAGCCATACCGCCCATAGGAGTGATAGGTCCAAGGAATTTCAATCTGGATACCGCATGATGATATTAGAGCACGGGCAGGACATATAAAGAGAGATCCCGCACTTTTCTCCCCACAGAACAAGTGCCATGATTGAGCCGGAGAAGACCAGACCTCCTCCCGCGATAGCAGGGCCAGCAAACTTGTGTGTCGAGAATCGAGGATGCATTGCAATCGCAAACAAGGCCAGGCCATTGAATATCTTTGTTCTGAGTCGTTAGAAACAAGTCATACATGAGGAGGGATTACGAACCGCGAAATGAGACGCCGTTCCCCATGCGGACAAGCGTTCAGGAGTGATACCTGACCTGCGCTTCAAACCATGGGAACCAAATGCGCCAGCAATCATTCCTGCAGCAGCTAAACGGCAAGCACAATAGACGTGATTCAGATCATGACGGTCGACAAGCTAACAATATAGCCAACCAAAGATAGCCCCCGACTTCCAAAGGAGCGAGGGCGTTACAAAAGTCGATCCTCGCGGGAGAAGTGGCGTCGAAGAGTTAGGAATCGTCATCTCTGTGTCGACTGTGGCTATAGACAGTCGAGTGTGGGTGATGTTACTGATGTAATCAATATACAAGCCGTTATATTGTTACCGAGCGCTTACTGTAAAAAAGCCATCTTCGTCGTGGTTGTATAAGTACTTGCCAGCCATGGGTAAAGCACAGAAAAAGACAGGAAAGGGTCGGCTTGATAAGTATTATAAGCTTGCAAAGTACGCATTTCCTTGGAACACCATCTCCTTATCTAACGCATTGTATCTAGAGAGCAAGGTTACCGTGCGCGGTCGGCCTTCAAGCTAATTCAATTGAACAAAAAATACGCCTTCCTCGAATCAGCCCGATGCTGCATCGATCTATGCGCGGCACCTGGAGGTTGGCTACAGGTTGCTAGCAAATACATGCCTACGAATAGTGTCATCGTCGGTGAGTGCTTTACGGACACTTGAAGATCAATCTTGATTCCTTCATTTCACTCTGCAGGTGTGGATCTTGTACCAATTAAACCTATCCCTCGTGTCGTCACATTCGCTGCAGACATAACCACTGCGCAGTGTCGTAACCTCATTCGTAGCGAGCTCAAGGATTGGAAGGCAGATGTTGTTCTTCATGATGGTGCACCAAATGTCGGTACTGCATGGGTGCAGGACGCATACAGCCAATCCGAGCTTGTGCTGATGAGTTTAAAACTTGCTGTGGAATTTCTCGTCAAGGGCGGGACGTTTGTCACCAAAGTGTTTCGAAGTGTCGACTACAACAATCTCATTTGGGTCTTCAATCAGCTATTTGGAAAGGTGGAAGCTACAAAACCTCCGTCATCCAGGTGTGTCTTGTCATCGTGGTCATGTCCTCTATTATTTATGTGGAGGTAGAAATGTGTCTGCTGAGATTTTCGTAGTCTGCCGGGACTTCCTTGCGCCCAAACACATCGATCCAAAGTTTTTGGACCCCAAACATGTCTTTAAGGACCTGTCTACTACTATCGCATCTGGTACAGACAAGGGTACTTCTGCGAACAATGCACAGGCCAATGTGTTTCAACCTGAAAAGAAGCGTCGGAAACGTGACGGTTACGATGATGGGGACTATACTTTGTTCAAAAAGGCTTCCGCAAGTGACTTCATTCGGAGTGCTGACCCAGTGGCTGTGCTCGGGCTGGTCAACAAAATGACCTTTGAGTCGCAAGAGGAAAAAGAGTATGATTGTTAGTCTTCTGTTGTGCTGTCTTGACGAGTTTTAGATGGTTGCAGCTCGATATCACTAGTCGCGAAGTAGAGGCGAGCTGCGAGGATTTGAAGGTGCTCGGCAAGGGAGATTTTAAGAATCTACTCAAGTGGCGGTCTGCGCTTCGTCAAGAAGTCGGTGTCGCCTGCTTATTCAGTTGGCTGCGTCCCTCACAATTGCCCACAGATCGGCTTAGACGTCAAGGCGAAGGACGCCCAGGATCTTACAGAGACCGTTGAGATCACTGATGACGTTGACGAAGAGCAGCAGATTCGAAATGAGGTCTGTCTTCTTGGAGGCTATGAATTCCCATCATTCTGACTCGTGTATTAGCTCGAAAGGTTGAACGTTGAGGCAACTGCGCGAGCCAAGCGCGAACGACGTCGTGCAAATGAGATTAAGACCAAGACCATTCAACGGATGCAGCTTCAAATGACCGCCCCGTTAGATATTGGTCTCGAGCAAATCGATGCTTCGTTAGGAATGGGCCAAGAAGATATCTTCGATTTGACGGGTACTGAAAGGCAGTTGAGAAATAAAGGCGGGATTGGGATCATACGACTGGATGAAGACACACCGGAAGATGAGGTCGAAGACGAGGTGGTGGCAGGTGAAGATGAAGAGGATGAGGTCCTCGATTCTGAGGAAGAAAGGGATCGAAAGGCGTCCCGACTTGAGGCGGAATTGGATGGCCTATATGATGCTTACCAAGACAAACTGAAGGAGCGCGACACCAAATTCAAGGCTAGGGAAGCGAGAAAGAAGAACGGGTTACTGGAGGAATGGGGCGGTATTCAGGAGGGCGATAATAATGAAGGCGACGAGGAAGGCGGCTGGGACCAAATGGAGGCCGCAAAGGGGGAAGATGACGATTCCTCGGACGAAAGTGACAACGACGAACCTGAGACACCAGGCCGAAAGAGAAGAAGACCTCAGGCAACAGAAATGAAGTCCCACAAGAAGGTCAAGCTCGTGACAAAGCTAGCGGAGCCAACCGCAGGAGGTCGTGCTTCTCAGGTATGGTTCAGCCAAGAGCTTTTTGGCGGTCTAGAGGGTCTTGATGACATAGAGGATCATGATGAGGATCATGATGAAGGGGAGGATGTAGACATGGCCTCGGTGCAGCATGATGGCGGCGAGGAAGAATGGCAGGATGATGTACGTCCCAAAATGCTCGTTTTAAGTTCCATGCTTATGAGATCTCTTAGCCTGCCGTTACATCGGATGATGACTTTGAGGTTGTGCCCCAGCAGGACGACGAAGACGTTGAAATGTGGGACGCCGGGGGCGAAAACCAAGATGAAGCTAAGAAGGAACACATCGAAAGTATGTGCAATGCGCCTACCTGGCATTCTTGATAAACTCTCTGACCAATGTCCCAGAGTATGGCCTAACTACAGTGGAAGCCGTGTCCATCGCCCAACGATTAGTAAATCGCCAAACTACCAAAACGCACCTTCTTAATGACGGATTCAATCGCTTTTCTCTTAACGCAAAAGACGGCTTACCGTCATGGTTCTTAGATGATGAGGCCAAACACTACAAGCCGAATATCCCTGTGACTAAGGAGGCTATTGCTGCTCTGCGAACACGTCAACGCGCACTGGATGCACGTCCAATCAAGAAGATCGCAGAGGCCAAGGGGAGGAAGAAACTACGGGCCACACAGCGGCTAGAGAAGGCGATGAAGAAGGCAGAGGGTGTAAACGAGACGTCAGATATGACAGAGCGCGAGAAGGCAAAGCAGATAGAGAAGCTTATGCGTAGAGGAGCTGCCAAAGCAAACCAGAAGAAAGAAACGAAAGTGGTGGTTGCGAAAGGTGCTCAGAAGGGAGTCCAAGGCAGACCAAAAGGCATCAAGGGGCGCTATGTCATGGTCGATGCAAGGATGAGAAAAGAGGTGAATCCTTTGGCATGTGCGTTGATCTTGCAGAAACTGACTGTTCAACAGACACGGGCCAAGAAACGGAGAGAAAAGGCAAATAAAAAGCGAAGATGAGGGTGACCTGTTTACCACACATAATCGATCTCATCCAATGCTTGCGGTATTATTCATCGGGTCTGTGACCTAAGAGCATCGATTATTGTTCTTAGTGTATACAATGATGGTAAGTTAAGGGACCGGAAGATGCGACATAAAGCCCTGAGCAGGGGTTGAAACAGAGCTGACAAGGTCACATGATGCGAGGAACCGAGTCCAAGCTTCCTGACCGATAGAGTTATCAAACGTCACCTAGTTCATGAATGAATATACCGTATATTCAAATATCGTGCTTGCGTACCTGACAAGTGGTAAACTTCTGGTTGCTCTCCAAGTCCAATGCACTTTCTGTTATGACTGGCGCAGAAACGGACTGGTCCATGTTCGCACCCGGTGGAAGCTGAGTTGTCTCGATAACTTTGCGCACACTCAAACTAGTTTGAAGGAAGTAAGTCCGACCGCGGAAGTTGAATGTAGCTGGCGGCTGTGGTTGGATCGCTTCACGGTCCTGAGACGTTAAGCTTCCAATGATCAGGTGAATGAGATCCAGTTCCAAAAGCATGATTGAAAGAAGCGCACAAATATCGCAGCTGGTTCGCATATTCGACGAGCAGCGGAGGTTGGTCACCTGCACAAACATCTGTGTAATCAAAGACAGTGAATTGAATATCCATTGGGCTACCCCAAAGTTAGTTCTTATCGCACTAGACTTGAGACTTAACGAACCGATCAGGCATCATGACATCCAACGTGGATTCAACGCCTTCGAGGCATGTTGCTGCGGAAACGTTGACAACCACCTCTTGAGGGTTAGGCTCTGCGTTCATCGAATGTTCCTCCGAAGTGGCCGAGTCCTGGAATAACTCCAGAGATGACGAAGTATCATGATCGACGTCGAGGTCCAACGTTGATGAATCACCAGCCAATTCGCGGTCCGAGTCACCATGCTCAAGTCCTGCCGCTTTGGACCTAGTCATATCTGACATCGAGAACTCCAATTCTATCTTGATCACCTCTTGATAAAGACTATTCTCAAGCTGGGACTCTGGAAGCGTGCGATACAACACGCGGTGAAGGACTGTTTGGTTGGAAGGTGGTGAATTCAATAATGTGGCAGGGAGACTGGCAGTCCCGATTAGCACGTAGGCGAAATGGCTGTAGCATTATTAGACGCACCTGGGAACGAACGTGAGTGGAGTGTTTGAAGTGTGCAACCATTTCAGAATCTTTGATAGTGTCCAATTCCCCTTTAACGGGGGACTAAGGACGCTATGTCCGACCGGTGACGGAGGCACAAGGACAATGTGTCCAAAGCTTGGGTGATGTTAGAAACAACCTCCTTGATCAACTGAGCACTTACGAGGCAGATACGAGTCTTTCGTGACCAGGGGTGAGGGGGGCACTCTGGAGCAGTGCCTCAAGGTCTTTGGGCTCCCTTCAAGAAAAACGTCAGTAGAAAACTCAAGCTAACTTGCAGGACAAGCTGACTCAGTTTTAGTTACCACTTTTCCCTGCCTACCTGCCAACCCACCAGTCTTCGACATGTCTTCAGTGGCAGCAGCACCGAGCCAATCTGCAACTCTGCGAACCCGGAAAGATCCACCTTTGATCATCGTCCAAGGTAATGACCGAGGGGAAAGGAATGGGTATATAGAGTACGTGTGCGGCATGAAAGAGGGCGCTACAGAATGCTCGAGCTTTGTCTTTGTTGGCACACAGCAAAGGAGGGGTGAAGAATTGCCAGTTTGAGCCTAAGCCCTCTATCAGTCCAGCATGATGACTGTTGTTCTTATAATGGCGTAGCTTACCTCCGTTGAAGCACGTATGGCAAGCCGTTTTGCAATGTCCATTTTTTCTGTGTCTTTAGCACAGATTCTGATCTAAAGCCATTTTCAATAGATGCTCGAATGACAGATAATTAAACCTGCCTTGCCCTTGTGACCAAGGTTTTCTACATAAGCACCAGCGAGACGTGAAATACGTTGGACCAAATCCTGGCGAATAGGTCGCTTTGAAGGCAGCTCAACGATTTCATCAATGATACCCTCGGGGAAAGTTAGTTTCCTATCACTGGCACGAAGTTCCACAACCTTACCCTTTTCATCTCACTCAGGTGCTCCGTGAGTTGTTTCATTGCGCCTCTCAATCCCTCCACTCGCAAGGCAAGTGGATTAGAAGCTAGTGAAATGTGGACGTTATACTGCATGGAAAGCTGCAGTAAGTCAGCACCATCTGAAAATCTGTCAACAAGAGGAAGGCTGCGACCTGAATGGACTCTACCTTTCCCAAGAATGAGAAAAAGTTGACTGGGGTTGAGAGAGAATGCTACAGAAGTCAGGCTCAGGATGGGAGCAGTACAGAACAAAACTGACTTTTGACAACAACCTCTGTCTTATCCCGCTGCCTTCTCTCGATTTCCTTTAGTGAAGGCCAGTTCCACTGCTTCTCCATAATGGATTCCGCATATTCTACTTTCCGTCTGGAACTACGCGTCCAAATAGGGTCGAGGTTATACAATTCTGTAAACTTCCGTAGCTGGTCCTTGCTGAAGGATCGACAGAGTGTGTCCAAGAGATTATTGTACTCTTCGGCATATTTAGACGACTCCGGGGACGAGTGTCTCTTAGGTCTGCAATGCTCTATATCATCCAAGGTTGGCTCCAAGCCAGCAGCGTGTATTGAGGCGAGGTAAAGGTCGACACGGGTAGGCTCTAGTGGATTTCGAGACTGTGAGGGTGTTTCACTCTCCACCACCTTCGTGTCTCTGGGGGCTTGGGCTCGCTTTCGCGGTTGCGTTGTCGCTGGTGCATTACTAGGCCCAGCAGATACTGTCACTGTCTGCTGAAAGCTACTTGTTGGAACAGCCGAGGTTACCAACGCTGCTTGTGACGAGTAGAGTCTACGCTGCCAACGCAGGCACGACGAGCACAGCGAGCGCGATGTCCGCAGTAACGGAGACGACATTCAAAAAGAAGGCCTGGTGCGTTCGAACTTCGAGGGTTAAGTAAATATTATATCTGCAGTGACTGACTGGTGATATAACTTGATATAGATAAGTACAAACAACCAGAAAAGGCAGCATAACACAGCCACCTCACTCGAAAATTGTTGTAGCATATAAGTCTGTTCAATACTGTTAAATGATGAGGATGCCTTCAGAGCCCTTCAGCAGAGCCAGCTTCAGCAACGCGGCGGTCTGCGAACATCCCCTTCTCATCATCCTCACCTACCTCGCCTTCCCAACCATTGTCAGCGAGGTATTTCATGAATTTGACGTCCTCATCAGCGAGGTCAACCCCAGTCATATCTGGGACACAGAAATATGTGACCAGGACACCAGTTACGCCGCAAATGGCGGCAATAATGAATGTCCACCTTCAAAGGCCGTTCAAGAAATGGATTAACATCAACGAAAACTTCTAACGCACTGTTTACCCAGATTGTTCTGTATGGGAGTAAAAGCCTGAGTGCCAACGGCTGCTCCAGTCTTCCCAATAGCAGCAGATAGGCCATAGCAGGTGCCGCTGTTAACTAGTTTGTACGTGATCATTTGTTTGTCATTAATGACGCACCGGATCGGAGTCGCATATGATTCGGAGCTCGTCAGACCAAGCATATCACCCGGTCCCTAAGGTATAAATTTTGAGATAAACATCGATGGGCTCATAAAGATTGCACAAGCACCATGTTTCCGACCGATTGCATAAGCCCATAGCTAGGAGAAGCTGTCAAGAGAGCCAGCGTGATCTAATGAAATAACTCACAAAATGATGAATAATGGTATGATCTTCGTGATCTTGTCGTAAGCCAGTCCAATTATGAGGCCAAATAAGAGGTATCCAGAGAAGCCAAGCATCATCTAAATACGAATCGGTGTGCGGTTATGATCAAAGAGGCATTGCCTACTGTATTTCTTCGACCCAGCCTATCACAGAGATAGGCACCCACAAAAACACCAGGAAGGGCGATTACTCCGAGAAGAAGTTGCCATTCTGCCGTCTTCTTTATGTCGCCATTGTGGATAACGCTTGAAATAATGGTACCCGAGAAAACACCGTTAGGGAATGTGACCTATGCGAGAAAGAGTGAGTCCGCAAAACCCACGGCCGCAACACTTGGCTCACAAAATCGTAAAGGAACCTGGTTCTAAGATGAGATCCAGACTAGTGCCTTCGATTCATGCACGACTCACCAGGCCCCACAAGTTCCAATCAGCTCTCGCCAATAGCGCTTGAACACGAGTTTGTATGGGACGCGACCTGAGATCAAATTGAAAACAGAAGATACAAAAGCAAACTTATGCATACGCTTAATGGCACCCTTGCGGTACAGCTTAGAGCTCAGCATCCGAAGACGGAAGAAGAATACAGTCAAAGGGAGCATTATGCCAACACCAAAGCACACGCGCCAGACCGTCTCAAGATGGCTCTCCCCAGCTGCCGACAAGACAATCAGAAACACCGATACGGCGAGGGGGCCGCCAAACTGATTCAAAATGTTGAGACCTCCGTCAAAGCAGCATATGCATACGCACAGATAGAACAAAGTTCGTGACCATGATGAATACTGCTCACGTCCTAAGTTATACACGTTTTGGATAAATGATACAAACTAACCTGGACCGCGATTATTCAGTGCTGTCTCGTTCGCAGCTTCGCTAGCACTCGTGGAGGAAGCAGGATATTCGCCTCCGACACCCTAACAAGGGAATTGAAAACTGAGCATTGAGAATGCAGCACGAGCAAGATACATACAACACCCGTGATGCCTCGAGCGAAGGTCAGGAACCAGAATAATCCCTGGGCGCTTCCATGGGCACCGTGAGCCGCAGTGCCAAGGGTAGCACCAATGACAATCATTAAGGTTGTTGTCACAAGGGCAACTTTACGTCCTACTCTGTCGCAAATCAAGCCCACAGATACCTGACCCAGTACAGCACCTTTTGAATTTCCAGATTAGATGTATGCAGGGGTCGCGTTCTTACTACTGCATAGTATGACACTCACCAACCAGCAAGGCATTTGAGACTCGAGTGGATACAGTCGATGTGTAGTCTTTCGGGTATAACTGCTTGAAGATAACCTAGTAAATCAAGTCAGGAACTTTCTGGTTGTCGTATGGTGTCCGACGAACGTTGCTCATTGTCATCAGATTATTTTGATCTGTGATGCATCAGGTGACCAGCTGCTATCTGCGGTAAAGCCAAAACCTACAACCGTCACTAATCAAACCAAAACCCGCGGCCAGGATGGTGAAATATGCACTGAGAGACTCTTTTTTATTGAGATCATGTGCTGTAGCCTTCAGTTCCGCTGCATGGGTCCTTGCAGTCAAATTACGAATGTCATCACTGACACCAGCCTTCGTCTCCTTCTCATCAACGGAGTTGACATCTTTCTCGTTAGACATGCCGAGGGTGCTCGAAAGATAACAAGCTGGTGGGAGATAAATGAAGGGTCTGCGGCGCATTTTCATCGAGCGATCATTTTATAAGTGGGCACACGTGCTACAATAGTGGGGGATTGAGCTACATGATTTGGCGCTGTCAACACTCGGATCACATACATCCTAATGCAGGGTGCTTGCAGTCCTGAGGCTGAACGTTGTAGCAATTGTGAACTTTGAGAACAGGAAGGTTGAACGTGTCTCCATTCGTCCGAGGCACAATTATGCCTCAAGATGCAGATTAGGCTGCAGTGCCTTCCTTGCTCAGTGTATGAATAGTGGACGAAGACCAAACGAAACCATCATTGAGGGCAATGATGCTGCCTGAGGCGTCGTATAATGATCTACTAGTATTAGCATGAGCTATAGCAAAGGAAACGTTTGGCAAACGTACTTAGGTGCCTGATTATAATTATGTAATTCATGCTAGCATGGATACTCCGCTTGAACTTTATTTTTCTGAAAGACAGCGCAGACTTCGCTGCCGACGAGAGCAGCGAGCACGGCAAAATGGCCACTTCTAACGTTTCACATAACCCTATCGACGATGAGGATGAGCTTGATTTTTCTGACATCGAAGCCAAGTGCGAACTTTCTTGCACTTCCAATTTAACTTCTACTCATTTTCTCCCGCTTAGATATTCTGTGGACTTTGACGATGGCTTCGACAGTGTAATCGTCGTCGACGGAGTGCCTGTCATCGACAAATCTAAGCTCGACAAGTTACTAGCAAAGATCTCGAAGGAGTTCTCCAGAAGGGGGGCTGTGATTAAGCCAGACGACATTTTTGTACCATGGGACGACAATGCAGGAAAAACCAAAGGGTACGCTCGCCCTAGCCCTTCTGCTAGACTTTTGGGACCTAAAGTAGCGTAGCTTCATCTTTGTGGACCTTGGAAACCCAGACGCAGCTGCCTTTGCTGCCAGCGCTATGAATGGACACCCTTTCGACACCAAGCATACTTTCCGCATCAATCGATTTACCGACATTGAGCGCTATGCAAGCATGGACGAGACATACGTTGAACCCAAAGTGGAGGAATACCGTCCAAAAGTTTGTCCTCCCTACCGCAATCAAGACGTTGGGCTCACCTTCGCTAAAGGAACATCTCCGAGCATGGCTCGCTGATTCTCAGGGACGTGATCAGTATGTGACTTACCGAGGCGATGATGTAGAAATCCATTGGCACGGGAAGCCTTCGCAGTGTGAAGTGGCATATGCGAAAAAGGTATGTGGCCGTTCCACTCGTCATTGCATCCACTAATTCTCTTGACAGAATTGGACAGAGCTCTACGCTTCATGGTCACCCCTTGGTACATACTTCGCTACGCTTTTCCGTCAGGGTGTCCGGCTGTGGGGTGGGCCATCATGGGAACCCCAACATCGTTTTGCGCATCCTCTTGTCAAGTTGATTGACTTTTCTCCATGCGAAAATTACATCGTCACTTGGTCACATGATCCCATTACAGTCCCTAATAACCTCCCTCAAGGCCCCGAATTCTTTTCTCCCGAGGATGAGGGCAATAACATTGCCGTTTGGGATATCAAGTCCGGCCGTCTCCTTCGCACGTTTCCCACCACGGCTTACGAGACTGAGGATCCAGTGATGAAAAAACAAATGCAATGGCCTGCATTAAAGTGGAGTTCCGATGACAAGTTCGTTGCTCGTGTAACACCAGGACAGCATATCAGTGTCTACGAGTTGCCGAGCATGGGTCTTCACGACAAAAAAAGTTTGAAGATCGAGGGGGTTGTCGACTTTGAATGGTGCCCTCACGGAGATAAGGACAAGGAAGACGCGGAGAAGGCCGTGACAGCTGGGAAAGGTGCCAAGAAAAAGGAGAACATGCTTGCTTACTGGACGCCTGAAGTCGCTAATCAACCTGCGCGAGTGACCCTCATTAATTTCCCGAGTCGCACTGTTCTACGGCAAAAGAACTTGTTCCATGTCACAGAGGCAGGTGTTGTCCGTCTTTGCTTCGGTCGGTTCCTCATTGAAGATCGATGTTACAGTGCAAGCTTCATTGGCAAAACCAGGGTGACTTCCTTTGTGTCAAGGTTGATCGCCACACCAAGACCAAGAAATCTATTTTCTGTAATCTTGAAATTTTCCGAGTTCGTGAGAAGGACTTTCCCGTTGAAGTTGTCGAGTTGAAAGGTACAGAGACCCCTGATGTTACTGGATCATTCACTTACATGTCATACAGACACGGTGACAGACTTTTCTTGGGAGCCTAAAGGGGAGCGATTTGCTATTGTGTCAAGCAATGATCCAAATCTCGGTAACCCTGGGCCCGGAATCACAATCAAAACCGACATCGGTTTCTACCAGTTGGATCGTGCTAAGAATGACTTCAAGCTGCTGCGTATGTGCTGTCAACATCGGTTAGGCTTTGTCCTTTAACCTTTTTTTTGTTTATAAACAGGAACTCTCACAGCAAGGACTAGTAATACGATACGTTGGTCTCCTCGAGGCAGACATGTAGTTCTTGCGACAGTTGGTTCATCGACCAAGTCCGAACTCGAGTTTTGGGATCTGGATTTTAGCACCGAGGAACGCCGAGAAGGCCAAAACGTAAAAGAAGAATGGGGTAGCGGCATTCAGCAGCTCGGTTCTGCCGATCATTATGGTGTAACTGATGTGGAATGGGATCCAAGTGGGAGGTACTTGGCCACTAGTGCAAGCGCATGGAGGCACACGGTCTGTCGCGGCTAGTTTCTAATGTGCTGCTGTGCTCATTGCTTTCGTGCCAAACAGCTCGAAAACGGCTACGCTATTTGGGACTTCCGAGGACAAGAATTAGAAAAGCACATCTTTGACCGCTTCAAGCAATTCATCTGGCGGCCGCGGCCGCGGAGCCTCCTTACAAAGGAGCAACAGCGGCAAATTCGCAAGAATTTGCGGGAGTACAGCCGCGCGTTCGACGAGGAAGATGCTGCGGAGGAGAGCAATGTCAGCGCGGAGCTTATCGCTCATCGTAAGCGTCTTCTTGACGAATGGAATGCATGGCGCGCACGTTGCAAGCGGGACATCGCAGAAGAAAAACGGAGTCGAGGACAAAAACTCAATGGCGAGCAACACGAAGAGGAAAAGGAAGAGATTGAGGAGTGGATTGATGAAGTTATTGAGCAAATCGAGGAGGAGGTCGTGGAGTGATTGTTCCGTTCTCGGCGTTGTATTTAGTCGCATGCATACATGTTACTTTCCCATGTCATAGTAAGTTATCTTCGTCCATGGGGTTGTCCAGCAACAGTGGAGGCGGTGTTCCGTCGAGGTTTCTGTGTTACCACTCAACTGGGTTGTTCTCGGAATCCCCCAGTGACTGATACAGTATCTAATCTAACATTCAATTCCTCCTCGAGTTGACGGTGACGCTAAGCACCTGTTTGATACCGGGCAAAAACGCTTAGTATTAATATCATAACCCTTGCTTCTCCCGTTCTCTTCAGTATCTGCTTGACGACACTCAACTAGTACTGCTACTCGTTTTTCAAGCATGGTACCTATTGGACCGTCCCCCGTGTCGCAGGCAGCCTCTTCCTCGTCTTCGACACTATGGGCAACAGGTAAGCTTGATCTGCGACTATGAAGTACTTAGTCTCAACGAAATCATCTGCAGCCTCAAAGGAGTGGGTGATCCCAGCTAAACCCAAACCAGGGCGAAAGCCCAAGAAGGAGACCTCTGCAGGCCCTCCAGCCCCGCAAGATGACGAGGCAAGGATTTCCTTATTCCACTGCGCCTCATAGTGTTAACATCAATTGCAGGACTCGGAGTCCGCAGGTAGGCGTGTTCAAAACAGGTGAGGAGATAAGTAGTCTTCTGTAGTACCGTCTACTTATTCCTGTCTCAGAGCCGCCCAACGCGCATTTCGCGAGCGCAAGCAGTCCCAGCTTGCTGAGCTACAAGCTCGTCTTCATTCTTACGAACAGGGAGAGATAGAGCGTAATGTCGCACTCCAAAATATCGCGAAGAAAATGAAGGATGAGAACGAGGAACTCCGAAAGGAGAACCAGATGTTGAAAGACAAAATCGCTCATCTCGAGTGGGAAGCAGAGTCGAATGAAGTAGACAGAAAGAGGAACAGGGAGAATGTCGCGGTCGTATCACCTAGCATGTCCCCCGAGCGATCTATTCGCAACAGCAACAAGCGCGCGAAGATGGATGCTGAGGCAACGGATTCACCGCAGGGCCTTCATTTTGCCTCCTATAGCCCTCCATCTTCTTCAATGGCTTCCTCGCCTGATGACGGAACCACCCCCAGCTTCTCCCCAGCAGGCCACGAAAGCCACTCGCGACTTTTTCACACACCCCCGCCATCTCTCACACACATGCTCAACTATCCCTCATCAGAGCCTGCTCCAGCTCTGGATATACAAGATCCGACGGATTCTTTCCGATGTGTATTGTGTAGTCCAGACGTTCCTTGCGTTTGCAGGGAAATGGCTATGCAGCAAGCCGCCACTGACACCGATTTAAGCCACATATCACTCAAACCAGAACATGATCATCCTGCAATGATGTCTCCTATGGACCAATCCGCGCAGCTTGGGGCATCTTCATCTTCGCAAATGAACATTCTCGAGAACCTTCCAGCATACCAAGCGCCTGTCCCAATACGTCGACGAACAGGTCAGAGCGCAAACCCAGTCTTCTCTGTGACTCCGATTTCGGTCCCATCGTCATCCGCCAAATGCTCAGGTGACCCTTCTAATTGCATGGCATGTGCAGACGACGCTTTCGGCAAGGCGTTCTGCCAGGCAATTGGGCACTCCGTCAATTCGACATCACCATGCATCGACTGCCCCGTAAGAACGAACCAATCAGACAAGATTGTCGTTGGTGGTTGCTGTGGTGACATCACGAAGTGTGGGTCTTGTGGCATAGCGCCCATCATTTCGTCCACGAATCTTCCTCGCACTGAAACGGCGATACCGACCGACGATGCTTGGCGCCAGCTCAAGTCCCATCCAAATGTCGCATTCGCAGATCTTTCACTATTGGCCGAAGTGGTTGCTCGCAGATCTAAATGCACAGGCTCACGGGTGGTAATATCACCGGCGCCAGGATCCATTACGCCAGAACGTAGCACATCCATGGCAGGACCTTCTCATCAGGGTGGATCCATGACTCTAGATCATCTATCTGTGCTGTTGACGGATCCACATGAGCGCTACCATCAACAGCAAAAACAGCGGTCCTCGCCACCACGGCTTGTTCCGCAGGAGGTGTTGATTGAATGCGGACGTCGAAGAATGCGGGAAGTGAATGCAGATGGTGTCAGAGAAGCGCTCCGACTACTAGATTCTAAGTTTGCACATGCTCGATAAGTCATCTCAGCCTTACGGATATTCTGTATGTAGTATGTATTAATCGCCTCGTGTTATGAACATCCATGGGTTCTTCCTATTACTCTTTATGTGGAGATCCATCGTGTCTACCAACCCCACCGGAAAGTGGGTGAGACCCAGTCCACTGCTCAAATCGCATCCACTCCGTTTTGATTGCCCTCATCTTCCAGTGCAGCAGCCGCTGCTGACGCTTGGACAACTTGCGTCTCCCAAGCTCCGGATTCGAGATATAGGAGCGAAACGCGACGGCTAGCGTGCGGAGAGGTGCATGTTCTAGCTCGGGAGGAAATGGATGAACTTGAGCCCACAGTTCGCGCAGCACTCGTCTTGCCACCGAATATGCCCCCACAGCAAAATATGCGTGGGCAACTGCGTCAATGGAGGGCACATCAGGAACAATACCAGCACGAATCATTGCACGGAAAGCCCGCATAGCTTCCTCCGGCCTTCCTTGGCGACCAAAGCCGTTGACGAGAATGGTGTACATTATCGCATTTGGCTGGATGCCAGCCTCAAGTGCATCTCGGAGTACTTGTTTAGCGCCTCGAATATCGCCCATCTTCGCGTAACCGTCCATAAGCGTCGAGTAATGGTGGATGGTTGGGTGAAGCCCTCGATCCAACATGTTTCGGAAAACAGTCTGAGAAGTCTCCATGTCAGACCTAGTGACTGCTTCATGCTTGAGCCGTAGTGCAATGACCGCACGATCGCTTTGAATGGCCTGCCGGGAAACAGATTGCAGGATCGGTCTGAACCAGGAGTTCAACCGCAAACGACGAGGAAGTTTGAGACCGGCTGTGGGGTGACAGTGTTCAGTGGTGTCCAGAATACGCCCCCCCGGGAACTTGGGGTTGTGCTTTCGCTTCTTAGAGAACTTGGCAGCGGTCGCGTCCCATCCACATCCGTGAACCATGGATTTCTCGCGACGAAGAATACTCCGTAGGATGATGTGGATGTGTCGGATGGTGGGTCGAAGCGAAGGCGATGAAAATGAACGAAGCACGCGTATCAAATGACGTGGATTGGTTCCTTGGGCTCGCTCGAGGAAATTCATAAGAATTTCCACCGTGTAACTATCAGGATTAATCCCGACAGCACGCATCGTGCGCAAGATATCTCGCATCGCTCTGAGACCCATGACGTCAAGCAATCCACTCATTAGTGCATTGAATATATGCGCCGTCAAGGGGACACCATGGACATCAAGCGGGAATACTGTCAGTGGCTGCACCTGCATCCAGCGGCAGAAGACCCCAGCAGCAGCAGGAGATCGCGCGTTCAGCAGCACGGCGACGATGCTAATGGCTTCCCGACTATGACCTGCAGCTAGATATCCTCGTATAAGCGCTGCTAGAATAGAGGGATTTGGATGGACACCGGCCCGTTTCATGTGGTCCAGAAGTTTGAGCATGCGCGAAAGCTTGCCTTCTCTTGCCATATAGCGCAAGAGAATGGAGAAAGTAGCTGCATTGGGCTTTACAGCAGGAGCGTCTATGGGGGTGCGCGTTGACAACGGGTCGGAGGTGTGCTCGCCAACGAGCTCGGTGGTAGACCCCGTAGCTCGACCGTGTCCACCGGGAAGATCGAATGATAGCATAAAACGTGTCGCGGCTTCTTCGTCTCCTGAGTCTAAAAGCTGTTGCACAATGCTGTTGAGAACGATGGTAGATAGTCGCCCATCTAAAATGGACAAAGCCTCGAAGGCACGGATGTGAACTTGTGTATCTACTCCCAGAGAACGATAAGCGGAAACAATAACCGCATGAGTAGAAGGATCCACAGGGAACCCAGCGACGGCCATCTTCTCCATGTACTGCTTTGCAGAATTCAAATTTCTGTTGCGGAGGTGACCTGAAATAAGGATATGAAACGTTCTCCTGGTAGGCTGCAGCTCCTCGTTTGTGAACTCCTCGAACGCGTGGTCGAGTTGATCGTAACGTTGGCTCTCTACGAAAGCACGCATCTTCCAATTGAGGAGTCGGACCGATGCACGGCCACAATGATGCCTGGCGGCTGTAACTAGGGGTGGTATCAAACTCCAATGACTCCTGCCTGCCAGATGATAGGCAACGCCTTCGTAGTGATTGGGTTTTAAGTGACAGCCAAAGTGGTGTGCAATGTTCAGAACTTGTAATGCTCGTTGTGGGAGTGAAGTCATGACCGCGTCCTGGGTAAGACGATTGACACTTTTCCTGTCTGTAAAATATCGAGAGTGGATAGGAACGTCTTTGATCCTTTTTACAGCTTCGCAATCCATGACGTCTCTCGCCTGTCCGAGACACGTGTCGATGGCAGCTACCACTTCCTGTGGATAACTGTCCAGAGTTTCTGTGACGGGAGATTTCTTGGCCTTCATAGAAGACCGCGTGTTCGGGCTGGGACAATAAGATGACGCAATATGAGGGTGGGCGGGCTGAAAATTTCGTTCTGCACTGGTCTGGAGGTTGGGTGCATGTGCCTGGGAGTGGGTCACTGCCCGAACTGAACATGCTGTATTGCGAAAATTGGAATGGATTGGTGTTCCGAGAGGAAAGTGACGCCGGATGCAGATCCGGACGGCTTGCTTGAGATGCTGCCTGTGAATGGGGCTGGCTCCCCCTAGCATCGACAGCCAGGATCGGGGAGGCTGTGAAGCTCGACCACCGTGGCTGGTGGTAAATGAGTTGGAGACTAGTAATGAGTAAATGTAAGTAACATGAATGAAAAAAATGATCTTACAGAAATTCCAGAGTCGATGATGTGGACTCTCGAGCCTGCAACAAGCCCACTGCAAGGGCTACCCACTCGTACTGGAAGCCAAAGCAAAAAGGTTGTTCAGTCGGAAAATCCCGATATATCCGCCAAACAGAGTGACATGTGTCCAATGTCGCCACAACGCAAAACGATAAGACTGTCTATCTTCTCAACTTGAAGGTGATCCGTGTATTGAGTCGCAAGTGGAATAACACTATCAGAAAACATTCTTAACTCGGAAGAGTCACTGGGGATGTCACGACAGAGGGTCGCCGGCTTACCGACTTGAAGGTATTAATATCAGGTTTCATTGAAGGCGGAAGACAAGTCACTCCGATGCCTGCCCGATGGAGGCGGGCCCCCTTCCTTGAAGCACTCAACGCTGCGTTTCACGACGACGCTGGGATAATTTAATTTGACCTTCGAAAGTGCGTCTGGTGAATCAACTCCGTCTCAGCGGCGATCCGTTGCCGGACCTGTGGAAAATGGTCAATACTCATGCCACCCGCGATCATAGGAATAGTGGCTGATTCAGTCTACTCGTGCTCTTTTCCACACAGGTCACAAAGACTTAACAGCACACAGCAAGAAAGAAGGTGACCCGAGCCGAGACCATACGTTGGTGCCTGCTTTGTGAGTCAACTTGCACCGCCAGGGCGCTTGATCATTTTTAAAGTTCCTGACCGGCCTCACTGAGCCCTTCCCCACCGAACCTGACCGATAACATTGCCAAAATCAGGGGGGGGCGATCACGAACATTTGACGTCTGAAGGTTTCCGTTAAGTGGCTCAAAGTTTCAACCAATACTCGGTACCGAATTGTGTGACATATCGAGAACTACCCAAGTGATTCTCTTGTCGGTTATTCTGATCTACAACGGGGAGGTTTGATATAATTCAGGGAGACATTGAATAGGGAAGTCTTCACAAAAAGATGGATTAATTCCTACTTGGCGCGGGATAGCCATGCCGTCGGACTGAACATAGTTCATATCCCACTTCAACGCAGCAAGACCGTCTGAGTTCAAGGTCTAAATTTCTATTTCGACGCCAACCTGTTGGGCATGAGGCCTGAGGCACCAATAGAATATTATACCAATCAAATATTGCCACCTGTTACATAATTTGGACGAACGAGTGGCAGGCTCCGTTCGTCTTCGTTCCAGCTACTTTGTCATTTATGTTCAACGTTCAACCCCAGAGTGTTTCGCGTTCGCTACCGCCGACAACGTTTCGTTCAATCCGGTTACCTCTTCAGTCCCCTCAGTGGAACCTAACCCGTAACGAGTTCACTCCGGCATGTAATATTTCACAGGATGATGGAACAAGAACTAGTTGCTACGATGGCAAGAATACAACATCAGTGATTGGAGCAAAGGTGATGTAATTGATCAAGCCACGGTTTAGTTCGGGCTGTAACACAAGCGGTGCAATCGAGTGAGTTTTTGCCCTCTTGGCCCATTTCCGCCATTTTCATTCGGATAGACGCGCTTCATTTTCCAAAGATAATGTGTCACGTGATCGTCCAACTTCCGTCCCTAGCGGAACGCTCTTTGCCATATCGCACCTGTATCGCACACTCCGAATCCGATGCGCGATGGATTGTTACAGTTTCACATCAGAGACGTTGACACTCCGAGCTACTACGAGATTCAGGCCATCTGCGCCTAAAACTAGCAATTTCATACCCTTTCATGCCCTGAGGTCATCAATTTACTCCCGTGGTCTGACGCGGCGATCTTTGTCGTCCGTGGCGTTTCTCAGGTCTGATCCCAAGTCCACGACTTGGTTTCCGCTTGTATCCTTTTTTGGCGCCAGGTTATACGTTCAACTCGTACTGCGGTGCCTCGATCGTTTCAATGTCTGACCTATCGCCGTGACTTGTGGCTATCCATACTCCCGCAAAACGCCTAACAACGCCTTACCATCACCCGTATTCGTAAACAATTCCGTCCCGGGATGCTCTGACTCGAGGACCAGGTCTTGGTACAGCATGTATATAAAAGCCTGTCCGGCTAAACCTGCTGTGGTCACCTCACCACCCCTCCCTAATGTCTACTTACCAATCTCACCTTACCGTCCTACAACATACTGCTTCTTCCTACCCAGATGCACCGGTCTTTAGAGTGCCCAGATCAGATCCATCAAGTGGTCAGGTACATGATTGGTTGTCAATATCTTACAGCCAGTTCCTGGACGACGTCGAATTCACTGCTCGCTATTGGCAGCAGGTGCTCCAGTCTGACGGCGTACCAGAATATTCTGTCGTAGGTCTATGGTATGTCTGTCGAACGCGTCCCTTGCTCTAAGTTCTTGACGTCATCAATGCAGGCTATCGGGAATGACTTACCAGGATGTTCTCCATATTTATGGCCTTTCGCGAGCTGGATATGTCCCTCAGCTCTTTAGCATTCGTTTGCCAAATCCTGAAGTTGTACTTGAACTGCTCGCGAAGGCAGGCGCGAAAGCGCTGATATTTGATTCGCAATTCCAGTCCTTGACTGCATCATTCCCCCTTCCCGTCCATCTGGCGATCGAAAAACGAGACATGGCATCTTTCAAATATGACCTTCCTCCCATACGATATACTTCCAACCCTGACAAAGCAGTTTTTGTTTTCCACACAAGTGGCTCTACCTCGGGCAGCCCCAAGCTCGTCCCTTGTAATTCCGGCTGGCTCGACGCGATCGTGGCGAAGGCTAAAGTGACCAGCGCTCCTCGAAATCTGCGCCGACAAGACGTTTCTGTTTGGATGTATGTCCATCACCCTGGTATTGACCTTCGCTCCCTAACTCTTTTCCAGGGGCAGCATGTGTCATATTGCTCAAACTTTCAGTGAGCCCCTACATCAATTATTCATCACGTGTTCCTAACGTGGTTCTAGTGCTTATCGGCACTTTACAGCACGGGTCTTGCGTCATTCAGCCAACCAAAATTGCGTTTACTTCAGAAGAGCTTATTGATATGATCCACCGCTGCCAGCTCAATCGCCTTAACCAATTTTCCACTTTCCTCTCCATTCACCTTCGCAATTCGCGGCAAAACCGGAAACTTCTTGGGTATCTTCAAAGTCTTGATGAAATTCTATTCAGCGGATTGCCATTACCTCGGGAGGAAGAGGACTGGGCATACAAAAATGGATTGAACATGAAAGTAGGGTTTATCTCATGAGGAATTGTTCGTTCTTATCTGAACCTCGCTCTGGATTAGAACCTCTTTGGCAGCACTGAATGTGGTGCAATGCTCCTTTCCGTGGGTGGCAAAGGCCGCGATGCACCACTTCTTCGTCCTATATCGGGAACATCTTATGGCTTCCTACCCATTGATACCGACATTCAGTCCGAGTCAGGGCACAAGACATCAGCTGGGATGTTGGAACTTGTCATTCTTTCCGGCTCTGGCGACTGCCCGGACGCATCTTTGCGCGGCAGCGACGGCCACTTCCACACCGGAGATTTGTTCCAACAGGTGATTCCCGGGTCATATGCATTCCGCGGTCGCAACGACGACTGGATCAAGAGCGAAAATAGCTTGCGGTGCGATACAAAGTACGTTAGTTGCTGCGTGATTCGAAGCAATCAATTTACGAGATGTGCAGAGCTATCGAAGATAATATTCGAGCTACCTGCGGTGACCTCATTGAAGAATGCATTGTCGTGGGAACCGGGCGGCCATCGCCCGCACTTTTTGTCGAGCCTGCTCCCAACGTTGACCATGAAAAGCTCAAGCGGGATATCATCCGCAAGACTCGCCAATTCCACGCCCGGCGCTACCTCCACGAGCAGATCACAAACCCGAATTTGATTATTGTAGTCCCTTCAAAGTCGCTCCCGCGCACTGCGACTAAAGGTAACATTCGGCGCAAGGCCATTGAGGATGTATACCAAGCCGAACTCGACAAGATCTACGCTTCTCTGCAGTAAAGCAGTCCACTATAACCTATCCTCGTTGAAATAATCGTCTTGGACCTAATTTATCCCACTCGCTTCCTTTATTAACACTCTGTAGATGACTACATGGATCTAAATCCCAATTAATAACTCACACTGTAGCAGTACAACTTCCATTAATTACTACGTTCCGCACACAAGTGTAATGTATCTGGTCGAACTACATACATACATTAAAGTGTTTCAATAATACCCTATTATGTGAACCAACAACCAAAGAAGCGACGAAGGGCATCACAAGTACCTGATATGAACGTTTTCAAGTGTTATGCAAAGAGTCAAACGGCGTATCTCTCGGCTTCCCGCAGTCCTCACAAGACCTGTAATTTCCCCCTTTTGTACTGTACTTCCGCGATACTGTACTTCCTGTTGGACTGCATCACGCAGGGAAATCTCTGGGGCAAAAGGAGGTATTGACACCGGGGATAAGGTAATGTGGTGCGTAAGGGAAAGCGGCATGGGCGTTGGCGGAAGATCACCTGTCATCGAAGTGGGCGGAGCACTGGGGTCATAGTTTTCAGAGTATACAGGGAATGAGTGTAAATGTTGCTTGTAAAACGTCACCGGCCCACTGGATTGCGAGGCGAGATTCAGACCCCAATTGGTTAAAACGATGAAAGGGGCATGAGAAAGGCGAAGTCGACCAAGCGCCGTAAGCACAAGCTGGAGTGGGTTAAGCAATGCAGGGTCTGGTTCTTCTTGAGCTATTTGAGGCATGTTGCGCATCTGCTCCGCGATAAAACGGTCGGCCCAATAAAATGCGCTCACTGAATCCACGGCAAGAAGGCCTATTTCGTGTTCTGGTATGCAGGCTCTGTGATAAAATGGGAGATATAGGAGACTTGTGGCGAGTTGGAGGAGCGATGTTGGCCGAAAAACATGCAAACGTTGCAGCGATTCCTCAGCTAGACGGCGTGCTATCTCCATGTTGTGATGGAGAGTAAGCGATAAGCGGTTCAACAGCAGCTGATGAAGCCTTGCGACATCAAATGTTGCATCTGTGTCATAGACGACCGCAACCATTCCATTCCCCCCAAAGTTCATGGACACTTGCTTTGACGGAGCAATGCAGAGTAGTACGAAATGATACAAGAGATGGGTTTTCCCTGATGAAGCAGGACCCTGAACTTCTATGACATCCCCGCGGCTGAGGGACGAAAGTAGCGGTTCAAGCGCGCAACTTTCAGTTGAGATGTGATTTCCGGAAGGCAGGGCTGGTGATGTTCCGTCAGCCAGAATATTAAATGTGGCGATGTGCTAGATCTCACCGCATACCCTTAAGGAGGAAAGTAACTGACCGTGATTGAGCCAACTTTCCCTTGACAACGGCGAGAGTGAACTTACATTTTGTAGGGACTCTCGAGGAATCTGGTTCAGCAAGGAAGCCATCCAGATCAAGACAAAACAAATGTGTCCTGGAGTGAAATGTCAATCTGAACCTTTTCTTCGTGGAACCCTGATAAGACGGACTTACTGAAAACTGCGGTGGCTAACGAGGAAGAGTGAATGGCGAGACCTGTGGCACTGGCTACTGTGGTTATCACTCAGCAGTGGGCCCTAGTGTTCTTACTCACCTACCCGTTCTGGACAAAACACAGAATTTCGCATGCATTGGCAAGTATAGTAACCAAGTGTATACGTACAGCAATTCTTACAGCTGGCCTGCAAGCCAGGTTCATGTACCAATAGTTTTCTAGGCCGCTCAGATACCAGCGTTACGCCACTCCACGCCGAAACTTGTTCGCTTGAACTTATCATGAATAACACCCCAACTTCTCGGGCCACTCCGCCAGGTTTCAGACGCTCATCTAGTGTCGCCACGTCGCTTCCCTCCGCGAAGAGCGTTTCTACAGCCCGTCCAGCGCTGGCTTCTGTCCGTGCCCCAAATTCACAGGGTACAGCTGTATCACGGCGCTCTTCTTTGAAAGCAGCGCCAGCAATGAGAGCAGATCCAGAGTTTCGTGAGTCGCTGACCGTTTCTCTGAAGCATGAGACCGAAAAGAAGGAACAGGTGTGCTAATAGTAATATTTCCGAGAGATGGGACATCACTGACCGCCACATCAGTTGCTTGTCCAAGTCCAAATCAAGGACCAGATGATTGCCAATCTGACAGCTGAGAACGACAATGTCATGTCTGTCCTGAATTTGGCGGAATCGCGCTTGAATGATCTGTACGCTGATCAGGCGCGCATGGAAGAAGAGATGGCAGCCCGTATCGAAGTCGCTGAAAAGTTGCGGACACAAGTCAGGGAGCTTGAGCGGGAGAAGCGAGATTTGCAAAGACGATATAACGAGCAGGTCCGCTTTTGTCTCTTCTTACACTTCATACACGCATGGATTATTCGTAGACGTCAACATTCGAGGCAGAGCGCCAGGCGTTCTATGACAATGAACAGCACCTCAGATCACGTATTCAATCTCTTACGCAAGCCCGCAAAGTCGCTGAACCCCCCCGATCTGCTGATGCAACATTTACTACGGATTCTTCTCGCCTCGATCGCCTTTACGCCGATGCTGAGCTAGAGACGGAGATATCAGATGTCGATGTCCCTAGAAATCACGAGGAACAGCACTGTTCTACTAGGCAGGACCTCAACGACCCAGAAAGCGAACCAGCTGAAATGACCGCTCTCAAACTTGAACTCTCGACACTATCAACATCTTATACATCGTTGCAAAGTACTCTTATACTTTTGCAAGCGCAGCTCGTGGATTTGAAGAGAGTCAATAACCAATTACAAGAGGACAACGAGAGCTACATGATCTTGCTACGGGAGAAGACGTTAAGCGGCCAATTTGATCTCCTGAAGCAAGTCGGTGGCGCCCCAAACACGACGGATGGCGGCTATGATGATGATGAGGTGGTGGCAGACGACAGCGCTGACGTAGGCAGTCTTAGGAGTACAAGCAGGAGCGTGTTGGACAGGGTTGAGGAAGAGATGACAGAGGATGATGATTTAGAGCAACGTCGCGGAGCTGATTCGCCGTCTTCACACCGCCACGGACGTCATGGACGCAGGAATGACTCGGCATCACATTCTCCCAGTCGAGCACCGCGCGGAGAGTCTCTCGCTGACCTCCCTATCACCGGTCCAGGACTTGACTTGGCTGCCGAGCTTGGCCGTGCTGAGAATAAGGACATTCTCTCCGGGGATTCTATCGACAGCGATCGATCCCTCCTTAGTAAAGGAAGACGAAAGAGGGAATCTACGGACACCAGAAAGGTCTCCTCTGATACCCCAGACTCAAATTCAGACTTGGAAGCCCTACGATCAGAGGTCAAGACTCTCAAAGATGCCAACAAGGCACTTTCTTTATATGCGTCCAAGATTATAGACAGAATCATCGCAGAAGAAGGTTTCGAGCATGTCCTCTCAGTGGACTATGATAAGTCTCCGACCACGCATTCTAACTCCAATAAGTCTCCTACTTCGGCTGTGACAACCACTGCCAGTGCACCAGCGAAGGCATCCAAATCTCGACCACAATCAGCCTTTTTCTATCGAGCAACTTCAGATTCCGCCGCCACCCCCCGCTTCCGAGAAGACGCCATCGTCACCACCTCCCATTTCCGATACATCTGCCGCGAAGAAATCTCAACGACGCTCTATGTCTTTCGACTGGAAAAACTTTTCTATGTTCGGCGGCGCAGAGAAGAAACCCGAACCAGCCAATCTGCGACCTCTAACGCTGAAGCCGAGTTCCACACCCATGACTAGCGCACGTAAACTGGAGACCTACGAAGACGAGGAGGACCGTCGGGAAAGGGAGCGGCTCCACGCAACCATGAAACTCATGGGCATTGAGCAACCTGCTCCTTCCCCGTTGGTGCCTGGTCAGGCAGTGCCTATGCAAAAGAGCTATTCAATCCCCGAGAGCCCTCAGACTGCTACCGCCAGTCGCTTTTCGATTTTCAGGTCACGATCCACTACTGGTCATTCCGACACCTCGTCTATTAATTCTGGGCCTTCGGTACACAGTAGTCATCAATCAACGTATGAACTTGGCCTTGCGGGTAATGGGCCGTCTGAACTCACACAAGAGGCCCTGGAGCAAGCGGAGGCAGAGAACTCACTGGCAGCATTGGATGCTCATGAGCAGATACTCGGCGAGGAGATTGCAAAAGGTAGATCGGGAGGCTTTACCGAGCTATCTCCGAGGAGCCTGGGAGAGGAGTGGAGAAGTCGCAGAAGCAGAAGCAGAAGGAGCGGAGGCGGGAGCGGGAGTACGGTTTGGAGTGCTGGGATGAGCCGCACAGGGGATGAACCAGATACCTGAGATAGGGCTTACTTGCCCTGAGTAGATTCTGCTGCAGGACTTTCACAGTGTGGATACACTTTGTGCATATACCTTATTTACATACCATGATATACCAATTGTACCGTGTTGTTGTATGGCGAATGGACCACCACCTGTAGATCTCGCTCTACATGAAGTCCAGTATAATATTCAGAAGAATTTGCACCGAAGCTTTGAGCTTTTTATACGCGGGCAGGAGACTCAAGTCCCGGTGCGTACGTATCATGCATGGATCATTTGAGTTTAAAGGGATCAATATTTTCGACTCTTCGTCACTTGAGATTGGGGTGGGTTCGAATCGTTGTGACATTCAACTTAGAAGAATTCGTCAGTACTCACTGGCAGCATAATGCAAAAATACGATATATATTCCAGAATCTGACCTTCTCCTATTCTTCGGCCTAGACACCCAACACAAAACAAATGTAAGAAATTGATACATAAGCTTTACAATTTGCTTGATTATCGCCCTGCCGTCTTCAAAAAGATTTGAGTGGAGAAGATTTTCGCAGAAGTTATCATTTGGTCTCGTATATGCGCATACTCTAACAGGGGATGAAATACACCACGACGGTTCGATTAACCAAAGGGGACTGCTAATCGACCCAAACTTCAAAGCTCATGACATCGTGACGCAAGTCGCGCGCACTTGCGCACACTGCCGGGCATCGCACTCTTATGAGATATAACTTAGTAAAAGGACCTTCAATTGGGTGGATCGTGAGGTCATGTCCGCGGTGCAAATAATAAGATACTTGCCTCATGTTCTGAGTTACAATTGCGATAGGGTACCAATGAGAGGAATAACCAATAGGGGTCGGACCCCAAGATGGGGATTTCGTAAAGACGGGCGAGATAGCAATGCAAGCAACACGAACTCGTATTGCACAAAAGTGCGCCGTCGAGTATTATCCTAGCAAGTGATAGAGGCCAGATAATTGGTTCCTGCGGGAAAATAGGCTGGCTCATGGAGGGGTTCTGTACGAGACATAGTTTCAAACAATTGATCTCGCTTGATCACTTACCCCGACCTCAGCGGTATGACTTTTGCACCGGAGCTTAACAAATGAGGGATCTCGCTAAAAAAAAACTACCCGGCTGTTATGCCTCCCAGAGATGTGCTATGTTCGGCGAAAGGGTTCTAAGACAGGGCCGAAGCAATGCACTCCGAATATACAGGAAGGTGCATAAGCAGTCTCCGGGATTATGCTGGGCCGGGGTAACGTCGATGATATGCATGAAGTCGAGCATCGATTGTTCTAACGGTAACGGAATGTCGTGGAGATGTAGCGGAGGTTGCGTATTTGAGCATAAATTTGGCGAGATGACGGAAACAGAAGCAAGATATATACCATGCCATTGGCAGCGGAGAAAGAGGGAAACGTTTCATGATGCCAACGTCAACTGTATCTTCTTGCAGGATGGGTCTAGCATCATAAATAAATCAGTGACCGGAACTAAGTCAAATTCTGCAAGGTTGCATGTTTTCCGTACTGCAACATCCAGGGATGACATAGCAGCTCGGAATAAGGGGCGAGTCACTCAAGCAACAGATAATAGGCAACAACAGTACAGACCTAGACGCAAGTCGGGATTAGAAACCTCCACGGAGTTTTAGTTACCCGGAGCCAGTTCCTAGATGTGACCACAACCGGTCTGTTAATTCTGCATGAACGGTCACCAATTATTGCAGAGTTTCAAAGACTGATAATTTGCAAAATGGCAGATAGTGCCGATCTACGAACGAAATGAACGATGACAAAAAAAAGAAACGATCGGCTGACCGTGGCTCGCCACATCAGTTTGGAAGCGCCCTCATGGTCGATAGGGTATAACTTTCTGTCACATCGAACGATTGCCAGAGGTACGAACGCGGACGTAGTGAGTAGGGTTTCGGATGAATGATATAGCAAATAGTCCCCGTGGTGTTTGAGTGCAGATCTACCATGATCCAGAGAATCCGGGACTCGGAGCACAAAGTCTTTGAGGGGCCACGAACATGATCTGCGACAATTAACGCATGTATGTAGTCCTTCCGAAACACGAGGCAAATTTTTGATGCGCGAGCTGAGATATCTGCGGGTTGGGATTCCAAAGCAGTCAAAGAAAAAGAAAAAAAGAAACAGCATTCCCCGTGGTGTCTCGGCGCAGAACTACCGTTATCTGGTTACCACACCGTAGCAGGAATATCAATACCTCCCAGCTATAGTAGAAGGGTGTAGATTCTTACTCACAGGGATTGCCCGTCGCTTCTTTTGTCGATACTCTGCCTTGCGACACATCTCATAGCACATGCACTAACACATAGTGACTAGTTATATATCGGGAACGATTCACTTGAACTTGGGACTGTCGAAAGATTTACATGTCAGTGATTTCGTCTTTGTATCGCACAACTTCCTGCTACGGAATGTTCAATGAATAACACTTGAAATCTGACGCAAACGTTCCAATATACGACCGAAATGAATGTCGATATATAAATGGCTTCGAACAAGCATACTCACGAAACTCGTATCATTATGCACTGTCCGCCATCTGTACAACACGCTGGATAACATCCTCACATATCCACCTGGATGGCAAAATCCAGGGATCATTGACATTACACCCGTGATCGCATATACCATCCGTGATGACGGTGCAAGTCTCGGGGTGTAGTAGCCTCTCGTACATTTATATTATCGCCCAGCTGGGACATCAGCACGCTTCACAAGCGTATTCTGCGCGTGAGTGCGGATCGTCTGAAATGGGTTTGATGAGTACTGCGGATTTGAGAGTATCAATGGTTGTCGGAGTTTCTCAAGTTCCCTGGAAAGCGGCTCAATACAAAAAACGTGGAGAAAATTAGAGGAACTTACAATGCACGTTTTCTCTGGTTCTTCCTTAGCGGTAATCCCTTGCCCTCTCCAATCTGCAGCTTCTTCGGTTGAACCTTGGGAGCACGAACGTCCTTTGCCTCCTCGACTATTGGACTAACTTGTGCTGGAGAGTCATCTATATTAATGTCGGAAAGAACAGCGCCAATAACATCGAGTCCGCCCCCGACTTGTTCTCGTTGCCGTCTATTGTATCGACGTCTTTGCACTTTCGAGTACGGAGATGTTTTGCATGTCAGCCCTGAAACACAAGATAAGATGAGGAGTGATAATTGCAAATGTAGAGCGTACTGTCAATGAAAGCGTCGTGTTTGAGCTGCTGTTTCTCTTTCTTCTTCATTGAATGACGAGGCTCGGTAGCCGCTGCAGAAATTGCTTGCAATATCGCTTCCCCCTAACCAATATCGAGGTTAAGTATGAGCAAAAAGGGTTAAATTCTAAGACGCACTGAAACATCTGCCGCAGCACCTACTTCGACCGCTTCAACGGCATTCTCTTGCACTGCAAAGGGTCGCCGGGCGAGCTTAGCGGAAGGTTCATGGGCTGCAATACGTTTTCTGCGCTCTCTAGGCTATAATAAATATCAGTGAGATGTGGAGCAGTAAAGCTCACTGCCCACCATCTTGCAAAGTAGATTCGAATCAAACTTATCTCATACCAATCCGATGTTTACCAAAGGCTTCTGATTCTAATAAGTACAACTAGATATAAATATTTACTAACCGCGCGAGCACCCCTCACCGTGATCGTGTGGAACCCACTCAATAGCTTAGAGCCTGGACAGCTGCCGTTTATTTCGCAGTTTATTTCGCAGTTTATTTCATTTACCACAACATGCACAAATAAATGTGACAAGCCACCGTCCAGCGTTACGAACCAAATTGGATACATTGCGCGACCTCACGCCACACGGTGTCAAAACCTTCGTGCTCGCTGTAGGCAACAGCGAGCTCAAGTATTCTACCATTTCAATAAAAAATTTGTACATTCTCATGGACTAAAATCATTCAGCATGTATTTATTACAGTGAACAAAATAGATAGTATCTGATGGCCAATAATGAACAGTTTGGAGTAGCGAAGCACGAAGGCTGTGAATTGGACCTTGTTGTTGGTCGCAGTTGATCGTGATGACAGCGCTGCCCAGCGCCGCCGCAAGCCAATCTCATGGACATGTCACGAATGCGTCACTCATTGTCACCGCAGGTCACACATTGCCACGCCACATACAGAAACAAACTGAGAAATAAACTCGAAATAAACGGCAGCTGTCCAGGCTCTTAGCAACAATATTTGCACTCGTCTCGCTTTTATTCTTACCATGAAGAGATTTAAGACACCCCTCACTCGGTTCTTCTTCCGGAAAAAAATCTTTAGCGCTTCAATCTTGAATCTAGTATGTTTTACAATTGATAAAATGGTGAAAGCCGAGAGCATTGTGCGATAATATGGGCATAAGGGACGATATTACTCTATCCTCGACTCTATCCGAGCACGACGAAGTTCATCCCTCGTTTGGGGATTGAGGGGAATCTTCGTGCTCAAGGTGAACCCGAGACTGCGGGGCATGAGCATCATCGACAAAATCTTCAGTAAGGAGGTCACCGCGCTCTCTTGGCTTCGAGTTCTCGATGCCGACCACAATGAAAGCTATAAGAACTAGGAGAGCACCTGCCAGTACTTGCGTTGCGGCAGGCTTCCCGAGGAAAAAGTCCCCGATGACGGCGACCGGAATGGTGAGACCGAGACCAACCGTCACTACTAGAGGTGTGGTCTTGAGCATCGCAACAACGTATAGGTAGTCGCTCGATAATGTGATAAACATCTAATACATATAAGCTGAAGAGAGCGAGACAGAAGATGGAGACTCACGTTCAATACAATGATAACGATGGCATTGTGGGTACGAGGTATCTCAAAGCGCTCCATTCCAACCAAATGCAGGATGACACCCATAGGCCAGGATAAGAATATATTGAATAATCCTACAAACCCAAAGAAAAGTTGCATGTCAATTCTTGACTCTTCCCGAATCTGAACCTTGAGGAAGACGACGTAGAGAGCATAGAACACAGCCGACATCAACGCCAAGAAGTCTCCCAGAACTGGCAAGGAGTGTGCAGCCTTGTAAAATATTGACGACCCCATTGCATCTGGCTGGTCGTTGGGAGACCCGTCAGAAACTGCAACGAGAATCACACCAATAAAACTTTATACAAGCCGGTGAGCCGATCCATGCGCGCGCGAGAGAAACCAACTACATACGCAGTAAGAACAGCTCCAATTTTGACCACAGTTAGGGTTTCTACGCGGAAAATACGTCCAACGGCAAGAGTGAACATTCCTTCCAGGGAGGACATATGGGTACCGTTGATGGAAGATAGAAGCACAAACACGCTTACCACTCATGCCAGACAAAACTGTTGAACTTGCGACACTAGTATATGCCAGAGCAGCATTCAAAGCCCAGTTCGCAATGAACCACAAAAAGCAGAATCCTAGTGCCATCTTTGCGGTCTCCTCCATGGTTAGCGGCCTATCGACCTGGTTGACCGGATATGGCTCCACCTGGAAAGAGTCAGAAGAGTCGTGTGCAAGGGTGTTGGGTAGTCTCATTACTGCAGGCTCTGTGTCAACATCAAGCTCTTGCTCCAGCGGCTGGTAAATTATGTTTGACCTGTTTAGTATAGATCAACAACTAGACTATGGAAGGCTGCTTGGAGTTACCTTGCAGATTTGGGTGGACCCCAGCGATCAGCCCATAATCTTCGTGCAATGTATGGCAGCAGGTAAAATACAAATGACGCGGTGTTGGTGTACGTTATCCTGCGTCACGGTAAATATGCAGCCCAGTTACAAAGACAGGAATCGCACGCCTTACAGGAATGGCTTCTGGTACCCGTCGTCGTACATGTCCTGCAAGAAATTAATGGATATCACTGCCCGGAAGTGTTTCGGATGTGCTTACTTGCGTCAAGAAACTGGACCCAGTCCATAATAGAACAACCACGAGGAGGAGACCAAGGCCGACAATGTAGTTCTTCGTATTTGTATTCGTACTAGAAACACCTTCTGAGGGCTCGCCGCTGGGCTCGGACACAGTGGTCATCTGAACCAAGGATGAATCAAGACTAGCGCTAGATGAACATGCTTATATGGGAGGGAACTGGGCAGTGGGTACACATGTGTCGCCGTGTGAATATTGCAATGACAAAACTGAGAATGTCTTCCTGCAGTGTCTTCCTTCTATTGATAGGGAGATTAGGGCTTGGGGATCGATTGATCATTGCTTGGCCTACTACATACTTTCCAATCGACGAATTCAGTAGTCCGGTTCTTAATGCTGCTGAGAACCAAGTAAAACATTTTAATAGTACTACACGTGGATGAGGAAATGTATGTAGAGGATACACGGCTGGAACGCCTAGGTTGGTAGTCCGAGTCCGTGATAATGAATGAATATATGAAGTCATAGTATGAAATGAAAAACAAAAAAAAATGATGATACCGATGAATATCTACGTAGTACGAACCAGGATAGAAGGGGGCCACGTAGTGAACTAAAACGGCGTTAAGTAGGGCGAAAACCAGCATACGACTTGACCTTCTCAAAAATCCTGAAGAGGCTGATAACAAGATTGATGCAATACGTGACAAGGCCAACCCCAACCAGACAAATCAATGCAAGTTGATAGTCGCAGATAGTATCTCCTACTCCGCCCTCATTTCGTCCAAGGTCCGGAAGTGTTAGCTTTGGCCGAGAGAGTTCGTTGTACCAAGCAATGCTGCTTGCCGACGCGCAGGGGATAAGTGAGGTGAAGAAATTGTCGAAACAGAGCGAAAAAGCCGCAGACCAAGCACAAATGAAACAAACTTCGAGGAGGGTGTGTGCAAGTTTGCCAGATGTTCGCCATAATCCCATGGGGCGGCCGAAGTATTCGAGCTATAGTGATATGAGATGGTGTTGAGAAAATCAAGTTGGAGAGACTCGCATATATCGCCACCATAACATGAACCAAGGTCAGAGGTGCAAATATTATCACCAAGGTTCTGGTATACGTGTTCACAAACTTGTCTAGCACTTATCAAGGCGCGAAGTGACGTACGGAGAACTTCCTACGATTCCCATAACTCCGTAATGCAACTCCATCATGCGTATCCGGATAGCCAGCGCAAGAGCCGTGGTTGTGAATGTTATATTGATGAACCTAAAAAGCTAGATAGTGGATTCATACTCACCGCACAGTAAAATACAAAAGCAAGGCACTCACCAATGGCACATAGATATTCGTCAGAATGAAGGTTCTAAAGCGCTTCTTCCTCGATTTGCCAGAGCTTGACCTGTCTCCTGACTCACCATCTGAGCGATCTCCTGGCGCTCCAAGGTGGGAATAATCGCCTCTAAAATTCGTAGGGAAATCGTGTGTTGGTTCCCATGGCGTGTCCCAGCCAGGTGTTTTATTATGAGATAGAGCGAAAGGCGCGAGGGACGGGGGCGCTCCCGACTCGACATGAAATTGCGCGACTCCCTTCTCTAGTGGAGAAACTGTCGAGGAGTGGGGCTCATCGCACGACTGACGATTAGTATATAACGACAAGGACGGTCTTTTTTTGCAGGCAGCACCTTTCTTGCTAGCCGCTTGACCCGATGGCTCTCCCTGAGCTTCTCGAGGACGAGTGAATGTCCCCCAGGGTGATTGAAGTTCGGACCAAGTTCCATTTAATCCTCCAAAGGACGAACGAGAGAATGTCCCCCAGGGTGATTGAAGTTCGGACCAAGTTCCATTTAATCCTCCAAAGGACGAACGAGAGGCGGCGACGTCGGATGGTCTCTGATCATAAGGATGATGGTCACCATCGTCTATGGGAGAAGGGGGTTCATCTTGGGCCCAAGCTATTGTGGCAGATTAAGGGACAAAGTAAGTGACATCGCTCGATTAGCATTCATAAGCTCGTACGGGGTGCAGTTACGACGGTTCGCGTCGTTGAAGGCACTACGAGTGCGTGACTCCGGACTGATGCTGCACGACTGCTGGTTGACGGGATCGATGGTGCTTTTCGGGTGCTCGCTGATAGAGACATGCGCGAACGAGAACAAAAGAACAAAAAAAGGAGTTAAAGAGAGGGGGGCTGGCCAGTATATTGAACACTGGTCAGTAATGGAATGGCGTTCGGCTCATTCACTTCCTCCCAGATTCTTATTATAAGTAACAATAGTCTACAATGCTCAAATGCTGTGACGCATTTTTCGCTTAGTGCCGAAATGCCGGCCATTGCTGCAATTGACCTCGGCCGCGGGGTAACACATTCCAAGACATGGAAGACGGTTTACCCTCAGTCTCAGTTGGCGGCGTCGGCTCGAGGTTCATCTCTCAAAATGACCTCGAGGAGGCCAAGTCTCGCAGAGAAGACCAGTGGAAGGCAGCATATGCCAGGTGCGCAGATAGTAGATACAGCCTCTCCGAGGTCCAGAATAACCTGCTGAAACATACTAGGCTCGGACAGGTGCCTCCTCCACAGCCCGTGGAAGATTCTTTCGATGGTCGAAGTCTAGCAGAGGTGAGTAGCACTGCTTTCGCCTCAAATGACCACTTGAAATCGTACTGTAATAGAAATTGGCCGCGAACAGAGTGCGTTTCCTTGGCTGCTCTTCATTTTTGAATTAAACAGGTTTGTTAGGCCGCGAAACAGGAAGAATGGGAGGAGAAGACGAAGTTAGGCAAGTTCGAGATACCACCTTTTCTATGGCGATCCTGACTCGTCCAATTGTAGCAAATCAATTCCGAGCACTGGAAGAGGACGAAATCATGTTTCTAGACTCCATCAGAGAAAAGCAGGCCGAAGAAGAGCGCCTCCGAAAAGCACAGGACGGCGAGGAGCTCTCAGACTTCAGAAAGTATGCTTCCCTTCATTATCCCTCCATCACCAAGATTGAGAATGTGCAAAGAGCTGTTGCAGCTAGGGAAAATGACCTCAATAAGCCTGCGCAGCCTGTTGCACAACCACGAAACCCGAGTGATAATGTCCTGGAGAAGCCTAAAGCCATCGCACTGGCGTCCAAGAAAGATGTCAAGAAATCATTGAAGGGTGTTGTAGTCAAGAAGAAACCAAAGTCTAATACGCAGAAACCCAGCGAATCGAAGGCAAAGGAGGCTGCTAAGGACATCGATAACGATGCACCACCAGTCGCAAAACGTCGCAAGATATCCGGATCATGACGTCCATTGCAATCTGCCTTCTGGCTTTCCTGTGGCATTCCTTGCAGACTTTTTCACTGTAGTTTTATGTAATTCGAGAATATGCTGTCCAGCCTTGACATTCCAATGTCCTCTAAATACAATGCCAGAAGCTTCCCTTGGCCAGGTGTCATCCCCCCCGAGCCGTCGGTGTCGGTGTCCACCGGACATGGTTGAGGTCCCTTTCCCCAGTCTGTCCCGTTCCCCAGCCAGACATTCGACCCATCGCCTCCGCTCTTCTCGCTGCTGCTGCACCCATCGTAGTTCTATCCAACAATCTTTTTCCTGCAGGTGTCAGATTGCCAGGTGCGTCAGCTCTACGTGGGGTCCAACTCGGAGGGCCCATAGAACCGGACTTCAAGGAACCTCCTCGAGCCGGTGTGCGTCCAGCTATTGGGGTCGGACCCCCAAGAAGGACAGCTTTCGCGCGAAGACTTTTTGACGCATTGGCGGACAATCTGTGAGATAACGCCTCGCGGCTCGACGGCGCTGCAATATGGAAAGGTGTGCTAGGGAGTAGCATGCCTTCTGCTGGATCATCTGACTTGGACAATATTCGTGGAGTTGCATTTAGGGTTCCCCATGTCATGAGCTGGTTAACTGCAGAAGGGCCCAATTCAGAAGCGGTAGGTGAAGGTAGGCTGGGTACAAGCGAAAATTTGTTGATGGTAGGAGACCGCGGTCGATCTGGTGAGGCTGATTAAAAGAAACAAATTGGGCGACGCGGCATAGAACTTACACGGCGTGCCAGTGATGGCGGCATCAATCCGACTGCGAGTGGGACTAGGTGGGGCAGATGTAGCTCGTGACTGAGAATCTCCCTCATCCTGTTCTGGTAGACGTGTATTTCCATGCGTTATGATTCCGAGATCATCACTTGTTTTGGCTTTCGATCTACGCGGATGGTACGGTAACACATCGGCATCAGGGGAGAACATAAGAGAATTTCGAGCCTGAAATTCAGTAACTCAGCCTTGAAATGAAACTCTCGTCTGAGCCACACACACCTTAAACATCCAGCCATCAACACCAGCAGACCGAGTATCTTTCCTTGGCGCCATAACGTCCATAGGCTCGTCTTCTTCAGCGGGTTCACTTGAAACAGCGACCTCCTTTCCCTTGCTGTCATCCTTCGTATCTTGAGTTTGGTTTTTCGATTCCTCCGACGACTCTCCACTTTGGGTGATGAGTCCTGCAACGGTAGGGGCCTCAATCACGAACTTCTCTTTCACACCGGGTGCTTGGGCAGGCTCAATCATCATTCTCTCCCTCGCTTCGATCATCTTATCCCTCTGCTCCTCGACTCTCTTCTGCGCCTCCCATGCCCAACCCCACCTCTCCTTCCTCTTCCGGTTCTCGTCATCCATAATCTGTGTGAAGCTTGCATTGTCTTCCGATGTATACCGCGCCTGGAAGTTGTCTAGACTCATGTTGGTATCATATCGCGGGCGTTTCACTACTGGCTCCCCTCGTGGCGTGCGCAGCGGGGTCTCGGATGGACCAGTACCATAGGGCGTCGCGGATGGCGTCTGCCATGGGCGCCCGCGGTAGGTGGCGGGGGTGCTATTAACTTCTTGCAATCTACGCACGGATGCGCTGATCAAATGGGGGTCTCTCGACGATACGGCATCGAGGTATTCATTAGTTGCGTCGAGATGCACGAGAGAAGGAAAGAAGTCTCTCGCTATGATGCCAGACAAGGCTGCTGTGTACTCATCTTCCTCGAGCACTTGTTGACGATATAGCGAGCGAGAAGGTTCAGATGGACCAGGGGTAGACATTGTGCAGGGTAGTAGTAGTTTGGGTGGTAGTATATGTACTTAATTGGCGTGACGTTCTGAAAGTTTTGAACGTTGGGCAAGGAGATCAGTCATAGGTTACGTAAATGATCATTAACAATAATTCACACAATTCCGCAGAGAAAAACAAAATGCCAGGATGGAAAAGAAAGAAAATATGAGCACAGATCGGCTGCAAAAATAAACCAGCCACGTAATGTATCATGATACCAGCGAAAGTGAGGACAGAAGTGCGAAGTGGTGGTCTTTGTCGCTGGTAAATTGGTATTCGTTCCGTCATTAATGTCATCATAGTGAGGCATGGATTGGTTCGCGAAAACGAGTGGGCATGGATGATAGTGGTCCTCAAGACCTGGAAGGCGCGTAGTCTAAAGGATCGTCAGGGTACGCTGCTCCAAAGTCAGCATAGCATGTCACAGACAAACGGGAAGGTATTCAAAGAGAGAGAAACAGCCGCAAACATAGCGGCTCAAGCGCCGCCACGTCCGAAACTGAGCACGTTGCTCCCAGATCTGCCCCGGGGTTTCTTGTCAGGTTCGCCGTTGTCCTGACCAGGAGGTTCTAATCCACCATTCTTCCGCCCACCAGTGATACCCACAGGTCGACCAATCCTGCTCTGCGACAATACTGAGGTACTGCTGGCAGACGAAGGGATTCTAGAGGATGCGCGGAGTGTCACGTTCGAGTGCGACAGAGGGAGCTGCGGCAACGACCTCAAGTCATTCTGGACTTTCCCATTGTATGAGAACGGTCGTTCACGAAGACGAAACTCTCCATCAGAAGAGGGGGTAGGTGACCCAGTATTACTGGAATCTATGGAGGAACGTTTTGGTTGACCGTATGGACCAGCACCTGGCCCGGTTGACTTCTTGAAGCCAGTAGCTCCCGTATTTGAATATGGACGGGATGTTGGTAGGGGGAGGAAAGTGGGAGTTGCGGGGCGAGATGAAGGAGTTGGAATGGAACTGATTGTTGCGGTAGTGCTGAGGCTCGCTCCGGAGAGGCGTGATTGAGGTCGACGACTATGGGCCATTGTACTCTGGACGAAGTGGCTAGGCTTGGAGAAAATAGGGGATGATGCTGATGAAGGAATTCCACGGCGGAAAGCACTGGGGGCTGAGGGACTGGATGAGCGTCTGTGTTCTTTCTCGGCATCCTTATTTGGAGAAGGAGTGTCGTCCATAATGAGAACCCATCCAGAATTATCAGGGTTGGGAGTAGTCACACCACTCGTAAAACCAGTATCTACGCCAAGTCGCTGTGGACTCGGTTTGGCAAGTTTGCTGTCCGGTATCAGGGAGCGTGTAAAGGTACTCTTGGGTGCCGATGTCGAGGATATAGTGGATGTGGAGGCCGTCGTGGAGATTGCCGATGCATTAGCTCCCTGCCGCCCAGCATTGCTGCCCATCCGTAAGCGAGGAACACGTGTATGGATCTTCTGTTCTAGGTTCCTAACACGAGCACGCATTTCGGAAACCATTTGAACGCCCTTGCTCTTCGATGCTGTCATAGGTATGGCAGCAATGTTGGTAGACACGCTGGAACTTGCAGTGACAACAGTAGGTCGGGGGACAGGGACGGCAGTCCGAGGAGAGTTGCGTGAAACAGAAAGGGTTGGAAGGGTGGTCGAACGCGTGATTGATGAAGGCGAGGATGTATTGGGGTTAGGTTTGTTCAGCTGGAAACCTGCGCGCTGAAGTAGGATGGATTGTCCAAAGTTTGAGCTGACAGAGGTAGAAGGAGGGCGAGAAGGGGTAGGAATAGAGGATTTCTCATGGGAAGAAAGCTCAGATAGTTCAAGGTCTGGCGGTGGTGGAGTGCTGAGCAGATTGTCGTCCGTTGAAGGGGTAGAAAGAGGGAACAGTGACGAAGGGGTGGTGGAAGTGGAAGTTTCAGTCATGATGCTTGGTGCCCTGGAGCGAGCAACTGATAACTGATCCTTCAGGATGGAATTTTCTACAGATGCATCTGGCGGAAGAGTGTCAGTATTCAACCACCGTTAATCCGGCATAACGCACCTCGTAGCTCATCCTTGACACGTTGTAATTCCTCCTCCACATGCGCCTTGTCAAGAAGTTCGTGCTCGAGCAGTATCTTTTCCTCCAACGCCTTGGAATATCTCGACTCTATATCGGCCAGACTTGATGCGACCACACGCTCATTTCTCTCGAGGTCATCATTGCCCAACTCCAGGTCGCGTAATCTGACCTTCAACTTCTGAGACTCCTGCCTGAGTGTGTCCAGTTCTCGTTGCAAGGAGGTAGTAGTTGTATTATATGTGGTCTGTAGCGATATAAATTTGGACTTTGTAAAGGGTTAATTAGTGGACTGGTGTTGGGAGACGCGTCGAGAACTACCTTCCATTCGTCTCGGTCCAATTCAGTCTTTGCAACCTTGACTTTGAGATCCTGCTGCGCCTTCTCTGTACGGTCAATTTCTTTGATTAGCTCCTCCTCAAGCTCCTTGCTGGAAGTGTGAAATTCGTCGAGTTCTGCACGGGTCTCTGCCAGCATGTCGGCGACCTCATTGTACTTTGCTTTCCAGTCCGTGGAGGGGTAACTACTTGCAGAACATAGTCAGGACTCAAGATTGAGCGTTGCAAGAAAGGTATGGGTACTTGAACTGGTTGTCTTCTATGGATGCCATTATTGGGTCTCTGCGTAGGGCATCTGTGGGTGACAGAATAGCCGTCATGGACCGTCAAAAGAAATAAAGTACAGCCTAGAAACACAACCAGAAAATATCAAGGAATAAAGGGGAATTGTAGAAACAGAGGGGAGAAACGCTTGTAATGGTCTTCTTAACACTTGGTTGACGGTCCACAGCAAAGAACACGGTACTGATTACGTAATTCGAGTGATATGAACCAAACATCTCATCCACAGTTGGTCCACCATTGCTCGGTTTTCTTTTGTACGAACCCCTGTTTTGCCGTTGATGATTACATGGAGTCGTATCATTAAGAACTTGGCTAGCCATAGAACTATAAATTTTCAGGTTTTGCGCACTTGCGCTTTTCTATTCGTCCTGTCTTGGGACACCTCATCTCTTGCCATGACACAGGTTCCATCGACGCGCCTAGATAATTGGTTGGAATTCCTGTCATGTAACACGAAGGAACTGCTTACCAGCTTCACTGTTGGCAAAGATAACACCGAGGTCGTTGCGTGCAGTGGTGATGTAGTAACTCCGAGCATCACCCAGAGATATCTGTGATTGTTGAGCGAGCTATCTACCACGTCCCCTTAATCAGCTTACCACTATACCCTTGACGACATCTCCTCCACGAAAGCAGTCGCTGATCTTCACCTTGTCTTTCTCTGTTGCTCTGACATCTTGAGTGCGTATGACACCATTGAATTCTTCACCGGCAGGAAGAGGGACACCATCAACGACTGAAATGGACACCATGGCCTGTAAAGGCGACAAGCGAGTGACGGTCCCTAGCACGACCGAATTTGCTGCGGGAGGATGTGATCGTACGTGAGATATTGCCAAGGTCTGCACACATTGTAAACCCGAGTATGATTTGATCGTCATTCAAATCATTCTGAGTAAACACCAAGAGAATAAACAAACAGGTCCTTCGTACTGTGCGACACCGACAAGGCTCGCTCTAACCTGTCCATCTTTTAGGTATAAACCTCCTCCAAGGTTTGGTGCAGGACCACGAGGGAGGGGGACTGGTTGTCCTGGGAGTAAGATATCAGATGTCATGGGAAGCTTGAAGGGAGCCGAAAGACGAGTGCCTGCGAAATAATAAAACCTGGGATGACCTGACTCTTGAGGGAAAAGTCGGGAGACGCTACCTGTTCGCGTCGTAGCCGTGTTCGGATTTGTCGCTATTTGGCGTGACTACTTTCAAAAAATCTCAGCCCACTTCCAACTTATACTCCCGTTCGCTCTTCAGGAATCCCGGTTTTGCTCTTCCAGCAACAATGGCCTCCTCTTCTCTCGCTCGCGTACTTTCACGGCGTATGCATCTTATTCGTCGTCTTTGATACTTACTAAACTAATAATCATTCATAGAGATGCACATGTCTGCTCGGAGACATGCACTGTCCAAGTTCTCCATGCCTGCGATGAGTCCCACCATGACCGAGGGTGGTATTGCCTCCTGGAAAAAGGCGGAGGGTGAATCATTCACTGCCGGTGACGTGCTGCTCGAGATTGTATGTTCACCTAGCCTTATTTTTGCTTCCACTCCGAATCCTCATCTCTGTTCACAGGAGACAGACAAGGCCACCATTGATGTGGAGGCCCAGGACGACGGTATTCTTGCCAAGATCATTGTGCGTTAGCTTTCACCCTCATGTTTTCAATATCTCATACTGCATTGCCTACATTCAGGCACCAGATGGCTCGAAGAACGTCGCTGTCGGCTCACCAATTGCTATCATGGCTGAAGAAGGCGACGACCTGTCAGGTGCAGCTCAAATGGCTTCCGAGCCTTCATCCGCACCGCCTCCCCCACCGAAGGAGGAAAGCACACCTCAGCCTCCCAAAGCTGAGGAGGCACCCAAACCTGCACCCTCTCAGGCTAAGTCTGAGCTTGCTAAGGGTGAACGGATATTCGCGTCCCCCATCGCAAAGAAGATCGCTTTGGAACGCGGCATCCCCTTGGCCCAAGTGAAGGGTACCGGTCCCGAGGGACGCATCATTCGAGAGGACATTGAAAAGTACCAACCACCCGCGGCAATAGCTTCAGCAGTCACTGCCGCCTCTTCTGTAGGACCTGCTACCTCCCTTCCGGAATACACAGACACCCCAGTTTCAAATATGCGTCGCGTCATTGGCTCACGTCTCACGCAATCCAAGCAAGAGCTGCCCCATTACTACCTTACCGTCGAGATTAACATGGACAAGGTGATGAAGCTGCGGGAGGTCTTCAACAAGACCCTTGGCGAGAAAGACAAAGCTGCTAAGCTGAGCGTCAATGACTTCATTCTCAAGGCTGTTGCATGCGCCTTGAATGACGTGCCTGAGGCCAACTCGGCATGGCTCGGAGAGGTCATCCGACAGTAAGTACTTCCGCGGAAACAATTTTTTTGGTTCCACTCACCTTGCCTTTAGATACAAGAAGGCTGACATCTCGGTTGCCGTCGCCACCCCCACTGGTTTGATTACACCTATTGTGAAGGATGTCGGTTCGAAAGGATTGGCAACTATCTCTAGTGAAGCCAAAGCCCTCGCCAAAAAGGCTCGGGATGGCAAGCTGGCTCCTCAAGAATATCAGGTAAGTTATATACTTTTATGCCGACGTGTATGAAACTCATTGATTCGATAGGGTGGCACTTTCACGGTGTCTAACCTTGGCATGTATGATATCGAGCACTTCACTGCCATCATCAACCCTCCCCAATCATGCATCCTTGCTGTTGGCAGCACAAAGCCCACAATTGTCCCAGCACCTGAAGAGGAGCGTGGTTTCAAGACGGTCAACATGATGAAAGCGACGCTAAGCTCAGACCACCGGACGGTGGATGGCGCTGTGGGTGCTCGGTGGATGACTGCGTTCAAAGGTTACCTTGAGAATCCTCTCACATTCATGCTCTAAAAGTACAATGATTTCGCGTGTCTTTGAAGCCTACCGTCGTTTCTAGACTAGATTATATTTTTCACATGCATACTCGTTATTTTTTTCTGCTTTGCGTGATGAACTGAGACTGCGGAGTTTATAAAACACTTATATGGGCGGCCCCTGTTTCCTTGTTCGCGACAGATGTGTTAACTACTCCGCGCGTCGTTTCGCTATCTGGCCACAATCGACTACATGGACCACAATAAGTACCACATCGAAACCCTAGAGCAATTGGTGGACGCGAAAAAGGAAGCTCAAGTCCTGCGCGAGAGACTCACAAGATTAGAAGATGCAGTAAATGAACGCGATAGGTTGAATGTGTTGATACAAGCAAAGAACGGACAGGTAAGTATGTAGACGTGACAGGACGTGATCTCGTTGACTTTCTCCCGCCTAACCACTCACAGGCCGAAACGGAAACACGCCAACTTCATGAGCGAAACTCAACGTTAGAGCAAGATGTGATGCGCTTGCAGGACGAGGTATGCCGAGCGCATTTTGATGATAGCTAGCTGAAAGAAGTGTTGCCAGAATGTAGCGCTGCAACATGCAACGGAAGAGCATGACGCACTGCGCAGATCGCTTGAACTGTCAACGCAGGATGCTTTGACGAAACAGCAGAAGGTGTTGCCGACACTCACTCCTTGACTCATTGCCGCAGGCTAATACGTATTTTTAGGTTGATACACTGGAAAAACGGCTTCGTGAGTTGACCGAAGAAAAGGAAGCCTTGACGCGTGAGCTTCAACTCGGCCAAGCTACCGCACGAGTTGTTCGCGTGGAGGTAGAATCATTTTCAGCTAATATATACCATGCTACACTAATTAATACTCTCCATCCAGGTTGGCGTGAACACAAATCCTCTCCCATCTCCCAGTCACGGTAGCAAGCCTAATGGTGCTAATTTGTCAGTCATACGGGGCGCCTCGACAGCTGGGCCACTGTTTCGCGCTCGCCACTTGAAGCAAGAAGCACCTGCCACTGCTGATACTCCTGCAGCTTATTCCCCCTCCAATCCGAGTCAGATACCCGCTACCCGAACGAGACTCATCGCAAATGTACCACAGGTCATTCCTGACCTTCCCGACGATGGAAGTACGTGTTTTTCGCGGCCATTCCTATCAATCCATCTCGGCGGAGGGTCACAATCTCTCATTGTGAAGTAAGCTTTCTCCTTATGTGTTTCGTCGCATCAGCTTATGGGATCATCAGGATAGGGTGCCAAAAAACACTATCGAAAAAATTCGGTATAACAAGCTATCTTTGTCCGAATCTATGGGAAAACCCTTGGTGTCCAACAAGACCTGGCATGGCCGGGTACATGTTTGTTGGCTTAGGGGATGAAATTCACAGATTCGTTCGCCCAGAGGACCAGGTACACGAACTTTTCGTTGGAGTTGCGAAAACCAACTACAAACTTATGGGCCGGTATCAGGCCCATCGTGTCGAACCGTTAACGGTTGCTGAATGGCAGAGTCTGCCCGATAATGTAAGCGACAAGCACTTCGATGACATCATCTTTTGATTTTGGCGGATTAGGTTCGATCCAAGTACTGCGAAACTACGCAACGCAAATCGAAAGACTCACGTTCCGTCGAGGACATCAACGCAGCTTATGAGAGTGGCGAACTACGTGCGCCGTGTGTCAAGTTAACGTGTATTGATTTCAAGGAGAATCTCTACAACAGCCTGAAGGCGCGAAAAACAGCACAGTACAGTACTATCGAGAGCTCTGCGTCATCTCAGTGTTCGGTTAAACGTCACCTTCCTGCCAGGCGCTCGTCAAACAAACGCCGCCGCATTGAACATGAACATGACAGCGACGTTGACGATGATTCCATTGACTGCGATTCCGAATATGTCGAAACATGACCTGCATTACTTACATAATTCGTCTTGAGACGCTCGAGCTCATATTGAAGTGCTAGTGCTACATACCTACCAGTCACAAAGGCCTAATATCTCAACCCTGTATCATAGGTTCGATTTCATTTTTTGGTAACCGTGCTTTTATACGACGTTGAAGCGCGAGAGCCGACAGACATCTCGAACAATGCCAGGCTGTCATCGCAAGTCTCCGCTCAATAATCCAAGTTGAGATTATAGTGTTTCATCATGAACAACACTCACCGAGCTCGTCAGGCAGGCCATACATCGCTCTGGGACTGGAAGGATCAGCCAACAAACTCGGCGCAGGAGTTATCAAACACGATGTCGATGGATCGACGGAAGTCCTTTCGAATGTTAGACACACTTACATCACACCTCCTGGGGAGGGATTTCTTCCCCGAGACACTGCTCAGCACCATCGAGAATGGGCATTAACGGTAATAAAAGATGCGGTTGCAAAGGCAAACATCACGATGCACGATCTGGACTGTATATGTTATACCAAAGGTTAGCCGGATCCCTTGTGAAGTCTCTTAGTTAAATATTCCTCCAGGTCCCGGTATGGGTGCACCTTTGCAGTCTGTTGTTCTAGTTGCTCGCACCCTCTCGTTGTTGTACGAGAAGCCCCTTGTCGGCGTCAATCATTGTGTTGGACGTAGGTTCATCCAATAACAGTGTGCAGCCTCCACTGATGTTGTAAAACAGATATCGAAATGGGGCGGCAAGTCACTGGAGCTCAGAATCCAGTGGTACTATACGTATCTGGAGGTAACACCCAGGTCATCGCATATTCCCGACAATGCTATCGGATATTTGGAGAAACGCTCGATATCGCTGTTGGGAACTGCCTTGACAGGTTTGCCAGGGTCATAAACCTGAGCAACGACCCAAGTCCAGGATTTAACATCGAACAAGAAGCTAAGAAGTGTTTTGTTTCATTTCAGTTTGTGGTATTCCAACTGACCTGGCGTACATGCAGGGGAAATCGACTCGTCCCGTTACCTTACACAACCAAGGGAATGGACGTTAGCTTGTCTGGCATACTGACCTCGATCGAAGTCTATACATCTGACCGTCGGTATCGGCCTCAGGCCGAGCGTTCAGAAGAGTCTGAAGATGTTATTACGCCTGCGGATCTCTGCTTCTCCCTCCAAGAGACGGTGTTCTCCATGCTTGTTGAAATCACGGAACGAGCAATGGCTCATATTGGGAGTAAAGAGGTGCTCATCGTCGGAGGAGTTGGCTGTAAGTTACTTTTTGTATCTTGTCACGGCGACCTAAATTATTCACCCAAAGGTAATGAACGACTGCAAGAAATGATGGGCATTATGGCGCAAGAGCGCGATGGACTGGTGTTTGCGACCGATGAGCGGTTAGTCTTCGAAGTACTCATGATGTGGTTTTTTTATTCATAAACTCGCAGTTTCTGCATTGACAATGGCATCATGATTGCTCAGGCTGGTCTACTGAGTTATCGTATGGGATTTCAGACACCTCTTGCAAAGAGCACCTGTACGCAGAGGTCAGTGTCCCCATCCTATGGATCAGTCTTGCAGAAAATGACTGTTGATATTCGAGATTCCGGACTGACGAAGTACATGTCGCATGGCGACCTTGATTCCTTTGGTGACCCCTGCACGTCTATCCATTCTACAATTATAATCTAATTAGGTGTCTGTATTATCAACACTACTGTGCAATATTCGCCAACACCAGCTTCCAGTCTTCAGTTTCTCCTTTCATCTCTCGGCCGAGTTGTTCGAGCCTCTGCCACCACCACCTGTGACTCTTTGCGTACTCTCCTCTGTCATCTTCAGATAGTTTGGCGTGCCAAGGCTTGTCAGCCAAAATGTAGTGAAGACATCTGATCTCCTCGTCTCTCCACAGCGGTTTGTGAATTAACATCAGTGTCTTGAGCGCGTTGTAACACCATGGAAGAGGTTTCCACCTTCCTCTAAATAAATCTGAAAGGAGGTCTTGGTCAGGGAATGACCAAGTTGACACTAGAGGTGACGTGTAAAGGTGATTCCGGACTGTTTCTGCAAGAGTGAGAGAAGGATTGAGAACTACAAGGCCGGAGTTCAACTGAGTGTAAGGACGTGGGCTTGCTTCTGTAATGACTACTGGAGTAGTTAGGCCAGAGGGGTGGACCAACGGTGTATATGCGCAGTTCTCGGGGACCCTGGACTTGAATTTCAGGTGATTGTAATGACAAATAGTCGAACGCCGTACCAATCAGCAGGATAGTGGGGCAGCTTGCGTGGGTTACAAGAACACACATGCGCGGCAGCTATCCAGTTGTTTGGGAGATCGAGATTAAACAACTCGTCCATATTGCGCATCACGATCATGTCGGCATCCATAAGGACAACACGCTATTCTCAAATTACGATGTAAGTAACGAGCACTGCAGAATCTGAACGGAGTACCTCGTATTCTTCCAATTCAAATGCCCTTTATTTCGGAATGAGTTGTCCATCAGCTCGTGGCTAGTTTGCACACACCTCAGCTTCGTCCAAGTATCAGCGAATCTTGCATCGTGAGTTGAAAGCGAATGAAGTCCCTCTGGAGGGCGCAGCGACTCGATAGGCCTCATGGAAATGCCCCTTCGCTCCAGAACACTCCGAGCCTCCTGGGGCAGCGTAGGAGTGACCATCACAACAAGAGGGAACGCAGAATCCACCGATCTAAGTGTATGATCGAGCACCAGAACACCAGGTAAATAACTGGTTCTTGTGAGTAGCGTCACATAGGCTAGTCTTCGAGCCATTCTGCTGATACACGATTTTGCGAGGGGACTGTCGGAGGAGACGGACGAAGCCAAGATGAAACAACAGTGAATCGATCGATAATCTCTTAAAGGTACTGGATAGCCGGATGGTCGGATGTACGTCGGAGGTTGCGGTCCTACTTAATTACAATAATTTGACAGGGCACTCTATATCGATATGCACTGCGAAAAGTATTACGTTTTTCGCCCGCATATTCAACTACCTTGCCGCTGAAACGTGATAAGTGGTTATCGGATGCGGAACCTCACTGCGCGATAAAGGGATTGGGGAGGACTCGGTATATCTCATGCGGAGGGATTCGTGTACATGCGCAATGATAGAGAACTAAGAACACATAGCAATGAAGATACGGGGTTTAGCGCAAGCGGCTGTCATAAGGCACTCAGTACAGTCTACGTCGCATGAAAATATAAACCTACCGAGCTTCACGCTCGCTCTCCAATAGTGCGAGGATATCCTCCTCCCGCACAGGACCCTTAACGTTGCGGATGATTGTCCGCGTAGTGTCGTCCATGAACTCAACACGAACTTGCGTGACTCCACCACGGGAGCCGGTGCGTCCGAGAACCTGTGGCCAGGAGTTAAAACGAGTGTGTTCACGAGGGGTCAGTACACATATTAACCTTGATGACTTTAGCGAGTTTGACGGGAGCTTTTGATGAATCCTGGTGAATGTCAGTTTCACGAATAGATTGAGATTTTGGGTTTACTTACCATGTTGACTGGGGGTGTCGACGGCGATGGACGAACTTTTGGCGTGGATGATGCACGTTTAGAGTTTGAGATAGACAAGGTTTGAATCAAACTCCGACGGCATTCTCCGGGCTCACATGTAACTTGTCCAGCCCGAGTTGTTCTTGGATGCAGACAGATGCAGACTTCCCTCACTATTGATAGATCTGAATAACGCTGTCAGACTACCACAAACTGCACGTTGGACCAGGGTGAGGGTAAAGTCACGAGGAGTAATTGTCAGCAAGCAGATCTTAGATACACAATCCTCATTGCTAGTCCCAATATGTCGGGATATGTCGGGTGATGCTTAACCGCAGGCAAGGGTTGCTGACAAACAACTGGTTGGATCATATCATCAGGAAACGGCAGTAGAGAAAGGGATCCGCCCGTGGATTAAATCATTATGAGGAGAGTAAATCAGTAAGACAACATCGTGCAACACGATCATGTCGTCTGGTTATAGCCTATAGATGCTTCTTGTGTAACGAGATTCTTCACTCTGTTCTCTGTGGCTTTCCCTTTCAACACATTCTCTATAAAATACTCTCCAGCCTAGCAACTTTGTGTGAGAAGGACGTGCGAAACAGGGAATACGGAAAGGCTGACCTTGTAGCTACTGCGGACAAGAGGGCCGCTAGCTACATAGAGGAAGCCCATTTCGTCAGCTATTTGTTTCCATCGGTCAAACTCGGCAGGTTCCACATATCGGTCAACTTTCATATGTCGCTTCGTGGGCCGCATATATTGACCAAATGTCACAACATCGACATCAATTTTGCGAAGTTCTGAAGGATGATTCAGCAGGTATATTCTTGATACGAGTAAGCTGCCATTTACCTTGCAAAGCATCTATGACCTGCTCTTCTGTCTCACCGACACCAAGCATGATACTTGTCTTGGTTATGCGAACACCTTCCTTCTTCGCGTGTTCAAGCACCTTCAAACTCTGTCGGAATGTTGCACGGCGGTCGCGCACGAAGGGAGTCAACGCCTCCACAGTCTCGACATTGTGTGCGTAAACATCTAGTCCGGACTTGGCCACGAGAGAAACATTTTCCAAGTTGCCTGCAAAATCTCCTGTTAATGCTTCCACAAGAATCTGAGGCGCTCTGAGTTGAACATCCAGTTAGTCAGCGATACACACGAAGTCGGCATGTATACGTACTTTTGCTTGATCTTTATAATGGTTTCTGCAAAGTGGCGTGCACCGCCATCTACAAGGTCTGGACGGGGAGTCATTGGTCTGTAATCTGGTTACTCTCATAGTCAACGCACCATCTCTGTCAACACTGGTGAGTACTATGTATCCGAGCCCCCATCGACTGATGGCCTCTGCCGTGTTCTCAGGTTCATGAGGATCCAATGGAGGTGGTGCACGGGAGGTCTTGACGGCGCAGAATCTACAACCACGAGTGCAGGTGTCTCCCATCAACTGAAAGGGGTGAATTAGTCAATGAATAGTAATTCCGACACCATACAGCACACCATGATCGTAGCCGTTGCTCCTCTCTTGCCCTCTTCCACAGTTGCACCTTCCTTTCCGCCCCAGCAGTCACCAATATTTGGGCATCGTGCCTCCTCACATACAGTATGAAGATTAAGACCCCTCAAGTCCTTCTTAATCTTGTTGAAAGATGCGCCCGAGGGTATCTTTGTCTTCAGAAAGCTGGGTAGCCGAGGTCTGTAGGGAATGTATGAACATCATCCAGAGAAGGAGTACAATTTATGTGCACCCTTTAGTGTTCCCGAGCACTACATGTTCTATGGGTTCTCCTGAGATGAAGTCGTCTAGTGATGGTCCGGAGACCAGCGTTTCACGGAAGCTGGACTTTGACTTCGGCGTTGAGGTCGATGGCGTTGCTAGGTGTCTAACTTGAGATGACAATCGGCTACTGGAACGCGGGCGAAGCAATGAGTTTACGAGGAGAGAATGGGCCGACATTATGGAGGACGGCTAGTCGGGAGAACGTCAGACTCACAGCGTGAACAAGTCCTGAGGACGGCAGCTTCCGTCGACAAAAAAGGCAAGTCGGTGAATCAGCTTTGTTGAAACCTTGTTCGCATTGGACTTTCATGAACGCGCTTTCCCGAAGGGAAGAGGACACACTCCTCAAAACTACAAAAGCGCGCGCTTTGGCGGAATGTGATCCAATAGTCAAGGGTGCGACCGCGTTTCCTAGCATATTATAAGATCACTAATATCACTCTTCTGTTGTTCAGAATTCGCCGACTGCGCGACCGGACGCACACTGTCTGTTGCATGGGCTTGCAGGGACAAGTACAAGGCTCTGCAAGAGTGTATGCTACAATAGTGGGTCTCCCCATTACCCTCTTTCCAGCACATCAAGTAAACGTGTTTTCAGCACCAGCCAAGCAGCCATGGATGATGTCCGAAAGGAATATCTTCGATTAAGAGATCAACAGAGTGTGTCTCAAGCACCTCTGACGATGATGGGGTAGCTTGATATCAATCTTCGTCGTCGAAACACGTGGGGCCTGCCGCCAAGGTGAATTACATATGGTGATAGTACTGCTATCCGCTGGCATGCCGGAACGAGTGATACAATTCAGAAGTCAGTGCCATAGCTGCACAAAGCCAGAGCGTGCTTTGGAGCAGTAAATATCAAATGCCAGCAGAAGTATATACAGTATTATACTTGAGGGAATCTCAAATTTTCTTCCCGTTGACAGCAATCCATTGAGCACGAAGGCCCATGAGAGAGGAAATGAAACTGAACATAACAACCCGTCAGTCAAATTCCAGTTTGAAAAAATGCTGCCGAACTGACCCAGCAAAGCCAACAACGCCGTCGTTGACATTGACAAGACCCAAGTTGGATGCGGGTATCCAAATATCGAAAAGGTCGATGATGAATTGGTAGCGTGTGTCCGCGCGCAGGCTATGGGAATATTAAAAAGTCATTTATGATGTATACTGATGGGTTCAACGTACTTTTCAAGCGCAAGTTGCCTGACTTCTCTTTGAGCTTCATCGCTAAGGTCCTTTTCTCCCCAAGTCTCGGAGTTACGCAATTTCTTCGCATCGTGGGCGAGTCGTCCGGCCTGGAAAAGCGAAATTGAAATGCATTATCCCAGATGAGCAACAGGTCTCACCTTCAGTAGTCCATGTGTAATGCTAAATAAGATTCCAGCCAACCAAAATCTATTGGACGTCTTTGTGACCTTCTCAGCAGTGCTGGGCTTCAGAGCAATGAACTTGGCTGCGTTCGTCTGTCAAATAATGTGAGTAGTAGAACCGTTCAGGATCATTTGTGACTTACCCACACAACTGCGTCATATGTAAGGTATCCAAAGTAGGCAAGCTGCCGACCAATGCTGGACAATTGTTCGCCGACTTCACTCGTTGATTGAGCTGCACGCAATGCGGCTTGGAGGTGTTCAACGGGTTTTCCGAGCCGCATGACTACACGAACGTCAGGTCTGGTCATGCGACTATGGGCAAGCCTTACGTTTACGGCCTAAAGCTAAGTGGCCCTTGAGAGCTGTCCATCGAGCAGCTTCGACTTTGTTGCCCCGAGAAAGGAGATACCAAGCGAGAAACCGAGAGAAGTATTGAACCGTGCGGTAGAGCTAGCGGATAAAGCATTCCGATAAGTATTCCGTTCCTCAAACCCCATGAGATCACCCATACCTTGTCCCGACCGATATTAAATGATCCAAATTTCAAGGACTGAGAAACATAAGGGTGAAGAATGACCTGGGATGCCACTGTAGCCATGATAAACGACTGCTGCAAAAAGAGAAGTTAAGTAGGTATGGTGAGTGCTCCTGAAGCTTGAAGACTTTAGGCAGTGAGAGTGTAGGGTCGTAATTACACTTGCGAGTATCACGTGGATTTGCTACTTTCGTACCCGATCACCGGTGACGACGTCGAAGACACAACCCTTGTGCAACCGCATGATTTCTGATTTCACAAGAGCGAGACAATAAAGTCTATGAGAATATAACGAAGGTGTGCACTGTGAACAAAGCCGTCTATTGAGTGGCTATATCTCGTTTGATACCAGACAGCGATCGGATGATTTATAGGAACGTGGTAAGGCGAAGAACTATGCACCCAATGATAGTCATGCTGAAACGACGAAAGGAGAGCGGCGTCGCGATGTCTAGTCATATCAGCATGGACCTTGGGTTCATTCCCAAGCGGCCCCCATTCCGCGACAGTACTAGTAATGCTGGTGTCATGATGACCGGGTGATTTCGGACGGCAAAAGCCGCGCGTAGCATTTGCGTAGGTGAAGTTATGTGTGGACATAACTTCCTCAGAATTGTCTGCCTCCACTCTCTGTGTCGCTGAAAACACTAGTACTAGAGTCTGCTAGTCATGGCTACGGGTATTCGGCTTCCCCGTCGGGTTAGTCTTCGCTTTAGTCCTCACGTGACATCTCACTCATTCTGTCATGCTCATGTGGTGTGATGTAACTTCAATAGCTCCTTCATGTGATTCCCCGTCGAAGACTGTTCTCAACATCTAGTTGTGTTATGGTAAGTCAGGTAATTTCGCAGAAGCGGAAGGAATCGATGATCATCGTGTCAGTCAAATCAGTCATTCCGCACTGAGCGTGACACGTTCGGTGATCTCCAGGTCCCTGCCGATCGCTATTGGGGCGCACAGACACAGCGGTATGTATTGAGTCTGAGATGCGTGTACTACTGAGCATTTTCTGCAGGTCACTACAAAATTTTGATATTGGTGGCCCTTCGCAACGACTACCCCCTCCTCTGATCAAGGCCTTCGGTGTGCTGAAGAAGGCTGCATCCATCGTTAATGTCAGCTATGGCATGGACCCTAAGGTCGGCGAAGCCATTCAAAAAGCTGCTGATGATGTGAGAGTCCTAGCCTTCGTATGTGCACTTCGAGCTGATCTTTACTCCAGGTCATTTCTGGGAAGCTTATGGACCACTTCCCCTTGGTTGTCTTCCAAACTGGAAGTGGAACTCAAAGCAACATGAACGTAAACGAGGTGAGCATAGCAAACGCTTGATTGATCAATGGGCTCACTCAGTATGGTCAACAGGTGATTTCAAATCGTGCGATAGAACTCCTTGGCGGCGAACTTGGTTCAAAGAAACCAGTCCATCCCAATGACCACGTTAACATGAGCCAGAGTAGTAATGACACGTGAGTTGCGACGCGAATTATACTTGATGGCATAGATTTACCGGTCACTGTAGCTTCCCAACAGCCATGCACGTCGCCGCCGTGACTGAAATTAACCATTCGCTGCTTCCGGCATTGACGGAACTTAGGGACGCACTCAATGAAAAGGCCGAGAGTTTCAGCAGCATTATCAAAATCGGACGGACACACTTGCAGGTATGCAAAGGTCGGCCGTCAATGCGGCCGTTGTCTGATCACTTTTAGGATGCCACTCCCCTAACGCTTGGTCAAGAGTTCAGCGGATATGTCCAGCAAATCGATAATGGCATCGCTCGTGTCCAAAATGTCATTCCCCGCTTGAGCCTCCTTGCTCAGGGTGGAACTGCTGTTGGCACAGTGAGTCAGTTAACACCCAGCGAAGGATAAATGCTCACGTGCTGTGCAGGGTTTGAACACTAAGAAGGGCTTTGACGTGAAAATTGCCGCCGAGATCTCCACGATCACAGGCTTGAAGTTCCAGACCGCACCCAACAAGGTAAGACATTCCACCACGATTGTTTCGTCCAACTGCTGACGAAGATCCGCAGTTTGAAGCTTTAGCCAGTCACGATGCCCTGGTTGAGGCTCATGGTGCTCTGAATGTCATCGCATGCTCCCTAATGAAGATCGCCAATGACATTCGGTTCCTTGGTTCTGGTCCTCGTTGTGGCTTCGGTGAACTTAGTCTCCCCGAGAACGAGCCTGGCAGTAGTATTATGCCTGGCAAAGTCAATCCCACGCAGTGCGAGGCTGTGACAATGGTCGCTGCTCAAGTCATCGGTAATCAGACTGCTGTTAGCGTCGCTGGAGCCAGCGGACAGTTTGAGGTATTAATATTTCATGCAGCACGTTTATTATTTATTGTTCTCCCGAATTAGCTCAACGTCTTCAAACCGGTCATAATCATGAACGTGTTACAAAGTATCCGTCTTCTTTCTGATGGTGAGCTTTCATAATTGAATGATGATTCGTACCCACTCGTTGACCATGTCTCATCAGCATCACGCTCGTTTACGAAGCACTGCGTGGTTGGCATCCAGGCCAATGAAAAACGTATCAACCACCTCCTGAACGAGAGTCTGATGTTGGCAACGATCCTAAACAGTCATCTTGGCTATGATAGTGGGTGCTAATTATAACTCCGCGCAAGTCCGGTGAAAGTTGATCGCACTTTGCAGACGTGGCCAAATGCGCAAAGAAAGCACACAAGGAAGGAACGACGCTGAAGGAGGCTACGATTGCGCTTGGATTCCTGAAACCCGAGGAGTTCGACGAGAAAGTACGCCCAGAGCTAATGTTATACCCAGATGACATATAGTCATATTCCATGACCACCCGGATGTAGAGTTTTGATATACCTGCTTCGAAGGCGATGGATTTGCTGCGTAATATTATGGAACTATCAGATCAGGAAATTTGAAAGAGTCTTTGACAGAATCTACCTCCGAGTCAACCGCGGTGAAAACCGTTTGAAACATAAGAAAGCAATGCCAAAGTAATGTCATAAAATATGTAAATCCAAGTTCGATAAGGATGGGTGGTGTGAAGATCTATGGGGGTGTTACGGAGAGAAGCTCGTCCGCCAAGAACAGCAAGGAAGGGACAGCGAATACGAAAAAGGCAAGAATGCTAAATCCAACCGCAAACGAAATATACCACGTCAAATCAGTACAACTTCCCGTCACAGCACTCCCTTGTCTCTCCTCGCAATCTGCACAGCAACCGTCTCCTCGTCATCCACAGCGAGCTCAAACTTTTTCATCCGAAAAATCATTGTTTTGCGTTCTTAAACGTCCCCGTCGACCACAACACAGCTATAGCTTCTTCAGAATTCGGGTCATTAGGTTGACTGACGCAGAGGCCTTCTCTTTACTTTCCGGGTCCCACGAGGCGACCTGTCTTTACAAACTTAAGCCGACTACTGCCTCATTATCTCTTATTCTCTTTCCGTCTTACTCGTCACCACTTGCCTCTCTATGTCACTTAGCCGAATTCTCAACGACGAACCACCCCCGGCTAGAAAATCTGCCTCCTCACGTGGAGGTGGCATCGATCCTTCGTTAGCAGACGTGTCTCCCCTCTCCCGAGCCACCGCTATGTCTCCTCATCCCCAAACTATGCGTCGGAGTCTAACTCCTCTCGGAGAGCAGCCACCGCTTCCTCGTGGATATTCTTACCAGACACCCTCTTATCAGGGTGCCGGAGGATGGAATCCATACTCGGGTGACTATGTTCAGGGAGAGATCTTTCCTCTTGGCCCAGGAGGTAACTATTATCCTCACCGTGAACGGGATGGACACCACCATCCACCACCACCCGAACCGCGAGCACCTTCCGTGGGCGCTTACTATAAGGACGGCGAAAATGAACCCACCCCGCGAAAACGCAGAAAAGCTGCACCTCCAGACGATGACCCCGATTACCAACCTCCCACCACAAAACGCGTAAGTGTCATCAGATATTAGTAGAGCTCAATTCGGCGTTACTCACCTTTCTATTCTTATACCCTAGCCACCCCGTCGAAACCCTCCTCGTGCAAAGGCAAATCGGCCTGAGTCGCCTCTTATGGAGGGAACAGATTCTGCACCAGCAGCACGGGAGTACCATCAAACTGAAGAGGAACGACGTCTGGTATCTTCCGACCTCTCAGATTGTGAAGAGGTATGGATTGGTGACCTCAGCGACTATATTATAGAGACGCACTTGCGTCAGCGTAAAGTAGAATCTTGGTTCGATGCCAGTGTTTTGGTTAGTTTCACGTTTGTGATCCCTCCGTCGCTTGATTCACCTTTCATCATAGGAACGCAACTCCAGCACGGCATTAACACTGTCACGCCACTATATGTCGCGCATTGCACGGATGCCCCTTCCACCTCCAACACCTCCACCGGTGGTGCCTTCTGTTGAGGAGGAGCTTCTGTCCACTATTCACACTTCCCCACCTCCCGATGTGTATGATTATGGAGCTTCGAATAGCTATGAACCTGGTTCGGGTGGATTTGGTGCAGAAGACGCGGCTCGGATGGTTGAGGAGTCTTACCTTGGTCGCAATCAGAAGCACAAGGATTCCCTCAAGCGCATTGCAGACGGCGCAGTTTCAGACGAGAGCAGTGACCTCGAGGTTCCTGTTTCATCCAGAAACAAACCTGCAGCGAAGAAACGGAAGGTCGACAAAGACTCTGCCTCAATCGCCGACGAGTTCGAACGGTCTGTCGGCGGGGTCAGTCCTTCCAAATTTGCTTCATCCAAAGCGAAAGGGAAGGGAAAACAGAGTCAGCTGCGGGAAGCGAGCTTGGACAGTGTGGTACCAAATGCCACACCTAAAAGTCGCAAGAGGGGCGGCGGGAAGAAGCTTTTGCCACCTGATACTCTGGAGGGTCTTGGTATAGGCTCAGCTGCAGGATCCGTTGCTGGAGACGTCACGCCTTCGGCATCTAGGCCTGTATCTCCTGCGCTCACTGCAACTTCTGTCGTATATGAGTTAGACGAGATCGTTCCTCCTCTTAAGCGCGCTAAAAAGGTTGATGAAAATGCCATGGCCAAACGCTTGAAGAATCTGGAGGAAGCTCAAAAGAAAGTTTGGACAAACATTGCTCGGAGAGATGTTGCTAAGGTATGTGCTGATATCTCAGCACACATTTGCATTCTAATCTTGTTGTCCAGGTGTATAAGTACGCTGCGATGGGCTACCAGGCCCGCCAAGGTCAGCTCAAGCGCCTGGCCATGTTATCATCCATCCAAGCACGTCGGCCTTTCACGAGGACCGCAAAAGCTCAAAAAGATGTTCAAGCAAAAGGCAAACGTTTGATGCGTGAGATGCTTGTTTTCTGGAAGAAGAATGAACGAGAAGAGAGAGATGTCCGAAAACGAGAGCAGAAGGAGGCTATTGACAGGGCAAAAGTCGAGGAAGAGAAACGGGAGGCGGCGCGTCAAGCACGCAAGCTTGAGTTCTTGATTAGCCAAACTGAGTTATACAGCCATTTCGTCGGTAACAAGCTCAAGAGTGAGTCCCATTTTGAGCGCCTTGGCAGCTGCTCGCTGACACAGAGATCTCAGCTTCTGAAGTGCAAGGAGACACTCCTGAAGCTCCAGCCCCAGCTGGTGCTACTCTCGAAGACGTCGATCCATCAATACTTCAAGAGATCGACTTTGATGACGGTTAGTTTTCTATACCTATACATTGTCAATTTGGAGGCTGAAACAGATGCTCAGAGGACCAAACCAACCTTCACCGACATGCACGACATAACGCTCAGGAAGCTATCGCTCTTGCCAGAGTAAGGGCTCAACAGTTTGACACTCAGGCTGCACTTGATAGGAAAACAAACGAGGCTTTGAAACTTGCCAAAGCTCAAGCTCACATCCGGGACGATGACGAGTCGGGACCCTCAGGCGCTTCGAATACGCCCTTGGTTGACTGTAAGTTCTTCTCAAATGTTTAGGCTGAAGGCTGACGATGGTGTGTGCGTAGTGGACTCCGATGAGCTCAACTTCCAGAATCCGACGTCACTCACTGGAGAACTTAAAATCAAGCAACCGAAAATGCTCATGGCGCAGCTGAAGGAGTATCAACTCAAAGGTCTGAATTGGCTTGCCACTTTGTACGAGCAAGGTATCAATGGCATTCTCGCCGACGAGATGGGTCTCGGAAAGGTGAGATTGATTGGAATACCATGACAACTCCCCTTACGCCTCATGCACTTTAGACTGTACAATCAATATCTCTCCTAGCCTACCTTGCCGAGGTACATGACATATGGGGACCATTTTTGGTTGTCGCACCAGCCTCCACATTGCACAACTGGCAGCAGGAGATTACTCGCTTCGTGCCTGGTCTGAAAGCCCTGCCTTACTGGGGGAACGTCAAAGATCGAACTACTTTGCGCAAGTTCTGGAGCAAAAAGGAGATCAGCTATGACAAGGATGCGCCATTCCATGTCCTGATTACGAGCTATCAGTTGGTCAGTTGCAGTCACACTGTGTTTCTAGTTGTGTTAATGTTTTTTTATCAGGTTACTCAAGACCAGCAATACTTCCAGCGTGTGAAATGGCAATATATGATCCTTGACGAAGCTCAGAACATCAAGAATGCCTCTAGTGTACGGTGGAAGACCCTGCTTGGTTTTCAATGTCGCAATCGATTGCTTTTGACTGGCACACCGATCCAAAACTCCATGCAAGGTGAGTAAGATAGGGCAGCAGTGCCAGCAGTCGTTAACCTCCACACAGAGCTCTGGGCATTACTCCATTTCATCATGCCCAGTCTTTTTGACTCCCATGACGAGTTCAACGAGTGGTTCTCCAAGGACATCGAGAACGCCGCAGAGAACAAGGGCAGCAAGCTTAATGAACGTCAACTTCGGCGGTTGCACATGATATTGAAGCCTTTCATGTTACGGCGAGTAAAGCGACATGTGCAAAACGAGTTGAGCGAGAAGGTTCTTATTAAACCTCACTCACCAGCGAGCGAGCGCTCACAGTATCTTACACAGATCGAGATCGATCATTACGTTGACCTGTCATCCCGTCAACGTGCTCTATACCGTGCACTTCTGGCGAATGTATCTGTGGTAGATCTATTAGAGAAGGCTGCCAACATAGGGGATGTTGATTCTGCGCGATCGCTAATGAACCTCGTGATGCAGTTCCGGAAGGTGGTTTAAGTTTGGATCTTATCATTTCTATTGCTGACCAACTTGCTCCATGGCAGGTTTGTAACCACCCCGAGCTCTTTGAACGTGCAGACGTAGTAGCCCCGTTCTCCTTCTCTCGATTTGGCCAATCTGGTCCTCTGAACCGTGAAGGCGATTTCATTGCCCTTCCGTACTCGACTCATAACCCCATCGAGTACCAAATACCGGCGTTGTTCCACCAAGATGGCGGGCTTATAGATGTCCCATGCGAAAAGCCTGGATTGCGTATGCGATCGGACTGCACGAATGCACTCTTCAATATTTGGTCAACGGAGTGGATATATCGTTCGACGCTCGATGATATTGAAGGTGTGTGATGATGCTTGAAAGGCCGACCCTTGAATGTAACACCTTATAGGTTCACCTGCGTTCGCATTTCTTCGACTCCTGAACACCACTCCAAGTGATGTCCACGGCCTTAAGGTATCTTCCTTCATGAGCAATTGGCTCCGGGTACTTGAGGAAGAGAACAGGATTGTTGAGGACAGAGGAATTTCATCGTAAGATGCTCATTACTATTCATCCAATGTCCGACTGACTGTGTCTTAGGGAAGCAGATTTTGCAGCACACGCAAGCGCACATCCGTTCAGCATAAACCCGCGTCTTTCTTTGAGCCTGGATACCGCGGAAGGCTTGCCACATCTTCTCGATATATCTTCGACAGCTTGGCAGGTGTCGAATCTAGGTCGACCAGCCTTGAAGTGGTTTGTGCCGCCGGCTGTAGCACCTCCAATTTCTCTTTACTGCACGGACCGGACGTTCATAGAGCATCAAGCACAGTTACTGGAGGCACCGATGGAATCGTTGGCAATTTACGGTCTCCCTCAGCACCTGCGAGACTCGCCTACCATTGATCAGGCATACCAAACCTTGGTTCCTGCTTTGTCCACAGCAGGCCTTGTCGGAAGTTCGCCTGCCGACCAACTACCGTCTTCAAGCATGCAGATACCAGAGGCAAAGAGACTGATCTATGACTCCGCTAAGCTCGCTCGGTTAGATGCCCTCCTGCAGGAGCTCAAGGCGGGTGACCACCGGGTCTTGATATACTTCCAAATGACTCGTATGATGGACCTTATGGAGGAATATCTAATCTATCGCCAGTACAAGTATTTACGTCTCGATGGCTCATCGAAGTTGGAAGATAGACGAGATATGGTCATGGATTGGCAGACACGGTCAGTGCTCGACTGAGCTTGTATGTCCTCGACTCTCATCCATGTTCCCTAGCTCGGATATCTTCATATTTATTCTCAGTACGCGTGCGGGCGGCCTCGGAATCAACTTGACAGCAGCAGACACTGTCATCTTCTACGACCACGACTGGAATCCATCAAACGATGCCCAGGCCATGGATCGCGCTCATCGCCTTGGTCAGACGCGCCAGGTGACTGTCTATCGCCTGATTACGAAGGGCACGATCGACGAGCGCATCATTCAGTTGGCTCGTGTCAAGAAAGATGTTAGTATTCGTATTCCTGAAGTGCTGGACATTCAACTGATGTTCCTTCAGGTGCAAGACATCGTGGTTGGCAACAAAAACTTCACTGACGTCACGAAACCTAGTGAAATTGTCCAGCTTCTCCTCAATGATGACCAACTCGCAAACCTCGACAGCTCGAACACTTCGAGCTCCTCTTCGAAGAAAACAGGAAAGCGAGCTGTAGGAGCTTCGGAGGGCTCTTCTGGTGATGCTATGCGAGATCTTTGGAATGAAGAAGGTGATGACTTCTTTGGCCATTCCACCAATAACAGTGGTGCCGCTGCACCGCCTGAGGGCGGGGAAGAAGAGGAGGGAACGGCGGCGCCAGCCAAAGGAAAGAAACGTAAAGCTGGTGCTTCCGCACGTCCGCGAAAAACGACCGGAAAGGGGAGTAGAAAAAGGCAAGATGCTGGAAAGGGAGATGCCACTCCTGTTGTGGACGCTGAGTGATTTTCTGTCTGTTGCTTTCTTTTATCGCTTTGCTTTGTTCACGCACATTACCAACCTTTGTAGATTAATTCAAGTCCGTACGTCCATGTAGGTCTGGCATTTAGTTACTTATTGCATGTCCTTATAATCTGTGATATCATATTTATGTGGAACCTTGATCAGCGTGAGAAAGCTTAGATATGTATCTTCCACAAGTCAGCCAAGTACTACACGTCTTTTTACACACTACAGCAGGCTCTTGATTGATCTACATCGACTGGCCCCCATGCACCTTCATTTGAACAGAAAAAATTCATTAATATCGTTGTGCACGCTTTACTCGTCTCCGCCGATAAACCTGACCGCCGAATCTGATAATTCGCGATTCAAACCCATATCTCTTCTAAGTCCCCAATCTACGACAATCAAAGCCAAAAGGACAATACCACTTTGAACGAGAGACGAAGAGACGTGTTTTTAATACCAATCTGATCGTTTGTGCTGGGAGTGGAGATGGCGAAGAAGAAGAAATCGCAACTCAAACCAGTTGTCCGTGGATTCGCGACAACGTCAGTGCCGAAGAAAGTGGTGGAAAACGAACAAAAAACAGATGATAGTACCGCGGATCCTACAGTTGAAGAGACCCCAGCAAGTGACTCGTCGCACTCCAGCATGTTTGCTCAAGCCCAATCTGATGCTCCTAATGACCACTCTTTCGACCCGGATAAAGTAGAAGAACAGTCTCTGCAGAACCTCGTCGATAAGTATCAGGAGAAGACGGAGAAAGAGACGCTCAGAACCATCAAGGTACATGATATATAGCGTCACTATGAAACCGTGCTGATCAGTCCATGTTCATTAAGGCTCTTGAGGTTGACCGACGGTTTTCAAAGACATTGCCTTCATTGCAAGTTGATTCAGCTCTAGTAGACCGCATCCTCAAATTAAATTCTGAGAGCCCTGAGTGTGAGTTGGCGCTCGGTATCGCGTTGTCAGAATAAGCGTCTTATCATCCTTTACAGGTGAGAGAAAACTTTTAGAGGAGGCAGAAGAGAAAACAGTGACACGACTTGGAATTACCTATGGAATTCTGAGAAGGCTGGGCTTTTCACAGGATAGGGTAGATGAATGCCTCAGGGCAATCCAGGGAGTAGACTTGGAGGAAGCATATGAATGGGTACGTTCACCCTTTAACCCTCAAGCCAGCGCTCATATTCTCACAGTTTTACGTCCACTGCTCGGAAGAAGAACTTGAAGAGAAAGGTGAAATTATTGTGGCCAAGATTACAAGCGTAATGCTAATTTGCTTCGTCAACAGTGGCTGACGACCTTGACGACTCGAAAGTCCCTCGTAGAAAGCGTAAAGAGCTTCAGTCTCCGACGCCAAGAAGCCCTTTACCGTCATCCACCCCGTTACTACCTTCTCCAGCAGCGACAGTTGCATCAAAGCTTGATGCGAATGCTCCAGTGTTCGTACCGGCGAGACAGCAGCCAGCCTCAGATAAAGACTTGCTCAAAGCTCGAGCTCTTGCTTCTTCCCAATCGACGAAGTCTACACCGTCGAGATCCAGTTCACCTGATATCGACGACCTAGTCGCGGAGTACATTCGTATAAAGATGCAGATAACCGACCTCACCGCCAGAGGCAAGCCAACGACTGACTGTGACCCCGTACTGGTTCAGCATCTCCAGGAAAAGTTGATGGCTGTGAAGTCGCACTACTTCTTTGACGAGAAAGATGCAGAAATGCAGTATCGGTCGGAACGTGCCAAGGCTGACGCCCTTTCACTCCAGTCAAGATTGCGAGGATCGAACCCAAAGCTACCAGCGACGCAAGGGAAGAAACTGGCAAAGCCGTTCAATGCTGGCTCACCTGTTGATGCGCAAGACGTGCATATCCCGTCTGATATTACCGACATCTTTGATCAAAACGAGGAGGGTCTTGGTGGTATGCTTGAGATCTTGGATACCCTCCCTTCCGAAGTTGCCGGCGAGGAAGGGACAACAATTCGCGTGCGGGACATGGTCTTGCCCAAGCACTGGTCCAGTAAAACACCGAAGACACTTCTAGCCGAGTTTGTTTTCAAAGTTGACCGGTACGCCGCGGTCACATATAGTATTGTTTCTGGGCCGAGTCGTGCGAAACGTGCAAGCGTTATGGTGAGCTGGGAGGGAAAAAAGATGGATGAGTGGGTCATGTGCGATGTTGCCTGTCATACTGAAAGTCAGGCCGAGTACTATGTCGCAACGCTTGCTTTGCACGCTCTTACATTCCCTGCCACTGATGGCTTTGCCGTTGGATCTTCCGGTGCTTTAGCCAATCACACATCGTTTCGGTTACTCCCGCCTGTCTTCAGGGATTTATGGGACGAGCTTGAGACGGACAGAAAGTTGCGGGAAGATCTGATCAATCGCCAAGTTTGGGCGAATTTGAGAAGCATCGTTGAACAAAAGATTGATGTTCGTCCAGCGGTAAACATTCCCGATCGAAATATCTGTTTCTCGCACTGAGCCTTGTTTGCTAGCTGACGGAGAAGAGTACAAAAGTCGGCGCAGAAGTCAAAGACTCCATACCAGTTCGGCTTCCGCCTCGCAATGATATCGGCTCATATCATATCATTGCAGACTTCAGGGCACGACAGATCCGACCTGCATACCAAGAAATGCTTGTGAGTGGACCTCCAGAAGTGAGAATTGGTGTCACATTTTTAAGCTCTTCTCTGCAGCATCACCGCAATCAGCTTCCTATTGCGAAGTATAAGGACGAAATCCTATCCGTTCTTGATCGTTCGCAGATCCTCGTCCTCAGTGGTGAGACTGGCTGGTAAAGTGACATTATGTCTTGAAAGGCACACCTTGCTTACGCTCTGAATTTTAGCGGCAAATCAACACAAGTTCCTGCATTCATTTTAGAAGATCAGCTTGCACGTGGCCTCCCTTGCAAGATATATTGCACAGAGCCGCGTCGAATATCAGCGGTGTCTCTCGCTCAACGAGTTTCCCGCGAGCTAGGCGACTCTGCAGGTGCCGTAGGAACTTCAAGCTCGCTTGTCGGATATTCGATTCGGTTGGAGAGCAATACTACACGGAATACCCGCCTGGCGTATGTCACGAATGGTATTGCCCTTCGTATGCTAGAGGGAGGCACAGGCCCCAATGGTCAAGGTACTGCATTTGATGAGATTACAGTGAGCAAAATGTGAATCAGGGTAAAGATGCAGCTAATAATATTTGCAGCACATCATTATTGATGAGGTTTGTGTGGTCATCTCTGAAGCTCAAACACCTTATGAGTCTAGTGATTCAGGTCCATGAACGTAGCATTGAGTCGGACTTCCTTCTCATTGTTCTGAAATCTCTTCTTTCCCAGAGATCAGATTTAAAGTTAGTGTGATCGTAGTAGTAGCCTACGCAGCTCATTGACCACACGCATCGCAGAATCATTCTCATGTCGGCTACTGTGGACGCGGACAAGCTGTCCAATTACTTCAACGGATGCCCGACATTACATGTCCCAGGTCGAACCTTCCCTGTAGACGTTCGCTTCTTAGAGGATGCTATAGAGTACGCAGGTTGGTCCATCCAGGAAAATTCGCCGTATGCGATCCATCGTGAGTCGGTTTCTGAACATTCTTCGTAGCACGCTCACTTTCTCGAATTCATCAGTACGTGATAAATCTCACAAGAACAAGAACAGGATTGAATGGGACGAAGACACCGTCTATGCCAATGATGACGAAGAGACGCTTGTCGATGGCGGACAGGACATCTCAAGCCAGTCAATGAGGCTGGAAAAGCGTTACTCCTATCAAACGATTAACACCATCAACCTTCTTGATGAGCGCGCGATTCCTTATGAGTTGATTCTTCGTCTATTAGAACGCCTCTGCTTTGAGGATAAAGAGAGCCATCATTTTTCAGCGGCCATTCTAATTTTTATGCCTGGTTTAGGGGAAATTCGGCGTATGAACGATCTCCTTGCCGAACATCATACCTTTGGAGATGAAAACAGCTGCAGGGTATACCCTTTGCATTCTACACTGTCGAACGATAATCAGAGCGCAGTCTTTGACATCCCTCCGCCGGGAGTTCGTAAGATCGTTATAGGTTCGTATCCACATCTGCTTCTCGAAGCCAAGCATCATTGCTCATTACTCCCTCACAGCGACCAACATCGCTGAGACCGGCATCACTATTCCTGACATTACCTGCGTCATAGATACTGGTAAACATCGCGAGATGAGGTCTGTATCACCTCCCCCTTTTGAAGTCAATAATTACTAACTGTTCTTAGGTTTGACGAAAAGCGCCAACTCAGTCGCTTGGTCGAAACATTTGTTGCCAAAAGTAATGCTGCTCAGCGTAGGGGTCGCGCAGGACGGGTGCAGAATGGACTATGCTTCCACTTGTTCACCAAGATTCGTCATGATACACTGGTCAGTATTGGGTATCTCCGAGCCGTCTCTTTCGCTGAGTCCTTTACGCAGTTGGCGGATCATCCTTTGCCAGAGATGATGCGGCTCAGCTTATCGGATCTCGCCCTGCGCATCAAGATTATGAAGGTAAAAATCGGTACGTCCATCGAGGACGTGTTATCCCGCGCACTGGATCCTCCAACACCCATCAATGTGCAAAGAGCTATCTCGGCGCTGGTTGAGGTTCGTCGACACCAGACCCTCGTTTTACTTTTCTCATTTTTTGCCTAGGTTCGCGCTCTCACACAGTCAGAAGACATCACTCCGATGGGTAGGCTTCTGAGCATGTTGCCTACAGATGTCCATCTAGGGAAATTCTTGCTCACCGCCGTGTCGTTCCGATGTTTGGACCCCGCGCTAACAATTGCTGCCGCTTTGAGCTCCAAGTCTCCATTCATAGTACCAATGGGTATGGAGCAAGATGCAGACCGTGCCAAGAGTTCGTTCCGTGTTGGTTAGTTGTGCACCACCTCCACATTATAAAACAATGAACTTATATCCGTTCATTCCAGATAACTCAGACTTCTTGACGATCCACAATGCTTTTTCGAGTTGGCGTAGAGCATCCGAGAATCCCAGTTTTGTGCGCAAGTTCTGTCGGGTCAATTTCCTTAGCCACCAGAACCTTCAACAAATTGAAGAGTTACGCCAACAATTCCTAGGGTATGATGGTTTTGACATGCATGATGACTTTTTAGCTGAGAAGTGTACTGCAGCTTCTTAGTTGACTCTTCGTTTATCACCGTCGACAGGGGTTTTGTTCGAGAGCTCAGCCGGTATGTATGAGTATGTGTAACAACTCCCCACTACTGATCTTCCTGTCCAGTGCGCGTTTCGGTCGCAACCGTACGCGCTTCGTGAACGTACCGCCGCCTCTGGATAGCAATGGATCTAATATTGCTCTCATTAACTCGGCTCTCACTGCGGGACTTTATCCTAAAGTGCTTGCGATCGACTCTACCTCTGGGCAAATGCGCACTATATCGAACAACCAACCTGCTGCTTTTCACCCTACTTCCGTCAATTTTGGCAGGAAAGCCCGCTGACCTTGGTGCCAATCATCTTGTCTACTTCACACTCATGTAATGGCTCATTATTGTTATGACAACAAGTACTGATAGGGGATTACAGGCACTCCAAGAAGATGTATGCTTGGGAAACCGGGCCCATCGACGATCTTGCTATCGTGCTCCTATGTGGGGAGTGTGAATTCAAGGTCAGTACGATGTCCCACGTCACCACGGGATATTGACATCATAGTATTATACCTAGCTTCCCTCCAACATGCTGTCCATTGATCGGAAAATCCGATATCAACTCACCCCTAAGGCGAATGTTGCGCTCAAGGTCCTTCGCCAACACCTAACCACGATCCTTGCACAGCAGCTTCGTGGCAAACCACTAATGGAATCTCAGGTTTTATGGTATGATCTTGCCATCACAGCATTGGGAAAAATCAAGCTGGAAACGGGGGATGACAACACGAAGTTGATGATTAAATGACATAATGTAGCCGAGCAGCCTCTGACATACAACTATATAATGTGATACAGTACCTATGTCGTTGACTCAAGGCAAGATAGATGCACTTGCACTTGTCCACATGAATGACCATGATGCATAACTCAGCCATAGATGTCAATTTCATATGTCATGACATAGCCATGATACATCATCAACAACATAACATGTGGAGTGATGAGATTACTCCTCGTCTTCGTCCTCGCCATCGCGACTGCAATTTCTGTGAGATACAGGTTTCGATCCGTGAAAATCACTTACGCGATGTTGTAGAAACGTAGCTGGATACATATCCTTCGATGATGCAACTACCCGGATCCAGTCGCGCAGGGTGTTTTTCTTCAAGAACTTCTTCGTCAAGTACTTGAGGTAGCGTTTTGAGAAAGGGATGTTCGAGGTAACAGTGATTTTGCTGTTGCCTATCAAGATAGGTAAGTATACTACAAGTCAGCGTTGACAGAAGTATATCTCACCATCCCGAACGATCTTGACGTTTTCACCGAGCTGACCAGCCTTGCCCTCGACCTTGATACGATCGTGCAAGAACTTTTCGAAGTCAGCGCCATCGAAGACACCGTCGCTTGCTGGGCGAGAGTAGTCGATCACAAATTTATGCTTGACGGCAAGGGCTTTTCCACCAGCGGCTTTGGGCTATCAAAAGAAGAAAACATGCAGAAGTCCGCAAGGCATGAGCCTACTGAGAAGGTAACTCAGCAAAGCGACGCCGGGACTGACCATCTTGAAAACGAGGGACAGAAGCTTGAAGTCTTGAGGTTTTCGTTTATCGTGGACAGAAGATTGAGTTTGCCGTGATGTATATACTGTACAGTTCCAAACCACGCTTCTGGAAGATGCCGATACATCAGGTATAGAAATATCTTCTCGCGCGATATTTCTTCTGTGATCGACTGAAGAATTTATTCAAGTGGGGGCAAATTTGTACGTGTCTCTGATCGCTACCAAAACGTTCGAGCGATGACTTCAACGCTCACTCGCGACCAAGTCGCCTCTGCCCAGCTGCAGGGTGATTTTGCTATAAAATCTGAGAGTTCGCAGCCCAAGCTCGACACATCGCAATGGCCGCTTCTGCTCAAAAACTATGACAAGCTTCTCGTTCGCTCCAGTCATTTTACACCCATACCGTCTGGAAGCAGTCCATTGAAGCGAGACCTTGTCTCATACATTAAGTGAGTATTCCACATGCACTCTGTGCTCAATACTGAGATCCTTTTGAAAGGTCGGGCGTGATCAATCTTGACAAACCTTCTAATCCTTCATCACATGAAGTCGTGGCCTGGTTGAGGCGCATTCTACGCGTTGAGAAAACTGGACATAGTGGTACGCTTGACCCAAAGGTCACGGGGTGCTTAATTGTCTGCATTGACCGTGCTACGCGATTGGTCAAGTCCCAGCAAGGCGCAGGTTAGTACACGTTGATGTTCAGCCGAAGCCCCCTTTACTGATGCTGTATTATAGGAAAGGAATACGTGTGCGTGCTGCGCTTGCACTCCAGTCTGCCGGATCCCACTGCACTTCCTCGGGCATTACAGACACTCAGCGGTGCACTCTTCCAGAGGCCACCACTAATCTCTGCTGTAAAACGACAGTTGCGTATTCGAACGATTTACGAGTCGAAGTTGTTGGAGTTTGATGAGAAGCGTAATCTCGCCGTGTTTTGGGTGTCTTGTGAGGCTGGTACATATATCCGGACACTTTGTGTCCATCTTGGTCTTTTGCTAGGCGTTGGTGGACACATGCAAGAACTTAGGAGAGTGAGGAGTGGTGCGATGTCAGAAAACGATGACATCGTGACCATGCATGATGTTTTGGATGCTCAATGGATGTATGATAACACACGAGATGGCAAGTTCCTGCATGCGTTATCAGGGAATGTTCTAATATTCTGTGCAGAATCGTACTTGCGCCGCGCCATCCGGCCTCTGGAGAGCTTGCTCGTGGGATATAAGCGCATCGTTGTGAAAGACAGCGCAGTCAATGCAGTTTGCTACGGCGCGAAGCTCATGATTCCCGGGCTCTTGCGCTACGAAGCTGACATCGCAGTTAACGAGGAGGTGGTCCTGATGACGACCAAAGGTTCGTTGATTTTGTCAATTGTTCATTTATCCTTCTAATGACATCGGTCAGGCGAAGGTATTGCTCTGGCCATCGCACAGATGTCGACAGTTGAGCTCGCCACTTGTGATCATGGAGTTGTTGCAAAAGTGAAACGATGTATCATGGAACGTGACACCTACCCGCGCCGCTGGGGTCTTGGACCCATGGCCCTTCAAAAAAAGAAGATGGTCAAGGAGGGGAAGCTGGGCAAGCATGGCGAGAAGATTGACGGTGTAACGCCTGCGGAATGGAGCAAGGACTATGTGGACTATAATCGAGAGGTCTGCAAAATTCCTTCGAGATAGCTCCTAGAGGAGTCCTAATTATTTCGTGTTTTTTTTAAGCAACCCGGCCCTTCCGCGATTACCCCTGCGCCTGCTCCAGCTGTGGAGGTAGTTGCAGAGCCTGTTGTTGATGCTCCTCCCTTGAAGAAAGAGGAGAAAGAGAAGAAACGGAAACGGAAATCGGAGGCAGCCGAATCCGTTGCAGATGTGTCGATGGTAGAAGCGCCTGCAGCAGAGGACGATACTGATAAAGCAGAACGGAAGAAGCGGAAGAAGGAGAAGAAAGAAAAGAAGGATGAAGAGGCAGATGAGGATGATGAAGCTCGACGGGAGAGAAAACGACTCAAAAAGGAGAAAAAAGCTAGGGAGTCTATGGCGGCTGCAGACGAGTAGTTATTTGGATGAGATCTGTGCTTTTGTACGTTATTTCTTCTTGTATTCTTTGGTCATGTCAATGCTTTGCTACTTAAGTACTGTTCACATGGTTGAGTTCAGGTATGTCATCAGCCACTTCGACATTAAATGAACAATTGTTAGTAAAATAAAAATAAAAATACGGGCGTCGTATCAGAATTGGGGGATCAGGATTCATGTCGATGCCAGTTACACGTCAGAATGAGCGGGACAATTACCAAGTAGTATGTAGTCGTGGGACTGTCGAGATCAGTTCGACATCATGATGTGGCGCCATGGCACTACGGTCTCCTTCAGCTGTAAGTACATCAGTCTTGCACAGTCTTGCACGCGTTTTGAGTGATCTAATAATACACACCTCAGGGAGCGTCGACGATGCAACTGAAACGAAAGTAAGATTGATGACGCAGGGCGTCAAGACAACTACAAGTAACATATAAATGCCAACCAAATCGCCAATGTTACAAGGAATTGTTATAACTTTTGATGGGAGACACTGAGCAGCCGGGCATGCGACCAGAGGTGTGTGCGGCGTGTGCAACCCACGAAGCAGTACACTAGATAGCTAGAAATGTCCACCGCTAATCAGTATATCGGACCTCGGAAGTATGCACAGCTACACACAAGCTACACGTGTACAATCTGCGCATCTAAGACGAGTCTCGCAAGAAGAGGGAAACCTCCCATCAAGTGCGTTTGAGCTCAGGGTGCGTGACGTCGAGTTTCTGACAGCCTCTACCTTCACGTTCAATTGCATGTCACCTCGAAAAGAATTTCGCCGATGGAAACACTGTAGGTTGACGGTGATGCTCTCAGCGAGTGCCTTTAACTGCTTTTCGCAAGTCCTGTATGCTGAGATAGTTTAAACAGCGTGATTGCAGAGCGACATGCGATGAAGTCGCAGACCGCCTCATCATGTGGTGATAAAAGGCACGGACGACCTTGAAGCTGTGAACTTGTGTTGCCATAAATGGGATAAGATGGGACAGTTTTTTATGGGACCCAATGCTAGTGAATACCCCAAGAAGCGCGCACAAGGCTGTGTCTTGATGCGGCCCCTGTCACTGGCAGCTACCCGTGGTGATTGATACGATAGTGACCCATTTCAGGGCCACCCGGATGGTGGGTGCTGAATCGTCACAGTCCGACTGCGAGACAGACAGATACACTGCCCGTTACCACTGCACTGTTACAGTATCTCCCATGCCATCGTTCTCCATCACTGCAGGCGTGCGTACATAGGCTCGCTATTCAGTTCTCATCACAGCCCCCAACCACATCTACTAAAGTGACGATTGTTCTGTCTAGGCGACTTTCACAAAGGAATCTGACACCCATTTAATTTCGGAAATTCATCAGGATGGTCGTAGCGCATGCACCAAGAGCGAAGGCAGCGAAGCCTCTTCCTCAGTTTGAAGTCGGTGAGTAGCAGGCTTTCGTCTTGTAGATGCATTACGCTAAGTCAGGCTTCAAGGTCCCGACTACGAAATTCTGCATTGTCTGGGCGAAGGAGCATATGGAACAGTGGTAGCTGCATCACATAAACCCACTGGCCGGCAGGTGGCCATCAAGAAAATCCTGCCTTTTGACCACACGCTGTTCTGTCTTCGAACATTGCGGGAGCTGAAGCTCCTGAAATTCTTTTCGGAGACCTGTGTCAATGAGAATGTTCGTCTGTTCTTCGTTCGTTCAATTAGTGACATGTCATCGATTGCCAATTGCAGATCATTTCCATATTGGATATAACGAAGCCACCATCACTCGAAGAGTTCAAGGAAGTGTACTGTGAGTTTATCTAATTCATTTGCATAGTCAGGCTGAATCCCAGAAAGTCATCCAGGAATTTATGCAGACCGACCTGCACCGTGTCATACGGACACAACAGCTTACTGACGATCATTGTCAGGTGAATTCTGGCGACATCTGAAACCAAATACGAGCTGATTGCCGCTGCTCTCTTGTCCAGTACTTTATTTATCAGATTCTCCGCGCCCTCAAATCTATACATAGCGCCGACATTGTCCATCGAGATCTGAAACCGGCGAACCTGTTACTCAATGCTAACTGTGACCTTAAAGTCTGCGACTTTGGCCTGGCGAGGAACGTCAAAGCAACGACTCCGGGCACCAAGGAGGCTGGGCTGATGACTGAATATGTAGCAACGCGATGGTATCGTGCACCTGAAATTATGCTTTCTTTCAAGATGTACACGAAAGTCAGTCTCCCTTGATGCTTTGATGGTTGCACACCTCATCATGTGTGGTTGTTAAGGCTATTGATTTGTGGGCGGTCGGATGTATTCTTGCCGAAATGCTGACGGGTAAAGCCCTGTTTCCCGGCCGTGACTACGGGCATCAGTTGAATCTCATCCTGGATATCATTGGTATGTCATTTCTTGTCTTTGGAGCGCATAGCAGTATGAACATTTTCACGAAGGCACGCCAACTTTGGACGAGTTCTATTCGATCACTTCGAGGAGATCGAGGGATTATATCCGAGCTCTTCCAATCCGCAAGCGAAGGTCGTTTCAATCGCTTTTCCCAAAAGCAACGCCCGAAGCCATTGATTTCCTACATAGAACTTTGGTATGTCGAGTCCTTCCGTTGAAATCATCGAGCCTTGATTCATCTCTTTCAGACTTTCGATCCCAAGAAGCGCTTGACGGTCGATGAAGCTCTTGACCATCCATACCTTGCTGCATACGTAAGCTCAATTCTATTTTTTTTTGCTCCGCCATGCCTACCTCAGGCAAACAGCATGACCCAGAGGATGAACCAGTAGTAGCATCCCTTGACCCAGACTACTTCGACTTTGACCGTAAGTTTATTGAATCTTTCCGGTGCTGTGTACACTCAGTCCCCGTTCTTAGAATACAAAGACGACCTCAGTAAAGCAGAATTGAAAGGTACGTGAATCTAGTCTTCACAGTAGCTGATGTCTTCAACTGTTTGCAGAACTTCTGTACGATGAAATCATGTCCTTCGTGCCGGCACTCTGAACGATGACACCCATCTTTCCCTCTTCGCCACTCTCTATATTCCGAGCTATGCATCATTACCCCAGACCCATCAGCACCACATATTAACCTAATTTCGCACTGGTTTATTTATTCGGCATTATTCCGTCGTATTGCTTTGTGATACTACACTATACTTGTAGGCTTATTCGCACGATTTGTCAAATGGAATGGATGAAAGCAAGGTAACAATACAGAACGATGCAAAAATAAATCTGATCTACTGACACAGCAGTCTGTGCGAATGATGATCAAGTATATTAGGAGACAATGTAGATATTCGAAACCGACGGCAAGTGAGCGAAAATGAAGATCCGAAACAATAACATTTAGCGTCGACCTCCAGCCCAAAAGCCAGACGCTACCCCCTCGACTCCAAAATCACCAAACCGAGTGTCACCTTCTAACTCAGTACCGTACATGGTACGGCGTGCGGGAGGCACTGGAGTGCCCATTTCCGTCGCCGCCGTGCGCAATATAGTCAATCCCAAGCCCGAAGCCACCTCATTGCTCGACGGCTGCCTCTGCAACCCAATAGGATTTACGCCACCCTCTTGTACACCTGTCGGCCCCCCTGACCTACTCCTGCCAGTAGTTCCAGAGCTACCCCGGTGATGCCCGAAAATTCCGAAGCGCTCTGACTGACGACTGCCTGGTCGATCTACGTTATTTGTTGGTGATGGGGATGTCGGGGGTTCTGGATGTGGGAAGGTTCCCATTGCCGGGGGGAAAGCAACGTGAGCTGGAGTGGATGTAGGGACAAAGCCAAAGCGGAAAAAATTTGGAGGCTCTCCCACAGTTGTGGGTGCGCTCATCAGCGGTGGTGAAGGTGGCGTGAAGAAATCAACAAGGCTTTCTATGGGTGGAGGCAGATCTACGTAATCAGGTCCACCAAACATCGAGAAACTAGGTCTAGCAGAGGGTTGAGATGGTCCAGGATCGGCGTCCTGTGCGCCTGACGACGGGCCCGCAGAATCACCAGCCTCCTCCGCGATGTCAGAGGAACCTAATTTAACACGCTTCTGAGCCGGGCGAGCAATTCTCTTCGCAATCTCGGTTTCGGAAAGGGCTTCCTCTTGTCCAAGCTCAAAAAACGCAGTAGCGGTACTGGCATTAGAATCCCGAGAGCGCTTCCCAAGAGTGGTGTGAAAGCCAGGAAGAAGCGACCCCGCATGATTTGGATTATCTGTCTCTCGTTGTTGACTGAGTAGGCCATTGGGATTTGAAGAATCGCTAGAAGTCGCAGGTGACTCGGGTTTCTCAAAATAAGGATCGCTGGAATGTCGTGAGTTGAGTATGCTGCACGATAAATGATGAATAATCCTCACCCGAGAGGGTCGACCGGACTCCGCACGCGTTTAGGGGTTGACGGAGGATTAGGTATTCGTTGGGGAGTCTCTTTCTGTCTCTGAATTAATACGGTTTCAGCAGCATGTCCAGATGCTTGCGCGCGCAGGCGTTCAATCTCCGCCGTGAGGCCCCGAATTTGTGTTTCGAATGTCTCGATGATGCCCGAAACTTTGTCTCTTAACTCAGACAACTGAGCTTTCTGATCCGCCATTTCCTTCTGTACCGGAGCAAGCTGTGATGCCTGCGAGTGAGATAGAAATCAGACACTGTACGTGCATCGGACTCACAGCTACAGCCACTGCGCTCTCAACTATTTGTGAGGAGGAAGACTGTGCTATGCCTTCAGTCTGCGTCTGTAGCGGTATGGAGTTTGGCTGGGATATCAACAAAGTACCGCCAGGCCCCGCTTGATCTGACGCTATTCGGAGAGTGAGTAATTGTAAAACCTTGATTCACTTATTTAGACTGACATGTTCCGGCCGGGATTGGCTCTGGCTCTGGTTCTGGCTCTGGCTCTGGCTCTGCAAATGCTGAGATTATGATGGTCGTAATCATAAATGTTAATACCCACCTTCAGCAATGGTATATTCTGATGGCTTCACATTTTTCATGCTTTTTGCCCTCTTGCTACCTCTCGAGACACTAACAGATTTAGTTACAGCACGAGCGCCGCTACCTCCGGCAATGATTGGTCTACCAACGCCAAGTCGATATTGAGTGTCTTTGGCTTTCCGTGTCCTGGGGGTGAGATCAACAGGGGGCGGCGGGGGTTTGTATTCTTCAGGCTGCTGTTCCACTTCTATTTCTTCAGGTAGCTTCTTCTTCATCGTCGGTATCATGGATAATCACGGATCCACTAGAGCGCCCACGAGGTCTAGCGCCAGTTTGACTTGTTATTCTGACAGATGTAGATCGCGGAGGCAGCTGCGCGGGAGTGCTCCGGGAGGGTTGGGGTCTATGTTTATGATTAATTGCTAGATCGGCATTAATATTGAGGCTGACTCACTGAGATGCATCAACCAAAAGGTCTATCAGAGCCTCAGTCTTGAGATTCGCCTTTACGCCGTATTCCTGGCGAAGGAGATTCAGTGAACGGCAGTACATAGCAGGAATAGTGAGTGATGTTCTTACTTTGCACAACTTCTGGATGTCGACTCGTTTCATTGCCTGCAGGACCTCACGGCCTGGCACGGAAAACATTGAGAGATGGTGTTGAGATGAAACGAAGAGATAAGTTGCCTGGTCTGCGCGTGGTTCGAGTGGAACACACAATAACCGATGCCACAACGCGAGCCCAACCACAGTCACGTGATACATACTCTCATCATCCATTCAATTTCAACAGAAGTTTACGAATTGACTTCGTAATTAGGATGCTCTTTGTTCTTTCTGATTTATCCCAGAACCTGATGACATTAACTTCCCAAAGGCACACCTGACATCCCTTGAGGTCACGTACAATCCGTCCATGTCCGCTCGCGGTCCAGCCGGGCCGACAGTAACCATGCTTTTAAATATCGCTGGCCATGTTCTATCCGGGCTTCGTCTTCCGCACTTCCGTGCCAACATTCGCGTCGACGATGTCGACGTTCACACTTGAACAGGTTGCTGAGCATAAGACCACTGGGTACGTTCCATACCACGTTTCATTTGAACCAACAATCATCTTCGCATTTACAGCTCCTGCTGGGTCATCATCCGAAACAAAGTTTACGATGTGACCGACTTCCTCTTTGTGGGTTCATTAATTTGTTGCACGTGCATTACTGAGAGGTATCAGGATCATCCAGGAGGGGCGAACGTCATCCTCAGATATGCAGGACAGGATGCTACCGCAGCATACGTACCTATACATCCATCAGACGCTTTGGACAAGAACCTTGCTCCTGAAAAACACCTTGGCAGTTTAGACACCGAGTCGATAAATCTCCTAAAGGAAGCAGGGAAGAACAAGGTTCAAACCAGGGACGAGCTCCGTGTTGAAGAGGCGGTCAAGAACAAGCCACCGCTTGGAAGAATCATCAATGTCGAGGACATGGAAGTAAGGTGTTCGAGTACACCACCCTACCACACTCTCATCACTGCAATTTGCAGGAGGTTGCCAAGAAGGTCCTGCCGTACAGGGCCTTGGCTTACTATTCTTCAGCCGGGGACGATTCTATCAGTAAGCGTCTGCATTTCTCTAGTTGAATCGCACTTTTACAGTTGTCAACTATGCAGCGCACGTAGAGAACGGTCGCGCCTTTGGCCGCTTCTTCTTTCACCCTCAGGTTATGAGGCCTGTATCTGGATGCGATACCTCTACGACTATACTTGGTTACAAGAGCTCGATACCCGTGTACATCAGCGGTGCAGCGCTAGCCCGACTAGGTCACCCATTAGGAGAGGCCAACCTTACGCGCGGCGCCTATAAGACCGGCATCATACAAATGGTGTCTACCAACTCATCTCTCTCTTACGCACAAATTTCTGCTGCACGCGCTTCCCCAGATCAGCCTCTTTTCTTCCAATTATATAAACACCGCAATGACGCAACTGCCGAGAAACGCATAAGAGAGGTTGAAGCATTAGGCTACAACGCAATTTTCTTGACAGTCGATGCTCTGGTTCCTGGTAACCGCGAGCTGGACATCAGGGTACCGCATTATCTCGAGGACTTTGAGAATCAAGGTCTTACCACTCGGAGAAAAACGGACGTGGATGAAGGCGAGACTGACCGACTTGGTACTGCTGGCGGACTCGTCATAATGAACGATGTTGACATGACATGGGAGAAGGTGCGTTGCAGTTTTGTTCACGAGAAGTCGGGGAGTGAGCTCCCGCTGCAGACGATACCCTGGATACGAAGCATCACGAAGTTACCCATAGTTATCAAAGGTTTGTGCATTTACGCTATCGTTTGTCACTGTCTCATCTCTGTTTCAGGCGTTCAATGTGTTCAGGTTAGTAGACATAGCTACTTGTTTAAAAATGCCAGATGCCGACAAGGATTACCAGGATGCCGTTCTGGCTTGCGAAGCTGGTTGTGAAGGTATTGTACTCTCGAACCACGGAGGTATACCGCATCTACTCGCCCCCGAGAATCCCTGAAGCTAACCTATAGACAAGGTCGGCAATTAGAGTACTCTCTGCCACCAATCGAGTTGTTGTACAGGATACAACAACAACGCCCTGACGTATTTAAGAAGACCGAAGGCTGGTTCCCCGATATTTATTCACACTTCACCTGAACTAACGCACATATTTGATAGTATACATAGACGGAGCAATCCGCCGTGGAACTGATGTCCTTAAAGCACTGTGTTTGGGTGCAAGAGCTGTTGGTTTGGGACGTGCGTTCCTCTACGCCCAGAGTGTAAGCTGTTTCTGTGCAGTCGCGTGTCAATAAATGTGTAACTGAAATATGTAAAGGCATATGGTGAGGCTGGTGTGGTTCACTTGGTACGCATCCTTGAACGCGAAATCCGCTTCGGCATGGAGTCGCTCGGCGTCCGGAAGATCAGTGAACTTGTACCGCAGATGGTAAGTGACACCTATTGTGCACTTGCTTGCTTCTCCTGAGCGACTTATTTTCAGGTCGAGCGTGTCGACTGGCAGTCAGTTTCGCGTGCGAAGCTGTAAATGACTGCCGTCCTAATCTACAACATCTTCTTGTGTTTATGCTAACCGTGTCGGTACTTATACCTCATATATGGAATCCTGCGTTTTGAATCTCCACATTTACTCCGACCTTATACGCGTGGCACTGTCGATATACTAAACCAACCAACAGTTCTTCACTCTGCAAGGCAACTGAGAGGGATGTTCTCAAGTGAATTCAGTCATCCAGAGCCGGTGGATTGCCTTCTAGCACTGATGGGAAAGAATTTGGTTTACAATTTCCACGCCTTAAATCTAGGACTTACAATTTGTTCCTGACTACTATAGTCGCAGTGAGGTTTCCGTTTTCAAATTTCGACCAAACAGGAAGGTCCGAAGGTGTAGTAGTGAATAGTCATGTGACCGCGATTATTACAATGTTCAACTTCCACACGTTGTGCGCGTATTCGGCTCTCTTTGCACAAGTACTTTGTCTCTCACTGGCGTTTGTCATCATCTCACTAGCACTACTGAAGCGAATATCCAAGGTCAAGGATGGGCTTCTGTCGGAGATGCGGAAATATTGTTGTAGGAGAACGGTGTAAATGTGGTGGCACAGCAGTTGGTTTGTCCCATTTTCATCGACTAGAGACCGCTCAAATCAAACGAGGTGTCAGCCCCCGTAGTACAGTGGGCAGCTTCCAATGAGCCCGCTACAGACAAATGGTCTCAGACTTACGTTTCTCGTGAGAGGTCTCCGACTCGACCTCCCAGCCGTGCACAACCATCCAACTGCACCTTCCCGACCGCCAGTGGAAGTGTCAACCCAAATGCCCCGCCTTCTCCCGTGAAACGTCTACCTCGAAAGAACTCGATATTTGACATATCTTCTCATGTTGGAAACCGCAGCTCTGTACATATTGGGTCAAGTACATCACGACCTGCCTCACCGCTTAAGCATTCTATGTCGTTAAGCGATATCCATCACGAAGCCCCCCCATCTCCGACAACAATCTCTGCCGCTGCAGGAGTCCTTCCTTCCCCATACGCACCCGAACTCTCCAAAGCTTATGGGTCAGTCCTTCAGCCCAAAGAATCTCTTGCGTCCTACTGCTGCGCTATCTGCTCCACTGAATTCCCTCCAGATGCAACCATATACCCAGACCCTTCTGCCCCTGCAATAGACACAGACCGATTCCTATGTCGACAGTGCTTCGTCAAGAACGGTGGATCCAAAGGCGATTGCCTTTCGTGTGATCGCCCTGTGCTCACCGTGAAGAGCGAGGGTGGTTTTGTGGAAACGTCTGGACGTGTTTGGCACAAAAGATGCTTTCGCTGTGACGGATGTCACAAAAACATTGGCGACACTCCCATGGTCGATCTACTAGGTCGACCATCCTGCGCAGACTGCTTCGAAAGTTGCTTGAAGAGGGATAACACGCCTCGCAAGCCTCACAAATCTCCCGGAATAGAGAGAATAGAGCGAAACCACATGGGCTTCCGCGGAGACTCGACGAGCAGACAAGGAAGTCCTGCAATCGATGAACTAGAACAGCGTCTTGGAATTATGAAGAGCAGGGAAGGCAGTCCTGTGATGGAAGAGCTAACGGCGCGCTTAAACGCGGTGCTCAATCGCACACCTTCTAAAGATGCCTCTCCGACACCAAGTGTCTTAACGTCGCGTCATACTAGTGCAACATGTTGGGGAGAAAGTCCCAGCCCCAGTCGCGTTTCGGAGAGGAAACTGCCCCAATTATTCTCTCCGCTGGGATCACTTGCCTCTCCTCTCGACAGCGCCGATGCCAGCAACAGCTCTCCGCAAACTGAATTTTGGAAAAGCAGGAGTCCCGATGCTGGTGAACGTAGGACGACACCTAGCAGAACCATTCGCGAACGGTTTGGGACTCCAGAGACAGGCTCCAGTCCCTCTTCAGGACGACCGTCTGCTGAAGCAATTGAAGAAATGAAGAAGCGATTCTTATCACAATCACCTTCGTCACCTGGTATACGAACCAATCCGAGCGTAGCATTTTCGTCATCTTCACCTTCATTCCACAACAATTCTCCTGTCGCCAAATCCCTGGACGGATCGCGAATTCCGCTCTCGAAACGTTCTCGCGGTTCTCCAGGGCTTCGCACCGTAGCTAGCACTTCAAGCCTGTCGTCTCCGCGCCTTTCCTGGGCTCCATCTACACCGGAATTGATGTCCGATATGTCAGATGTTACGACAGAGTCTTCGTCTCCGTCTTCTCCCCCGCCGTTTAGTCCACCAGCACGCCATGTCAGTATCTTCGGCAATGGTAGCACTCTTTACTCGCTCGACGAACCCAACGATTCTGTTGACTCAGAACATGACACTAGGGAAGTTTCCTCGACGCCGACACCAAAGTCGACCAAACATGTACTCGATCACCTTTCTAATGCTGCTACCGTCCAGTCACCTGACTCACTGTGCGCGAAGTGTGGGGGGTCCCTTTCTACAAGCAGAGCAGCAGGCCGGTTTGTCACCGTCCCTGATGCTAATGCCATAGGACCACCGAAGACGTATCACCCCGAGTGTTTCAGATGTGTGATGTGTGATGGCCCCTTCAAGGTGTCTGGGATCGGTCAAGCAGTCTTTGCCAGAGGGGAAGGCGGTGCTTGTCATGTGGAAGTCAGTCAGATGGTTTCCGTCATTTACCTGAACTAATGACTCAGCTGATTGCAGTGCTGCTCCTCCTGAAAGGGCCCGGGTCAGATCCATTGCTGCTTCAGATTTCAGCACATCGACATTCCCCTTGTTGTCCTCGCCCCCTTCGCCGTCGGGATCACGCGGGAGCATAGAACGGCCAACGGCATCAAGTACCGCGAAGGCCATTACTCGAGCCTCAACAGCAGCCAACACTAATCCCTACTCATCGTCTCGTCTGGAAAGATCGTCGCCATCTGCACCTGTGGTATCTACAACGTTCCCTCGTTTCGGAAGCTCAACGACGTGCCCAGCATGTTCCAAATCCGTCTCTCTGATGGAGATGGGTGTAGTGCCTGGTCCCCAAGGTTCCAGATGGCATTCGTCCTGCCTTGTGTGTGGCGGTAAGGGAGTGAATAAAGGGCGACGTGACAAGTCACAACCTGGTTGCGGCAAGAAGCTGGACTCTGCTGCGAAACGAGATATTGAAGGGGGGGTCTGGTGCAGGGAATGCCTCGTAAGTCTGCGCAATGCCAATCTTCAAATTCCAATATATTCGTAACATCATCGATAACCAGCTTCTGTTACCCCCCAATCTGAGAAACGCTCAAGCAGACTCGCCCACAAAACCACTTGTGCCATCACTGACGGGCCGTAGCATTGGTGGTGGCTCCTCCGCTTCTAGAGTTATTCAACCTCAGTTCACGGGTACTACCACAATCGCACGTCAATTTACTGGGCTACGTGGTGGTGATGCAGCGCTCGCGAGACAACTGACTGGCGGTGGCCTGAGTCCGACGAAACAGTTAGGCATCGCTACGCCTCGCCCCAGACCAAAGAGCGTGATTGGCATGAGGAGTGGAAAGAGCGTAGATGAGGGTCGGGGGATGTTCTTGGTTCGGCAGATGACTAGTGGAGGAAGTTCATTTGGTGTGTAGACTGTTTGGAGTCTTGGACTCGAGGGACGATTTTCTTCTGGAATCTAATTATAATAACAATAGTCTCACATGGACTGATGAGAGGCACAGACTGAGGAATAGGCAGCGATAAATCCTCAGGCGAGCGCAGGAAATCCAATAAGAATTAACCACGTACATAAATAAGTAAAGGTTGTGTGGTTACAAGACGTTAGCTGACGTTGGACAGAAAAGTCTCAGTAAACATCAGTAAACGGCGTACCTGATGCAACGACGATCAGGCGCACATGCCAGTATATCTGATCATGAGAAGAGACGGAGTACGACTAAAATGTTTGAGCTCGAAGTTAACTTATTCAAGTCTGCAGTATTTTATGCAGTAAGTACACTAATTCTTCAAGCGTTCAAACTCAGTAGCTCCCCTTGTCTATCCAACCAGTGACTCGAACCTTGGCTTACTGGAATCCTATCGGTCCCGTGCAGATACACTTGCACAAAAATCAGCCTGTCAACGTTAACTAACCCCCGTCTTTCTAATCAGAAAACCCGTCGCTAGCGCCGTGAAATAGACTTGCTCACCTCGTTATGTACTTACTGCTACGACGCACCGGTGGATTAGTCTGACTTGTATCGGACAAGTAGAGTGGCATAGCCGAGCAAGTATTGATAATTCTCCCTTGAGGGGTAGTCTGATACTCACGAGTCTACGCTCAGTCTCTAGACTGGGCATGGGCCAACTTGTGAACGGATATCCCCCAGGTTTCTCCGCTACTTACTCTCGGGCTACGGCGTTTTGGAGTCTTGACGCTGCTCGAAATTGTATCCTCCTCGAGGCATTGGCACATGTCACCCGGCTGCGCAGCCGCCATCAGAAGGAGCAGGAAACGGTACTGAGCCCTGCTGATCTCAGGGGGGGTTCTCGATTAGTCTTATGCGACAGAACGGAGCCAACTCGGAGTCGTACGTTTTTGGGATGTACAGTACTTGTCTCACTGATTTCGTTTTCCATGTGAAGAACATGTACCCAATGTACCCTGATGTACCCGTTCCTCCTAGCAGCAGACCCCAGCACAAGCCTAATAACATCCTGGAGCGATTGGTGGAAGCAAATTGCTTTCTCCTTGCTTCTTCAGTTGCCGCCGAGCAAACTAGGACATGGTGAACGCCCACTGAGCTAATCTCTCAAAGAATTGCAGGTGCTTAAATTTTTTTTACACGGCTCGACTTCAATGTTGAAGTTAAAGTACTGTGGGGAAACCTGACAGAGATCAATTGATGAAATTCTGCATTCTGATTGGTCGCACTCCTGGTATTACAAGGTATCGCGATGATAAGATACAATGGAGTTTGGTAGATGTTGACGAGCGGTGATCTCGGTGTTGACCTTCACGTACCTGAGCCGATGGTGTGTGCCAGGATAATGGTAAAGGAGTTCATGATATCGATCATAACTTCCTGATTAGCCTTTTTAGAAGGTTACTGCATTTCAGTCCCAGATAGTCTTTGCACGCTCACCTTGTTACAAGTTACACCTGGTTACACACAACCACGTTCCAAAATCTGTTATCCATGCGTTGTCGATGTCGCCCGTCGTCAAGTAGATGAGTCCTTTGCGTCAGAAGACTTGCGATGCATCGGAGCGAGAAAATAGAACGTGCATTCATTCTCTTCATCTTTCCTCGCCCTCATGTCCTTGGAAGAGGTTCAGTCTTCGTCCTTAGTAACATCCCTTTGAGCTCTTGGGCTGGAGGTGCCATTTTGGATGCTTGATATCTACTCAGCTTTGCTCAAACACTGCCAGCTGGGTTTCACACCAACTCACTCCATTGCTTATTGTTTTTCCTTCTCGTCCAGTTCAGTTCGCTGGTATCAACTGCGAGGAGGCTTGCCTCCACGCTTCCCTTGCAAAGGCACGCACGCCATTTCGTTGTTTTTTCGGTCATATCCGCTTCCATGTTCAATGCATCCTCGACGTGCAACTTGGGATACACCTTGGTTTCCTCTGCAGCGTGGAGCAATAATAACTGTGATGTGAGTCCGATGACCAGTATGTTATTCACAAGCTCATAAGAACTTGAAGATTGAACTCATACTATCTGACATTCCCTTTATCTCGGTTGGGATATTAACTTTTGGAGCATCGGCATTCTTTCTTGTAATCAGACAGCTCACATTGTGAGTAGCTATCGTATTTACTTGGCTCGTCTACTAATCCTCCATTCAGCTCCGTTGTCTCCCTGTATTTCTCGGTGTTGCTCTCTTTTGCAGCTGCTATCATCGACCTGACACAAATCCTTATACGTGACTTTAGCCAGGTCACCGTACAGCCACTAATTACCGCAAGGGATGTTTTGCTTGCTCTGTCCCTCGGCCTACGTTTTTTCTTTTACTGGCTATACGCCTCTGAGCCCCCTACTGGAGAACCCCGGCATCTCTCATCTCAGGCTAGATGGACCAACTTTCTTTCACCCGGCTCTCAGGCATTACCTCCACAGCGGTAACTGGGCTCGGTGGGGCGTCGCAGGATCCTACGCAAAGTTCGGTTTGCTGGCCACCATCCCTGCTATCACCTCGTTGCAAATCGTTTGGCGTCTATTTCAACGATACCAAAATTATGGCCCGGTGTATGCGGCGAATGTGGCACTCGAGGTCCTCGTCTCTGTATTGCTTCTTCTCAAGCTGCTATTAAACACAGTGCCAACCTCATCGATTCCCCGATCGCACACTTTCGGGGAATATGGGTTCCCCATCTTGGCGTTAGTGTTCAATATTGGCATCTCCATCGGAGACTTGATTCGCTGTAGGTTCAATATCCACACTTGCGTTGCTTAACTGATTCGTTTGGTAGTCGCATTCACAGAGTCAATTCTTGGCCGACTTCTTCAAGGAGTAGAACTCTGTATCTTAATCGTCTTTATGATGATTCTCTACTTTTTCCGTCACAAAAAGACCACAACTGTTCCTAAAATCAGGGATTTAGCAATGTTGAAGAAGTTGCCAGAGCATCCACGTGAATCGACTTTCAGGCTGTCCCCACCATTGGTGTCTACACCTAGATTAACGACGCCTCTCAGTTCCGAAAATCAAGGGAGGAGTGTAGATACTGATGTCGCCCGTCATTCTGCTCTTGCCACCCATGGCCGTGCGTCTCCCTGGGTCTCTTGGAGGATGTCCCACAGAAGGTCGACCCAAGATGAGGAGAAAGCCAAGTTATGGTATCAGAACGATGCTGGAAGGGGGGCTCTCGACCAGCCTGACATGGGCCAAGGCAGGGCCGGAGACCAGAGCATGAATTCCGCTGCTTCTGCCATGGGCAAGGGATCCACAGAGTGGAGATACTTTGTGAATGATTCTGTTCCTAGCTCTTCAGCACTATCCATGCTTAATGGCCACTCGGTGAGCACCGGATCTAGGAACGGCTCACTGAGTAGCGGACAAATTCTGCATGCAATCCGTGCAGATATTCCCCCGCGCCCTCTCCCTCCGAAGTTGCAGACAATGTCACTTACCGCTATTCCGGCGACTGCGACATCCTCCGATGAAAGTGGGGCCACCGTTATCATGACTGCCCCTCCAGATCCACCAGCTCAAGGTTCGCCTATCTACGGGTTCAAGGGTGTTACTCGTCAACCTCCCAGCAGGCAATCTTCATCCAACGGATCCCTCGAAGAATTGCTGGAACTGCAGAATGAGCTAGACAAAACAATTGCAGCGTTGCGATTATTTTCTCCGAGTTCTCCAACCTCTACCTCACCAATCTCCCCTTTATCATCCAGAAGTGATTCGAACTATGCTGAACAAATGCGTCAATCATCCTCCACTAGCGCGCGGACGCTGTCCGACTTCTCTTTGAGCAACTTCCCCTCCCCGCCATGGCTGATCTCCCGAGTGCCTTCTCTTCCTGCACCCTTACCAGCTGCCAAATTACGACTGAAGGAAGACCGTCGGGCCCGTCTTCGATTTCGTCAGGACTCAACTTCCGATGCTCTTGGGCTACTGCTGCCGCCAAGAATTCCTGCAGCTTTGACAGACATGCCTAGCTCTCCTCGTTCTGACCTCATGTCGGACTCTCCCTATCAGGAAGACAACAGGATCTTGCCTGCAGACGCGGGGCGATCTTTGAGGTTCAACTCTGGCGGGACGCAGTACGAGATTACATCTTTCATAGGCGGTAAGTCTTGACCCCCCGGATTTTGTGAATGGTTTCTGAAAAAAATTGGCCCAGATTTAACAACTCCAGGTGGTCACAGGAAGGCAACGACGGAGAAGCCTTTGCATGAGTCTGGAGGGAATTCGCTCCATCTTGGCATCGATGGAAGCTACGGTTCTCGGGAAGCTTCTCCCCATTTGCCCACGACGCCTTTACGTCCATCGCGAGCAGGACTATTGAGATTGCCATCCTCCGCAAGACATAGGCTATCGCAACTCTTAATGCAGACGAGACTGTCACTTGTTCCAAAATTAGAGGAGGAAGCTTCAGATCCGAACTTCGACTCGGTCGAACCTCTAGCACAACGCAGGATGCGACCTCTGATACTTCCGTCTATGACGATCACTTCCCCTCCCCATTTCCAGCCGTTGAACATCAGTTCTGGTGCGCGGCTGTCGAGAGGGATGACTAGCCTTCCACAGAGGCCGCAGGTGGCACCAGATTTTGGTGTTCCAAGGCCACTACCCGAAGATGTGCATGATCCTGGAGCATTTGAGCGACTAAGACCGCCGCCGTTAATTTTACGTTCAGACCACGAGTATTTCTCGAGAGGTTCAAGATGATGATGGACGTTTTTATTTCTAACCTTATGTTGACTTTCGCTGGTTCGAACGAGTTGGCAGTTACGAATCTCGTAGATACGTTCATTGTGGTGCGTTCTCATTCTCTCACTATATCTAGTTCATTAGCAATGTGTCATACTTGTTGCATGGTTTCTGGATAGTTATGAAGCGTGGCGGACGTTATCATCACCTACATATTGTTCGCTATAGCCATACATGTACAGAGCAGTAGTTACACCTGGTTGCCCTACCGTGTCCTATCGAGCTTTCCTGAAAGTTATAAACGCACCGCTTGACATGCAAATGGTTCCTCAATGTCAACGTGAATAATGGACACTTCACCAAACCCGTCATTGATCATTTAAAAGGGGTGAACCAGCTCGCACAATTGTTTCTCCGTCTAATCTAGAAATAAAGGATTTAAACCAGTTGACGAGTGCTAAGTGCGCACGAGCAGTTCGTTGTAATTCAGGTTGTAAGGGGAAATGGGGAAACAGGCTGAAATAGGATGCGGGTAGTCTCCCGTAATCAGACCCTGATAGAATGAAGACAATCGTTCCTTCGTATCAGGGGACACGGGTAATATCCGTTCCATTAATTAAACAGGGTTTTCTACATAGAACAGAATCACTGGGATAACAATACAAACGACACATTGCGGATCCGGCAGCATGAACCGTGACGCGCAAAATGATTGTTGTCCTGGCTGGTGATGGGGGCCGGGTGAATGGTTCCTGCGACGAAAATAGGCTTGCTATTCTGTACGAAACATAGTTTAAATTGTTCTCGCTTGACATATCCTGACCTCAAAGTTATGGTTGTTGCATCGGCTTAACGGATGGCGGACGAGGGCAGTCCTCATTAGAAATTTGTTATGTTTGGCGGGTCAACAACAGGACCGACGCAAATGCACTCCGAAGATTCAGGAAGGTGCATAAGCAGTTTTTGGGGCTATGCTGGGCCGGGATCGTTGATGATTGTTGCGTTCCGTGAACTCGGGCGTTGACTGGTGTTGATTGTTCTAACGGGAATCGTGGAGATTTCGCGGGTTGCGCATTTGAATTGGTGACGGATAAAAGCGAGAAAAGTTGGCGATGAGAAACATGATGTATACCACGCTATTGGCAGCGGAGAAAGAGAGGGGGGAATGAGCAGGATATCAATGTCAGCAACGATCTCCTGCAAAATGGCCTCAACATCATATACGAAATGAGTAAAACTTAAATAAAAAAAAGGAAGTTTAGCTCTGCCCCGATCAGCGAATAGACCTAGTTGACAACCAAGCTTGATTCTGCTACAGTGCTAGGTTGAATGTTTTCCATGCAATAGAGCAGTCATGCGACGTTCAGGGGTGACATGGCAGCTCCGAAATAGCGCGACCCAAAATAACAGGCAACAGGCAAAACAGAATATTGAAGTACTGACCTACACGCAAGTCGCACGAAGACGCCTGTTTTTTCGATTCGAAAGCTCCACATAATTGCAATTAACCAGAGCTACTTCCTAGGTGTGACCATGACCATTCTGTAAACTTGGATGAATACTCCTCAAGAGTTTTAACGGGTGATCATTCGCAAATTGCAAATAGTGCAGATCCACGAAAGAAAGGCATGGTCACGGCTGACCGTGGCTTGGGACGCCAGTTCAATGCCACCAACAAGTTTCCTCGCCGTAGGGTATAATTTTTCATATAATCAAGAAGGAACGACTGTCTCCCTTCTATATGGCCTGGTTAGAGGACATTAAATTTTCTGTCGTGAGATCGAGCGAACGCAGATTCCTGAGCACCAGAGGAACGAACGTGGATATAGTGAGTGCGTCGGTTTCGAAAATGAAATAGTTATTAGTCCCCGAGATGTTTGGGCGCAGATCTGCCGGGCTCGTGATCCAGAAAATGCCGGCAGCAAAACGAGCACAAAGTCCTCGAGGGCCCGCGAGCCGCGACCATGATCCAGTCCTTCCGAGACAGTTTTTGGGACGCGAGCCGAGACACCCGCGGTTAGTCTTAGTAGGAGGGTATGGAATTCAGATTCACACTCACCAGGAATTACCGGTTGCTTCTCGTAGCATGCATTGACACATCAGTATATATCGCGAACGATCTCACTTGAAAAATTGTGCCGTGAATACAGAACTGTCGAAAAGTGTACACGGTGTCAGTTGTCTTGTGTCTTTTTATCGCACCTTCTTGCTCTGGAATGAGCGGCGATACTCGAAATATGACGGGGACGTCCCAAGTATGACGCACGACCGAAATGAATGCAGATATATTATATAGAGAATATGGGTTGGAACGAGAGTATTATGATGCTCGTGCGAGTCATCCGAAATTCGAATCATTCGTACACTTGCCACGCTATTTGTACTATTGGTAGGAGTTTCGTCCAGCACTGAGGATGGAATTGACAATCATGAACTTCAAATCGTAAGCCACGTTGTGCAACGACACTGCAGTCTGCCAGGGCCCAGACTCGGACTCCATACTATGATGTAATGCAACCTTACAAGTACCAACGCGCTTCAAGCACCTCAGTCTCGACTCTCCACATCCTACCACTACCAATTATCTGACCCTTGACAAACTCGCAATGTCGAGCTTTCCCGATTATTATGCGTTGCTGAATGTGCCAAAGACGGCCACCGCGGAAGAGATCAGACAGGCTTATAAAAGGGAGTCACTCAGGTGCTTTGACAGTTATACTCATTTCTTTCAACTCAACTATTTAGTTTTGCAGGACTCATCCGGATAGATTGGCCAATGCTACTGAAAACCAGAGAAAAGCGGCAACAGAAAAGTTTCAAGTTCGTGCCATATGCGCCTACTCTGCAAAGCACGTTAACCCACTAGGCAGGCAGTAGCAGATGCCTACTATGTTCTGTCGGACCCAGTACGACGGAAAGAATATGATGCATTATACTCCTCGAAGAGCGCCGGGGATAGAAGCAGTGACCCGAAGGCGTCTTCAAATTTCTTCGCGCATTTTGCCAGCATGTTTGGTGGTGCAGGCGCAGCACCAGCTCAAGGGCCGAGACCTAATGCTGAGAACGTATTTGCGGACGTATTTGACGAGGTTCTACTCCTCCTTTCTCAGCCTCGTTACATATGTTTGACCATGATTCGTATAGCTCCTCCGTCCAGAGGTAGAACGTCACGTACCATGGTGGTCATACCTTGGCGCCGTTTGTGGTGGTGGTCGGTAATCCGTCTTCATATACGGTTCTCTGAGTGAACACATTTTTATCTAACAGGAATGGGATTCGTAGTTGCTAATCTCCCGGGTCTCGTGATGGGCGCGTATGCAGGTAACCGCATCGGTGCGATACGCGACGCCAAAGGTAAGAGTGTTGCTGCCGTATTCTCCGAGCTTAGAGGGAGCCAGAAGGCGGAGGTGCGAATCCAATTCGTTGACTCCATTGTACCGTCTGACGAGATCTAACCAGATATTGCGCGCTTTGGCCGCGAAGGTGCTAGGCGCCACTATGTGATAAACATGTTATTATTCGCTGTACTTATGTTATGTTCTGTATCATGTCCACGTACCCACGTACCCCATTAGCGTATCATTGTTTTACTCTCAACTTGAAGCTGTCGGCATGATTGAACACACGATCTCTATGGAGCTGGAGTTATTTGTGTGTGTGGGTCCATGAAGTAGTAGCAGTACGAGATGACCACATACTTTAATACTTAAACGGACTCGCTTAGAACACAAACAACTCATTGTTCAGGGTTCTATACACTGTCACGGTGGTTTTGCATGATCGCAAAACCTATATAACACATTATAGTCCTACATATTCGATTTGTCGGTCACCCTAATCAACAAACGTTTATTGGTTGTGTTCGTCGGTGAGTTGACTCGGGAGGTCACTTGCCTCGTTCTCATGGCGCCATTCACTGCATGACCTAAAATGACGCAGGATCAACACAAGACTAGGACATGCCATCTGTCATCACTTTGTAACGGACTTGCATTTGAACTATGGCTAACAAGAGGAGTACGTGGCCACTGTTTATGAAACACTCATCGTTGCGCAAACAGACGAACTTTTAGGACGCTCTGCATTCGAGGACACCGATAATGGCACAGATCATGAAACGGACCCGTCTCGTGTTGTTGTCTGTGAGTTCGTACCTGGTGTACATTTGACCCCCCTGCTGAGAAATAGCACGCCTCTAAGTACCCATTGTCTCGTCAACATCTAAAGACAAAGGCACGGTGGCGACCTCCAGACAAACGGATGAAGTTCCAGGCGACCAGACTACTAGATCGAGTCCACCTCAGAAAAAATTGAAGTACAAACCTGCACCTGGCCGTAGTTCAAGTGCTGTGCCGAGTACCCTCATGAAACAGACGGCGGTTAGTGATCGTAATACTCGGTCTTCATCTGTTTCGGTGTCCGAGACATCTCTTCGGTCTACTACGTCGCAGCGAATGTCAGTACGACTGGCAAAGAAGATTCACCCTTTCATCCTTTCAAAAAGTCGAGACATATATCCATACTTAGCTGCGAAGGATTCCCTGGACTCGGCTGAGCCAGCGCGAGAGGAGCTCGGGGGCACCCGGGGCTCCACACCTTCAGCCCCTGCTCACAAGAAGAAGGGCAGAGCTCCGCGTACCATTAGTCTTGCAGATGATGAGGCGAAGGCCGCACTCATGGAACAGTGGGCAAATCTTCGCATGTCTCAAGGAACACTACTGTCAAGGACAACTCCAGGTAGGGATACCACACCGCACTCATCGAGCAACCGTGGAAGCCAGGAACCTGGTCGCAACGAAACAGAGATCCCATCTGGTGAAGTGGCTGAACTCGACACACTTGGTTTCGCACCAGCCATTGATCAAATAGAACCTTTCCCGCCTCTCCCAGCGGCTGAGCCACTCCCAGAAATGGTTGTTACAAATGAGTCTGTATTCACTCCCGCGCAGGCTGAGGAATTAGCCACAGAGAACATTTCGTCAGAACGTTTACCAGGTTCAGAATATGACTTAATGTATCCAAGCTCATCTCCGGAGAATATCCAGGCAACAATTGAGAATATGGCTCCCTCGCAGAATGCCAATGAGGGGACAGTGGAGACAATAGTCCAGGCAGCGACTGAGGATATGGCCACCTCGCAGAATCCTAATGAGAAGACAATGGAGAAAATAGTGCAAGCTTCACAACATCTCACTATCAACGATTCTCTGGAGGTCGTGAACCCGCCCCTCCAGCTACTTGCCACCGACCATGAAAAAAAGTCCTCGCATCCCCCCGGTAGTCCTACAATGTCAAAACTTGATATCCTCCCCGATACCACGATTTCGGCGGGCCCTGCTGCCCTTATCGAAGATTCTTCGACTAGAGTTTCTCCTTCTGCCGTTGATATTCAGCTCGTTGTTTCCGCGGAAACCGATGTTGACGATGTCATCCTTGGTTTTCACATGCTGGATTTGCATGAGGTTCTTTCGCCATGGGTGCCAGTGTCTCCCACAGCGCCATCTATCTATGTCCCACCTGCTGTGCAGCACTTAATCGCCGGTACTTAATCCAGTTGCATTGCTTTGGCAGAACTAACTGTTTCTGTCAACTAGCCATGAATCATCAACTAGATATTGAATCTCAGGCTCGAAGACGAGCTGAAGAGCTTTATTCAGAGGAAATGCACAAGCGCATCAAGATAGAAGAGGTGCTCGATAAGTTACAGAAGGAATGTGGAGAAAGACGGGAACATGGCGCAATCCAGCCGCCTCCCTCATTGCATGCCGCACCGCCTGAGGCTTCGGCACGTGCAAGCCCAGAATTACATGGGCAGCGGGATGATGAAGCTGGATTAACATCCACTGATATCACACATCCGAATGTGACGATGGAGGGCTGTTCTGCTTGAGGCTTCGAGCTATTTCGTCACTCACTTGCTTTCGATCTGATCTTACTGCTGTATTTCTTCCTTCTCACAGGCTATACAAATTCAACGAGCAAACCGCACCGTTTCTTCATACGGATCTAACGCAGTTTTCATTAGTACCGCATCAGTCGCATCGAACCTGCATAACATTTATCTCCAAATAATAGTTCAGATATATGATTGATAAAATACAGTTCTCGATCATCCAATAGACAAGGAAGGGAGCATTCTACAGAACAATTGGTTTACTTCAACGGCCAAAGAAATCTGCAAAACCGCGACTGCGGTATCAGACTGTGTGCATGGAGAAAAAGATTGCTGTTGAAAAGAGAGATAGAAATTTGTGAAATTTGTTGCAGTCCAGGTGGAGGCTGCGAATGCTATCCTATGGAAATGATGCATAAACAAAGTGTCTTGAAAAGATAAGATCCTGGATGATTGTGATTGCGGAGCTGATGCGTTACTAGTGCCAGAGCTCGCCCGCTTGAGAGTCCATCATGACAGAAGGGACATCAAGGTCATGAAGGTCCTCGTAGTCGCCCAGACCTGCTGCACCGTTGGCTATTGCCAAACTGAGAGCCGCAATGGCCTTTTCAGTCCGGGAAGCCAAGGATGCTGCGGTGGGGTGATACGACGGAAAAATCGAGTTGTGGATTGTGGGGCCGGAACGTGGCTCCTCAAATGAACGTGCTGGAGAGCTGATGGAAGGGCCAGATAAGGCTGGACTAAATGCCGTGGTATAAGCAGAATATTTATATGCTGGGGATGATGACGTTGAATGCAGTGTGTCGGGGGAAAATGTGGTGTTAAAGGAGTGGCGGGAAAGATCGCCTGCGTCGTCATTGGATAATGAAGAGCGGATGGATGCTTGATCCAAATATTTTGAGAATGAACTGGCAAGCATCTCATCGGTGTCTATGTCCGTCGACCCAAGACTCGATGCTCGCTTTTGACGCGAAGGGGGGAAGACCACAGAGCTCTCCAGAGTATATTTGGACATCCTCCTCGTCGCTCTCAGAGCTGCTAGACCTTCTGACAAATCTGGTAATGGGGACACTAGGGGAATGCCGCTTCTTGGCTCTTCGTCTGTCAATGGTTCTAGCGCGGTTATATATAGCCGGATTTTGAACGCGAATGCTCAAAGTCACGCATGCGTTTTACAAGGTTTTCCCCGCTTACGGCAATACTCCTGCGAAGTTCCCAGAATGCATCCGACCTGAGGCGAGTTGCGTCAGCCTCGGAAATGCTAGAATGGGTGTCCCGAACATCAATAGGGTTCGTGGACTCTATTCTTGACTTTTCAAATGCGATTTCTCTACGGCTTGAGCGGCCAGAGAATAGAAGAAAATCTGCAGGAGTAGCAGCGAACAGAGGGGTATGGGGAGCAGAAGAACTGAGTCCGGAACTGTGGCTGTCCGTCGATACCGGAGTAGACGACCCAGTGGTATACGTCACAGAAGGAGGCTGGAAATACAAATGATAATTAGTGACTCTAGGATAGGCACCGGCAATGTTATCGGCACGAACGGATACATCTCTGCGGAGTCTCTTGCCCGTCCGCCAGAGGTCGAAATTGCGTGTTTGGGATGAAGCGGAATCAGGAAGGGCGGGGCTATTGCACGATGAACGAGCTCGTTTGCCTGCTGGAGGCCATAGAGCTTTTGGAACGGGAGATGGCGAGGGCGAAGAAGCTGAGTGAGATCTACGGTGATAATTAAACGTTAACGGAGACGACATGGACTTTTGAGGGATGAAAGATAGGGTGGGGCCTCTTCGTCAATACTGGCGGTGATGAGACCCGAATAAACAATGATTGGTGGTGGTGATGGTAGAATGTATAAGAGACTCCTCGCCGTTCCGTGTAGTAATCAAGTGACATCTACCTATCAGCTTATATAACAAAATTTGTCAGACCAAGTTAGCCGATGCGATCTTTAGGATCACTACTTCGAAACATCCAATTGACCTGATGCTTGGCTCACCGTCTCGAGCACGATACCGTCCTTCTAACTGCAAATAGCAAGTATTCTGTACAGTTAGAGCACGAAGCGTGGCGTTACAACACCATTGCGTAGGTCACGGTGACTGGTGTCAAATGAACGTTAACCGTTTCGCCCATTTAAGACAGCGATATTTTCTTCTTCGGCTCAGTGCTCAGATATCAATGATCAGCGTTATATGCGTTACCGTTTTTGATCGCTGAAGGAATGGAACCGGTACATATCAAACTTAGTACGAAGTGCCTTTCCCTAGATTGAGTCTTGTTACGTTAAGTAAGGTCTTTGTTCTACTTCAAAGTTCAGCCACTTCTTTGAAATACCCCAGATACCTGGTCTCGGCGGTGCCTCAGGTTGCTCGGTTCCCTTTGCCTTGGAGAGAATTATGGTCACCAGGTACAGTCCGTCTCATAACAAGAATGCTTTACGCCTCATGGGTGCGAATAGCGTGGGCGCAGTCGCGTTCTGGCGTGGACTCGTTCCCATTTACGTTCAAGGTATGTGAGCCACGAGCAGACTAAACGGCTTTATCCCACAGCTAGGCAAAACGAAATACAGGCTCTTCTGACACTCGGCTACTCCCGTCAAGCCTGGGTATGTAAGAACCCCTGTCCAGTGTTGCCGCAAAGACATGACACGCATCTCCACTAAACCTTGTTCTCAGCGCAGCTCACCTGGTGACCTGTGGTTTTCTACCAGCAGCGATCCGCTGGATTAAGATCGAGTGTGCTCCGACTCGCCTGGCGATGGTGACACAGATCGTTGTACACATCTGCTTCTGCAAGGGCGCTCCAGGTGCCTCAAGACTGTCATCAAATGGCACTCTTGACGACTTCTGCTGCATCAGGATCCATGTCGAGAACTGACCCAGCTCTAATCCTCTAATGCTGCAGTATTAGAGGCCATTCTATGATAGTAAAGTTCGAATGGCTAACCACGAGGTACACAGATAAGCTGAAATAGTCCGTTGATGCGATATGGTATCATATCAATCGCCGGTGTAGCCTGAAACTATGTCATATGACAAGGCTCCAGAAGGGAGAGGTAAATTCTCACTTGACGCGACTGCCCTAAGTCCGACGTTCGCGTAATCTACCTTCGTAGCTCAGCTTCACTTCCGTGTCAGGTCCAAGGCCCTACCTGGTTCATTAAATATGTCGCAGGCTTCGAAATTCTCTTCTTCAGCCATAACGAGTAGTCTTCCAGAACAGGACAATCATCAGAACTTTGAATCCGCTGGAGCATTGATTGGAGATGCGACGTCCACGGAGAAGACTGCATCACCACCGCTAGAGGTCACAATTATCAATGAATTGTTCCAGAGCAATATTCTAAATACGTGCGCACCGGTATGTTCGTCTGCATACCTTAGTAGGTGCGAGAGAGCATCACATATTGTCGGATTGACAACAAGTGCAAGGGGGCTTTCATCACCCAAATAATCGTTTGAACCGATCAGCAGGAGAACATCTCGTAGGAAATCCCAGGCTTCTACTTGGGTAAGTGGCTCGGGAAGTCTGCGAGAGGATATTATATGCAACGCAAATGAAGCTACAGAGTAAATGTGAGAACTTGGTGATGTCATCCCGATTCGACGCTTACAGGCCAGGGCTAAATCAGGAGTTGCATTATCCATGGCGATTTGCCAGATGCTTTCGGGATCGGACAGCAAAGGAGCATCGCAGACCTTGATTCCGGGTTGAGCCCGCTGGAATGCCGTCAAACACGAGAGAAAACTCGTAGAGAAGCTTGACGGTCGCTCCTCTACAGATTCGCGGCGCAAATATTCCACCGTGGCCTCGAGGAACTCGATTATCAACTTCTGGTTCGAGATCTGGACATTTGAAAAGCATTTGATGGTCAAAAAATCGAGAAATTGTTTCGCTCGGCGAATATGATTCTTGTCAGGCTTGTCCTCGAGCAGCTGCCTATAGAAACGTAAGTGAGCCGGAAACAAAACGTTCCCGCTGATAGTGAATACTTGCATCCGCGTGTTTGACATGTCTGCAAGAATATGTTATTACTTGACATTTTATAAAATATACACGCACTTTTCTCTAGCTCATCATGAAATTTCGACGAGTCTTCCTGTATCGCCTGCTTCCAACCGTCCCTCAAGCTTCTGGGCTGCATCCTAGCCATGGTATGAGTAACGCAGTCGCTAGCTGCCATCAACCATAAGCTTAAACAGCGCCTCTAATACAGCGAATCCGACTTGCCATCGTGTCCGTTTTCAATACACGAAAGATAAACGAAAAGAAGAGTGAGGTATCTGCAACAATCGCTAGACTTGCGAATGCCTAACAAATCTGAATCGCTCCAATGAACGAAGAACCGACAGGTCTTCAGTAAAACATCCGATTGGGCTGTGGTGAGATTTCGAGGACGCGGAGATGAAGAAAGATACACTAAAAGCCGAGAAAAGTAGGTCTGCAGTCAAAGCCATCAGAGCATTCGACGATTGATTTACATACCACTCACAAGATATGCACAGATCATATATTTGCCGTGTTCGTCACCAGTAAAGGTCGTCAATGTAGATATAGTAGTCTGAGGATCCGAGTCGAAGGCGTAGTGAAGCCATGTGGTCGTCTACTCTCATCAATGGAGGTCCTTTGAAGAAGAAGATGGAGCCCTGACCAGAAAAGTGATGGTCTCTGAGTCAGACCCATTGCATTCTGTTAGTAATCGCCAAGTCCAAGGCACGAAGTGCCTCCATAAGACGAGAACGACTCGCGGGGCGTCGAGATCAGAGCAAGGCGACACGACAGTTTGCGCTGAGAGCGTGTTATCGACAAGCATTACAAAACGCAGCAGTTTCATCACTGTCGCTAGCGTGTGTGGTCGAAACGGAACGTCCGTTTCTGTATCTTTGGGTCTTGTTGTAAGATCCACGAGCTGCGAATCGCGATGCATCAATTAAGACACATATTTTAGGACGATGGGAGAGAAATACAGACGGCGAATAGTGAGAGCAGCATCGCGCAATTCATGCGCTCCTGAAATACAGATTGGTGTTGCGCGTGTAGTGGGGAGGACTCTGAGAGTTGTACCACGGTATGTTCCATAAAGCCTGTGAGATAGGGAAGCAGCGAGAGCATACTGCAGAGACGACCAGGTCCGGTGATGTCAAAAAAAGAGTCAGATAAACACTCACCTGTCTTCCGATGGTGCATCAGCAACCCTTGGATGAAGAACCAACTGAGGTTGCAATACATATCGCGAGACCAGTAGGCGAAGGGCTAAGCGCTTGGCGGCAGGTGAAGCTTTCTCGGATATCAGTATCGAAGGGATAGAATCCCACCTATCTAAAACAACATTAATTGGACCGAGGATTGACAAGATTTCTGACTACAAACCTGGGAGCTGAGCCGCAGCACGCAGATTATCTTCCTCTCTTCGTTTCCTCAGAGCTTGAGGAAGATCATTGTCGAGGCAGCGATCATACGTAGCACTTGCAACGCACGAAACTATGTCGCCGAGCTTTGCAATGACGGCGTCTACCCAGGATATAACAATAGGAACGACCGAGACTGTTTGGAGCTCTTGAACAGCTAGTGCGTGAAAGAGGCGCCGATACTGGAACATCAGATTTAGGAAGGACGGTCGCACTTGAAAATAAGCAGCTCGTCAGCGGAGGCAAATGATAGACAGGAATTCACTTACGTATGTGAGCAAGGGATTCCATCATGCGGCGCACATCCTGAGCGGAAGACGGACTCGTCGTGAGCACAACTTGTAAGAACTCCAGAAGTGCGGTCGAGGACTCTTGTATGGCTCCATGCAAGGACGTGTCCTGTTCGCATTGAGTACCCTGTTAGTATTCATTCATTTCGAGCGCGGTCACACCTTGCGAATGAGACTGAAATCCAAAGACTCCAGCGTCTTGACTGCTGAGTTCACTGCGCTGATGGGATCGGAGGAATCGGGTTTGGGAGTGTTCACTAGAGTACTAGTATAAACATCAGTGGGGTCCGATGGACATACTTTCTTGGGTGATGAGGGAACGTCGGACTCTGGCTCAGTCTCACTATCGGACATGAGATACAAGGTGGAGGGGCATGAAAACAGACCAAGGCCTGTGCGCTCGTATTATATCTGCGCTGATGGCACAAAATAAAGTTGCATAGAAGATAGAAGCACCACTACCATCTTCTTCGAGTACCACGCGCGCGTCGATCAATGCGTAAACACAAATGTCTATAGTCCTTTAATATCCTTCAAAAAAGCAGTGATATCAGACTTGCATTCTAAATGCTCCTCGCTCTGTGCAAACACAGATTCAAATACTTCATGTCCTTCAACAGTCTGCCCAAGGTAATCAGCATCCAGTTCGCAGAATAAACAAAAAAAAATACCTCGCCATCACAAAAATCGAGGTCTTGCCAGACCTCAGTCTTCCTCAGCTCGGATAGCAAGCAGCATTTCACGTCTCATCGCAGATAGACCTCCTTGCAAATTACCCTTGTCATCCGCAACTTTTCGCGCAGACACTTGAACCTCTTTCACTTCAAGTGGCTTTTTTTCTTTCTTTGACGCGGTCTGTACTGGCGGCGGCTCGTCAGGATCCGGCGGAGGACCATCATCAGAATCCTCATCAGATCCAGCATCGCCTCTCGAACGTCGACTCTTTCGAGTCATGATATCTAAGTACGTCAGCGTCGGTCGAAATTGGTGCGTTTCGCTGATGGGCTGTAAATGTAGGTGACCTAAGTTAGTTTGGTATATCAGACCAACACCATCGCCTTAGACGGAGATGCATCACGAACCATCGCGAACCACTCCAAGCATATATGCACCCTCCTGTGGTATCAGCTCACTGCGCATGCGCACTTCAGTCAATCGCGGCTCCTCTCCCTCTCTCTGCTTCATTTTTCCAACATCTTGGTTCTTTTCACGATCGTCCTCTTGTCGAGCAGCGCCGAGTTCTTTGCTCCGTTCGCCATTCCATACCTCCGGGCGCGGATCTACTGGTACATGGATCTCTAATCTCCGCGTGATTGGCTTTATTCGTGCGCGGATTCGTTTTCCACTGATTGTGGCAGCAGGCGGTGTTTGTAGTGGACGAGAAAGGAGCGGAAATTGATGGATTTGCACGTTTGGGCTGAGACTGTTGGAATAGTGGATAGGTAGGACTGTGACGAGTTCGTCGCCGTCCGACATCTCTGCTTTGACAAAGCAAACGTGGGAGTTCTGATCTAACCTCTGTTGCTGTTACAGTGCAGGTAAATTTCAAGTACTAGTGCAGTGTCTATGTTACAATTGAACTGTGCAATGAGTGTTGATCGTCCTGATCTGGACGTGATGGTAAACTAGGTAAACTATCATCATACCGATGCCCAAAGAGATATTCGCCTGTGTGCTTTGTATCACTTCTACGACTGGATGAATCATCAGACGGATATGGGTCAATTTCAGGGGTGGGTTGATGAGTGGGTAAGATGGTGTGAGGTCTGGTTTCAACTCTGTGCATCGGACAATGCACAGGGGAAATAAAACACGTATCTGCTCCTTTGGGGGAACGAGAAGTTGTTGCTGGGAAGTAGTGTCGGGTGGACGGATCTTCAGTAGTTTCATGCCGACGAAGTGTCGGACAACGGCGGGTGCGTGCTTGGGATGATCGTCCAAAGGGAGACTTTGTAGTTCTTGCCCTCCCTTCCCCTAGGAGCTCTGCAGTAGTACGATCTGTACGTAAATTACGGTGCCACGCGCTAGGTTGCTGTAATATCGCTTCATTTTCGTGCCGGCGGATAACGCGACTAAAACTGTGCATCACCAAACACGAAATCAAGACCCCTAGAGTTAAAGCATGAGGAGGACCTGAATTTGTGATGTTCATTCGAGCTGACTCACAGTCAAAGCCCATCCAAGCTACATGGCTGACTTCGCCGGGGCTGTTGACTCCGAGCAAGGTCATTACGACAGACACGACGGTGAATGCGGTAATAAAGGTGGTGTAGCATAACTGAACAAGGCCGTTAAGTGGGACAAGATGTGAACCAAGGAAGTTTGCTTACTTCATCTCTCATAACTTCTCTAAACAAGGCTACTCGGGGCACGAACCGACTCATGCGACTCAAGGACGAGATTGCAGGAGAAGAGGGCCGGCGAGAAATGGGCAAGACGTCATGACGAGAAGGCTCGATTGTAGTTGACATGCGGACTGTGGATGGTCGAGGAGGGTACTCTGTAGGCAGCGGGGCAATTGGGGGTCTGGATGGTACATTCTCCGCATCACGCACTCTTTCACCTAAACGAAACTTGGAAAGACAGTCTCTGGGGGACATGAGAATACTGGGGACTGATTCTGTCCTATGGGGTCTGGTTGAATGATCTACTGGAGAAACATAATCCCACCAGCCGCGGAGACTGTGAGTGGTCTTGTGACTGTCGACGCTCTGTTTTCGGGTGTCGGGAGGAGGATCAACGATATCATCAAGAGATAGTGATACGGTGATTCTTCCGCGAACAGCAGTGGAACCATGTGATTTCCAAACGGCATAGAGAACTAGGGTGCGGCGATTGAGAGTTATTTTTTGGTGTAATGGAATGAAATTGAACTCACAACAAAGACAGACAAAGAGTGATTCGACGAACAAGAGTATGATGAAAGCATATGAGAAACCATTTGGTGGTCGATAGCAGCGTCCTGATGTTAATTGAGTACATTGAAAGTGAGGAGGAAGGAAAGAAGAGGTACCAGAAAGACTGCGGTAACCGGTGAGGGTGACTATATCAAGGATAAGGATGACGAGTGCGGCAGTCCTCAAGGAGACCAAAGCGACTAGAACTAAACGAGAGCTGTCTAGGCATCTGTAAGCTTTGACACCTAGGATACCGGTTATCTATTTAGTGGAGCTCAGATATGAATGATTTTGTATGAATGATTGTTAAGCGCACCAGCAAAGAGAGGGATATTCCACCACAGGCAACGGCGAGGCGTATGACGCTGAATTTATTTTATTTCTTAAATGATGGAATAAAATAAAATAAAAATTTTACTGACCTTTCGCAATTGATAGCAGTGTGAAATTGGGCGATGAGCAATGGTAAGAGGGCGGGAGGGCCGAGAAGTTGGGTGAAAAAAAGAGTGTACAATAGACTTTTCTTGCGAACTTTAGCGGTCCATAAGAAAGCAGCTGATAGTGAAACATTTCTTGCGAATACTGTGAAGAGGGATGCCATGATGATGAGGGAAAGGTAAGTTGCGCAAAGATCGTCATAGAGTGGTGGTGCTACGAGTGAACCATCGCTGAATGCATAGTAAGCTGGTTGAAAGGACTCTGCAGGTGTAGTATAAAAACGAGGAAAGTCCGGTATTATGACGTATGTGTTGAGTTGAAGGACAAGGACTTGAGGTTGTACTGTAGACGGTGCTGGAGTAGGATATGAAGAGGAGGGAGCGGGTGCTGTTGGTAACAGACTTTGTGTGGGTTGAGGAGGATGATGAGGAGTGTGCTTGACTATTGGAAGATTGTCCATGGGTGGTGGTGGCATCCCCGATAGTTCAAGTTAAAGTGAACATGAGGTATAGTAGAATAATAAGAGTATCAATCTCAAAAAGTGTAGATTACATTGATACGGTCGTTGACACACTCAAGTCCGATCACCGCTAACTAGTACAACGGCTTTCAAATTACACCCATATGTCACCATACCCAGTCATCATCATCACTGGCACTCCAGGTACTGGAAAATCAACTCATGCTCAACTCCTCAAAGATGCTTCTCCTATAACTCTGAAACACATCAACGTCGGTCAATTAGTAAAAGATAATGCTCTTCATCACGGCTTTGATGAGCAATGGCAAAGTTACACCGTAGACGAAGACAAGGTCCGTGGAATTTATTCACTGCCTTCTAGAAATCCTCACTAGGTTACATTAGTTATTAGACGAACTCGAGCCTCTCGCATCTGCTGGAGGAATAATCCTTGACTGGCACACTTGCGAAATATTCCCTGAACGATGGGCAGATCTAGTCGTTGTCTTACGCTGTAATCATACCATCCTCTGGGAACGTCTCGAAAAACGGTGCCTACATCTTATCTTCTTCAGAATCCGAGGAGATCTAACGCGATCTGCAGTAATTACCCTCTTAAAAAGATACAGGAAAACAATGAAGCAGAGATTATGGAAGTTGTCCTCCAAGAAGCCCGTGACTCGTATCCTCAGCAAATTATCATCGAACTCAAAAGCGAATCTTCTCAAGATCTAGAAAACAACGTTGCCAATATCGTTGTTTGGATAAATCAGTGGTTAAAAGATAACGGAAAGGAAGCCGAGGTCAATGGTTTATAACTTGCTTGTATACTCGATCAAATCTGGTAATCGTATATGTACCTGAGCCCTGTGCCACTAGTCGTGACATAACTTTGCGCACAGGTGATCAATCACCGCTTCCGCAGCCTTTCATGCTAGTACTAAACTACTTTTGACGCGTGACGTCAGCCACTCTGGCTCAGACCCCCTCCTCCGCCGCTTCACTTCGGGCCCCATATAACAAGCGTGTTCAACAAAACAATGTCAGATGTCATGCTGCGGAACTGTCAAACAACCCAGACTATATCCTCACTCGTGCAAAAGGTAGGTCCAGTTCGTATATACAAATTCTCCTGGGAGTTACCTTTAATCACAACTTTATGGGTTCAAATTGCCAACAGATTGCAGTACTAAGGTCATAGAGAAACGGGGTTACCGGTCTTTGTAGCGTTACTTAGTCCACGGGTCCGCGGAGGTCTGCGGAGGACCGCGGGTTCAGCTATGTTATTCGCCTTGCCCTTGTGATCTGTACTCTTTTTTCTTTCTCTGTTGATGCTGCAAAAGCCTATATCCGATGAAGTCTTCGTGGGAGATACTCACCAATCACGATGCCCCTGGGCTAGAGGCGGTGGTAACTCGGGACCGTATACCGCCACTGTCAGTGATTGATGGTGCTTCAACACCGGCTGGATCATTTGTTCCAGGCGCGGAACACGAGGAGCACTGAGAGGTAAGCTGCGAGCTCCGCAGAGAAAGGGATGATGGTCCCTGGTTTACATGAATCGCTACACTGCAGTACACTGACCACTGTTGGACATATTGATGTGATGGCATAGAAGGCATGGTTGTTCATTAGCAGGCGTCTCCTGCAATATATCAGCTCCATCAGCAAGAGAAGAACCTCGTCACAACGAGTACTCTCACATTACACCGCCGTTCTCTTCCTTCACAAGAGCATCGCCGAAGATGCGTATCTCGCTGGCATCAACACGACAATCATGCTAGGAAAGCGGAGTACGACACTACGAAGATTTGAAGTCGTGGTACTTGAACAGACTGCGAAAGTCCACCAATACTATTATTCCAAACCACCATTATGTATCTTATGATGGTAAACATAGTACATATATGTCTACCATCGCAAGATACATTTTAGGTCTTGATGGTCGGTAGGCGGACTTGAATCAATCATCGTCGATATGATTCGTGCTGGGATCCTCATTGAGAATTAGGAATGGAAAAGGGAAGAATTCGTGCCTTGGACTGTTTTGGGCTTGGGCGTTAGATCAACGATTGCATGAGCGCTAGTAAAAAGCCTTGAGCAGGAAAGAGATCAGTACCAGGACACGTACTTTATGCTAGCACAGGCGATACTTTGAATCCCTGGAGCAAAACCTCGTCGCCAAATTGCTAGTCTGGGATCAGGACGGGAATGTCAGGCGCGTAATCCTCTGGCATCGACACGACAATCATCCTTGGAAAGCGGAATGCGACACTACGAAGATTTGGAGTCTTCTGGATCGTAAAAATTGAGCAATCTGCGAAAGTTCGCCATCGCCAGACACTTGACGACTGATGTTCTAACAAACAGCAGAATCGTGTATCTGACGATGGTAAACATAATTCGTCTTGAATCTTGATGGTCGGCAAGCAGAGACTCGAATCAATCATCGTCGACAGCATTCGTGCTGGGATCCAGATTTGTACCTTTGACTGTTAAATTTTAGGCTTGGGCGTCGGATTGATGATTACATGGGTGTTGGTAGAAAGTTTTGGGCAGAAAAAAGGTTAATCAGTGACTAGGGCACGTACTTTATGCGTAGCACAGGCGATACTTTGAATCTCTGGAGCCAAACCTCGTCGCCTAATTGCTAGTCTGGGACCAGGACAAAACGTCACCGCCATGGTACGTATTTCGCTGGCATCGACACGACAATCATCCTAGGAAAGCGGAATGCGACACTACGAAGATTTGGAGTCTTCTGGATCGTGAAAGTCGAACAATCTGCGAAAGTTCGCCATCGCCAGACACTTGACGACTGATGTTCTGACAAACAGCAGAATCGTGTATCTGATGATGGTAAACATAATTTGGCGTCTTGAATCTTGACGGTTGGCAAGCAGAGACTCGAATCAATCAGTCGTCGACAGCATTTGTGCTGGGATCCTCATTGAGAATTAGGAATGGACAAGGGAAAGATTCGTACCTTTGACTGTTAAATGTTGGGCTTGGGCGTCGAATCGACGATTACACGAGTGCTAGAAAGTCTTGAGCAGAAAAAAACGGCTAGGACACGTACTTTATGCGTAGCACAAGCGATACCTCTAATCTCTGGAGCCAAACCCCGTCGCGTAATCGTCGGTCTGAAACCAGGGAACATCATCACCATGGTGCGTATTTCTCTAGCATCGACACGACAACCGTGCTGGGAAAGCCGAATACGACACTACGAGGATTCGAAGTCTTCTGGATCGTGGAACTTGAGCAGACTACGAAAGTTCACCATCACCAGATACTTGACGACTGATGTTCAGTACAACAATCTAACGATGGTAAACATAGTTTGGCTGAGCCATAGGTCTTGATGGTCGGTCGGCAAGCAGACTCCAGAGACGTGCATCGAACATCGTCGACAGTATTCGTGCTGAGGATCCCCAGTGAGAACTAGGAATGGGAAAGGGAAGAATTCGTACCTTAGACTGTTTGGGGCTTGGGCATCGGATCAACGATTGCATGAGCGCTAGTATAATGTCTTGAGCAGAAAAAAGGTGCCCAGAGCTAGGACCGAGGTACGACACGTACTTACTTTATGCGTAGCACAGGCCCATCAATATTTTGAATCTCTTGAAGCCAAACCATCTCTGACGCCAAACCCCGTCGCGTAATTGCTGGCCTGGCCAGGATCGGGACGGAGAATGTCGTCACCACCATGATCATCGGTTCCGGACATACTTCGTCCGAGTACTGAGCACTCGCAGCTGACTGCAGCTGGACGAGCAGATTATTTGCCCATACCAGACTCGTCGAAATGATGACGGATGTAGACAAGGACTAGTAGTAGTAACAAATATAGAACCGTGACCAAACCGTGGTTGAATAACAACGTTGTGCACGCGGGCCGCGGCATGAGCTCATGACTCAACCCACCCGCAAAGAAGTCGCACTATTAACCGTCGACCTAACATATGGCGGCTGATAACGCAGCCAAGGCAGCTGACCCCCAGACCACCTCGTCAGCTGTGAAGAAATCGTTGTATGAGGGAAGCACGCAGTACAAGAGCTGGAGATATTCCACAGAACAGCTGGAACATGTTCGCACTTCCCTCAATGCTGCTGCCGTTGCGGTCATACGAAACACTTTCGAGGCAGATGAGGTGCGAAACCCACTTTCCGTCACCTCAATGCCTGCTGAATTAGTTTGTTGCAGCCTGGATCGTCCGAGGACGTGTTGTTTCTTAATGCAAACGAGGAGCAGCTCCTTGTGAAACTGTACATCACCAAGATTCCTCAGCTGTGTGGGCATTTTCGTTTCCCCGAGGAAGTGGAGGCCACCGCTATCAGCTATTTGAAACGATTCTACCTTAAAAACACTGTGATGGACTGGCATCCAAAGAATGTGATGTGAGCTCGTTTGTTGCAGTGCTATGTACCTCTCCCTAATGCTCTTTCAAGGCTTACTGCATTATTTCTCGCCACTAAGACGACCAACAACCCGATTTCATTGGAGTCTTACACCTCTAACATCCCCAAAACGTCAAACTCGGACGTTCTTGACCTCGAGTTCTTGATATCCCAAAGCTTGAATTTCGAGTTTGCAGTTTGGCACGCCCACCGCGCTCTCTGGGGCATTTGGCTTGACCTTCAGGTGACTATATTTGCGACATTTCAGCGCTGAGACTCATAATCCCCAGAGTCTGCCCGACGTGTCTGAGGACCTTCGACCACAGGATGTTTATGATGTCGCCATCAAACACGTCCGCGCTTCGCGCTTTACCGACGCAGAACTCATCTACACTCCCTCACAAGTAGCCCTCGCTTGCCTGGCTCTCGCTTCGCCACTTCTAGCACAAAGATGGGCTGACTCGAAAGCGGTAGCTGATGTCGCACAACCCCTTTCTGAAACTTTGGAACCCACCCTCGGGGAGATCAAATATATCATCACTCAGATGGGACATCCTCCTGATGTGGAGGCCGTTCGCGAGGTTGACAGAAGATTGAAGCTATGCAAGAATCCAGAGAAGGTCCCTGGCAGCAAGGCCTATCTTGCACGGCAAGCAGCAGAACAAAGACGAGCGGAAGAGAAACGCAATAAAAAGGCGGAAGACGTCAGGAGAGCCGTCACGGCAGAGGGCGATCCATTTGGAAAAGAGCTTGATGAAGATGAAAGAGCGACGCAGTTGGCTGAGCTCGATGATGACGATGATTAGGACACGCGCTGCACTACCATTTCAATGATTAAAGCATCTTTATATTAGCGATGTGACCCTCGAGCAAATTAATACAAGCGCGATCTCAGATAACAAGTGAATCAGAGAATGCAGAGAGGGACGTAACGATCACTTTTGGCTACACATTGACCCCCACAGATCATAACCTCGGAAGGTTATCTGGGAGGCTTCGAAAGAGCCGACATAAAAATGTGCTGGGCCACCTGCGTTCCCTTGCACTGTTGTGATACGAGCGTCTTAAATTATGGTATGTGAGACAGACGAAAATCTGCGTGAAGGTAAAAGTGAGCAAAATAAATAAATAAATCGAGGAGACTGACCTGAGACAAAGACTGTAGATAAATGGCTGTCAGATTTGCAATTATCGTATCGAAACCTGGTGCATCGACAGGGGTGCATAGAGAATATCACAATCAAGGCGAATGAAGAGCCTTGTGGAAAGGGCCTGGGACGCTTCACAGGACGTAGTCCGATCATATCGCGGACTTTCGCCAGAATATCTCAGGGTGTCAGGGTGAATATACAGGCGTCTTCCTGCGTGTAAAGCTACAGATAGAGCAACTACCGTTCAAAAACCTGGAAAGTATTGAGACCATACAAGAAATGACAAGGGCATTACATACAACAGTCGCAATCGAAAGGACACAGTGGTGTGTCTGCGGAGCCGAATGAATGTTGAATGTTGATGGGAGCAGGTGCGCAACATACCTCCTCCGGTATTGGATATACCTAGTTCATCTTCCTTGTATATGTTGAAACCATCGTCAGTTTTTCGTCCTGGCGAAGAGTTATTCTTAGTTTAAGTTGGGAGTACACGTTGAAACTTACTAGGTCCAAAACCCCTCGAATCCTTGAACCGGTCTTCGTCCTCTTTGCGCGTCTCGTGCAAAGTCTTTTCATGCTGTGAAGAAGCTAAGGCGTCCACCTTTGGACGTTTACTGCTGCTGGAAGATTTCAATGATGGATCTACAACTGTCTCGGGGAGTGGCCGTTTTTTCAGGGTTTTTGACTGTGAAGATCGGCTGATCTCCTTCGTTTCGTCGCTGGTGGAAGGTCTATCTTTTCTTTTCTTCTTTTTCTCCTTGACGGGTGGAAGGGGAGCTACGTGTTCTACGACTTTCGCCTTTCCTTTGGCAGCAAAAATGTCGTCTATTTCAGATGTAGGCATGAAGGAAGGATGACTTCGGTTGATGATAAGAAAAAATCCAAGTTATATTGTCACGGTCACATACGTCACATGTTACATCTTCTCCGAGTCATCAGACGTTTTTCTCGTAGGTGACCGGTGATTATTAGGTTCGGCCCATTATTGAAAGCGTTAGGTGGTAATATTGAATGTTGAATGACTTGAGATCGATGAAAGACGGTTGTGCTGCAGTTCTGACCGTGACCGATGGTTAAATGAATGAGCCTTGGCAGTTTCCTGATTTGTTGAAAGCTTTCTTCACTCGGTTCGACCGCCAGCAAGTGCAAGCAGGTGGAGATCCGACTATATAAACTCCTGAGCTATGTTGTAAGCCATCCTTTACCATTTTCCCGTCCTATATAAACATCTCTTTCTCTATTTAACAGACCACAGTCTGCCCAGCAAATCAGACCTCAGAACCATCAATCCCAACAACCAGGGACTTTCATCCCCCAGAATTCAACTCAAAACTTCGAGACAGCCCAGTACTTCACTGGTCCTCTTGACCTCAATGCTGCTGCAAAGCAAATGGCAGCCATGACCGCTGCAGGGGCGCAAAGACAAATGGCAACCGTCAACGGCCGCCCATCCGCGGCGCCTGTCAATCCTGTTGGCGGAGTAACTCCGGCATCATTTCTCGGCGGAATGCCATCCTCTTATAATCAACCAGCTAGCTTTAATGGACCATCTCATGATACTACCAGTTCGATGCAATTCAACCCCACAGCTTTGTCAAGTCAACCAAATGTCCAAGGCATTTACCCTCCCCAGCCAACCACTAATGCCCCATCAAATCCTTCCCCCACGTCTCATCCAAACTTCGCTTCACCGGATGTCGCCAAGCAGCGACATCGAACTTTCCTCATGGGATTGTCCAACGCCCACATTACCCGCGCTCCCCTACCGCCGGCTTTAACTGGATTTCCATACCCACCCAATTATGACCCCATAAATTCGCCATGGAAGTCTTTGGACTGCCCACCAGGTCAGCTAGGTGTGGTTCGCGTGGGTGGCAAGGACATTGATCTTCTGAGGCTATGGGGTATTGTATGTCAGTTAGGAGGATTGCAAAAAGTGCGTTCATTCGCACTCAATTATTGTCGCATGCTGATGCATGATATCATAGGTCTCACAACAGCCAAATGGCTGGATGCAAGTCGCTCACCAATTTGACTTGCCAGAGTACCTTCCTCATCTATCAAATCCTGGGCAGCAGCGCTCCGTTACTCAGATTTTGGGCAATTTATACACTGCCATCTTACACCCGTTCGACGAAATGTATCGCCGTAATATGCAGGAGAACAATCGCAAGGCAATGATGGCATCTGGACGCCAGCCGGGCGTTAATACTGCACCTCCCAATATGAACCCAGGGTCGGGTGCGCCTCATGCAGCACTCCCACCAGGAGCAGTTGGCGCCAATACAGTTGGTAGCATGATGGGACAGCACGCGGTGAACAATCAAAACCCCACTACTAGCCCTGCTTCTCAGTCACAGCCACTGCCACAAAGCCCTCATCTTCGTCAATCATCTTCTGCGCCTAATTTTCAATCGCCCGCCATCCCCTCATCATCGGATCCCACGCCTATACAGGCTTCATCGCAGCTCAACAGTGCAACTTCTGCACCCCAGCTCCCAAAACCAATGTCGGATACATCTGAATCAGACACCCAAGGGACGAAGAGAAGGCTAGAGTCTGAAGAGGAAGAAGGGAAACGAGTAAGACAAAAGACAGGTATTTCCCATAGACATTTTTTCTGTTACGCGTGAATCTCAACCGAGGTACTACAGATCCACCAGATACCGTAAGTACTGACTCTGACGAGTCTTTGCGACCTTGAATTGATTTTTTTCCCAGACTGAGAGCACTAATACCACGACACCACATGGGTCCGTCCCAGGAGCTCCGCCCTCGCGTACTCAACTTACAAGGACAAAAGTCGAGTACATCCCTTTTGCACGCGAAATTGATTTCACTGGCGGCCGTGATTTCAATGCACTGGAAGAGGATTATCTTCGATCTCAGCGACGGCCCATGCGAGATATCAATGAGTGGGGCACGGTTGACATTGAAGCGCTTACAATGTCGATCCGATCGCGACTGACCGCCGAACTTTCCTACGCCCTAACGACAATCACGTTGTTATCTACTATGCGGGGCCCAACCCCTGGGTCTGGATTTCCTATTTTACAATGCACAGAATTACTCGAGGAGGTCCTTGACCTACTTGAGGAGGAAGCGTTTGGGACCATCCCAGACATGGATTATAGACTGGGCAATGGTGCCGAGATAGTGCGACATCGGACGCTCGTGGATGGAGTTTTGGAAAAGGAGTCGATGCTCTTTGCAGGGCTAGAGCACCGTGATCCTCAGTATGGGACACGCGGTCCAGGGCACCGCGCAGGCAATATTGTGCTCACGGTGACTAACCTCATACGAAACCTTTCTGTTACCCCAGACAATATGCTCTGTTTGGCGAGACATGAACGCACACTTGATCTTGTGCTACGTGTCTGTGGTATCACCACGTCATCAGACGGAACACCCAAACCAACTTCGCCGGCACTCGCCCTCTCGGACGTGATCAATGTTCGAAAAGATGCACTTCACATTTTTGGCAATTTATCAAATTACATCGTGTTCCCAAATCCTAGTTCTCCGTCGAACGCAACAACTCTCACTGCAAGCCGCATCCTCGAAATCATCGCGTCTATCCTGATAGAACCCTCCGACTCAGTTCCCCCCACACAATTCCTCAAACAAAGTGGAGTTCCTTTCCCGCACAGCAGACCGTCGTCTATTGCCGACCTTGCCCTCGACGTTTTCACCCGCATCGGCCAGCTGGACTGTAATCGGCAGGTTTTCTCCAAGGTTATGCCCCAATCTCTCATTTGGCGACTATTGGAGTCCCTTCTTCATCGTTTACCAGTGTCAGACCTCGACTTCGCTTTTCTCGGCCGGGATCCATGGCTATCTTACTTGGAAAAGACAATTATGGCGATCTATACGATCGCATTTTTTTCACCGCCGGAATTAAAGAAGAAGATCAAGACAGATCGCTCTCTGCGTTTCTCACAGGTTTTGATTCGTCAGGTGCAACGCTTCGTAACGGTCGGTGGTAGCCCGGAGGTGCGTCAGTGGCACCTCGCCGTTGCACGACGAGCGGTGGAAACCATGAAAGTGGTGGATGAAGAGGATGATGCTTTTGACACCTCGCAGTCAACTCAGCCCACGCTGGCATTTGGCATGGGCTTTAGTGATGCTAATGATTCTGGTATTGAAAAGGGGGTAGGGTTACTTGCTGGTCGCCGGGACGCTACTTGGGAACTGCTGATGCGAGATCTGGATGCTGTAATGTTTTCGGAGCTGGAGAGTTTGATGAGAGTTGAATGCTAGTTTCGCGGGACGGTACTGTTGGTTTTAACATCTTGTATACTAACCCCTAGCTTTACATTTTGCTGTCGATACTATGTAGTTCTGGATGTCCATGTCAACTGTAACGTTGAGCTTCTTGTCCTCCAGACATTTGATTTGTGTGCAATTATTTTTGAAGTCCTGGACTTATCTTGTTGCTGTGTAACCTTGTCGTGTAACATCTTGACGGCCCACTAGTCTTGTTCTAGTCTCACCTTGGCTTCTAAGAGCTTCCACCATCGTTCTCAAAAGAAGAGAAGGGCAATCGGCCTCACCTTAGATGCCGTCCTACACGGCTCCCCCACCAAACTACTCTCCAGGGTCCCAGAATCCACCTGCGGCGGATGATGCCCTGATTTCTGGCCTTCAGATCTTCATCATCCCAGCCGCGGACACGTTGACCTTCCAGAAGGGCTATCTAGGAGCTGAAGGAGAGCGCGCCGCTATTGAAGGAGAGATCCATGTCAAGGGTGCGCAGCCAGGCCAATGGAAATATGTGTTAGTGCGGTCGCTTCTCATCTATCCCGAGTAACTCACTAGCGCAAACAGCACTGTGGCTCTTCGTGCCGTTGAATCTGCTTCTGGCCAGGAAATCGAGCTGGGCTCATCAGAGATAAATCTAGTCTCGTTCACGGGGACATCCGACTCGATGTCATCTTCAACGTCGTTCGCAATACCCCTAACATCCGATGCACCCCAGTGCATTCATACACCTCATTCATTACTGGAATACGCACTCACGGCGACTTTCCATCCTATAAACACGTCTGAGCCAGTTGTGTCAAGAAGGGTTGTCGTGCATACGCGACGCTACACTTCGCATTCTCATACTGTGGACACGCTGCCGGAGACCCACGTCCTGGAAAGTCCCTCCCATGTCGAAGTCCAAGTTCCTCGTACGATATTCCGGGCAGGAGAACCCATCCCAGTCTACATTACTGTGCCTCCACCGAGTAGGCAGCTTATGCTTCGTGAAGGACTTAGACTCCGAAACGTGAAAACCGAGATCGTCCGCATCGTGAGTATCAAAGGGCAAGATGATGGTGGTTACTTTGAATCTGGTACGCTTTATGGTTCATCCATAGCAGACTTGCAACCTCAGGATGGACCTTCATTGGTGGGACCTACTCCCTCTGCGGAAAAGCCTCCGATCACTTCTCCTGGATCGACTTATCGTACAGTAACTTCACGCTCAGGTGCATCTTGCAGATTTCACTCCTCTCGACCTGTTCGGCTCCGTTTCATCTTGCATCAGGCTTCGCCATCCGCGTCGCCAGTAGATTATCAGAGGAGTTTGCCAGAGGGCGACTACAGCAACATTGACAACGATTTGCAATGCACTTCCATCACTCAATCTACCCTCCTACATTCAGTCTCTTTCCTTCTAAACATCCACATTTCATTCGTGGACACGACCAATAGAACGGAACGGCTCACGACTGTCCCCATCCCGTTAACTATCATTCCACCACCAGCACCGCTGCCTGAAGTTGAAGAATGGATTGACGCTGCATATCAGAAGAAGCATGATCGTCCGCCTTTGAGGACAGTCCGTCAAGAAGATTCGGAGCCTTCAATTCCCATATATCAGGAAGGAGAAGCGGGTCCAAGCTACACTCAGAGCGGTGCCCCGCCCCCTTTTGAAGACCGCGACATACCGCCTCCACCTTTCTTTCATTCTATGCCTTCTACATCCAATGCTCCACCAAGCTTCCAGGAGTCCGAGTCTGAAATATTCATTTCTTCAGACACGACAGACCAGGAGGCACTTCTACCCACGGAACTCACTATCGTCGGCGAGGGTATTTTGTTTGGATTCACTGCATCAGAGCAGTTTGATGGTCATTCGGACACTATGCACCGCTCGTCTACTCCGCCCCCTTCGGTGGAAATGGCAGAGCGAGATACAGATGTGACAGGATTTGCTGACATCGGGCAATCCGTCCCAGTCTTCGAAGCTCTGAACATCGTCTTAGACGATTCTCACGCACCCCGCTCTGGAGGTGAACTCCCTCCTCCACCGCCTGCGATGGATGATCCGTCAGACCCGCCTCCTTCAATTGATTCCGATTTCAGGTCGCCCACGGTCCGGGTACCCGTGCAATCCCACTCACCTCCCCTCGCTCATCAGTCATACAGTCAAGCCCCCGCGACTCGTGATTCTCTACACCCTCCCAGTGATATCCTACATCATTCTTCCCCTCATGGTCATGCGCCACCGCCTTATCTTGTTCCTGGCAGTGATCATGACCAAGAGGAACATGTGACACGACCACCTCCGTATATGGATTTAGTCCCTTCTTCGTCATTTTTGAATAGCTCAATTCACTAAATGGACTTTATTACCATTCCAACGTGTGCACCTCTTAGAACTTACTTTTGTCATCAAGTGTACCCTGCTGCAAAGTGTATTTATAAGTTAGCTTCAAACAGTACCAAGTCCAACATTTGTGTTGCAGATGAATTATAAAAGCAAATTACATATGAATGACCAAGGCAACAGTAGCCACGTAGATGGCAAACACTGGGGACGTATGAGGGGAATAACAGGTGTACTGATAGAAGCGAAATAATCGCGAAGTTGAAGTGTACAGTCCAAATAATACTCAGCGGCACACTCAACAGTTGCATGCGTCTTTCTTCGACTGTTGCTCCTCGAGGTTCACTTCCTGTCTGGCCCCTCCAGTTCGTCCACCTGCGCCGCCAGATCGACCTGCGGCACCTCGTGTTGAAGCCAGGATGTGCTCGATAGGTATCTTCTTCGCTGAATTTTATCTTAAGCGTGAGCTCTACATCGAGTGTAGCGGGCGTACCTATCTCTGTAAATATCTCGACGATACCCTCACCAGTCTTAGCACTAGTCTCAAAGAACAGCAAGCCAGCCTCAGTAGCGTAGGCCTGAGCCTCCTCACGTGGCACCTGTCGCAAACTCTCTGGCTCGCCACCACTAGCGCTAGGAGTCTCCCCGGGCGAGACTGTAGCATCATCGGCCTCATCTTCAGATTCGGATGATGGAGTGGACCCAGATGACGAAGGAGATGTTTGTACGAGATCAACTTTGTTGCCAGCCAATGCGATGACGATGTTGGGATTTGCTTGTCTTTGAAGCTCCTTCACCCATGACTTCGCCTTCTCTAAACTCGATGCTTTCGTTACGTCGTAAACGACCACTGCGGCTTGAGCATTACGATAATACATGGGCTACATGCACGAATCAGAGCGGATAGTGAACAAAGCGGTGCTCGGGACCTACAGCAAGAGAGTGGAAACGTTCCTGGCCAGCAGTATCCCAAATCTCGTAACGGAGGACGCGGTCTTCGAGGCGGCATTTCTGAGTCAAAAATGCAGCACCAATGGTGGGCTCCTTGTTTGCTTGGAATTCATTCGAAACCTGGAAAATGGTTTAGTGGTGGCCAACATGTGAAAAGATCACCCACAAAACGGAGGACTACCGAAGATTTGCCAACAGCAGCCTCGCCTGTAGATGCGTATTAGTCCTCATTCGTTGGCGTGGATTCGAGCGAAGGCGGATAGTATAAGAAGCCAGTTTGATAGCGAGTGCGAATCATGGCATTTTTAGTGGTAGCAAAGAACGCTTACCGAGAAGAACCAGCTTGACCTGGACAGACCTGTCCACGGAGCCTGAAGCAGCGTCAGCCATTGCTATCGGGTCGAAGTTGTAAGGAAATATAGACACAAGGCAAACAGGCGGGAACAACTCAGTGTGCTGCGTTTCCTGGCTTTGTTTACGTTTGTATTCAAATCTCCCATAGCCCATCATGAGAAACGCATACTATGTAACATAGTTTCATCAAAGTACTAGGGCGCATAACTAAACAAGGCCAGGTGTGCACATATGTCCCATGTCCCATTTCCACTTCTCCTTCCCGCTGGAAAACAATAGGGCAAGTAAAAGAGACACCGTATCCACTCCATCTTGCAAATGGTGTGGAACTCGAGCTCACCGATAACTAGTCGTTTATCGCTCTTCGAGGCCGCGGAATACCAGAACATTTTTATTTGGTAGGTCCCGGTAGGTCCAGTCCATGCTCAGCAGAAACATATGTTCCATCAGGGTCGCTGTATACTGTAGCTACGTGGCGACGTGGGGGAAGATGTCTGCAACAAACCTGTGCCCAGAGTCGAGGTTAAAGCACCGGCAGTAGTATGGTATAGTGCGAACGGCATTTGGGAAGGCGTCGGTCTGCGTTCAAGAGGCTGTTCATACATCGTAGGGCTGCTCTCCATCTTTGGTTATTTAACGTGCGAGTGTCTCTGAGCAGTAGTGCTTTAAAGCCCCTGTTATTTCTGAGCATCTGTACAGCCGCGAGCTGCGATGCAAAGAAGGGGCCATGATTGTTGTCAAATCGTTCGGGTCGCGATGAAATCAGGGACATACTTTTGGCGGGACGCAGCTTTCTTCCAAGGATGCTTGTCTGTAGCCAGGTCCTGCATTTTGTCGTCCATAACACCATGGCCTCAACCAGTGTGGATGTCCACTCCCAGGTTTCTCAGCCCTGCTCCCGAAATCAAGGATGTCAGTCGGCGTTCCCATAGAGCCCGACGGCACAGGCCCACGAACGACCTGATCGAACTTCAGGTTCGGTCTCGTTGAGAAAGAACGTCTCAAAGAACGTCACAATCACTATTGTTCGCACAAGAGGACTGCCCAGTGAGGACGAATCCTATTGCGTTATAAAGATAGACTTTGTGGCACCGTTGACAGCTGGTACGCCGTTGAGTGCCTGAGCGTCAGGGTCCATCTTGCCGTCGTCAGTAACATACGGACATGTAGTCCAAGCTGGAAAGCATAGTTCGGGCAAATGAGCAGTGGAATATGATAACGTGCGTTATAGAAGGCATGGCATCTTCCTTTCTTGTGTTTGTACGTGTCTACATCAGCTTTCGATGTACCACTGACAACCCTTTCGACGCCGATGTTCCAGAAACAACAGCAGTCGAAGAAGCAGAACGAGAAGTTAGGATAGGGAGGGATGGCGTTCCTGATACCATTGACATCATAGCAGTGGGACCCAGTACTAAGCTACAGCTGTGGGTATGAATCGATATAGGGTCTACGACCCCAATAAATTTAATTTTGAAAAATGTCTGTTTAAGGCAGCTTATATAAGTAACACTGGTGAGACTCAACGCAGGAGCTCCATCTTGCTTCAACTCGATAGACCGAGCTCATCGATAACTAGTCGTTTATCACTCCTCGGGACTGCAGGGGAATGCGGTACGGTGGTCAAATTATAAACTATAGTGAGCGTGACCACAATATTTGCATCTCATGAAATAACGCAGGATCTTCCGTAGGAAATCAAGAATCAACGGTGGGCCACCGTGGTCACTCGGAAGAGTTTTCCCTATTTGTGACGAAATTACACGTTTAATGGGGAACTTCGAGCAGTTGAATTGAATTTATTAGAACTTCCTACTCTATAGAAGCTACTCGCCAGAGAGACACCGTGTATATAAATATTGCCAAAATGGGCATGAAGTGATATCTGTACGTAACCTTGGGTGTGAACTCACTTTATAATAAGCCGAGAGTTCAGCTTAATTATAAGGCGTCGGCGCCATTTCAGCAGGTACTATCACTGCCAGGCCCTTCTAACACAAGCAGTGGGTTGTATTCAAAGACTTTCCCGTCTAGTCCTTATTCACAGGGAATTCAAAGTTTCTGCAAACACTCGGCCAGTATGGTTGCCGGCGCATTGGGTGTGTTCTACGAACGAGCCTCTATAGAGCAGAGCTAACGCGCTAGACACGGAAACTCAGATACTACAGGCTTCCAGCCAACCCAGGAGAGTATACCCCCTCCAAATGTGAACTACCAGCAGAAACCAGTCCTCGGTCTTGCCCCCAATGTACATCCTCTTGTGAGCAACTTCTCCGCAACATTCCGTGTCTCTTTACTCACCAGAATTCCAATTAGAACCCCTTCCCCTTCATTCTTCGTGCCGCATCTGTATACCCAGATAAACTCGCCATTGCACACCCTGATGTGAAACATCCTGTGTTCTATACCTATGCCGTTTGGTAGGGCTACCGTGCTTCGTCGAGACCTAGTCTGACAGCAGCATTAGGGCTCAGCGCATTCAGAACCTGGCGTATGCTCTCATACAAGCGGGCATCCGCCCAGGTGACCGCGTTGCAGTCATAACACCCAATGCGTGAGTTATATTGCATCATGCACTTCGCTGGTCTCACACAGAAGCGCGAAAGCCCCTTGATTGCAGGTATAGTCTCCTTTTTGTTCCACCGCCTATGCGGCAATGACGAACATCCCGAGTAGATGCTCACTTTGGCGTTCTCGCTGCTCGTGCTATCATTACGCCCGTAAACACCCGCCTCACACCCCCTGAAGTCTCATATATCCTGGAACACAGTGGATCCAAGCTCATCCTCATTGATCGAGACTTCACACATCTCATTGGGAACACTAATATTCCTGTCATTGTTTGTCATGACACAGGCAGAGTGGGCGACCCATACGAAAGCTTCCTTAGTGCAGGTAGAGTATTCAGCGTAGAAAAGGGGTGGGCTGGCTTGGACGTTGAGCCCGACGAGAACGTTGGTGCAGTGTTGTGCTACACGTGAGTAACATCTCTATTGTGGAACTTGACCAAGAAATGAACGCATTTCTACAAGGTCGGGAACTACAGGTCGTGTATGATTTGCCTTTGTCAGTGGTTCAAAGCAATCACTTATTATACATAGCCGAAGGGTGTCCTGACTACGCTGCGCGGTATGTTCTGTCAACTTACTCCACTTTACTTGGCTGATGCTATTGTTCAATCAGGCTCTTACTTAGCAGCAATAGGGAATGTTGTCGAGGGGCAGTGCGTGCATTGTCTTGCTGTATCCTTCTGGCAGGCTCACCAGTGAGATTTACAGGATAAATCGTGAGTCGACGTACCTGTGGTAAGTTCCATGTTACACAATTGCGTAAACAATTGAGAATACAACGAAAAATGTAGGATTCTTCCAATGTTCCACGCAGCTGGTTGGACGTACCCATGGGCAAATGTCTTCGCATGCGCGACACAGGTGCGCAGAATGTCATATTTATGACCACGCACCATCTTACCTTTCTGGACCTAGATAACTATGCGAACTGTCGACTACCCGCTTATCTGGAAGCACCTCCTGAATTCTGGGGTAACTCACTACTGTGGTGCACCGACTGTTCAGGTTTGTGCGTTAGACAGGGAATTGAATTTGTCTGATATGCATCGATAGATCGGAATTGTGAATGACCCCGCTGCTAGACCTCTCCCTCGTACTATATCTGCGGTTATTGCAGGGGCTGCACCCACCGCTCAACTCATTGCCCAGCTCGAGCAAAAGGGAATCAAACCTGTACATGTATACGGGCTGACGTACGGTCTAGTATAGCATCATTGCAAATATCTAAGCTGATTTGTTCTTCTACGCATCTTCACAGTGAGGTACGTAGTTCGTTGCCACATCTGGAAAAATGACGATCCTGAACCCGCTTCTGGAAGACATACGGACCCATCACGCGCTGCTATGATCAACCACACTGGAAGACGCTTACTATAGAACAACGCGCAAAGCTGATGGCTCGCCAAGGTCAAAGCTTCGCCACTGCGCAAGACGCACGCGTAGCGTATCCTCCACGACACGAAAACGATGAAGAAATTCGTGACGTCCCAAAAGACGGACTCACAGTGGGCGAGGTCCTTATGCGCGGGAACATTGTCATGAAGGAGGTGTGTTTCTCACTCGTTGGGCCAAGTCCCGTAATCATTTTAGTTGTTTATTAGTACTTCCGCGACCCGGAAGCCACGCGCAAGGCTTTCCAGGGTGGCCACTTCCACTCGGGTGATCTAGCCGTCTGGCATCCCGATGGTGTCATACAGGTCGTTGACAGAAGCAAAGACCTGATCATTTCTGGAGGCGAGGTGAATATACGTCTTTGCAGTGATTCAACTTGCTAACCCGAAGCAGAATGCATCAAGTTTGGCCATAGAACTAGGCAAGTATCTTCCCATTCCAATCACTGCCATGTTGTGCATACTGAACGAAGTACGCAGAGCTTTCGAGCCATCCACATGTTTTAGAAGTGACAGTCGTCGCCCGTACACACCCCAAGTGGGGTGAACGTCCCATGGCTTTCGTCATTCTTCGTCCAGAGCACAGCTCCACATGGAAAGACAATCATGACGACTTTGCCGCTGAGCTGGTCAGCCACGCTCGGGCCCGTTTGCCTGGCTTTGCGTGCCCAGAATGGGTGCACATAGTGGACGAATTACCCGTCAGTCATATGCATAACATCCGCATCCTGCTGGACGCTCATAAAACTTACAGAAAACATCTACTGGGAAGATCCTCAAGACGAACCTTCGCAAAATAGTTGCTAAATTGTGATCTTTATGATCTAATAGTGATAATTGCGAGGTATAGTTAATAGGTATTTGTACATACTTATGCTCGATTTTGCCATATAAGAAGGGTATGAGTGAGTGAAACAACAGTCGAGTACAAATGTCGCAAGGTCTATGTGGGCATGATGAGTTCAAAACGGTCACGACAAATCGGGACATAGTCGCAGTATCCGGAATGCACCAGTATTGCGTTCGCATAGATAGACCTCATCTCCCTTACGCCCAAGGAAGAGTACCTCGTCAGTGTTCTCAGCATCTCCATCTGTGCCATGGAACTCCGACCTCGCAGGAGATTTTCCAGCCGAATGGCTTGGCTTCCTCCCAAGGTAGCCTGACGCTTTGGTTTTAGACGACAGGGCTGCAGCACCTGATGTGGAAGAAGTGATAGGAGTGCCTATCTTCCAAACGAAGGGTCCGCGTCTGTTAATATTTGATGGCGGCGGTGCGAATTGAGGCAGCAGGGTACGTGACTCATCCGCAGGTTTGAGCAACGCGTCACCGAAATCCATCGCTTCCAATCCTCCTTGCCGCATGGCCACGAGGACAGAACGGTCTTTGACGTCAAAAGCCTCCACGCGCTTCACGTCTCCCATGCGGGGGATCACTTTGGAGTCGTCATCATTGTCCACGCTCCAGACAAAGCGGCCTTTGAGAACAGCCCGACCACGAGCATCGACTATGGACGTGCTGTGCCCGCCACGCGAAGAGAAGAACAATGCAGGAGGACCAAAATGTCGAGGCTGGACGAGAAGAGATATTGGGTGTAAGAGGGGTTTAGCAGCATCTGATGAAGGAGCGGTATGCTGGGTTGCCGATGGCGGAGGTGCGGACCGGAATGGATGGGCAGGATCAACGCACTGCTGTCTCAAATCCTTGAGCAACATAAACTCTTTATCATCCTCTTTTCGAACTGGTAGATCTGGGGGAAGCAACCCATCCTTGTACCACGCTTGCATGAGGGTCGCTTTCCACGGCCCTGACTCTGATTGAGCATGTATTTCATAAAGTGACGTATTGACATACCGTGGACGACTCCTTTCGGATCGCGGTAAAACCATCTCGAAGGCGGTGCTGGTGCTGGCATGGGTAGGCCAGGAGGTGAAAATTGGATGGATGCTAGGTCAACATTGGCATTACCTTGAGCATCAGGTTCGTGCTCGGCGCGGTAGTCAAGGAAGTCGGGGTATGTCGGTGGAATGATGTAGTCATCAGCAATGGTTGCTAAAGGCAACTTTGGCGCATAGGACAACTGTTGGAAGGTGGTATACGGTCCAAGAGGAGCGGAAGCTAATGCTACGAGCTCTTCAGCGTGTGCAAGGGCAGATCCATGGGCACTACCAGTCGGGGTGTGTGATTGAGATTGTGCGTCTGGGAGATTAGCATTGGAATTATTCCTAGAAGGATCATCGCCGGCTGGTAATGAAAGTCGATTGCTGATACTGATGTTGGTATCCTCGTCATCCTGTGCAGGCGGGTCTGTGTCAAAGACATCTGGCTGACCCGAGCGTATTTCTCGAACTCTTCGCCGAGCTGCACGTCGCTCGGCTCGACCAATTCGAACCTCGCGAACTCTTACTGTGGCGGGTTCCAACCCAAAGACGTTTTGAGAAAAGACAAGAAAAACTTCGACAAGGTCGTCACCCTGGAGCTGGAGTTCCAAAGAACGCGGTGAGTCGGGAAGGATAAAAGTACGAGAAAGGCCCAGGGCTGTTCGATACGTCCCGGCAAAAAGCTCAACCTTTTCGCCATTATCACCGCAAAGGATAGCCAGGAAGCTGTTCAAGCTCTCCATAAATATATGAACCCCGGGAAGGTCTGAATACACACCTCTTTTTCTGCGTCTCCACGGCCTTAATGATAAGGGAGCCTTTCGTTCCCGGTAGCTTCACATAGTCCAGCTTTGGTGGAGGCAGTGGTGTTGCAGGAGTTTGTGATCCACCCCTCTTTTCGGCCTCCGAACCTGTAAGTACCAGCATAGGAGGGCGATCGTCAGACCTCCTGGAACTGAACGCATTGCTAATAATTCGAGGAATAAGGCGGGAATGGGAAGGTGTCGGATGTGGAGCAGCAGTCGGTGGGGGTAGTCGGGTGGAGGCATGAGAGACGCTATGTCCTCCTGACGTCGAAGGGCGAGGAGCAAGCTGAGGCGGTTCCGAGGGACGTGAACGTGTCGAAAGCGAACGTGTCAGCGGCCTTTCTTCAATCTCGGGTAATACTATTGTGGGAGTTGTTGGAGATGTGGGGGATCCCAGGGGAGTATCGTACATAACAGGGACATTAGAGCGGCCGGCATCGTACGAACCACTGCCGTTGAAGAGGCCAGCCAGTACTGACCACCTCCTTCTCCGCCTTTCAGGACGACTCGCAATGCTTGGGCGGCCCAGTGAAGAGCTACCATCCTCCAATACAGAACTGAGCGGCACGCCATCCTCCGTAACCGTAGCAGATGAAGTTGCCCCAATCATAATGGGTGCTTGTGGTCTCATTGACCCTGCTGGTGGGAGATCGGGAGCTCTACTCTCTAAAAGGGCCTGAGCAAGCGTTATACGGTCCAGTGTACCACTCGCACCGTCATCGTCGTCGTCATCTAGGTCGATGTCTGGAGGTGGTATTTGAGGTGGCTGATCAGCTGAAGCGGGCGTGGGAGGTGTTGTGCGAATGTTGGGTGGCGAACTCTGCAAGGCTTGACGAATGGTCAACAGGGTTGGAGATGGTTCAGGGGCTTGAGCTAGTGTCATGTTCGGTTGGGCCAGAGTTAGATCCAAGTTCGCAGGACGATTCCTTCGGTTAGAATACGTGGCTTGACTGCGCACAGGAAGTGGCGTTGAACCAGGATCTATGGTATCGCTCAGGCGGGGTGGGGGCATAGCGCTAGTGCGTTCATCCAAAGCTTGACTACCGCTTGCACCTGCAGTTAGCATATCTATAGCTTCGTCGTCGTCACTTCCCTCAAGCCAATTTGCATTCTTGGCCATTGGGTCTCCCTGTTCTGTACTGCCCAGATTGGGTAGGGAGGGAACGGGGGGGACGACGACGTGAGAAAGGGACGAGCGACGAGACCTTGAGAGATTTATTGAAATAGTGGATGCCTGTGGCTGCAAATGGGGTCGGGTAGTTTCTATTATTGCAGAATAAGGAGGGGGCTGGTCGATCGGCTGGCAGGGGGTTGTCGGTTTGAGGGTGGGGGGCCTGGGCATTTTCTGGGGTGTGGACGCGGGAGTAGTCGTGAATGAGGACTTCCTAGGGGTCTTTGTTACCTGACGTGCCAATGGCTTTACTTTTGGCTCTGTTGAATCACGTTGAACCGGACTGGAGCTGCCTGAACCGACTTTCTTTGACTCCTCCCTTCTGGACTTTTCGCGTTCTCTGCGAGTCTCGACCTCCATACGCCACTCTACGGCTTTTTTGACCTCTTCTAGAGCATAAACACGAACGCCGTCTCGTCTGCCTGCTATGGCTACTAATACACCGCGATGTTCCATGACTACGACGCTCTTAAAACTGACCCTGCGCACCAGTGCGTAAGGGTGAGGGGCGGGTGGAGATATGAGAGGAAGGACATCGAGTCCTTGTGCATGACAAAGGAGAAGGTAGTGGGGAGCCATAAAAGTTCCACTTGTTGGAGGAGTAGTAAAATGTGAAGGGGAAAGATCTGAAGTAACGACTGATAAGGAGAGACCAAGCTCTCTTAAAGTTGGAGGAGAAAGTGAAGGTGGTGGTGTAAGTGGTCGGGCCGGTGTGGGGGATGGAGATCTGGATATAGAATCGGATTGAACTGGGTCAGGTGACTGAGGCCTATCGTCTCGAGGAGAAGTTCTAGAGGATGACGGGGTAATAGTGTCCCTCCGGTGAATTAAATTTGACCAAAAACCAGAAATACGATTAGAGGGACGCGCCTAATAGGAGGTTGAGTAAAGTCAGACTAGAAAGTAATAATTGTAACTTACCTCCAAGACTGAGCGGCGGTTATTTCGGATTGAAGTTGATCTATCGATATTAGTGATCAACCTATTATTTGGTTCGGATATTGGTTCTGCGGCTATTGCAGGGATTGCAGGAGATTGACTAGCTGGCAAGTTTGCATGATCCTCTGGTTCTTGAGTTGTCGTGGGAAGAGAAGGTGTAGGCTGTAAGACCGGGGTTGTAGTGAGCTTTACTGATAAATCTTGTACCCCAGTTGAAGGGTCGCCTGGGAGAGGGTCGACCATGAGACAGACCTGGCTGAGTCAATGCCAGCAAAGTGAGTGAGACTATAAGAGAAGGAAAGAAACTACCTCCGATCCCGTTCACTAAACTTATCCCACGCCACATCACTAATAAGTGTGAATAGTCTTTATTTTTAAGTAAAATATAGACAGGTCATCCGTACGTCCCTTCCTCGACCTTCACAATGCTACATCTTAATCGTTCAATACGGAATTCAGCGTTTAATCCTCGTAGATGGGCTCATAACATTCCTACCTTTTCTCATTTAAACGCGGTCAATGAAGAAGATATCGCACACTTTTCAAACATACTCGCACCCACGTCTATACTCTCAACCCTTCAATCAGTCTCCACCCCCGCAGATGATATTGCCCCATACAATGTAGACTGGATGGGAAAGTACCACGGTCAAGCAAACTCTGTTCTTCGCCCCCGAACTACACAGCAAGTCAGTGAAATTGTCAAGTATTGCGCTCACCGTAAAATTGGCATAGTCCCACAAGGCGGTAATACTGGTCTAGTCGGTGGTGGTATTTCTCTCCAGAAAGAGATTGTCCTCAGCTTGGGCGCAATGAACTCTGTTCGCTCCTTTGATCCCGTGTCCGGTATTTAATCTCGTACCTTGTATCTTATTACAATTCGGACCGTCCTTCCAGGTATTCTCGTGGCAGATGCTGGTTGCATTCTCCAATCTCTGAGTGAATACATTGCACCTCACAATCACATCATGCCCCTTGACCTCGGTGCAAAGGGAAGGTGTGTACTATTACTCTTCATGAGGTCAACTAAACGGACCCTTTTCAAGCTGTCAGATCGGTGGCAATATATCAACCAATGCAGGTGGTCTTCGACTCCTTCGTTACGGCTCACTGCATGGAACGGTCCTCGGACTCGAAGTAGTTCTCCCGGATGGTACAATCCTCGACCAGTTATCCACCCTGCGCAAGGATAATACCGGTGACTTAAAGTTTGACACATCATTAAGTTCTCCCGCTTACTTACGATAGGCTACGACCTTAAACAGCTCTTCATTGGCGGAGAGGGTACACTCGGTATCGTAACCGGTGTCTCCATCCTCACACCCCCTGCACCCCAGGCCACCAATAACATCTTCTTGGCATTACCACGCTTTGAAAATGTCCTACCACTCTTCCAAACTGTCAAACGCCAACTCGGAGAAATCATGTCCGCTTTCGAGTACATCGACCGCACCGCTTACGACATGGGTCTCCAGCACGGCCTTGGCCCTTTGCTTAGCCCAGACGAAGTTGGCGACTCCCAAATCTTTGTACTCGTTGAAACAAGCGGTGGGAACCAAGATCACGACTTAGAGGTGCCGTTAATTTCCTCGTGCCCGGCGTGCGAATTAATACTTCAATCCAGAAACTCAACAATCTTCTCGAGAACTTGTTAACCGCTGACGAACCCCTCATTAACACTGGTGTTCTTTCTCAGTCGCCCACTCAATTTAACTCGATATGGGCTCTGCGTGAAGGCTTGACCGAGTGTGTTCAGAAGGAAGGCAAACCATACAAATACGACGTTTCTGTTCCCCTTGCCGACTTCCAGAAGGTCGTCGATACTATTCGGGAGCGCTTGATTTCGAAAGGGCTGTATGGGGACCATGCGATTTCCAAAGTCATGGGATACGGCCATGTTGGTGACGGTACTATCCTCTCACGGACTCATTCTAAATGACTTTGCACTCATTCCTTCGTAGGAAACTTGCACCTGAACGTAATCGCCAAGCATGGGTACCGCCCGGAGCTTGAGGCAGCACTGGAGCCTTTCATTTATGAACTTGTTGGTGCGTATCGCCTCTCCCAAAGAGTCCCTAGTGTGGCTGTTGACGTGTATTCAGCTTCTCACAAGGGCTCGGTGTCTGCGGAGCACGGCATTGGATCCATGAAGAGGGATGCACTGCATTACTCCAAGAGCGATGTCAGCATTGACTGGATGAGGAAAATCAAGCAGGTCTTTGATCCTTTGAATATCATGAACCCCGGCAAGGTTCTTCCTTAGAGCCAGAGTTTATATCACGCCGATACGATCCGTTGACGTGACTTCACGCATCAAACTATCACTTACCACGACTGTCACGATGAGTAGACGTAGCTATGCCATTTACATTTACTAGGGTATATTAAGTCGCAATGGATCTTTTGTGTTTCGCATTTATGAGAAGTAGCGCTTCCAATGATTCTCAAATGAACTAGGTTGCTGGCGGTCACAACTCATACGCCTTATCTGATAATAATTGTCCTCTTGAAGAACCCCGCAGTGCGGTTCTGAGGACATTCCCAGCGGCGATCCAACCAGGGTGCGGTGATGAGGTCCCCACTGCCTTCCCACTGCCAGTCCTCGGAGTTGGAGTCACGTGGGGAGTTCCCGGAGCGGATCTGACGAAGGCGACAACTTTGATAGGCTAATGTCCTTGGTGGATATCTCACGTCAACCTTCCCTGACAGGTGGCTGCCAAACCCAAATGTATCACGGGAGGCGACAGAGCAATCAAAGGACGACATCGACGCATATGTAAAGCCTATTAGATCGGCTGTATGTACAGTACGCCCCTTTGGCAGTGCTTGTCTCACAAAGTTGTGAATATGGAATATTAGACGACGTACGTATAAGCCAAGAAAAATGCTGTAAGTTGTCTTCGGAGTTGCCTTATGTAAAAGTATTCATGTCACTGGTCATCGAAGTCATTTCTACTATTGTAAGAACGGAGCGTTTTATTTATGTAATTTATCCTTGGGATCTTCCGGGTACAACTATAACACAATTAGCGCCGTCCTACTTCTTCAACGGACCGTCACAAAATGAATCGCGCACCTTTCCGGGATTGAACAGGTTCAGGGGATCGATGGCATTCTTGACAATTTTCATCAGTTCCACGGTGTCTTCGCCCAGTTCCTCGGCAAGGTACTCTGTTTTGCCTACCCCAACACCGTGTTCGCCCGTGCCTGAAGAGAAAAAGGATTAAAGACAACACGACCGAGGCACAAGGGTCACTTACATGTTCCGTCCATCTGAATAGCGCGGTGGACCAATCTGTGAACTGCCGCGCTGACACTCTGCAGTTCTTCTTTGTCTTTGAATAAAATGAGTGCGTGGAAGTTACCTGCATGACCCAATTACATATACAGAATAAACAAATTCCATTTCAACACCCTTACCGTCACCAACGTGCCCAACGATAGTCGATTTCAAACCAGCTCTGGCAAGATCTTCTTTAGTTTCATATACTAGCTGCGGGAGCCGAGACACCGGTACGCTGTTGATTAACCCACGTCATACATATCATTGAAAATTAAAACCAGGAGGACCGACCATACATCTGTCGTCCAACACTTTGCACCAGGGTGCGCTGCCAACGTTGAGAAAAGAGCCTAAGATTCAATGAATGATTGTCACATTATCACGCCAAAACAATGGTCGTTTACATACATATTTTCGATTCTCCCACATCTCACCTGCTTCCTCCTCTGTCGTCGCGAATTCAAATCGAGTGCTGCCATGACGTTGTACGATCTCTTGGACGACATTTGAGGTATCGCGAATAGATTCGGGGGATCCTTGGATCTTGAAGAAGAGAGTGTCCTGTACTGGGTACGGATCATCAACAACCCCAGCAGCGTTGATGGCCGCCATCACTGAAAGCACTTGAGGTAACGTCGAAGACATGAAACACGTCTACTCACTGTGATCATCCAGGAGCTCCACGCATTCTAGAAGGAATGTTTCAGCGAATGGAATAAAATATAACTTGCTACTGACGTATGTGGGAGCCGTATGGAGTATTAAGTATCTGCTGAACAGCGCTGACCGCTTTTTCGACGTCCGGGAACTGCGCCATTGCAACCTTGGTAGGTACTCGTGGAGCCAATCTCAAAGTAGCTAAAACAGCAAGTATTGAAATCAGAATGCTGTCTCGAAGACGGAGTGCTCGATTTACCCTCTGTGACTATTCCAAGCGTTCCTTCCGCACCAATGAAGAGTTTAGTCGTATCGAAGCCAGCGGAAGACTTGCGCGCCCGCCGGCGTGTCTTGATCACTTTCCCAGATGGAAGGACAACCGTCTGATACCGACTTGGCCAAACCTCTCTTCAGAAGACTTGATGGACTCACAACATTGAGGAACCATTCCGCTTTAGCTGTCCCATATCTGACCGCATTCGCTATCCCGGGGTAAATATATGCAGGACTAGCACAGCAGAAGAAGGCACCAACTTCCTGAACATCCTGTACCAATCATCCCGCCGATGGTCTATAGCGAGTCATGATTCGTCTTTGAAGTACTCGCAATGCAGAAAGGCTTACAGCTCCAGGCCCTGGGTCAAGCTGTTAAAAGTCAAAGTGAATCTACGAGCCCTGGATAAATGTGCGCACAGGGAAGAACAGAGGAATACCCCTGTCTTTCAGCGTATTGTTTATGTCTTCCCACTTTGCTCCAGACTGACATCGCAGATCACCATCAGCTTCTATAGACAGTCCCGTGAGTATTGGTATTGGAACGAAGCATAAACATGGAGTCACACCATTGATTTCCAAAATGTGATTCATTGCAGACAGGTCAAGGCATATACTACCTGAAGGAAACTAACCGTCATCATTAGCCTCATCCAAGCCCAAGTAGTGAAAGATGACTGGTTGAGGCTTACACCACTGAAATGACCCTCTAAACTCGTGGCGCCGCTGTATGCAGTGATAGGAACTCTGTACTTGCGAGAGATATTGACAACTTTCACCACGTCCTCCGTGCTATGTGCTATGACCACAACAGAGTGAGGACAACTCGGGTGGTATGAGTTTTCGGAGGAGCCATGTACTTGGAGGGAATCTGGGCTTGTCTGAACGCGACTCTTGTCTGGGAGGGCATCACGTAGTTCCTCGATTGCTTTCCGAACGTCTTCGGGAGACCCATAGGTGTGGGTTGAGGATGAGGAACTCCCGAACACGTCAATTGTCCCTCCTGTACCACTTACATTGGATGATTCTTCGGGACCACTTCTCTTGTGGTGTGCATACGCAAGCTCCCCAACCTCAGATGCCTGGGCGCTGGTAGCACCAGCTTCTAGTCTTGCTGGTATCAGCCCGTATTCGCGGTACTGGAGGACATAAAGCTTGTCCCAATCGCGAGCAAAGAACCCAGCACAAACTTTCCGACGCGAAGAACATCATCCTGCGTGGTACGAGACGTTGAGTAATGATATCTTGTTCTGGAGCTGCGGAGTGTTGCATTGCAGCTTGGTCGCAACGAAAGATGGCGACCCCTCGCTGCGACTCGGACTCTCGTAGAAAGAGGGAACATGATGTGCTAGGTGAAAGGTAGACAAACGTAAAACAGTCCTCGGGACTCCCACAACACCATGCGGAATCATCAAATATAAGTATGGTCGGATATTTGTCGGATATATGGGTCAGAATCAAATCCAACTGTCATGGTGTAACACTACAGTTAAACTTTCTTACAGCCGTAGAAGTACATCGCGTACTTAGTTCAACGGGGGTGACCACTGGTGGTTGTGCATTAGAATGCATCATAATGGGGGCTTTAGATGTGAAGTACTTTGTACGAATATCCGCGACGATCATTTTCTGAGTAGTACGTACACGGGATCACCGAGAACCACATTGGTCAAGTGACGATACGAGCCAGTTATTGATAACAAAAGTCCACCGAATGACGCATAGGCCGTGCTACACAGTACAGAGTATGAGCGAGAGCCAGTCGACGGCAAACATGCAAGTAACTTACACAATATCAGGAGGATCCGGTATCAAACTTATATACCTGCAAGAATGACAAGTAAATTCAAACCCCTGGAATGGCAAGACAGAGAGAGCCGCACCTTCCCATACATTACATAGTCATAATCTTCTTCCAAGCCTCTCCTTCCTTTGCCATCTGGTCTCCATACATCTCTATCTTTGTCTTCACCGTCTTCACCATCTGCAGCGGGCGCACCGCCGTCTCGTGACAGTGACGAAGCAAGGGCCATTGCGAAGCTGTCCCCATTCACTAGAGGGAAGAGTTCGATATTATAGTCAAGCGTCAAGTCCATATCATAGTTCTTTGAACGAGCATATAACCGAGATACTAGTTGTACATAGCACGCGTCAATCACAGGTAAAAAGTGATGCGCATGAGCAAATCCGGACCTCGATCGAATTTTTTGCCATCCTTATCGATGGCATCAGTCGTAAAAATGTCGTCAAAAACGATACTAGATGAGGTTGAAGCCATCGGCAATAGAAGGATCGTTTTGTGTTTGGATGAGTATCGGAACTTCGGAAGGAAGCTTTTACTACTTGCTTATAACCGTACTATTTGGGATATCCGCGACCCCTGTTTCGCTGCTTCGGTGTGCTTATAGACATGTTTGTCGTGCGCAGGAGCGATACCCTACGCTCTATCTGTTCGGGAACTCGCAGAGCATTACGAGTTAGACATTCGTCGACATTTGCTGTCCGGAAACCACCCAAGCACGCACCGCGAGAGGCGCCAACGCCTTTGGTTTTTTGTTCAGCATCACATTGGGATTTAGGAAAACGGAATAAGTGGGTGTTCTGCTGCCGTTTTCCAACCTGAACCTTATGCGACACAATAGCAACTCCAGAGTTCGCTTCGATGCTCGCGGAGAAAGGTTACACCTGCATTGAAGTCGATTTCGGACCACCTGGTGAGGGCGAAAAGTCCTCGGGTTCACAGAATCTCATGGATAGCTTGAGTGGAGGTATGTTCGTTCTCCTTATTCAACGAGTATTACTACACATCATGTCGGCTTCAGAGCTGAAAGCCAACTTGCGCCTTTCGACAGTCCCTTTCCACCTGTAATCTTCGCGCGAGGCTTTGCTTCTCTCATCACACAGACATATATATCGTCCCACCCAGCACAGGGAATATTTCTTATTTCCCCTCCACTATCAAACGCGACATTGTTTCCTAGCGTTCTTCCCACTCCGCTAGGAGAGTTTGACTACGAACTCAAGTTCCCCGTCGCAGTTATGGCCCGTCCAGCAGAAATGGTTCAGCTAAGGAAGTATAGTCGGTTGGGTCAGGATGAATTTGTCGATTTAATTGAACTTGACAACTTGGAAGGTCGCGATGCTTTCCTGAGAATAGAGCAATGGTTAGACGAACTGGGAATCTAGTATCCTAGATACATCATATCTCTTTGTTCTCCTTCTTACTGTGGCCGTTGCACTTCATTGCCTCTGATCTGCTTTTAGACACAACCTGCGGAAGAGCCGGACACACGCGAATTTTTGTCAATGCAAACACGAGAGCGCCAGATAGCAGAAGATGAATGTGTAAGATGGGTGGTCTTGCAATCACTCAAAAAAAGACGCGGGTCGCAGAATCAATGTTGATGAGAATGTAAGAAGTTACGCCGGGGGGCGGCTTGAGGAACGCTGGCCCCCAGTGCTTTGTCGATTTATCTCTGACGGAAGCTCTACCTCGTGTGCTGTTACTGTTAATTAGGCCTCCTCATCACCATTCCCAATTTGAAGGGGTTGTGTTTGACTGTAGACGAATGTACGTAAATTTACTCAGTGAACCTCGAAATCGACAGAGCCTAGCACACCCTTGAGTTTATATCGGCAATTATAACTTGAGTTGTTGGTATAAGTACAGTTGACAGTGATCTATAACGTACGAACGAGTGGAATGATTACGCGTTGTAGAGTAGCACGGAGAAATGTCCCCTCCGCCATCAGTCCTGCTCATTGCAAGCAGCCTGTTCTTTTTCCACTTCATGTTGAGCGGTAGCTAAGCTTCCTACACCAGGAAGGACGACTTTCCATGTTCCTCGGAGGGCGAGCACTCTCCTGACCTGACATTCAATCAACTCATGAAGTTTGGGCACGTCCCTGAGCATAGCTCGACTGCCCATGAGCGATGTTGTCTTCAGATTAAGAATAAAGTCTTGCGGCAATGATATGGTCAAAACGGGGGCTGCTGATGCAGGGGATGGCGGAACCAAGGTAACCTGTATACATCATGACCTCCTGCTACAGAGGAGAAACTAAAAATAACTTACTTTTGATTCGAAGAGAGATAATGATATTGTGAGTGAAACAGGGAGCCGGGCAAACGAAGACATGGGGTAGTTGAATAAATAGGACGTGGATAATGAGATGGAAATGGTGTCCGAATATGACATGTCAAATTCAATCGTCTGTCTGTCTGGTGAGAGAGTTCCGTGCAAAGACAGCTTGAAACTAACCGGTAGGGAGGGGTCCCCAGCGTTGTTATTCATGACCCGTGCATTGGACAACTTGGGGGCGGATATTCCTAGGTCCACGGAATGCACTGTGATATGGTCCTAATGTAGTTGTGAGTTATGGACAAGACGTTACAGGCATACTGGACTTACCAGAAACCCGCGGGGACGTATTTCATTCGCATGATCCTCGATTTTCCGACGGGCGACCTCGATTCCATCATATCCAGTCATGTTGTCCTGAAGCTTAGCTCTGTACACCTCCACGACCTAATACTGCATGAGACTGATCGGGAACCGTCCAGAAGCACTGACAACAGACCTGCCTTGCGAGTATATTGAACCAATGGGCTGACTCTTTCTCTTGAGCACTGTCTGTATCCTCCTCCACATCCTGATGCCACGAAGGGTCTGTTTTTGACAGAGGGTGGAATGGGATAGTTTCCGTTTCACTTTCGGGCGGGATGAAAAAGAGGTATTTGAGGACAAGGGCGAGGAGAACCAATATTGAAAGTTGACCTAAGACGAGGCCCTGAGTAAAAGTGGGAGTGAGGGAGAAGATATAATTGTTTCCCATATTGGATGAGCGTCGAAGGCGAGCTCGCTGACTTCAGGGAAAGCGCTGGTTGGCATATGTATGCAGTGTTTCAAATTGGCAGGAAGCCTCGGATGCTCTTGTTTATGTACTTACCCGGTTCTGTATACACTTCTGTTCTCATCGGATAAGGGAAAATCTCCTTCGAAAGCTCGACCTGTCAATACCTTGGATATGGCTGCTGCCTTTGTTTCCTGGCCGTCAGCGCCGTTGACCGAGTCGCTTGTCAAGAGAGCTTTGTCAAATCTGCCTGTCTCAATCGTCACCTCCCTTCCTGGCACTCATGAATGCTTGAGGCTTCTTCAGTGGTCCACCTATGATGCCATTGATCATGACTTGACACACCGCAATCCTGACCACGTCTTGTCCTCCTCTTATACCATCAGAAAAGCTCTCATTCGCAAACATTACTTAGCACGATGCATTCATTCTTATTTGACCAAACATCTCGACTCCGTCCTCAAGGACGCGGTGCCAAGGACATGGGATCTCGAGATCTCGTACGCGGATGAGCTGGATGAGATGTGGAGCGATCAACTTTGGGACCTTGGCAATGAAATCGATAGCTCCTCTCAATGGTGGATTTTGAAGCCAGGCATGGCGGATCGGGGAATGGGCATCAGATTGTTCAACAGCAAGGACTCGCTATATCAGATCTTCGAAGAATTTGAAGAGTATTCCGAGGATGAAGATCAGACCAATGATACCTCTGTAATAATATCACAACTTCGCCATTTTGTTATCCAGGTAACAAGCACTTTTCTCTTGCGATACGATGCTGAACAGTATTCGACCACAGGAATATATACCTTGTCCATTACTCCTGGACCCAACCGAGAAGTCTCCTTCTGGCTCTGTGTTAAAGTTACCCGAAAACTTGCAGGGGCATAAAGTCAATTCGCTCTATCCTCTCCTCCTCAGCCTTTTATGACGCTCACGTCCAGTTCCATCTACGAGCGTACTTTGTTGCATCAGGAGCATTGAAACTCTTCATGTACGACCGTGTACTTGCTTTGTTTCGCTGCCGTTCCGTATGTCAGTCCCACCAAAAGGGAGGATGATGACGATGTCATTCCCGGGAACGTCGACTTGACACCTCATCTTACCAATACCTCGCTGCAAATTGATCGAGGCGAGGAAGGCGTACATCTACTTGATGAACTCTCAGGATGTTATATCCTCTCTGGAGATGATACGGATCGTAGAGCCTTACGCTTATTTACTCCCGAAGATATCGAGAACATCAAGGTCCAAATGGGCGCCGTTCTCGCGGAAACGTTCAAGGCCGCTGTAGAAATGCCTATACACTTCCAGGTAAGGTGATTCCTGCTGATCCTCACAAGGCCTTGTTTTCAAGTTTTGTTTTCAGCCGCTTCCAAATGCATTCGAGCTGTATGGGGTCGACTTCGTGGTTTCTCATGACCCAACGCCGTTGCGCCCGGGACTTGATTCATTAGGCAACTCGCGAATGTTTCAAGTTAAACTTCTGGAAATTAATTCAGAGCCCGCCATCGAACTAACAGGTCGAAGGCTCCATGGCATTCTCGAAGATTTATTTGTTGCAATCGAGCAGGTTGCAGTGCTACCCTTCTTTACACAGGAAGTTGGACGCGAACCAAGCACAGAAGTGCTTGTGGTACCGAGGCACTTGCGAAAGTGCCTTGATATAAAGGTCCGAGGATCTGGAGGATGGTGAAGGAGTTAGAAAATAGTCACACATATATTCCCATCTTAAAGCATACTTGCCTATCTTTGCCTATCCAATGAGTTGCATTAATCATCACGCTAAACCCTCCTTCGTATCGGAGTTTGTTGGCCTCTTTAGACGGTGTTCGAGATTTTCGACAGTCTCGTCTCTCTTCCGTTTGTTACTTGTAGAAGCGGCATCCTTCACTGCACTTTTGGGAAGGTCTTTGCGATTTTCGAAGAGTTGTTTAGCGAATTCCTGATCGTAGCCGACACGTCGGATACCAAACATTTCGATTTGAAGAAGTCCCTCCCAATACATCTTCTCCACCATTCGTATCTGCGAAGGCGAAACAAGGTCTCGGAACAAGAGGGTGTCCTTGGCCATCGTTTCAACCCTCTTTCAATTCCTTCAGTTATGATGAATTTTTGAATCGATAGGACCTTACCGGAGAGTTTAGCTTCCTGATATCCTCCGGTGAGAGGAGGAATGATTCGCCTATTCGTTCATAGGTGCCAAGATACTTCCAACCGTGGCCGTCGTAATAACACAAGTCTTTCTTTTGACCAGGCTCGATTTCCGCATGGAGCCGGTCCCATGTACCGTTGTTCTTTTTTGGATTGTATCGATACATTGGTCTTAAGATGAGACCTAAGGAGATCCCTGCATGAGCGAACATCAGGAAGTCCCTCTCGAAACGGAGGGTGCCGTCACAGCGACTGTAACTTGTCGTTCAGCATGCCGCAGATCTCGCAATGAGTTTACCAACCAATGAGATCGAGCTGTCTGTTGAAAGATATTATTTATGATCTACGAGCGCAGACTATCGCGAACCTTGGGAATGCCCATGGACAAGATGGGTGAATATACGGGAATATCACCGCGTTTCGGTTTGTCACTGTCATCCGGATACTCCGTGTTGCGAAAGAACGAAATTGGGTCGGACTTGCTGCATGTCATTTCGCTACGAGAGGTCATCACTGAAAATGAGTTCTGCTTACAGGACTTTCCCTTCTGACGCCCACCGCTCTCGTTCTTCTATACAGAGTTCAAGCTGGCTACGCAGTTCGTCGATGACCTGTGAAGACATTTCAAGTATCATCCAATAGCATACGTTTGAGAATAAGTACCTCTTGGTACTCTCGCTTGCTCGCTTTAAGCTTCCGGTATTTGTCACGCACACTAGTTAGCTCTTCCAGTTGCTCATTTGCCTTCTCCTATTAGGGTAGAAGTTTAAAAAGCACTGTGATATGTCTGGTTCCAATGCACCTTGTCCGAGTTCGCTATATTTTTCTCCCTGATCGCGTCGGCCAGCTCTTGTTGGATTGCGCCCATCGACTGTTGATCACGATCAGATACGAAGAACACACATCCAGCTATAAATTTAATACCGCTTCGTACTGCGCCACTAGACCAGAGTGATCATCCTCCATCTTGACTGGAACGTTCGTTGTCTGATCCTGGAGACGTGAAATGTTCGCTTGAAGGGTGGAATTCTCGGCCTTCAGTGCAACTATCTCTACCCGCAGGGCTTCCTCGCGCTGCAAGTGAAAGCCAGTTGACATGGCATCGCTAGCAGGAGTACCCGATCGCTGGAAGGTCTTGTATATGAGCTATCATCAGGATAGCTGCGGAGAATACCTGATATGTTACCTGCTCAGCTTCACGAAGTTGGCTGCGGACAACCTTCAGTTCCTGCCCCAGAAGCTTGACCATCTCAGTTGCGAGCTCTGGGTCCATGACATTATCCATACTGACGACAGGAGTGTTCAACGGTTCAACGATGATGATAAAGCGCGCGAGTAAGTAACTAGTTGCCCAATGCGTCACGTGTTGTATTCTACCTCTTGACCACCTATACTACTGGATGACAATGGCATCAGAATCAAGGACAACTTCTTCGACATCAACACCGCGCAAAAGATCAAAATGGGACGAGGAAGATCCCGATGACATTGCAATTCGCCAACACCAACAGTCCTCGAAACGTTCCGTAAGGCCTAGGTCTCGCGGCGCGCCCCCACCCAGTCCCGTCCGTTCAGACTCGCATCCTGCTACCAGTCGTCCTTCCCGTCCACTACATAGTATCTATGTCCCTCCTCGAACTCACCATCCATCAATCCAACCGTCGCGTTCGGTGTACTGTTACGAAAGACTCAATCAGATCGAAGAAGGGTCCTATGGTGTTGTCTTCCGGGCGAGAGATAAAGAAACAGGCGACATCGTCGCTTTGAAGAAGTTAAAGCTTGATGAGGAAAAACACGGTTTTCCTATTACTGCCCTACGTGAAATCAACGCTCTCATGTTCATGCCACCATGATAATGTGGTTCGAATTAGAGAGGTTGTGGTCGGAGATACCTTGACTCAGTGAGTAAAGCCTCTCAGTGATGTCACACCATGACCACGCCCACATACCAGAGTATTTGTAGTGATGGACTTCATCGAGCATGATTTAAAAACTCTTTTGACACTCATGCCCTCGCCCTTCCTCCAATCCGAAATCAAGACACTCATGCTTCAATTGCTGTCCGCGGTCGCACACTGTCATTCTAACTGGATACTTCATCGCGATCTGAAGACCAGCAATTTGCTCATGAACAACCGTGGGACTATCAAAGTTGCTGATTTTGGCCTTGCGAGGCGGTATGGAGACCCTGTAGGCGTTGGTGGTCTGACCCAGCTTGTTGTGACCCTGTGGTATCGGTATGTTACTTGTTCTCAACATTTTGACCTCAGGTGATGCATCCCTTCAAGGGCTCCTGAAATTCTGATGGGAGCTACAACATATTCGACTGCTATCGACATGTGGTCCGTTGGGTGCATTTTCGCTGAACTCCTCATGAAGGAACCACTATTTCAGGCGAAAAACGAAATAGAACTTCTTTCCATGATCTTCAAGCTTCTTGGACCTCCTACTAGTTCATCTTGGCCTGACTACTCTACTCTTCCTTTGGCGAAAACTATCACTCTTCCCTCACCTCAGCCACATCAATTCCGTCAGCGTTTCCATCATATGACAACCGCTGGGATCGACCTCCTTATATCACTACTGACCTACGATCCCGAGCAACGCATCAGTGCTGAAGAAGCTTTACAACATCCATATTTCAGGTCAAACACCTTTATTCTCCGCCTATCATCAAGCTAACGCGAGTCCAATGAAGCGAATCTCCACTTCCAAAACACCCAGATTTATTTGGTTCATTCCCATCCGCTGCTGCAGGCGAGAGGTACGTCTGTCGGGCTATAGATGCTGGTGCCGTGTTCAACACAAGTATTGTAGACGACGAAAGCCTTTCGACAGTCCATCAGCGCCCGCGCGAGCAGCAGACTACAAACTTCTTACTGAAGTTGATCTTCCGTAGAATACATTGCGTACGATATTAAAAGATATATCCCTTGTACAAAGAAATATGGCCTGGGCGTTAAGATTCTCCGATACTCGACAGTATTTGCCGCATCTTTTGAAACCGGGTCTTCGTACGTTCCATCTCCCCACACTGATCGTAAAACTCTTTGACCTCTTCCAGTGTGAACCTGTACTCCGTGGCAATTTCCTGCAACGTCCTGTCGACGAGATGGATGCCAGAATCTAACAAATCGTGAATAGAGTTTGCATCACTGAAGAATCTGTAAGCTCCCGATACTCAATAACTGCCTATGACTACGCACTTGGATCTCGTTCTCTTGCGAGGGCTTTGACCGTCACTTTCTTCACTGGCAGGTCGCTTCCCCCAATTCGGAGGAGGTTCATCGCCGATGCGAACTGCCCACTCTTCACTGTCTTCACCATCCTCCATTTCTTCTTCCGCGGGGCTGTTTCGAATGACAGCTCTTGATGTAGACGGTCCTGGATCAATCCCTGACACATCGAACACAATCACAGGTACTTCTGCTCCATTGCCATTAATACCGCCAATTATCATTTCCTGGTTATGCAAATTCTGTTCGGCAGGTTTGGTACGTTTCTTCCTTGGGCGTTTTGGTTTTTCTTCGTCTTGGCGGACATAGCCATACTGCCCCTGTTCCCCAGGAACCGGCTTCTTCTGGTCAACAATTTGAGCAATCATGTTGTCTAATCGCACTGCATTCTTCTTGTAACGCTCGCGCCAGGACTGCCACGTATGACGCGAAACCCATGCGTATTCTGGGTCCGCAATCTGATCCTCGTGAGTATGGACATACTGAGTGGTAATAGAAAGGGGTCACCATTTCGCACAGCTGTTGGTAGAGCCTATTTCCAGTTCTCCCGCCTGTCTGCTTATATGGTATCTTTGCTGCAATCCATTCACACAAACGCCGTTCGTCTTCTTCAGTAAATGGTGTTCTCCTAAGGAAACGCATCGGCTTATGTTTTGGGTACAAGAACGAGTAATATACGTACTCTTCCCCCGGACGTCGACCGCCAGGATTCTTGTAGATGAGAGGGGTGTATACAAGAGCACCCTTCTCAACACACTTCTTTACCCACAGATAGGATTCGACATATTTGTCTGGAATGCCTTGGTATGTCTTGACGAGATGTTGGAAGACTTCTGTGTTCGGGTCTGCAAGGATGATCTTAGCAGACTGCGCAGATGAAGTAGGATCGCCACCAGAATGCTGAAAGAAAGTCGGCGTGGTAAGCATGAACGGAATGACTATGTCATTTAGGCGACACCGCTCACCATGATTCTCTGACTAAGAGTTGTGCGTGCATTGATATTAGCAATGCTAGGGTGGATGTGCATCTTAATGGGCAAGCCGTTTTCCACGAAGATCTGCTTCAACTGCATGCCCGCAATCTTGCAGGCTTCCACGTATGTATATGGCACGAAATGACGCTCAGGTCGATCCGGCATCATCCAGCACAGGCGAAGACGCTCTTCCTCCGCGGTACCAGGCTGGACCAATACGTACCCCTGTCTTGGGACCTTCGCTTCTACGCGACCACCTAATGACTGAAAGCAAATAAGACTATGTTAGATAGTGGGATGCCACAACTCACAGCTACGACTTCACACAACTCGGACTGAATTTCCTGAGCGATATCTTTCTGGATGAAGAACTTTATTGCGAGACCATTAGCGTCTTGGAATATGGGCTGCAATGGAGAGTCAGAGAAATATGAACACAGTATGATTTGCCTACCATAACGATGTGCATTGACTGGCTCACACCGTAAAAGTAGTGGCGTTAAGAAAACCCTCGATTGAGGTTAGGGTTAGTGGGGCCAGCTGAGTTTAAAAGGCAAGGTGTGACCTTGTGGATAAACTTATCACGTGCATCCGACTTCGTGACATGTATTGTCTGTCCACTGTGCATGTGAGGAGTGTGGACTTGGGTCACTTGGCTTCTGAGTAAGTAGTTGTGTTATCATTAGAACTGTTCACGCAAAATTCAATCCCAGCACAACCTTCAAGTTTAAGCTGCAAGCAGCGAGCCTGAGTCCAGGGCAACTTGAAATCCAGAGTTCCTTAGACCAAACATAGGCTCGAACCTTAGTTTACACAATCAAGAAGGAAATCAATTATGGTATCCCACAAAAAATCGTGCATGAAATTATACTATGCTACCCTGCAATCCAAAAAATACTGCAAGATCGCAGGCAAATATCGTAGACTAGAAAGTGTTTAACGTACAGGAGCTCCATTGAAGCGTGTTTATCATGTAGAAGCTTTCATCTCCCTTAGCTGCTTCGTGATATCGTCGGGATTGACGCTCTGCGCTACATCCTTCCCGACCTTCATCCGCCAGAAAGGAGTTCTTCTGCTGATCTGTACGTCGACTTCGAGCTCAGAGTATGAGGGACTCTGAGTCAGAGAGGAGCGGATAACCGCTAGATCTCCGGCCGAATGTAGTGATCGGTGTGCTGGAGATCTTGTTCCGGGATTGATGTCAACGGCGCAAAACCTGTCTTGTTTTGCTTTTCCGCTCTCCTTATTCGAGATGTCGTCAAGGGCCAAGTCGGTCGCGACCGAATCCTCTTGAAGTTGCGATCGTTCAGATGTTGAGGCGAGTGACATAGTAGAAGGTGGGGGGTGTGAATGACTCCGAACCCCACGGGGAGTCTCTGCAGTTGACATCAGCGAACGATTACCAACATTGGGTCCGCATAGAGAGGCCGAGACGCTAGGTTCGGAAGGTCTGAGGGAATCTACCTGCAAAAATGCGCATCAAACTTCTTGTTCTAAAACTATAAAGCCACCAACAAACCTCTGTCTGTGGAGAGTGCAGCTCATACGGGAACTTCCTATCTACGCTCTTGGCGGCATGGTCACCATGAGTTTGCAGTCGTAAAACGCCTTCTTTGCCACGTAGCGACCTGCTCTTCCTCAGTGTGCTCGAGCGTGAGAGCGCTGGTGATGACTGGAGGTCTGCTGTGGGGTCCAAACTCTGCCGTCTCTGGTGGCCCCTACTTAAATTTACTGAAAGGCTTCCTGTCAGAGTCCTGGACTCGGCAGTTTCTATTGGAAGAGCAGGAGATAAAACCAACTCCGGCGGGATTTCCTCGCCCAGGTGACGAGTCAGTTTAGCCAACCTAGCCATTTGCATTTGCATCACTTTCTTATGATGCGCAGCTGGATCATTGCTGTCCTCGTCTGTTTCATCGCCAACAGACATTACAGGTGAAATCGATGATTTATCCGTGGGGTTTTTTGGTGCTATGTCTGTCGTGGACAGCGAAGGTGGTTGGTGCATGACCAGTGTGCTAGTGAAGGGGGTGGAGTGCCGCGAGGAGGATGTCTGAGTAGGAGTTGTCATCGATGACAAACGTCGCGAAGGATGTCGACTCAATCGTTTCCTGTGAGTGCCAACGGCAATGTGATCATGTTGGTTGGACACCACTGGAATGATTTCCCTCGACTTATTGGCATTCGTACCCAGTCGAGGCAGAGAAAATACTCGGCTCAGCTTCGTAGTGGTAGGCCAAGGGCCGTCATGATTTGTCTGCGATTCGGCTTTTCGCGGGATAGTGTTGAATTGAAGAGAGGGTGGAAGTATGAGAGAAGGGGGGAGTGATTTGGATGCTGCAGCTGGTCTGCTATGTGTGCCACTCTGTGACATACTACACTGGATGTCGACAGGGTATCGAGTAGTGCTAGACGAGACATGTTCCCGTGCCTGGACAGGCATGGTACTATACACGAACAAATTCCGCCGATAGAGTCGGATAATAGGATTCGAATCGCAGAATGTGGACAGCGGGAAGTTCTTTCCTCACATACTCAATCAGGTAACGAGCGAATAGCGAGAGGGATAGCATACTCACCTGCAAACAGTGAAAGGCCGTGGTCACGAAGTCTACTCCGCACAAGAAATTAGTGACGAGAATGAGAACAGTGCCAGTATTTGGAACGACGGTAGTAGGATTACCCAATTCCAAGCTGGGCGGGTATTTCAGGAGGCCTCCGCTGTTAAACGACAGCAACAGACGTGAAGATCAGCGTCGGCATCGGCAAGGGGTTTAAAACAAGTCAACAACTTGCTGACAGCTCAGACGTCGGTCGGACCTACGTGAGTAAGATGCAGCTTGTGAAGTTTGTTGACCCTGGTTGAGCTTGGGTTGTTTCCATGCTCAACCTTGGTCCTTGGCAGTAGTGACACGACTGATAACGTCATGTCAGGCTGCTCTGGACGAAAAGTTCTCATGAAGTATTTTGAGCCTCCACACATATCAGGCACATCCATACGATGGATGGCTATGGGGTAACTCCTGGTAACTCGGGGGTAACCCAGGGTAACGCTGCAGTTTAACACCCGGTAAAACAACTTGCAGCTGAAGTGCCCGGACAGGCCGAACCGGTTACGGTTATAAGTACAACACGATAGTCATCTGATGTGTCAGTTTGTCAAAGACCTCGGACTCACCACACCTGCTTATGAGGATCACGACGCACACGGCATGGGATCCCTTGGTGACATTACTGGACATGCGTTATGCTAGGAAGGCCCTAGTGACGTCGTGCTCGGGGGCTGGCACCTACAGTGACGGTAGTAGTCGGTGGGAGAAACAGCAACAGCCCACGAGCCTGTAGTATCAGGTCACAGCTGAAGCCTTAGGATTTCAAAACAACACGAGTCAGAATGATAGAGCTAGCTCGCGACATTAAGCTGGTTAGGTTTCGTTAGGGTTATATAATATGCGACGCAATTCAAGCGATATAACGTATGCAATAGGCGAGTAGATTGTCCAAGTTCAATGCGCAAGGAACTATCCAAAAGAAGAATCCTCCCGAGTCACAGTAGATATCAGGTCATTACAGCCATTCCGTTGAGCCTTGCCAAACATCTTCGACAGTCGAATGTCTGGGGGCAATTTGACTAGCGAAACACGTTTCGCTGCTCGGGTCTTGTTCCACTCCTCAGCTTGTTCTTCAGGCGACTCTTCCGCTGTGTAGAACTTCTCGTGGACAGAATGAGGAGTGCTGTCTTGGAAGGATAGAGAGCTTCGAATAGAATGAGGTGTCCGAGACTCCGAGAGACTGGTGTCGGCCTCTAGAAACGGGTACCCTGGGCCCTCCCCTTCAGTGAGAGGGGAATCTGTGATCCTTGTCGGCTCTAAGACGTTCGACACGGTAAACGTGTAGTTTGTCGGCCAGTCTGGACCGAAATCTAGAGCTGTCCGGAAAGAGGCGTCAACGGAGGACTCTGGGGAACTGGGTACGACTTTAGAAGATGGTTGCTGCAACGACATGTCCAGTGATCCATCATCAGGTGATGACGTCGGCTCAGGTATACACTGCCTTCGACTCTGTAACGTATCCATGGCAGCATTCAAAGCGATTGTAGCCGCCTGTTTAAACCCTCGCTCTTCTGCTGCTACATCGTGTAGCAGGACATTACGGTGACATATGAGCCTAGCGATCTCCAGACGCAACTGGGAGATCTGCTTAGCTGCATTTTGCACCGCATCTTGAAGCCGATCTCGCGTTGACCGTTGGAAGGGTGTCAAAACCGCGATGTTGCGAGCGAAGTGCATCTTTGCTTCGAGAAGCGGCTGCGCTACACAAATACGGTCTTCGAGATCGCCGACGGTGGATTGGAGGAGAATGGTGCGATTGCTTTGGGGATGGGAATTGATGTCAGTTGTTGGAGAGGAGCAGCGCCCAGGGAAACGAATGACATCATCAGATGTGTCATTCGAGGGTATTGACGAATCGCACAGACTGAGCCGGGCAGCAGTCAATTGCGCTTTCACTTCGTCAAAAGTTGCTTTGAGCTGGGATGCCCCTTCGATCTCAGGCACGGCGGGAGGTTCATGGGTGATATTGTGCCGAGCATCAAGCTTGAACCCAATTTCTGGGTTTGATTCCTCGACGGCATCCTCTGCACCTTCGTCGGTCGACTGAGAAGCACGGGTAAGTGAGCTCTGAGAACCCCATGATCGAATTTTGGGCTGGGATTGCTGCACTACCCGTAAGTCCTGGAGGTGTGATTGTGCGGCGGCAACCCCGGTCAGCGTCACCTCCCTGCCTGTCATGCCAGGGGGACGCATCCGTATCCCAGCAGATTTGAAAGCACTGGCATAGTTGATGCGCGAAATCCATTGGTTGACCTCCATTTCACTTGAAGCCTGGAACAAGATCTGGCGTCCATCAGCGAGGGCCAAGCGAAAGGTGTTTTGATGCTGCAGAAAACATCAGCATCACGTAGAAGAGAAATGAATGAATAAACATACCTTTTGGTACGACCGATCAAAAACAGCGAGTGCGTCCTTGACCGACAAAACTTCATCAGGTTTGCAATGTATGGTCGACTTTCTTGAAGAATCCGATGATGCCAAAAACGTGGCAGCCCATGATGGATCGCGAAAGAGAAGGACTTGCGAACTCGTCAAAGCAACACCAAACGGCTTCCACTTGCGGTTCGAGGGCTTTTTGCCGCCTTCCAATCTATCGTCTTTGCGGTTTAACACAGAGACCTTCGACAACTTAAGCCGCCAAGTCTCCTTCTGAGGTGGCAAAAATCCGGGAAGTGCAGTTGTCCCCATAAGTGATGGACTGGAAATGCCACTGAGCCCGAACAACCCAGAAGGTAAACGATTGTGTTCAAAGCAAGTAATCTCTATCGTATCCCCTTGGGCAAAGGCAGACCAAAGTTCGTCGTTGTCCCAGGAACCACTTGTCCCCTCCCAGCAGTATGGGTTGTCTAGGGGTATGTACTGCTCGACATTTACACGGAGCGAATCAAGTAAGTGCTTCAAAGCAAAGTGTCATCGACGGCGCATTAAGGAAATGAGACTACTTACATTGGTGATCAGATAGTATGGATCAATCTTTGGTCTACTCAGTAGAGTACCTCCTACTGGCGTCATTGGAAGACCAGCGGAAGTAGGAGGTCGCGAGAAATTGCCATCAGCTGATGGATGAGGATGATCCATAGGGTCCTCGATAAATATGAAAGGAGCGAAAACAATGTTATCATAAAAGCACTGGGCACATGAATCAGCTCCGAGGGGGGGGACGGTCAATTTACAACATACATCCAACACTTCGGGTATAACTCCTGAGATAGCAGTGTTTTTCTGATAGTCAACTTTTGTCATTTTTCGCTTGTTGGACTTGTTGAAGGCATCTGTGTGAAGCATGATAAGACTGAAGGCGAGAATGTATGGGATATCTGAAAGTTTAATGAGTACAAATTCATTGCCCACACATCAGTGGAATCGTGCGTACCCTCGGACATAAATATGTCTGGGTTGCACTCAACGTATCGCTTCGCAAAAGCTTCCATCACCCTATCGATTTGTTGTGTTTCCCGGGGAAGACCAATATGCATCAAAAGCCGACGCAGAGCGACATCCAAAGGATCCCCAGCAAAAGAGAACTTTCCGATGTAATGCCTGAGGGTAGCTACATATTTGGCTTCCGCACTAAGGATCGACTTGAGAGTGGTGACAGGTGAAAAATGAAGCGACGTACCTTGACGCCAACAGCCCCGCAATATCAGCTTTACCAGCAAGGGAGGTAAGTCTCTGCAAGAAAGCCTCAGGTAACTCATCCTGTTGAGGTCTCAGCTCCTCAGGTGGTACCGATGAAAGCAATGATGGACGTGACCGAGAAACCGGTGAGGCGGTTATGGTACTGCCAGGAACTGTTCCGGCTTTTGCTGAGGCAGTAGATGATGCGAAAAAATTCATTGAGAGCCGGTGCAGGAGAGGTGGATTCGTAGCAGAACGTGGACGATTATTTGCATGACTGGCGGAGGTAGACGATGTGAGACTTGAGAGTGCATTTCCAAAGTGTGGCGTGTGTGTGGAAGGAACGGGCGTTGTCTGTGGTGACGAAGTAAAAAATGAACGAGTGCGTGAACGGATGGAATCGGCAGTCATGGGGCGGCGCAGTGCAGGTCGGGGTGGATGAGAAGAAAAGGTTGGATCGGCAGTCATTGAACGATGCTGGGACGAAGCAAATGCTAATGGAATCTTGGGTAATGCAGGCACTTCAGAGTTGGAGGGAGAGGGACGTCTGAAGACCTTCTCCGAGTGTCTTCGTGTCAATCCCGAAGCGGATCGTTGCGGTGACTGCTGGGAAGATGTCAGAGTGTCCGAATGGAAGTCTATGTGAAACGGTGATGTCGGTTGCAATGCTGGAAGGGAAAGAGAATCAGACGGAACTGATAGCAGTTCTTGCGAAGGTTTGGTCGACATCTGGCGACCAGGTGATCCTTGACTGTTTTCACCAGCCGGCGGCGGTTCAGCGTCTTTCCGTCTGGGACTAGATAGTCTCTGGCCGGTGAAAAGACCACGAGCTCTATCCGCGTGTATCGACCGATCTGCCTGTTTATGTGAACGGATTGATTGGGAACTTCTGGAGTGTCGTAGCGGGAGGGTCAAGTCACGCTGACCGCTGCCCGTAGGTGAAGGAGTGACAAAAGACACTGTGTTCACTCCACGGGGAACAGAGACGTTAGGGGTATTATGATATACATCAAAATATAACGTTGGCTGTGCATGTCTGGGATCAACGGAAGTTGAAGGCATGTTTGCTCTAGGCACGGTAGGTGAGGGAGTGAATCTGTCCGTAGATGTGGGCGAGGATATGGATTTGTCCAAGGACGGTGGTACAGAGTCGGGATTGCCAGCTACACTCTGAGTCTTCGGAGGTGTGGGCGGGAGCTCCTTGTCCAGCATAAGGTTTGAGGGCCTTCTGCGAACGACGCCGAGTTCATCAGAGGGCATGCCAGCTAGACTTCGACGAGCAGACACGGAGACAGGTAGTATCTTTCGTGTCCAGTGAGGAAGCGAAAAGAAATGAAGGGGACCGTGACTATGGTCATTCTCAGCCTGGTGGCCGACAGACTGATTGGATGCAGAGCTATCGGAGACGACGCGAGCAGCACTTCCGTTGGCATGAGGCGGGTTTAGAGTATCAGGATGGCGACTGTCCGTCGCTGGGGAATTCCTGCTTCCCGTACCCAGAAAGCCAACCATGCTGGAAGTACTTCCAGAGTTGTGAGTGGCAGTCAAAACTAGCAGTGGCTGTGACGTAGTGACTGATGAAACACCCTCGATAGCTGGACTCCGCCCGAGCAACGATGTCAAGTTTAGTGAAAAGAAGTTAACCCGAAAATTGTGGGCATGGGCGTCAGTCGCGCTCTCTGGGACGAACGTGATCGATTTTTAAGGCTAACAACTCTTTACGGACTTTCATTGCTTCACCAATCATTTCAGAGTTCATTCAAAATGAACTAATGCTAATCGTTTGTGGGATTCGATATACCACATTCCCAGTGCACAAATGCTAGGACAAGTAATGGTTTACATTGTGCCAGCGCAGTCGCAGTCGCAACTTCTACGAACACCATGCTACAGGGGAGACTCCAAGACATTTCATGTTGTCCTGGCCTTTCGTCGCCTGTCCTTTTCAATCTTTGTCCTCTTTTCTTCGAGTTTTGCGTGCTGTAGAACTGTGAGATTAGCCTAACTGATAACTTCAGGACGGACCTCGGTAGCTCGTTTTCTCTCCCCGTACTTCATCCTTTCGTACAACTGGCGCTTGCGTTTGCTCATCAATATCTTGTTCATGTCTTCCTCACCCCCGCCATCGACAACAGCATCTTGCTTCTGCTTCTGCTGTTTCTTCTGTACCTCCTTCTCGAATGTGCCATAGTCGACACCTGCTGCTTCTGCTGCGAGCTCCGCAGCACGCAAGGCCTCTGGGTCATCTGCAGCAGCCACTGCCAAGGCAGCCATTGAAGTCACGCCTTCATCTAATTCTGCCATCTCCACATCTTCTACCTCACTGTCCTCGTTGAGTTCAGCGTCGTCAACCAAAGAGTTTCCGACGTTCGCCAGGCCAATGGTTGGATCATACGCTCCATCTCGCTCGCCGAATGGCGATAAGTGGGGCGGAAGTGCCTTTCCTTGGACATACAAATCCTCGAGTAGGATTTTTCCAGCATTGATGCAATCAACGACCCACTGAGGCTGAACATGCTTCCTTCGTCTCCGACGTTCTTGTTCCTGAGCTGTGTCGCCCTTAGCAACGGGCCTGTCAATAATGACGTGGGTGATTGCCTCGTCATCCTCCGTAAAGGGCGAGCCACCTCCTGACGAGACTGGCCAGCCTATACGACCGCCAAAAGACCGGATAAGGAACTCGAATATTGATCGTGATGATTCGCGTGATAGCCAAAACGTATATGGAGCAAATATGTTTGTCGACGATGGTTTTGGTAAGGATGAGAGTGAGAGAAGTGTAGGGAGCGACGACGGTGCATCAAGATCAGATTTTGAAGTTTGTGGTACAAATTCCTCCTCAGCGGCATCAGGGAACGAATCGGTGCGATCAATATCTACATCAGCAGGAGGCACCGATGATGATTCTGCAGTGATATTTTTGATTGTCTGCCGGACTTCCTTGCTAGATACCTTGGGAGCATCGCTCTTTGGTGCTCCAGCAGCTGGGCTAGGTTTCGCTGATCGAAGATTAAACGCTCCAACACCCGCTCCAGATTCGTCCTTACCAGAGTCCAAGGGTGGTGGATATACGAGTCCAGCGTCTGTGTATAATTTGAAAAACACAAAGCCAAGTAGCGTCTGGTACAGTTCGAGGAAGGTGAGCATAACACGGACATCCACATCGGACGGTATCTGAATGGCCAATCTGAGCAACATAACCACAGATTCAAGGAGGCAGCTCACGTTCTGAGGGAACTGATATGGCACGAGCCAGGTTACATTTTGATCCATAACTTCAGCTTGGTAGTATACACCCTTAATAGACAAGAAAACCTTTCGCAGTGACCGGGTGTGCATGACATATAGTTGCCACTCTGCAGCCAAACGGGCACAATTTTCGATGAGAGCAGACGAAACCCGAGGATTCGAAGGGAGAGATGCGAAAAGGAAGACCATGCACATTGCATCATCGATGTCTCGTACCGCGTCGATAAATGATGGGTACCTAAATTCGATCAGTCTATATCTTTCACGATATCCTGCGTAGCATACCTCTCTTTGATAATGTGATCTAATCGGTATACGGGTTTATTATCCTCCAAGTTCTTCGCAGTTGACCACTCTCCCCGTCCAAGGGCCCGAGATATTTTTTTCGCGAAAGCCTTGTGCTCCCTCAGCTTATTGAGAACTGGCTCATGAGCGAGGTATGCGATATCTTTCGCATAGTAAAACGACGTTGGTGCTGTTGATCCCTTATTGGCCCGTTTCTTATGTCTGGGCTCACGAGGGAATATTCCTATAGAAATAGCTCTTAGTGGAGTTTAAGTCTGCGAGGCAATCATAACGCACCTTTGAGGATACATAATCGGCGGAAGTCAGCCAGAGAGCACTGAAGTTTTTTCACGGCAGACGACCGTGTAACGTAGGCCTTTGCTGCACCAGCCTTTCCTTTTTGCTTCAATCGACCCATGGCGGACGGGAAGGATTGAGCTATTGATCTTGCAAAAGCTTAATGTATATACTCTCAGCCAACACGAGCATTTTCGATCGTTTGTTTGGCCTTCACAAACAAACACTCCTCACAAGCAATCATGAGGTAGGTGCAATGCTCAAGGGCATCTAGATGTTGGCTAACACCTGTCCAGTCAATACGTTCATGTACCAAAATCAGAACTCGATGAGGCTCAGCTGCGCCAGCTGGAAGAGCATGAAATTAGCCAAGGCCCCCTTTCAGTTCTGCAACAGGCAGTTCGCAACCATGCCCAGGTCCTCATTTCTTTGCGAAATAACAAAAAGCTTCTCGCTCGTGTAAAGGCATTTGATCGCCACAGTAATATGGTGCGTCACCCTTTTCAGTCTTTTCTACCAGTTTCTGAAGTCAAGTAACACAGGTACTTGAAAACGTCAAAGAGGTCCACTCTACTTCATGACTGGCAGAGATCGTACTGAACTACGATGCAGATGTGGACCGAAGTCCCCAAGGGTAAAAACAAGAAGCCAGTCAACAAAGATCGGTTTATCAGCAAAATGTTCTTGCGGTGAGTGATATGCTCATGCTACGCTTCCATGGCAGGGTGATGATTGCGATCTTTCAGCGGAGACTCGGTAATTCTTAGTAAGTGAAGACACCCTGAAATATTTCTCCCTTTGATGACGTCCTTTAGTTCTACGCAACCAAGCTTAGATCGACCCCGAACGACCTGCAAGGGCCGAAGTCACACCATCCCCCTTGTGCGGTTCTATGTATACTAAGGGGCATGAACCCAGTCTCGATGTTGCACATCCTTAAGCTCGCCATTGCATTGATGTAATTTTGGGATCTTTGTTGTTTGTATGGTTCGCTCCACCTAAAAATATACTTCCTCCAGTGCTTCGAGCGTATCGAAATTGCGCTCAGGACAATCTAACTGAAGCGTGTTACCCCCGAACATGCTTTCTCAATTACCGCCTCCAGACCGCCTCTGCATCGATCTAAGAGAGTGGCCTACAACTCGTAAGCGTTTAAGCAACTCATCACGGATACTCCCATACGAGAAGGGCATCCATGTCATCAGGTTTAGATCATGATAATGCCCACTAGGCTGACCCGTCGATGTAACCCAATGCGTGAGCCACACGGATTCACCAGAACGCCGAGGTTCGTGAATCCGCCTCTTGGTACCTCTTCTTAAGCGACCTGTCTCTCCAGCGCAGCGTATATTGGGTTGTCCAATGACCCATCGAACCTGAGTTGCTCCAAAAGAGTGCGATATCGTCCAAATATCGTGCCGTTGAATTGCATATCTGTCCATCATGCATCATGGGCCGTAACCGGCGGCCAGTCAACGACTCTGAATATATAACGAAAGCTATAGTGGAACGTAGAACTTCCAGAAGCCGCCACTCTGGAGCGTGTCATTCGGGCCTCCTACACTGCTTACAGCTGTTTGGAAAAACTAATGTCAATCGCAAAAATTTCGCCACTTCCTTGACCAAAAAGGATATTGATACAACAACGCGTCCTGGACGCTCATTAGGCACTGAGACAGCTTTTATATGCCATTCAGACATCGCTCACAACACCAGGAGACTCTGAATTTGACTCTCTATCACCTATACACTATGGTCAACCGAAGAATCAGCAATGATAAATGACATCAAAGAATGTGCCATTCGACTCTGGGATAATGGATGAGAGTTGGAGGATATAAACGAAGCACTTGGTATTAGTGGGAGGAGCTGCTACCGCTGGCGATGGATATTCGAGGAGTTCGGTGCTGTCACGAGGCCTCTATCTCCAGTCACCGGCCGTACTCGAACAATTACACGTGCACTGTTGACTGCAGTTGAAGATATCTTTGCTGTAGATTCCGACCTCTTCCTTGACGAGGTCTGCACATGGCTTGCACTCAGGCACGATATCATTGTCAGTACTTCCACCCTATCGCGCAACCTCAAAGAAGCTGGTCTCACACACAAGACCCTTCGAAAACTTGCTTCCGAACGTGACGTCAGTGCTCTCGTCAATGGGCGTGGCTGCCATGTTGCATGATCTTGCTGGGATCTTGATTGTGTGCTTTTTCCGAACCGGGGCGGGTTTCGTTCTTTTTGCCATGGTAAACAGGTTGGTATGACATATAATAAAGGTAGTAGTAAGGGCTAAAAGTGCCTGAAAAATGTGTACAAGTTGCAGGAAGCCTACTACGAGTGTCCAGGACGCGTTGTTATGTCGATTTCCTTTTTGGTCAAGGAAGTGGCGAAATTTTTGCAGTTTTGCAAACAGCTGTAAGGTGTGCAAAGATACGTTGCGTTCCAGATTAGGGGTAGTAGGAACCAAATTGTTCGCTTTCATCAGCTAAGATAAGCCAAACCCCCTATAGCGTACCTACCTGCATTTGAACAGCAAAGCCACAGAATACCTCAACGATAGTTGTGATATCAATTCTGACATCACTACCAGGTTTGAACCAATTTTTTAAAAAAAAAACATCACGATTTCGGGTCGAATGTCGTCGTGGTACTCATTTGGTCTATCTTCTCAAGCTTTGGGATTTTAAGTGCATATATCGGTCGTACGATCGAGTTCTTTGCAGGCGAGCAGCTTGAACGCCTACAGAGGAAAGATCGCGAGATCAATATCAATGCTGGTCCTTCCAGAATCCCGATGCGATTGTCTGCATCTCTAGAACGCGGGGAGCTTTCTCGTACACCAGTGGTTTACCCTCCGAAAATGTGTATCTAGGCATGATTGGATGTCATCGCATGCCAATAAAATGGGTCGTGCGGGACGCAGACACCCAATTTATGCAAGCTGTAGAACATGACGGAGGTCAAATGATAGGATGCTACAAGCCCGTCTTCACGTGTCGACTTCAACATGACTTCTTTAAGGGTGGCTATAGACACGGAACTTGTCATCCAGAGACTTCTGAAAGGTCTCACCCTAAATCCAGCAGTTGATTCAAAGGGAACTAGAGGGAGCTCATGCGATCGACGCATGTATATCTCTTGGACAATGGTGGATTGATGCTTGAACGTGCCGTTTGATCCTATAACTAGGGTGTGATACGTGTTCGGAATCGATTTCGATGCCGTTAGATCTGCTCTGTGATAGACAACCGTGATCCTCACAAGGGACAACCACAAAGCCGTTTAAGCATCTCACCAGCACCTTTGACTGTTCCGATGGACGGTGAAGGAAGCGTGGCCGGAGCGCTTACTGCGGTCTAGAGAATATTTGGGAATTGTTGGGAATTGTTGGGAATTATGCAGGTACGAATGTGGCTTCGACTCCTTCCTTGCGATATTCCACGGATCTCTCTCTTCGTTCCTGGTCAAAGGTTAGGTGAGGTCTCGGCCTATCTCATCACCATCCTGTTCGGCGGAGCATGATATATTACCGTGGCACTCCCGACCCGTCTGGATTGCGAGGAACTGGACCGCGCATGCTCCTCCTTGCTGCACATGGTTCAGCAACGTTCAAACGTGGCATCTCGAGGATACAATCAAGGACCGCACTCTTTATCTCGTTCCTACTTTGGACGTCCATGACTTTGATGACGGTGACTGATCACTGCGAAGAAAATATTCTGCTGCGGGCATATTTGAGAGTACACGCAGCACGAAAGCCATATCCAGTTCGTTGACTGCAAACGTGATGAATATCAAATTTGAGTTCCGGTCATAACGGTACGAAGTGTGAAGGACTCTGGCAACAGCATGTCTGACTTGAATGGGCAAAAACTCGGGTGAATATCATTAGCTTGTTTTCATTTCTTAATTCTTTGGGTTGAAATTAATCAGGGTTGCATGATATATGAGGCAGCGCCTTACTATATAAATACGGGATAAACCGTACACGGAGAGGTATGTTCGGTCAGCGAAGTTGTTTTTGCGTAGTGGGATGGACTGTTCTTGTTAACAGGATATCGCGCTACAGTTGATACTCGCCTGTTGTCACGATATGAACGAGAATTTATAAAGTATACACATTTATTGTGTGGTTCAAGATGGGGAAGTAAGAACACGGTGTTTTTCAAATCACCCGTCCTGATGGATGAGAAAAGTGAGGACAGTCGTGTCTGATCCCTGTCTTGACTGGATGCATCTGTGCAAAACCTGCTGCTTACAACGAAGTGCAAACCTCCGCATCTTTGAGCGCTCCAGGAGCATTGCCATCGCAGCAGCACTCTTGTGACGATGTCGCTTACAGGGCCTGCGATGTTGGAAGTATTTGACGAATCTCTCGGCGAGCCATGGAAATTTTTTCCTCTATGACAGCCTAAACTGCGATGAGTGTTAGAGGCGTAAGCGCAAGACCGACTCACCACGTCCGTCAGCCATCTGTTGCGCTCAATTTCGCTACGAAACCAGATAATGGTCTCCGACCTGGCCTGTCGGTCAGGTATATCTGATAAGTAGTAATTAGCAGTAGTAAAACTTTTCAGAAACATAACAGCGTACGTCTGGACGCTCTTATAGCATGACGATACAAGTGGATAACTCTCTGCTGCAAAATGAAATACTTGAGACCAAAATTTGGCATATGCGCTCTTGAATGTTACAAACAAGAAATTGTGGCTAGAATTGGAGTTACTTCTGTTTTGCTTTCCGCTCTTCCAAGTCCGCGTTGCTGGCATTGCTATTGCGGCGACGTTTTGCTCTCTCACAAGTCTCTCCAACAAACCATTCACACCACAATGTCTGGCGCAGAGAACCAGGTCGCTGTCCAGGACGTTGTCTTCCCAGAGAATGGTGTCGTTGACAACTTATCTGATGCTGTGTCCAAAGTCTCTCTCCGACCAGACCATTCATCTTCTAAATCACCAGAACCCGCCACTGACAGTCTTGCTAAAGATAAAAATGATATCCGCAGTCGACCCTTCGTTATGTATTCCCGACCCCATCTACTTCTTCTTCATAAATCTCCCCTCGTTTGTCCTCCGACAGGCATGCCAGCTTTGAAGGATTGGTTTGGGTTTGTGCTGTGTTTTACTTTTTCGAGCTGGTAACTCATTCTACCTCTGAAGAACCGAGAGTGACCAAGCCAATCTTAAAAAGGACTCGGAAGCACTCCCTCAACTCAACGCTCGTGACCGACGGTGAGGTCTGCCAATGACACCATCTTACACCCAGCTAACATCATTCCAGCTTTCGCAGAGATGCGGAGGACGGAGGTAGGCCTCATGATTACCTTCTCTTGCTACCCGGTCTGACCAGTGTCATTAGAAGGCGCTGCCCGACCCTCTTTCCGTGGGGCCGCCATCACCCAGCCCTCGCAAATGGGCAACTTTAAGCACCAGTCCATTCGCGCAACTGACCGAGACCGAGACAGAGATACAGACAGAGAACAAGAACGCGATTCCCGGGTCAAAGACGGCCAAGAAAGACTACGGAATGTAAGTGGTCACACCTGTTGCACACCAGAGCGCTCACACGTTATTAAAGTTGTCAGATAAGTATGACCGCGACCGTCGTGCTCTTTCTTCCATGCAGCAACTTCGAGGAAAGGACAGGGACGTGACCCCTCACCTTGGTGGTACATCCTCTCGAATATCCTCCCAGTCGCAGCAAGCCCTCAGTAGTCGTCAGCTTGATTCCCGAGAACCTCCTAAAAAGAAAGATGGTGAAACGAGCGAGGATTGGAGACGCGGTACGTTCCCTACCCTCACATAGAGCCTGAGTCACTAAGTCGCGGAATAGAATCAGCTCGCACAGGCCGTGAACGTAGGACACTGTCTTTCCGTTCGCACTTCACAGTCATTAATAGTGTCTATAGGTTCTGATAATCCTAGACGCGATCGAGATGAGCGTGACCGACCTCGCTCAAGGGTTCGTGACTCTTCCCGCCCACGGCGGGATGTCTCATTGTCGAGACGTGATCGTGATCGGGACGACAGGGATCGTGATCGCAGAGGCGACCGCGACGACCATCAAAGAGAGACAGTGGCATACCGAAGGGACAGGGACGACCGTGACATTGATCGAGAATCTGAGGCGGACGATCCTCGTCGCTGGAGAGATGACGGAAAGCGGGATGAGCGTATGGCAGCGAGACGGGACCGTGATCCACGAGACAAGGACCGGGTACGCGACCGCCCTGCCGCATGGGATTCTGGCGATCGTCAGGACCGTCGATGGGTTTCCACCGATGACCGTGACGGTCGAAACAAGCGCGCGGCTGGCCGCGAGAGAAAATCTGATGAGGCGAAGGACAAGGACGATCGCAGGGACCGAGAACGTGAGAAAGAAAGAGAGAAGGAGCCTGCATGGATGGACACATACATCCCTTCTGCTGGCAGCAACGGTTTAGGTCGGGCTCCCGGAGACCTAGATGACATACAGGCATTCAAGCGAGAGATCAAGGAGAGAGAGCAGAAGGAGCAAACCGCTGCTGCACAAGATGGTGATCGTTCTGGTGACTTTGAAGGGAAGACGAATACGTCTGAAAGCCACTTGGACGAAATCCAGCTCTTTAAGCTGATGATGAAAAGGGAAGAACAAAAGAAGAGAGCTGACCAGTCTCCCCCCGCGGGTCCGTCGTTACTCTCAGACACATCTTCAGAGACCAAAGATTCAACTCTTACAAACGGCAGGTCATATCTTCCTCTCAGGCAGGCTCGATGTGCTGATACACGGGTAGACCTGTCATTGGTTGAAACAACTGCAGAGCAACGCGCTCATCTCTCACCTCAGCCAATTTCTTTGCAATCGTCTACTTCTCCATCTCTACCACAAGCTGACACAGCTGCCCACGATAGTTCTCGTACACTCTTTGCTATGTTACCGCCCCCATCGTCTGCCATTGTCCCTGGGGTACCAGCTGGTGCCCGCGAGCCTGACATTGACAAAGGAAAGCCGGGGGGTTCTCGCTTCTTCCCTAAACCTGTCTCTACTGATTTACCGGCACCTCAAGCTTTGCCAAAGCCTTCCATCGAAGCTCTCGGTGCCGCTGCCGCATCTTCTCCTCACGCTGCTCCTCCCCCAGGCTGTCGTCTTCTTAATTTTACCTCCAAAACTCCTCAGGGTTCTGTAGGTCACACCCCTCCCTCGTACACAGGTTCGCATTCCCCCGTGTCTCTGTCGAAGAACAGCTCGCCGGCAATCAACCCAACCATTCCCTCAAGTGGACCTTTGTCAACCACACATCATAATGACAATTCAGATGCTGTAAGAATGACTCAAGGCTTCTCGCCGTTTGAGGAAGCTCGAGAAGGTCTAGGATTGTCGCCTTTGGATGCGTTCCGTCGAAGTTCTGTTGCACCTCCTGGAGATCGCAATGCCTTTGGGCACATGAACCTCGAACAGGTTGACGTCCCCATGGGCGGGACTTTGCCTGGCCACTCTGCTCCGTACGAGCAACTGAGCTCTGGAATCGCAGCTGCGAAAGGCAGCCGGTTTGCGAAATTTTTCGACGGGAAAGGGAGAGACTCTCAGCAGGGAATGGGCAAAGCTCCAGTAGGCGGCTCAACGAGAGGCGAGCTCGGTGGATACAATGGAATACCCACAAGTAATCCGGATGCCAGAGCTATGGAAGATATATTTGCTATGTTAAGCAATTCAGCCCATGTGGGTTGTATCATCGTCTATACTGAAGTTAGCAGTGCTGATATCAGTCTTAGGGTCAAAGGCCTCATGTACCACCAGACGTGTTGGCTTCAGATGCTGCACACTTCAATGCTCCTCTCTCCAACCTTCACCATCTTCAAAACCAGCTTGGCCACTCCCAGCACTATCCTGGCCACACCCGCCTGGACTCATTATATGATAGCCGTCTTGATGACAGGAATTTTGTCCCAGATGGCATGGTGCCCGGCTTACGCTCAGCCGCCCCCCCTCGGAGCAGGCAAAACAGCGCCATGCTCTCTGACATCGATGACTCCATGCAGTTTGGCGCCCAACGCGGGCCTGCGCAAATGTACCAAGGATTACATCAGGCAAACATGAATCGCAATGGGGGCATGCCTCTCCAACCATCCCAATTTCGTGGTGGCCCTTCACCGAATCCTATGCAACCTTCAGCTCAACGACTGCCGCCTGGTTTGGCTAATTTGGGTGGGCGACCACCTCATGAGCCTGCGCAATTCTTGAACTCGGCAATGGCGATCCCTGGCGGGCTACACGGTCCGGTGCATGCTAATGCCGCGCTTCAACAGCAGTTCAACAACTTTCCTCCGGGGGGTATGGGCTTCAACGGCGCTCCTCAAATGCGTGTGCCCCACCCCGGAGGAACCCACCAGCTGCATGGACACAACACCATGCAAGGCCTGATGCACCCTGGAAATCTTAGTCCCGCGCAAGCCCAGCTTCTGGGGATAAACGGTGCTAACGGTATGCCAGGCGGTCTCCGTGGTCCTAACGGAGGCTTCGGACAACAGGGTCCTCAAATCCAACCGCCTCTACTCTCCATGAGGCAACAACAGCAGCAGCAGCAGCAAATCCCTCCACACATGCTTCCTCTCCACTATCAACAGCAGGGCCCGCCTGGTTCAAACAATCAACCCGCCCACGATCTCATGGCGCTTTTGATGAGCGGAGGAAGAAGGGAATGAGAGTTCACGAATTACCTGTAGTTTCTTATCCTCGCCCAACATTCATTCACTTTCGGACTGACCTAATAATTTTCTCTCGTTAGTTTCCCAGTTGTCCTCATACCGTCTGTCTATTATGTTTCATTGTGGTTCTCCGCAAGCGTATATTATTGACCATTTTTGGGTATGGCTACCATGGAGAGTTCCCGATGGATGGCGCTGTTCAAAACCCGCGTCTGGGACCTGGTGAATCACTGAAGAGTTGGCTAGAGTTTGGCCAGCCTGTCGGCCACGCCACGTTGATCTCCGAACGGACAATAATTTATAGTGCATATAGCGAAACCTGAGGCCAGGCCTGATCCACTGAACGTGAGTATTTCAACGCCACCATCATTACGATGAACGGAGGACACCTGCGACGCAAATACACAGGGTTCTCGCGGCGTCTCCATATTGGGCCAGAATAGAAGGACTACCATGGCCATGGATTTTACTAACTGCATAAAGAAGGACATAAGTACTTTATCTACGTAACTTATGAACGTCTTGACGCTCGTGCTGCACTGGTTCTCTTCTGTAACTGCTGTGCAAGGAGTTCTTGGCAAAATGCTTTACGAGGGTGATGATTCTCGCGACTGCGAATATCAATCGCAGATTTCCTTACCGGCGTGCACTTCAAACTCTAACATTTGGAGCGTTCCATAATCCATGTCTGAAAATTCCGTCGTAACCACGAGAACAGTGACAGGCGGCGCTCCTTACGGCTCCCTCACGAGTCGTATCGCCGTGGACATGAATCTAACTGCTGGCTTGAGATTAGATATCGAGTCTATGCGAAAACACTCAATCCCCGCATCGTATCGATCCTCACTGCAAGGTCTTGCTTGACATCGTAGTGATATTCAACAAGTGATGTTCACTGCAATGAATGTGCGGAGATAGGTACAGGTCTATGAATATACGAGGCCTGGTTAAACTGTTTCAGTCAAATTTGAGTGATGGGCCCGCGCTCAGTGTCAATGACAGTCTTCTACTCGGTCCCCTTGTTCTAATGATGCGGCATTCTGTCGAGGCACCTTGGGCCGCTCAAGCCGTCACTCTAGAAATCACTTGATTTGGATAACATCAGATGATGAAAGGGTCATCCGATAGGGACGCTGCCGCCTTCGATTGGGGGGTGGACCTATATGGACCGATGGCATCGTAGACGCTCGATAAGAGGTGACTGATGGGAGGTATGCTGTGGGAGTTTGTGTGCCCGCAGAGAGCCGCAGAGGCGACGAGAAGATTGCTCGAAATACACCAGCAATATATGATTTCTTCCGTGAACTTTCATTTAAACAAGAAATTGTGAAAAATCTCGCTGGCGATGCGACTCGAACACTAGCAAGTCTCCTTAAGGGTCACCCATGCTAGTACTCAGTATTATAATGACGGGTTCAGACGTGAAAAGAGGAATCCTTTTGGGGAGACTACTATAAGCCGCAGAGAAGGATGATATAGAACTTACATAAACAGATAACCCTTGACATCCTCCGCCTGCAGGCAGACAACGTGGACTTTGATGTTCCCGAATCAGAACGGCACCATGTCTTAAGTGAATAATTACTGCCGAAGAATCGCCAGTAAGAGGAAATAATTATACATACCGCTTGCTAGAACAAAGGGATAAGCGGTACACGCCTTCTCTGCATTGCACTCGACAATTACCTCCTTCCGCGATTGAAAATTTGCAGGACTACCTAGTGGTACACTCGTTCCTGCAACTTACTCTCAATCCCGTTCCCCCCCGGCGCAAGCCAGTTTACGAGTACAAAGCCACGTCCGCTCTTGTGCCCGTTACACTCCACGCGCTCGATTAGCTTCGAGCGATCCTTCTTTATAGTCGTTGCTCTGCCTTTGCTCTCAACCAACTCACTCAGTCTTTCCTTTGCTTGGTCTCTCACTCTCGTTCTTTGCCCAACCGCATTACTTTTTGCCTGAATAATTTGCCATAATCGCTTCTCCCTCACCAATTTTCTCTCCGAAAATACCTTCATCGGTCACACCTCCCGAAGTCGCTTGTAAGCTACCAGCGCATCTGATGCCATCGATAGTGACTGATGTGAAATGCTTCGGTACAGGATAACCAACACGCTGGTGTCAGTCAACGTTGTTCACAAGTGCGTACCCAATGGCCCTGACAGCGGAGAACAAGCTAACGGTTCCTAACAGCATCTTTTGATCAAGCAAGACCGGTCGAACAAGTGTATTCGAGGTGAGGACCGGCTCGGTTATATTGATGTCATTCTTTTGGTCGCTGTAAAACGTGGGGTCGTGGGAATATGCGCCTGATGTGGGCGGTGATATCCCCTTGGAGCCCTCGCTATTCAGAGCGCTGCGCAGCTGAGCGCTGATCAAGGGCCCCAGGGCAGGGTTAAGGAACATTCTGACAGTATAGTCAAATGCCAAGGACTCTAGGATTAACTGTCTGATTCTGCTCGCCCCCATCTGTGGTTGTCGTGGTATATTTTTGCATGATTTCACAGAAGTTTGACGATATTTTTTTCTTCGAATTTCCTTTTTGAATTTGAATCACCTTGACGAGCCGATTGTGCCGCTTCATCTTATACTCTTTTCGAGTGTTCTCACTTTCTTCTTGTCCAATTCTTCATTCCAGGAGACTTTTCATAGTCCCTGCGCATAGTCGTCGAGCTCCTTCTCTTGCATCTGCCTATCCTTTTTCCTTACGACCATCCACGCTGACCACGATTTGTTAATACCCAGTTCATCACCTACTCGCCGCACGCCACTCTTCACCTCCATCCTCAATTCACGACAACCTTTAAAGTTGTTCGCTTTCGCATGATCAGTTTCTGATTCTGGTGAGTCAGTTCTTTTCAGATCTCGCTTATCCCAAGTGGTGTCACGTCGTGAGATCGCGTATTCCAATGCCACTCCATAGCCGTAGGCATACTACGAATGCATTCCATTCATGATCCATGATAGACGCTGAGCCGTTCAGTGGTTGTTTTCATTTACCATCATTCACCTTGTGCGCGCTTGAGGCGCTCGCGCATCCAACAATGTCTTCTCCTACCTCATTTGATGAAATCCTTGCTGATGCCGAGTCTACTCCTCTGTTCGCTCAATTGCCCCCCTCCAGCCCACTATCGGTCGCACGCTTCCCTAGATCGATCTCACCCGCCGCTTCTTCAGTTATGAAAGACACTTCTACCACTTCTTACCGGAGTTCTCGAAATGCTGCGTACCCTAAGAAACGGCCATCACCTTCAGGTATATCGAAACATCACAAGACCCCCCCTCTCGGTCCTCCTCCTGTCACCCGCCGAACCCCCTATTCTGCCAAAGCAGCTCTTTTGCAGCAGCGACAACGTCAAGCCCAAATCACCGCTCTTCGCAGGCAAGGCATTTTCCTAGAAGAGGAATACCGAGAAGATATCCGCTTCTACATGCATGAGATGGAGGTTTGTGTCACGTTTTTGCTGGTCTATTGGCGCGCCTAATTCTCCTGGTATAGCGATACACCATGTCGTCCTCACAGTCGATGGATCAGCAACCCGAGATCCGATGGCACATGCGCCCATGTCTCGTCGATTTTCTTGTTGAGATTCACTTCACTTTCCGACTTCGACCTGAGACGTTGTATCTCACTCTCAATATTGTGGACCGCTACGTCTCTCGAAGAATAGTTTACATCAAGCACTATCAACTCGTAGGCTGTGCGGCGCTGTGGATTGCTGCCAAGTTCGAGGACGCCAAGGAACGCGTCCCGACGGTACAAGAGCTTGCACAGATCTGTCGTGATACGTATGACGAGTCTGCGTTCATTCAGATGGAAGGCCATGTGCTCCAGACCATCCAGTGGACGCTAGGTCATCCGACTGCAGAAGCATGGCTCAGATTGATGTGCTGCGAGCCATTTGTCGAGGAAGAAAGGGTGCAGCATGTTGCACGTTTTCTGATGGAAATTACTCTGTTTCACCGGGAGTTCACCAAATATCCTCCCTCCTCGATTGCACTAGGAGCACTCACGCTAGCTCTGTTCCTCTGCGGCAAACCACGTCGTATCTTTGAGGAGACGGAGGAATGTTTGGAGATCGTCGATTATCTCGATAACCGCTTGGCTAAGCACGTCAACGACCTTTCGGAGACGCTGGTAAAAAAGTACTCCTATGCCTTCTACTCCAAGGCGGCAACATTCGTTGTACAGTACTACCTCCAGGGCGGTCGCTTCGTACGGCAGTCCTTCATTCCCCTTCCAATGACGCCTACTCGCCCTTCGACGTCTGGTGCCAGCACGCCTATGAGCGCCACAACTTCCGTCTCTGATACATCCGATGATTTCCCTCTCACTCCAACGAGTCCTTCGTCGTTCTCGCCCGACCCCTTCTCGAGCTCTTTCCTATCAGAAGACGACAAGGAGAATTTACCAACATCGTTTGAGCCTATCATCAATAAGCAACGCATGGAGGCCCCACCTGACCATTTTCTGCCGCATGACTTCGTTGCCTTCGGTCGTCCAGCCCTGCACCACTTGAATGGCTCACTATGAATGGCCGCCGTCTCATAGTGCGTAGGTCTGTACCTTTGTTCAGGTCCTCTCCAATCCGTGTCGAAAGTCTGCTACAACCCCGCAAAATGTAACACCACCCTACACGCTCAGCCACTCTGCGCATTGTCTTTGCAAGTCTCATCATCCATGCATCACTTTCTTTCTCTGCAATCGTCTCGTTTCCCATCATCCATCCTGCGCACAATCTACTGTAGGATGAGCGGCCGCCTTGGGAGGTCGGATTCGCATCAGCGTGCCGCATACTTGATACAGGGAAGGACGGGCAACATAATTGTCCTGTACCCTACTCCTTCCTACCTGTCATCCTTCTCAAGGAAGGTCCACTTTGCCACATCTGGTCGTCCTGCCCAACCACAACATTATCTGCATTCATTCAACTTGTTAGTCTATGCATCACCCACCCATCGTTACTCCCTCAACTCGCGTCTTCTTGCAACGAACCAGGTCGACAACCTCTGTCATATTCTGTGTCTATCGCATTCGTTCTATATTATTCTTCACTTTATCGTATTCTTTAACTCCCCTGTTGACTACCTGGTTCGTTGTGGGGCAGTTTCTTGCATTCTCTGTCCCGTATCCCCATCGCGCGAACCGCTTCTTTGTGCTTTTACTCTACCCTTTACTTGCACATTGTCCGCGCATTCATCCTCGTCATTGTTGCAGCAATCTCTCTACCACATCGAACTCTGTCTACAATTACATTTGCAATCTGAAGGGCTCAAAGGGTGTTTCCATTATTATGGTTCTTAGCGAGAATGTTCGGTGCTGGATTTTCTCCGGTGGGCCACACGTTTCTATCCATGAGAACAAGGGCGTGTATATCTCTCGCACAGCAACAGAGAACGAAAAATGTCCGAGAGTGGGGACTAGGAGCTGATAAGTATTGTGAGAAGTCCTGGTTCTCAGTTGATGGATTGAGGTCCGCCAGTCACTGGTCATGCATTCATGGGTCGGCCTCCCACACTTTTGTCAGGTTCTTGGTTGCTCTCAGGTAGTTCTTGCTACAAGGACCGAACTTTCCCTGTTTCAAGCCGATCCACAGGCTGCCACTGCGTGCCTGTTCTTCATGGATGAGATCTTGAAACACAATAGACATCATTAGGGTAAATGAACATTAATGAATAAGAATGAACTCAGGGCGCCCGCGGGAATGAATGAAAACATATCTTCAAGTTGCACATGCTCGATATTGCTCATCATTCCTCCACGGATGTAGTACGGAACTCGGGCTTCACTGACACATCGATATAGTACACTTGTTGTAACCCTGGTAAATTGAAATTGCATGTAACATCGTCAACGCAAACCTCTCATTCTAGAATCCATTCGTTTCCGCTTTTCATGATACCAACGGCTCTCTTCTCGTCTAGACTAATACGGCCAGCATTGAGGATGGCAGTGGTAAGTACAGTATTGGCAATGGTCGGATAGCCGTGACCATCATAATCGGAGGGTTTCGCAACGCCGGCGTTGACTTCTCGGGCGGCGTCAACAAACTTCTCGATTGAAATGTATCCGTAGCCCCGTTGTCCATCGAAGTGACCACTCTCCGAGGGCGAATATTTCATGCTAGTGATGGAAGTGAAATTAAAAAAAAAAAATAACAATTTCAGGCCAATGAACGCACTAGAAGGGGTTGTACCACGTCTTCCCAGTTTCGTCAACGGTGATGTCGTACCCCCTGTGAGCTTGGTCGACGTTTATATCCCCCTGCAGTACAAGTCAGTGGTGTGTTACGTCGGTATAAGATAGACAGTTGCAAGACTGGCCCACCTTCGAACCCATATAATACCAGTGTTGGGCAGAGTGAACACCTGCCTTCAAAGGTGCAGTCCAAGATGCAGTGTACACTGCTGTGCCCTTGTGTCCCGAGCTCTCGATCGACTGCCAGTCGACGAGGAGTGTGATGGTGTCTTCTGTTTGAGGGACACAGTTATAGGGCTCCCCCGTAGCAATGCCGGTTGCTGCACTAGCAACAACTCGCGTGGGTATTGCTTTGTCTTGGAGAATCCAGCAGCAAATATCAATATGATGCGACGAGAGATAATAGCTGGAAATAGCTGTCAGCCTACCAAATTTTCTGTGACCGGACAAACTCGCCTGATATCTGAATCCTTGCCAGCCCAAGCACGGAAGGTTTCCAACTGACTCTTCGGCTGGCTCATCCATGCGTTGAAAAAGTTGAATTCACCAAGTGCCTGTGCTCTAGCTTTGGCATCACTATACACGGGATCAAACCGCTTATGATGCTCCACAAAGCAGACCACGTTATGCTTCCTCGCAGCTGCAATAAGCTCGTTGTGGTGCGATAGCAATTTGGTTGCGGGCTTTGTGACGAGAACATGGATGCCACGTTCAATCGCGTACAAGCTAATGGGGTAGGTGTGTACCTGTGAGTAGTCGCGGTAGTGAGAGATGTATATATTAGACACGGGAAAGATCGAAACTCACTATCAGGGGTAAACACGATGATAGCATCTCCGGGAGACATTTGGTCGATGGCCACCTTGTCTAGGAGGGTAAGACAGTCTGCGCAGTGCAATCGCAACCAACTCACAAGCCTCAGGATCGACATTGCCATCTTTTGGGAACTCCTCAAAGCTGATTGGTGGTTGGCCAAGAACAAGTAGTACTGATGTGATCACGCACGAGGTATCCATATCCTTGTAAACATTCCCGATGTTCTCTTGCAAGTGTTGCCGTATAGCGGGGAATTTGCCACTATTAACGCCGACCATTCCGAGCTTGCCTATCTAGCTTTAAATTGTGAATATAGTGAATGATCGCCCCACCACCAATCCTACCCACTTTGCCTAACCTTCGAAGATCGAACATCGTAAGGCCAACGACCTTATGTCATGATCTCAGTCGTCGACTAAACAACTAAGTCGGAGATGCGCATACCCCAATCTACGAAGGCCAGGCCTTAGCGGTCAGTGATCGATCGGCAGGCAAGACGAATGTGTCACCTTCTTGTCGGATGTAGAGGCTCCAGAACCAGTCCAACCAGTGGTGTACTCCCCCTGAGGTTCACGTCAGAAGCTCGAAGAGACAACTGCCGGCCAAGAACACTCACAGTTCCACCTGTCCCGAGTGCATTTTCCTTATCAGTGTCGATTGTGCCAGCAGACAATGATCAGCTTACACATTAAAACGTTCAGCTTACTGAGGTTCGACATAGCGATGCTAAGCGACGGTTGAGATTAAATGAGAGAGAGGATTCTGGAAGTGGTCGGTTGTCTTAAATCCCAGAATGAAGGGCTCAGCGGCCCGAATGTGCACACCGGACCGACTGTCGGCATCACGCAAACCTATCAGGAGGACCACATCGAAGAGGGAACTTCAATTACTGTAAGTTGCAACTGTGATTTCACGCGCACCAATCGGGCATATACTGACCTTTTGCATGTTGTTTGCCTGAATACACCCAAGTGTGGTCCTCACGTTGTCCTCTCGTGTATATAATTATAATATGTCCGGGGAGCTAGTGTTTTAATACCATCCACGGGGGAGGTGGGTACGCGTCAATCCATCCAATGCTATACCACTCTGGTATCAATAGATTTCGATCATAGGGCGTCCAACACCAGGTGCGACTGGAGACAAATCTATGTCGTCACTAGTGCAAAAAGAATCAGCTTGGACATGGGCGGCTACTGGAACTAAATGTACACGATGCTCACGTTAAAACTATAAAGCCGTCTGCCCATGCTGATCTAGCGCACCCCCGGGTCATGTCGAACCAGCACGATGCCGGAAATTCATTTCGCAGTTCTATTTGAAGCTTGAAACTTCGAGGTTTGGAGGAGACACCAGAAGCTGGCCCAAATATTTGATCTGTTCAGTCACCAAGTAATGGTTTTTTGCGGTTTTTTGCTGGCGGTGCTCCATACCGTAGAACGAGTGCATGAAGTTTGAACTGTAGTGTACGGCCCGTCACGAAGGACCGGGATCTCCCGAGAAAGACTTGCAGCTGGAACGTGCAAGACACCTGACACCTGGGCTATTCCTCCCTTATATGTCCTAGCGTGATTGATGTCGAGCGCCTCAGCACTTTAGCATCTGGAAATGGGTACAAGTGCGAAGGTAGATCATTTATTCATTATGTAGTTCGCTTTCACCCCTGCAAAACTTGTCCCTATGTCGGACCTATAGGGGGTACACATGGATGTGCAATATTAATGTGTATACAGCTTAAGCACGATGCCTTCTTCGCCATCCAGCAAATATTGGTCTAGGTATCCGTCGTCGTCCTGTTCATCTTCCACGAGGACCTGGATTCAGTTCTACGTCCATCTCGTCTATGAAACGATCGTGTCGTACTGCTTAAGTTCTGGCAAGGCTTCTGCAGCTCTGCCAATTAGAAAAGTTGGACCTACGCGACTGGCACGTGTTTTAAGTTGTGATGTCACAGGCCTTAAGCAAAACTCGTGGCTACTAGCCGCGTCTCCAATTTACAGGCCACACCCACGCAGTGCATACGAATCCGCTGCGCAAGCGTCGTCTGTGCGGCCAACCTCGCCTTGTGTGCCTTGCTTTAATCTGCTCTGAACGGTTAGCGCACGCTTCTCACTACCAGGTAAGTTTAACCGATCTGGGCTCGATGTCCTTCCTTTGCTAACGACTTTCTGCCAGCCGTTTTCCGCCTGGAGTCCATCCCGACTCTCCGTGCCTCTGTCTGTGGCAATATCCGTGTCACTTTGCTGCCTCCGTTGGACGCACCTCGTCCCGGCCAACCATCACAAACATGCAGCCAGGCTCTCTGACAGATTCTGGTTTCATTCCAAGGAAAGAGTTTATTCGTGACCAACGAGCTACGAGCCTCTTTAGCCTTCTTGCTATCTCTGGCTCAAGCTGCGTCAGACTCTATTCTTTTCCTCCCGATGTCATTGCAGCTCTACGTCGGCTCCTTGATCACTTTTACCTGAACGCTGGATTTCGTGAGGATACTTTGCAGAACCTCTGCGAATTCACCATATCTCAGAAACCCTGGAATGCGCCCAAGAGTCCTCGTACAGAGCGCATTCTCCTCGACATATTCGCTGTCATATATAGGTTTGGATACACTATCCTTTCTACCGTTGACTATGGTCGAGAGCGTGACGATCGTTTAGCTATCTCATTTTCGAGGCTCCTTATACCTGCTCCTGCTTCGCCTGGTCTACCTTTTGCCCCAGCTCCCGCTGGCTCAGGGAGTAACCTTTCGCACCAGACGGGACTACACATTGAGAGAAGAATGCCCTTTGCTATCTCATTTGTCTCGCAGACCATCATGCGAGTCATTAATCCACCACTAAACGCAACTCCAGCGATTCTCCAAGCTGTGCGAGGATCATGGCCCCGGGGCGTATTGTCAGAGAAGAAAACGGACAATGCGTATGAATTCAAGTTGAAGGGATATAGCTGTGAGTGCTTTCAAGTGAAATTCCTGTGCGTTTTAAACATTTTTGTGCAGGGTTCCACGAAGATACATTTGCAACAGACTCTTTGCGACACATTCTTTCACTTCTCTTATCCCTTGATGCTCATGCATGTTCCCTTGTCATTTCGCTGGCAATCAATGGCCGTTCCAGAGTCAAGGACCTATGGGTCTTTACTGGCCCTTGCACTACTGAAACTGATCCTTATTGGCCTGAATCTCCTATAAGCCAATCCGGCTCGATGGCGGATATAAGAAGGTCTCGCCGGGTATCAACCCCCGAACCACAGGAAGTGGGCATGATACCCAGCTCTTTGCATAGAAAAGCTGCCACTGGCCCTCAGCACCCGCCTCACGGCTTGCCGTCCTCTCAGACGTCGCCTCACCACCCGCGATCGGCAACAGAATCCACCACATCACCTCCCCTTGCGACGAATCTGCCACCTCGCGCAGTACCAGGCAATCCAATGCGCAAGCCTGCACCCCGTGCACAAGTGCCGGTGTCTGTTGACTTCGAAACTCAAGATGAAGAAGAACACGGTCAATTCCGCACTTGTCTCCCTAGCACTGTGCCAAGTAGTTGCGAGAACATGACTGGTATAGGTTCCATGGCGCGTAATAGATTCACTTCCAATCTCATCTACACAGCAACCCCTGACCCATTTCCCGATACGGATCATCCTAATGAAGACGCTGTACACTCGTCGCCACCTCCCGAGCGACATCATCGTAGACCGAGGTCGAGATCTCCGTCTCCCAAGCGCCGGGTGAGCGCTCTGCGACCAGTATCGACCCGTTCGAAGACCCCTCCACTCCTCCGATCGCATTCCCCACCCAGGGACCCTCGTACCTCATCACCACCGCCTGCTGGCCATGATGTCTCGATGAATGAGGGACCGCCTCTCCTCAGCCCAGGAATGTTTCGTATGAGAGACTCAGCATACTCTGTGAATACACTTGACACGGACACGTCTTCCGGGTTCAAATGGACAGGACGTGGCCGGCCAGATGGCATTGAAAACATTGAGGAGGTGTACGAGGAGCCAAGTGAGGAACCAACACCGCGCCTGCCTGTTCTACCTGGCGCTTGGGCATTGCCGCCTGAGGAGGAGCGCCCCGAGGTGTTATCTCGTACGACCCAGGCATCTATGGCCGATGAGCGCGGCCTTCATCTGGAACACAGAAGAAGTCCAGACAAATCATTACATGTCAATGATGCGAGGGTTTCCTCGCCAGAGCTGGTTAGTGATCAGGCTGTGCGCAAGAGTGAAGCGGGGCTCGTAGGGATGATATCTCCCCCGAGGCCTTCACCTCCACCGATTCATCCTCCATCGAGGGATAGTGTTTACAAAAGGAAGGCATCAGGTTCAACTGATCCACCCGCATCACCGATAAAGTCTGGCAGTCGCAGTGGGAGTGGGAATGGTTGGGTGCTTGTGAATGTTGAGAAGGAACACATGACAGCCTCCCTGTCAACGCCAGCTGGTAGCCCAACATCCCCGACACACGTCGAACGTGGAGGAAAGCGCACTACAAGTGCTGCTGCAGAAAGGTCCTCGATGTCAGCTGCAGCGAAGGCGATCACCGTCATCGATGCACAAGACATAAAATCCAAGAAGGAGAAGCGCCAGTCCACTGGTTCTGGTCTACGACGCTTGCTATCTATTTCGCGACCCGGTGCCAAGGGCGCCGACGAAGTGAAATCTGATCCTCGCCTTGCTGCTGTACGCTCAAAGGAGTTGACATCCAACGAGAAAGATGGTTCCAAACTCGCCTCCCCTCGCCAAGGGCGATTTCGCAGCAAATTCACTCGCCTAGGAACTTCAGAGCCTGCCGCTCGACCGCCAGATCGAGTGCGGGTTAATCTTGACTAATTCTTTTCATTCTTTCCATGCTCGATTCGCTATCCCTTATATCATCGACAATTTGTGGGCTTATTCTTAACCGTCTCTTTACGACTCAGCATGTAACATCTACAACCCACATTTACTAACTTCTTTGTGCTTTTCGTTTCTCGCTCATGTAGTACTTATGCTTTACCGTCTACAGATTCCTTACGACAAACTACTCGTAATTTTGTGGATACAGCATATTGCGTTTCAACTGGAGTCACCTTGCTCTTCGAGGCCCCAGGCCAACCTCATAATTCGTCTAACATTCCACTCACCACAACTTCCGTCGGCAACCACTGTGGCACGTCCAAATTAATTGAAGTCTGAAACCATTTGTCTCTCCGAATAGACGAGCATGTTTTAATATTCGACGATCTTCTTCAGCTGCGTGTAGACTCTTCTCATGTGCCGCTGATATGACCTGCTCCCAAAGATTCTGTGCATTTTCTATAGATGAAATCAAAGCTGCACGATGCCGTGTCTCGCAGGAAGATAATTTGATCCGAGTGACTTCCATTGCACATCTGTCTTTCGCGGTAAGTAGATCGAGTCCCTCTCTGAATTCGTCGTCGGTTACGCTTGTGCACTGGTGGGTCCGGCCATGTCACGGCATTGACCCATCACTATAGCCCGAGGTGTTGCGATCATTCGATGGATCTCTTCCGTATATTATAATCATCGCGGCAATTGCACGCATGTGGAACAATTCACTCGAGGATGTATGGGTTGCATCTGGCAGTCGTCATGTATGTCTCGGCAAGTATGGGGTGCTGTATGTTACTGTGTCTGACGAATCGTCTTTCTCAACTCATACAGGCTCTACATTTCACTATGGACACGGAGAAGATGATCTTTGCGAAGCTGATGCAACCTTGACGTTCTAACTTTGTGCTAGCGAAGAGACACACTGAGCGAGGCAGATGAATTCTATCCGGACTCTGGTGCAGTCGGCATACTAGTCGATCGTTCTACAAAACACGTAATTCGCATGAAGACGAGTCGCGACAATGTTTGTACCTTCTGTTTTCAGGTGGATGCTTCGCTCGTGGTGACCTGTGGACTCAACATATACGAGTTCACTCCTGGTTGTCCTATTGAACTTATCAGCAATGGATACAACTCTAGTCTGCTGCATCACGGCTTCCATCAAAGGACTGCATGTACTGTCGCAGTTCGATCTAGGTAGTCTGGCTTTCAACAGTCTTAGTTGCCGCTCATCTCTAATCATCTCTACTTCAGGGACATCTCCTCCGTATTCACATTCATGGAATGTACTGGGAGACCATTAGTCGAGAGATGCAGGGTGTATTGTGCCACGCACACACATCTATTCGCTGCTCTTAGAGTCTCGCCAGGAAGCCTGAAAACCAGGAAATACCTGTGGCATGCCCGCAACGACAGGTATCGTGGCACTTGTGTCAATTCCAGACACCGTACCCGTGCCCCCGCCTCCGTATCACCCATGCTTCTTGGTTCTTCCGGCTAGCTAGCGGAAGACACTTATTCTGGTCTTTTGGAACACCAGCAAACAAGAGGGCATCTTTTTTCCGGCGCTCTTAGTGAGAGAAGGATTTCACTCATTAAGGTTTCACGATTTTTCGGCCAACTCTAGAGTCTCAGACCAAGACGAAACGTCTTTGAGTAAGCACGATGCCTTGTATTCACGCTACTGAGACGCATGCCTTCCGGCTTCAGAGACAGAATTTTCAGCTCCTGATGCTCGTATGACATTTTACTACAGATCATCCTCTAGCTCTGTAGCTCTGCACTAACACTTTCCTTTACGTTCATAATTTGCATAGACACTGCCTAAACTCTCATCGTTTACCATTATGAGTCACTACTGATACTTGTTCCTCTATTACTAGGCGATCACTCGGTGTTATCCCCTTTCATATCACACGTGCTCTGAAATTGTGGCAAGCAATTGAGTAGTTTATCTGTAGACAGACGTGATCATGGAGAACGCGAATCAGAGAAAGGACGTGTTTAACCACGTGCCAGATCACGTGAACACGACATTCTCTTGGATGTACTTACGGTCCCGCACAAGCATGGAACGAATTAAATGAACAAGGAAAGTTCCTGCGGAGGAACATTTAAATGTGTCCTAATCGTGTCGAGATTGTGGGGGAGTAGTTGTTATGATACTTGGCGTAGGAAAAACTGTGTCTCGAGTCGAAGGAAAGATCGGACGAATGAACCCATCAGAAGACGGAGAGTCACGGTTGCACGCTGGCATCGATGGGCAAAATTCAGGGCGTTCAAATGGTATCCCAGTACATGCTGGCGCGAAAAAAAGATCCACCGCGTCTTCGGTGTGTGGCAAAAAGGTCTATGGTGGGCGAGGTGCGAGGCTTATGTGGTTCCCGTGACGAAACGACAGACGTGGGTGTACTGCCGTTGCCGCACAAGCGCAGCGATTAATTTTGCTGAATACTGGCTGGTGGTAATGAACGCGACGGTGGTGAAAATACAGAGTGAAAAGCTAAAGGCTGAGCGTGAAAATACGTTGGTTGAAGGCGGCGTCTCGTGTAAGACGGAGGCAGAGATGCAAAAATGCACAGGGACCGCTACACGCATTCGTTTCCTCCCTAATAGCCACCCGCGGCCGTTCCCTCTTCTTTCCCGCTTCCTGCCATCTGCACCCTTGTCCTCCAACCATCCTTCTTCACAATGCCAACATGCAGACGCAAACGTGTCGTGCTCACAGAACCATCCGAGGCCCTTCTCCAGGCTGCAAAGTCCAACCCTAACAAGGAGGTCTATTATCTACAGCAAACAGGCGAGATATTTGAAACTTATGAGTATGTCAACCTTTTCTTTCCACAATCTCTCCTACGACTATGTTCTCTCAGGGCCTACGCTGCGAGGATGTCATTTTACAGGCTCAAGCAGTTTCAGTGCGAGGTTACAGGAAAGAGCGGCCTGGACTACTTCCAGGCGCTTGAAAGCGAACAGCAGGAGGCGCAGACTATGCACGCCAGGTTTCCCGAGCCTCTGAAAGCTGCTGTCCTCAAAGCTGTTCAATGGCGTGCGTCTTTTTTTCAACTCTGCTGGGCCCAAACACTGATCATCCTTGTCGTTTGTAGAGGTCGTAGGTCGTCTAGACCACCTCGTAGAAGCCGTCTTTGACCGGTTCAAAGACCGCTATTTTGCGGATGAAAGTAAGTTGACCCACACGTTAATGGACGCCGGAACTCATCCCTATCCTTTCACGCGACGTCAGAGGTGTTCGTTGACGCTCAAGGAGACAAGTTCGTGTATCACACCTTCAAGGTCTCTATCCCGGTGACTGACATGTATTTCACTAGATTCTACGCGAAAGTGGTGCAGGTGTATCCCCCGAAGGCCACGGGTGAAAGCGCTGCTGTCCCGGACGAGAATCAAGCCTCATCATCATCAGCGCCATCTCCACCTCATGGAACTGCTGATGACGACACTATTCTAATCCACAAGATTGGCGGAGACTTGAAGATCCCAGCGAAGGAAGCATTGGTTCGCGATGACCCCCTAAAGTACTCCTACAAGGTTCAGATCCTCGAAGAGCAACACGAGAAGAGTCACGAGAAAGGAAAGGCTGCAGCGAAAGATAAAGCTAGATGGAGTGGTAGCTTAATGGATGTGCAGTGCAGTGTCATGAGGTCTGTGACCCTCTGTAGTATCTAACATGAACATAGCTGACCGCCTCTTGTTCCAGCCGTGATCGTCTTGCATTTTCGAAGTCTATCCTTCGTCGCTTTATCCGCGACTGTGTTGATCGTGATGCTGCCGTCGCGTCGCCTTGGACAGTGAAGCCGGTCATTGCGAAGCACTATGGCGTCGACTCTGTGATGCCAGAGGAAACACGTAAAGGTGTCGAAGACATCAAACGTGGCGAGATTGACAAGCGCAAAAAGATATGGGAGGACAAGGAAGGCCCACCGACCAAGAAGCAGAAGAAGATGACTGCCGCTCAGGAGGAAAGAGGTAAAATTTCTCTATCTTGGATAACAATCAGTGCTAATAAATGTAGCAGTGAAAGCCTTGGCTGCTGCAGCTGAAAAGCGAGAGCGCGAAGCTCGTGAAAAGGCAGAGCGCCAACAAAAGGCGAAAGAAGAAGCTGAACGTCTCGCTGCAGAGAAGAAGAAAAAGAAGCCCGTTCGCTACCCTACTGAAGATCTGGATGTTCGGCTTTCAGACAAGGAGAAGAAAGCGGGTTTAAAGGTCAAAAAGCCAACACCAAGCAAATCGGGACTTCCATTTGGCGACAATCAGTGTACTTTCGAAGCATTTTTAATGTCATGGAATTTTCTGGTCATTTATGGGTGAGCGATTAGTCGCAAATTATTACATGCGGGAGCTGACGGCTTGTCGCAGACAACCTCTCCATTTGTCAACATTTACGATGGACGAATTTGAACACGCATTGCGGCATTCCCTCATAGACCCGCCTTGTGCACTACTAGGCGAGATTCATTCAACACTCATTTACAATCTACGCACAGTGCCATTTACTCGGCATAGTGCTGTCCTATCGTTGCTACGTCTCCAAGATACGCTGGAAGAAAATCACCGAGTACTTGGTGTTACAGTCGATGAACTAGCTGGTGCCATGGCCGACGTAGGGAACAACTGGGAACGGGTCCCCTTACGGCACACTGAGATGCGAGACGGGTGGGAGGAGGCTCTTCTTGGGTGTCTGAAAGATGTAGAGTGATTTCCACTGATTGCTCATGTTCAATGCTCATTACTGTTAGCATGCCACGCTCGACAACTTTCCTCGCCTACGAGAAGTCTTAACGAGATTACTCTTTGCTCCGGAACCACCCGCAGAAGTTTCGTCTTCATCATCAAGCTCCCGTGTTTCAAGTCCAGACGCAAACAACCTATATGTTCTATCTTCACCCAGCGAGCGTTACTATGCGTTGCCTCCTGCCGATAGGATCGATATCCTTACCTTGATGTGCAATCTCGCTGTGTCAAGCAAGGCTATTCATTCC